TCGGTAGGTGCTGAATGATAAGCTTGCTTGAATAGGAGATCGATGATTGGACGATAAGGTAGATCTGAGAGATAGCACCCGAAATACGGTCATATTCGCGAAGGTCAAGCTCATAGTCTCTTCGTCTGTCTCTCCACCTTTCTCGCTCAGAGGTAGTTAGGTCTTCATCGGTAAGGGCTTTAGGGTTAATATCAGTAACCCTAGGACGAATAGGATAAGAAGGAATATCCCTCTTTATTGGATTATCGGGGTCAATATAGTCCCATACGCCTTTTGCAATAGCATAAGACTTAATTTGACCAATCCAGAGATACCAGTCTGATGACTCAGACAAGGTAATACCTATCTTGCTTATATCAGACATTATAGGCAAGAAGGTAAAGGCAAAGTGAGAGAAAAGTGAGAGAGGAAGAAGGTCGTCTATAGGCCACAGACTAGGCCTAAAAGAGGAGGAACGTCGTCGATAGCTTTAGATCACAAGTCTTATAACTATCGGGTATAAGACCGCAAGTCAAGAAGTCGTCGATAGCTTTGGATCACAAGTCTTATAACTATCGGGTATAAGACCGCAAGTCAAGAAGTCGTCGATAGCTTTGGATCACAAGTCTTATAACTATCGGGTATAAGACCGCAAGTCAAGAAGGCGTCGATAGCTTTGGATCACAAGTCTTATAACTATCGGGTATAAGACCGCAGCAGAAGGACTAGTCTTCAATAGAAGACCGCAATAGATATCAAAAGGAAGCGAGATCCGGGCTCATAACTGTTGGGATATAAGGGGAAAGCTACCACGAAGCAGATCGTGGCCCCTTAAGTCCGTGGGATCAACCTTAGTCCGGCTGGGTCTGTCAGTGCCAGACAAAGGTGGAAGGTCAAAGGTCGTAGGATAGACTATAAGCAGATATAGCCTAAACGAAGGCAGAACCACAGTCCTGAGGATCAAAGGAAGAAGGTAGAGATGACTTTGGAAAGTGGATAATGACTTGAGGAAAGTAGAACTGACTTCAGGAAAGTAGAACTGACTTCAGGAAAGTAGAACTGACTTCAGGAAAGTAGAACTGACTTGATTCTCTCTGCTAGAAAAGAAGGACGTATTTATAGGCTAGGATAGCCTAGAAATAACGTTTAGAATAATATACAAATGACGTACAAACACTAGGCAGCAACATAATGAAGGTGGCAAAGAAGGGAACCGAAGAGAAGCGAAAAGAATGATGTTAAGGATCGACGGTCTAAGCCACCCCGAAAGCACCCCCGCAGGATCAGGCTATGCATACCTAAAGGTGGACTATTTTACCCCTAAGGGAAAGTGGTCCGCCTATCCTTAAGGGGACCGAGGGTCGAAGTCTGTTCACCGGGGTCCGAAGACTATGGTCGAAGTCCGCGGGCAAGGTATGCCCGAAAGCACCCCCGAAGGAACGGACTATTCATGCTTGAAGGCGGACCATTTACCCCTAAAGAAAAATGGTCCCGCCTATCGTTCGGGGGAGGGCCGCGGACCAGAATCAGAAGTGGTCAACACATCATTTTGATAGAAGAAAAATCTGGTCACGTGATCAATACAATCTGGTCTTATATGTTGAATATAAGGATAGATCTTTCTATGTAGCATTGGTCTATATTCCAATAGATAGATATACTAATAATTAGCTATAGTATTAATTACTATCACCCAGACTCCGCTTTCCTTATTACTCTGCTACCCTAATATATAGATATCCTTATCCTCGATATACTTAATAGTATTCTATTAAAGATTACTAGAGATATTAAATATATTAACTGTAACCTAGGCTATAATAGGATTATATAACTAATAAGTATTCCCTATTATCTTTAAAAGGGGAGGATCGGGCAAATATACCTAGCTAGGTTAACTTATACGTAGGATATTAGAGTTTCTAATTTTCTGGCGCTCCTCAAATAGAAGTCGCTCGTTCACACACTAAGGGGATCGGTGACCGGTCTAACTATAGCTCTAGTAGATAATAGAGTTATCTCTAGGGGCTAGCAGACTATATTAAGGACTTAGATAGGTAATAGGGGCAATAATAAGGCGGGTTCCCTAAGGTCTAAGGAACTTAGTAGGGAGCTTCGAGATCTCTAAGGCTAAGTTATTTATAGCCTAAACCTACTTCTCGCTATCTAAAAGAGGTAGCAGATTATTCGAAGCAATTCCCTTACCCTATATATACTTAATAAGCTTCACAGTATTATTAATATTATACTTACCTTCTTTCTTCTAAATATATATTATAATTCGTATTCCTATAATTATAGATATACTAAATAGTCTAGATACCCACTACTTAGCTAGCAGTACTTAAAATTCTAACTTAACTTAGGACTTAAGCCGAAGACCCTCTTTAGTATAGTCCTCTAGCTTCCTACTACCCTATTTTAGATTTATTATCTAGTTTAGGATTATATTATCGTTAGCCTCTTCTTCTTTAAAGGGGAAAGTAGACTATAAGATATTAGCTAGAACCTCGAAGTTCTTACGATTAGCTCGGGGGACATATTTAATATATTCTAAGGCTAGACCTTAATATCCTTCGCGTAGAATCACTATATTCGCTTCTGATAAATCCTTCGTATTAAGCCCTATATTTAGGTAATATAATTCGCACTTATCAATAAAATAGTTAATATCTTCTTTAGGGCTTCCCGAGAAGGTAGGCTAAGGAATTATTATTATTCCGACTCTCTAATAGGGTTAAGTTAATAAAGTACTATAAGGGATAATTATAGGTATAACTAAAGATAAATTATAAGAAGACGATTTTATTTAGCTCTTAATAAATAATAACTATTAAAACTAAGTAGCGTATATAGTAGTAATCTCTTCTTCGGAGAGAATAGTCTCAGAATATTAAGGGTCAGAGTGCTTTAAAGGAGATTAGTATTAAGGGAAAAGCTCCGGGGGTAATATTACGGGAGGACTAGGTCGTTCCTTCCCCGTTATATTAATAAGGTCCGTAATACCTCGCGCTTTAGGACTATTTAGCCGAGATAATAACTACTTTATAAAAAACGAAGCGAAAACTAATTCCGAGCCACGGGTTAGACTCTAACGGGTTAGCCTTAAGATCCGCGATAGCGATCCTCTTCTGGAAGGCAGACCTAGATTAGAGATTATAATATAGGAGATATCTTTGGTGACCTCGATTAATAACTGTTCTCCCTTATCTTTAGGATCGTGCTCTGCTAAAGACGGTAATACTAATTTCTTCGTAGATAATCCTTCGGATATTAAATAGCTAATTGTCGGCCAGTATTATAAGAGACCCCTCTAGCAACTCTACCCTAATACCTACAGATCAGGAGTTATTCGGGATAATTCTCACACCGGCGATAAAGCAGGATATCTTCGACTCCCTGCGTCGCTCGCCAATAACGCTAAGGAAAGACTGTTCAATACTTTACCGTCCTATTTGGGAGGCTTAAAAGTGGTCTATAAACAAGTTATATTATATGTCTTGAAACTGGTAAGGATAATTATTAGACTAAGTGCTGTTAGGCATATTTCTCCGGACTCTTCACCGCCCAAGTGGGCAGTATCCAAAGTGGGCCGTAACAAGCGTAATAACTATGTAAAACACCCATGGTATTTTCTGTCCCGACACTGGGACGTAGGACCAGGGTGGGGGTGGAAAATTCCTCTTACAGCCATCCATGGTTCTGAGAGATATACTAGTTGGTGAGCACCGTGTCTGAGTAGAAGGGTTGATAGTCAGGTGCACGGCGCCTTTTATTCTGGTGCACGGTGCGGTTCATCAACTGTAGCAAGTCGAAGACTTTATTAGTCCAACTAGGAGGTGTATAGAAAATCCGTATTACAGCGAAAATATGATCCTCATGCTATGATAGACCCGCTGGTCATTGGAACAGCCCCAGAAGGGGTTTTGTACGGTGGAATACTATCACAGCGGCTCAAACGAACGATCTAGCCCAAAAAGGCTGGGTGATTAGGGCTTCCAGGGCCAATCAGAGGACCCCACTTTCGACCACGAGATGAATTTCAGACGTAAGATTTAGTCAAAGAAAACACTAAAATAACGTTTTCCTCGTGTCTCGCTCCTTGCACTATCTAAGCGGGTATCGGACCCGTGGTCCATTGAAAGCTTAAAAGGCTGACGATTTAGCGCTGAGGCTACTCTCACCGGGCGTGATCCCCCATCCGGACTACGGCGCCTTCAACGCATGAGCTTAGCAATCTGGACCACAGAACCATCAACCACCAGTCTAAGATAGAACATAGCTTGGAGTAGCCTAGAGACAAGTATGCTGAATAGGAAAGGAAATATTTCTGACAGACCAATAGCCGCGTAAATGAATCAGAAAGAATAGACGAACCTGCTCGATTATTTTCCCAGGGCCAACTATAGTCACAAACAAGGAATGAACAAAGACTGTCCAACTCAGAGACATACTCATGCAGGTGCCTAGATCTTTCAGGGGTCCATTGATACCCGATAGAAGCTTACCCCGCGTTGTACGTGATTCCATCTTATAATCGGATCCACCGAGGATCACCGCCCTGGTCTCCCTTGGAGGGCGTACCGGCCCGGGTACCTGCTCGCAGATCCCCCGGTTTATGTCATGGAGGCGCATACGACCGCTTACTGACGCTCGCGGCGAGGTCCGAGGACGAACAAGCTCGAGGAGTTCGAACGAGATGATCAATGGCCTTCGTATCATCGCCGAGATACTCGTGGATCCACTGCTGACCTTCGCTCCAATTTGCTCTTTTGGTCTTGGCTGTGGATTCGATGGGCGTCCAACCGGCCCGGCCAGGTTTGGTTTCTCTTAGGGCAAAGTTCAGTTCTTATTACTATATGATTGTGGCTTCCCCAGATCGTCACCTTATTCCTATTTTAAAAATCTCTCATAATTCGGGTCTTTCTTTTTTTAAAGGTGGACACTTGTGACGGCTCGTCATCTCTCGCCGTTTTTTCTTTAAAAAAAGAAAAAAAAAACCTCGCTTTACCCACCCCGATATGAACCAGGACGACGAGGTTACCAGTGCACACAGCCATGGCGAAATTGAGACTAAGGATATCAAGCAATTGAAAGCTCGGCATGATGGCCGGGTCAATGAATATGACGTCGATGCGGAGGAGAAGCAAGTCATTGGTGAATCGGCGCCGTTGCCGGATTTGCAACGGAAGCTGAAGAGTCGGCACCTGTCGATGATTGCGATTGGTAAGAAGAGATCCTCCGCCGTCGTGACTATACGCTAGAGAATATTTGATCCTAACATTTGACTAGGCGGCACGATCGGAACAGGCCTGTTTATTGGTAGTGGAACAGCAATCGCCTACGCAGGTCCAGTCGGCGCATTACTTGCATTTCTATTTGTGGGATCCATTGTGTTCTCCGTCATGTCAGCTCTTGGGGAGGTTGCCACCTTTCTACCTATCCCGGGAGCATTTGCTTCTTATGCCACCCGACTGGTGGACCCAAGCTTGGGTTTTGCAATGGGCTGGATCTACTGGTTCTCGTGGGCATCAACCTTCGCCTTGGAACTGACTGCGACCGGTCTGATTATCCAATACTGGGAGCAATCACTCCCGATCGCTGGATTCATAGCCTTATTCTGGGTCCTTATAATTGCTCTAAATATGTTGCCGGTGAGCTGCTACGGTGAAACCGAGTTCTGGTTATCAAGTGTCAAGGTCCTGACCGTAGTCGGGTTCATGATCTTTGCAATTTGCATGAATGCTGGTGTCGGCGACGAAGGCTATATCGGCTTCAGGTACTGGGTTCATCCAGGACCGTTCGTCCCGTATCTCCTGAGAAAACCCCAAGCAGGATGCGCTGGCGAAGTTCCTGGGTTTCTGGGCCGTTCTCATCAAAGCTGCATTCTCGTACCAGGGTACTGAGCTTGTCGGCATCGCGGCGGGTGAGACTGAAAACCCGCGCAAGAGCGTACCGAGTGCAATTCGGAAAACCTTCTTCCGAATCATATTCTTCTTCGTATTGACGATCTTTTTCATCGGCATTGTTGTGCCCTCGGATGACACGCACCTCACAGCTAGCGAAGGCACTGGCGCGAGCGCGAACAACGCAAATGCGTCGCCCTTTGTTATTGCTGCGAATCGCGCGGGCGTCAAAGTGCTGCCAAGCATTATCAACACTGTATTGTTGACCGTCGTCCTTTCCGCGGCCAACTCCAATGTTTACAGCGGAAGTCGAATCCTCGTCGGCTTGGCCCACGAGGGCTTCGCGCCGCGCTTTTTCGTGAAGACCACGAAATGGGGGACACCCTATTATAGCGTGGGCTTCACTGCTCTATTCGGTCTTCTTGGCTTCTTGAACATCTCCAATGCTGGAGCGACTGTCTTCAACTGGCTGCTTCAGATCGCCGGTCTCGCTGGTTTAATTACGTGGTGTGCATTGAACATCTGCCATCTAGCCTTCATGCGAGCAATGGAGGCGCGAGGACTTCCTCGTAGTATCCTGCCTTACAAGTCTCTCTGGCAACCATGGCTATCATATTATGGCCTCTTTTTTAATGTCCTAATCATCTTCACTCAGGGCTTCACTGCTTTTATTCCGTCATTCAGCGTGACCGACTTCTTCATCAACTATCTTAGTCTCATTTTGTTTGCTGTTTTATACGCTGGGCATAAGATCGCTTATAGACAGCCATTTGTCGATCCTCTTGAGGCGGATATTGATACAGGTCGAGTTGACCTCGATGATTAATGAATGATAGACTGAATGAATGTCAACTTTGAACATAGCTACAAAGTCAAAATTTCCTCGTTAATGTAACGTCGCCACTAGTACGAGGCATAGATCAAAGCCAATTGGTCCATCTCGTCACCATCTTGTCCCATGAAGCCAACAACGGCGTAGCCATCATCGGCCGTGAAAGTCGAACAGTCATCGGTGGCGGTTCCCGCCTCAAGTGTGTTTCCAGCGCTGGTAGTAGCCTTGATGTAGAAGTTCCGGGTCTCGCTGTTGTACTTTCCGGTGCACAGCTCGGTTTTGATCCAGTGCTCATTAGTACCGAGGGTAAGAGAAACCGCGGTACCACCCGTTCCACCGTGGCTGAAGGTCGTGCCATTAGTAAGCTTGATGGCAACGGAGTCCAGTCGGCTTCCACCCGCGAAAGTGAGAACCGAAGCAGTGGGAGAAGATGGCATGTTCGGCAGATCATTGAACCAATCGCCATGGGGACCCCCGGAGTATTCGCTCTGCCGGAGCGAGTTGGACATTGACCAAGCAAAGTTGACCAGGACAGGGTTGTGGTCCGAAAGAAAGTCGCCCAAATAGTCCGCGTCTGTGTTTAAAAATTCTTCACCGTCGTAGACGAAGCTATTGGCGTCGAGAGTGACGATGTTCGAACCACGGTACAGAACTTTGTCGACGGTCTCGCATTTCAAGGTCGTCGAAGGGTTATCGCACACCACTGCGTCCGCCCCAGCCGTGGGGTAGACACCACCTTGCTCCAGCTGCACCCAGGCATCAGTCAAGTCGTTCTGGGACTTGAAAACACGAATGCCGGTATCGGCAGAGCGGGTATAGCGGCTGTTAGTGTCGCCCATCACAATTACGGCGTTGCCAACGGACCAGGTGTCAATGTAATCAGCGACCTGTTGCAGGTTGGCATTGCGGGCAGTCTCATCGCCATCCTCGGTGCTTTTCATAGAATAAAATTAGCACAGTTTCATACTCTCGTGCATACCTTTATAGGAATCTACTTACCCAGCATCCGCGTGAAGGTTATAAACATCAATGTAGACTCCCGTCGACGGGTTCCAACGCATAAAGGTGAATCCCTTGGGAGTCAGACAATCGCTTTCCGACGCGTCGGAGCAAGTGTCCCACTTTGGTGCGGGTGAAGTCCACCCAGTCATAGTTGGAAATAGTGTTCAATCCACTTCCGATGCCCGCGCCACCCGAAGTGGAGGTTCGGTAGGTGTGGTTATCAGTCTCGTAGATGTAGGCGTGGTAGTTGAAATCCTAGATTCATGTATGAGCTCTGCTCTCTCTAGATGACAAAGGTATCAACGCGCTAACCTCTTGCATATTGATGATATCATAGCCATACTCCGCGAAATAAGTTCCGATTTCTTCGGCATTCTCGGTCTTTGTTCCATTGACATCGTTGGAGTTGAAGATGGCTGGGAGACCTGCGACGTTGAAGCTCAGCGCGGTGAAGCTTCCGCTGGTGGTTGTCGCGTGGGCGGACGCTAAGAGAGAGGCCCCAATGACCAATGCGTGAATCATCCTGAAGGGGTTTCTAAAACCTCGATCTTGGGTTGTTCTGAGGTGATGGGTGATGTCTTCTTGACGGGCAACGAGGAGAATGATGTCCCCTTAAATACTCTAGAAATATAAAATGACCTGAACATCGTCAACTTCCAGATACCTTCGACTCGATCGGATCCTGCAGGATGTTGCTGTGAGAAAACGGTTAGCTTGCAGACCGTCGGGCACTATTTACGCCATGCATGTATCGTTGCTTTGGAGAGTGTCCAACGTGGGTTCTTCCTGACATTGTGATTGGGGACACTGATCTGAATATGAGATGACCTTGATCTTTACGCATTTCTTCGGCGAAACACGATCAGAGACGATGCTCGCTTGAATACAAGGCCGCGTTAGCAGCCAGGGTGATGATGTTCCACGTGTTGAAACATCGCGTTGATGGGATCCTGCGTAGATATTAAAGCGCCTTGGCATTCGGTATCACAGCACCTAAACAGCCAAATCTCCGCGTCCGACGTGATGCCAAGCCGAGCCCTCGGTTAATAGTAAATACTAGTATAGTACAGTCGACTCTCGTGAGCAACACCCCTCGCCATCCATCCAAATGATGTTGCACACCCCCAATGTGTGCAGCATCTCATGTGTGGGGCATTGCTTATCACTGCTAGCCCTAGCCCTGATTTTCTATTTAGGTTTGAATCCCATCTCCTCCAGTGTCTTCTGTTTCCTCCCATTTATCTGTAGCCTTGTGTGTAGCTTCATCAAAGCCTCAATATAGGACATATTCTCTTCTGATATCCCTTCCCTACTTGCTGCCCATATAGATAAATCATCTAGAGGCCCCTTGATAAGCGTATCGGTCGGAATAACATATAGTGGTGGCCGATATATATCTTCCTCCTCTGCCGACGTATTACTACCACCACCAATATTGAGAATGATATCAGATAGATCAAGTGGACCAGCATCTACATTCTCGCCTAGCGACTTGATAAATGCTTCACACGGAAAGATTACTTGCGTATCTGCTTGATTCTTTAGTTTGATAGAAACCTCATTACAAAATGGCCTCCTCAGAATCTTCCATATATACCGGCATGGCCGGTCGCGGCGAGGGGTTTTATCGTATCCGAATTGTCTATCATAAAGCACCGTTCTCTTGCGGAAGCAGTTCCGAACAGTATCATCTGATACACTGGCCTTCCATACCATACAAAGCCAGCGAAGGGCATAGTTCCATCCGCGTACGTGGGTCAATACCCCTATCCAGTTAGAATTCTGTATTCTAATTGGTCAGTGGGCCATGACTAAGCGAGAATAAAAGGATAAATTCTGCATCATCTCGAGGGGTGCAGCTTTGGCTTCTTATATATGGGAAATCCCAAAAAAGGCAGAAAAAGTGGGGCATCCGTAGAAAAGGGGGGGTTGCTCACGATAAAGTGCAGCTTCCCAGCGTGTTGCTTACGAGAGTCGACTGTAATTGATTGACTTCGCTTGGAGCAAAGGTACTGGATTCGCCGACTTTGCATGTCCTACCCTCGTACTCGAGTCACCACGGTGATAAAATATAAAAACAAAGCCTCTTGAGGATGGCAATGTCCCTTTTACCGGATATCTCTTTGGGAGGGGGTCATTATACACGGACAAATTGGCAGACTCGGGCTGTTGTCAATTGTATTTCCCGTCATACTTACTGCTCAGGGCCTCATGGAAGGGTTGACTGGCCAGCTTGAGGATGGACAGGGCAAAAGGCGGCCCTGACTTTATGAGCCACATTCACCTTCTCTGACGATCAATCTGATATGATGTACGAAACCAGAACATCTGCCCCTACCGCGGTGCTTTTTCAATGTCTCCTGGATAATGACTATCTCTCCAGCGTGAGGCCAGTACTGCGACTCTCGGTGGGCCCATGTTCCGGTTCATTTTGGTTGCAATGACCTTTCAGGTGATGAACCAGATCTGTGTTGTGGAACAGCGAGCGCCAGACCGGTAGTCCTGACACCAAAGCTAATGCTGGCTTCAACGACTGTTTTTGGGGGAATGCTCTCGGGAGTTAAGGGCTCTTTTCTCTATTTGGGATCATGGCTAACCCGAAAATTTGTTTGATTCAACGTTGCACTATGTACTGAATAATGATGTTGCTACCCAGAGAAAATCCCACGGAAAAGGGCTCTGGCAGCCCAAGATATGAACAAGAGCACAGAGACCAAGATGATTAGTCGTTGCGATACGTGGGTGTCACCACGTCTCCAACCATGACCGTCCGGCGGTCCGGTTGCATGTCAAAGCTCTCCATCTCCTCCCGGGAAAGTGCCGCGTAACTACCAAAAGATACCTTGCCGTCGATGTTCCTCGTCTTCGCGAGAGTCGAGAACGGCTCATTACGTCGAACACCGGTGAATTGGTCGATGCAAACCATCTGACAACGTTGGCATGCGTCTAGGATATCTATGCGAAGCTGATCTGGCCCGATGCGGAGATCCGACCATTTATCTTCAGCATACGGTTGTTCTGCATCGCCAAGTTGCGTCAGTCGTTCAGCGACAACAATGTTGCCTCGGAAGACGTCTGCGGCAACAGCCTTGCTGCCACTTGTACCGTGCTTGCTGTTGGCCTTGATGGTCTCATTTAGTCGATTCACCGATGAGCGCGAAACCACCAAGATAGGCATCTCGTTGGCGAGAAGCAGGGGATTTGGACCAATCTCCCGGACCGGGGGCGGTAGGTCTGGTGGAAAGGAGCCGGGCATGATTAACTTGCGGAATTTGCTCTTCCAGTTACCTGACAGGCGAGGCGGCCGAGAAAATCGGTTGGCAGTTTGTGCTGGAAAGCGTGCAAGCGTGCAAGGAACACCGAGGAAATCAGAAAAGAATGCAGACACGACAGGTGACGCATATGCGTGCAGAGATACTTGGTCACCGCATACGGTGGATTTCTTTGTAGAGTTCGAGCACAACGACGTCGAAATGAGGCTTGTCTCTTCCCAGCCAAGGGAAATCTCAAGGCTCACTTGGTCAGTCAGGATACCACAGGTGATCCGCAGGACGCCACGATCAAGGTCGACAGATGGTCGGATGAGAGCCATGCGAGGATAGCGCTTTTGATTTAAAGCAGCACCTGTGCCTTGGTGAATGAGACACCATTCGCGGTCCCATGCCAATCCTTCGCGTTTGATCTCCCATCGTTTCCCTTCTGGGATCTTGAAAGCGCCGCAACTCTTGATCGGGAAAACCGAGAGGCTTTCAATGTAAAAGTGTCGGCCAACAACTTCGTTCTCTTGTAGCGAAGGATTCAATGCGACGACCGGAGGGACTTTTTCAACATAAAACTCTTCGATAAAGTCGACCACGGATTCGATATCTTTCATGTTGGTCATGGCCCCAAGGCTGACTCGCAGAATACCAGTCGGCCGACCACCGAGAATGTCATGGTCATCACCGCAACGTAATCCTGTGGAGTAGTGGCGACGTAGCTCAGGGCCGGTCCATCCAAGAGATGATGCCGTTCCGCCAGGGTTACAGACAGATCCCGTTCGTAGTTGAATATTCTGGACCGTAGCTAGCTTCTCAACTTCCGTCTTCGGTATCCAGTCTCCTAGGCTGTTCTGTAAATTGAAAGCAACGATTGGACCCTGTGTCTGAGCGCATCCGTACGCAGAATTTGACTGGTAGATTTGACACACTTTCCTCTCGTTCCAATGACGCAGTACGGAGATTCGGTCAAACAGACATTTGGCCAGATAGGCGGTATGTACGGAAATATTTGCCATGGAGCCGTAAAGACGAGTATGAGTATCGATGGCTGCATCAAGAGCGATGATGCTGTGGAATGGAAGGGTGCCATCCTCGAGGCGTTCATGAATTGAGGTTTCCTTTTTTGCGTGCCACTGCGCTCCGTGAGCAAGGACCATGTCAACGGTGCCACCACCGAAGAAACGGCGCCTTTCGAAGGCACGAGCTGCGCTTTTCTTGACAATCAAGGCGCCCAAATCGGGGAATCCAAATATCTTATAAAAGCTTAGAGCAGTGAAGTCCGGCGCTGCTTCAGCAGAACTCAGGTTCAAAGGAGCTGTTGAGACAAGCGAGGCTGCGTCAAGCAGAGTAAAAACATTGCTACCATTATCAGTCGCAACCGAGTGGATCTGCTCACACCATTTGAGTGGAAGGCGACGGCCATTCATGTTTGACTGCGCAGGGAAAGCAAAGAGCCGTGGTGCCTTGGTTGGGTTCATGGCCAGCTCAGTGATCCAGGCATTCACTTCGGCATCGTTTTGGAAGCATTGATGCCCCAAATCGGCCAACTCTCGCACCCCGACGATACTAGTGTGAGAGTCGATATGATAGCCATACCAGAAACCACGATGGTCGGAGTCACGGAGAGAATCCGCGACGAGTTTGATAGCTGCAGTCGCATTTGCCACAAAAACCAAATCAAAATGCTCTGGGTCGGCATTGAAGAAGCGCAAGACGCGGAGCCTAATGTCGTCTGTACGCTGAGTGGAGAGCTGAGAGGACAGCGACATCGAGTGTGGATTTCCATACAGATTTGATATCATGTGCCGGGAGAAATCTTCGATCATTGATTTGGCATATGGGGTTGTCCCCGCGTGGTCGAGATATGTGGTGTCTGCCCGAGGAGCAACGGTCAGTCAGATCTCAAACCCACGAGAGAAAAGGGGTCTCTACCATTCATCAACGGGTATTCCTTTTCACGTATCGTATCCACATCTGCAGAGTACCCATGGCTGTACCCAGCCAAGTGATTCTCGGCATTGCTGATCTCCGCCATGTTTGACGACTGGCGGTGACTTAGATGCAATCTGGTGGGTGCAAAGTCTCGCACATGAGAATCCCAGTTGGTCCAAGAGGATCAATGCTGGAATTGGTCGATCTCAAGCAGCACGTTCACTTTGCCACAGGAGACTGCAGGACTTATGGGCACAACGTGTCCGCGTTAAGTATCAGGGATACTACTAAAGGCCATCGGTCAGTCCCACATCTGACGCGAATTTCGAATTCAAGCATTGAAACCTCGAACCAGCAATAGACAGCATGCATGTACGACATGAACCAATATAATTTGGGTTGGAAGGGATGAGGGGGGAAGTTCGCCAGATAAGGCGAATAACTATAATGCGTCGGAGCTTACCGAAGAAGGGCCGTCAACCGATTATTCGAGAACTCTTTCCAAGCAAGCAACTGATGAGTTCTGGGTTTCTGGGCGTTGTGTTCGACCGGACTCGCCATTGCTCTTTATAGATTGCGCTCCAGGTGACGACAGATGTGAAATCAAAATGCCCCGCGCAATTCAGTGGCAATATCTCGATCGGAGCTCATCATGTGACATAGCTCCCAAACGCGCTGACCCTCACGCAAATTCAGATGTGCCTACGCTGCCCATCTGGCTCGACCAGGAATGTCCATGCACCTCTGCGACGCGAGTGGTTCGTTGAGCTGACTGGGGGCGGACGAGTGCGGGCCAGTTGGCGGTGCTCGGCCACTCACGACAGGGCTTGATAGCCGAGGATGCGGAGGAATAAGCAAGACCCTGTCCATAGTCGCAAAGAACTGGACAGGACAGGGCTGAAGGATCGTGAGATCTACCAATATCACCCTATATCACGCAGATTGTTCATCAGATGAGCCTCAACCGTAAAAAATAGTCAAGCCACCCTGCAGGGGATCGGCGGAGCTTGCCCACCTTGGGGCTCCTCAAATTTGAGCTCGGTCCCCTCGTCAGCTTACCCATCTCATGTCAGTATAGATTTGCTTAGAATGACCTTGGGGTTTCTCCAAGGGGCAGCGCACCTGGAAGTCGCCGCCTCACGCTGAACCTATTACCAAAAAAAAGAAGGAGGATGATTGGAATAGGTCCTCTCGCAGATCGAGAAATCAATAATGATGCGATTAGACACAAAAAAACTGAGATGTCTCCAAATCTGTCTACGATTATGCACTGTGTCACGTGCGGATCTATAGATGAGCTCATGTGAATCTAGAGAAATGCTTCATTCTCATACACCCGGCCAGTGCTTCCGCGATCTACGCTTGAACTACTTGGTAGCTAGTACAATACCATTGTCAATAGTGTTGTGCCAACCTTGATTCTACGATCATAGCGACAGCCACATTGAAGCGGATCCTACAAGATCCTTTGTGCCTTGTGACAACAGATTTTAGTCCACGTCTCAAGCATGAGGCTCAAGCTCCCGGCGATTGCATCCTGCATCTTCCCATGCAATTGATAGGCGTCCCATCTCTATCGGCTTGGGATTAGGCCGGCTTCGGGACGCATTCAATTGCAACATGCTGTTGATCATACGTACTCCGGTCCGTACCTTATCACGCACGGGCCTATTGTTGGAGGAAATGCATCAAAATTCTTAGTTATATTCACACGACGACAAGATGGCTTTGACCAAGGTGTCTCGGAGATCTTCGGGCTCCGCGCCCACGCTTGTATAGTATTGTACAGATGATGTCAAAAGTAAACAGAGAAACTCCCGCCCGAAACCCCTGCAAATGATTCATACAATTGCTTCCACCGAGGGGACGCCGAATGAGCCGGTGGAGCGTTGGTGTCGAATGGAAAGCGACATGTGTGGATCGAGTAGCAATGCGCATAAACTAGCGAAAACAGCCTCAGCTGAACCTCCCCATTTACCGCTTGGGCCACTGTCTCCAACCACGACCGTGACCTCTCTGTAAGACAAAGTTAGCTCCCTTCTGCGTGTCATGACTCGCGAGGTACTCACCTGCTTCCACTGCCGGATCATCTCCGGCATCTCCACCATAGCCTTGCGACGGTCTTCGAGGCGAGCCTCCATAGTGCGCTCCCACTTGTGACCCTTGACCTTTTGGCCGATACCGGTTCCCTTGATGCGCAGACCACGCTCTGCCAAGCGAGCAGCCTTGTATTCTGTGGACTTGATGCTGGGGGGAGAAGAGGCTCGACATTGTACTTGATAGCCAGCTTCACAAGGTCAGCCTGCTGCCGCAGGCCATAACGCGGGCCAATCCACTTCTGCTTTCCAGCGTTGAAGATCTTCCGGGGCATGAATGGGTTGCGGATCTTGGGGTCAATCTGCAGAAGAGTCCTCGCAGAGGACTCCGCCTTGTTTTCACGGTGGGCACCCTTGGCATCACGGTCGGGGGTATAGGGCGAGGGAAGGGTTTGCTCGGGAGTGGCCTCTGGAGGACTCGGACGCGACGCGACGAGGGCCGAGTAGATTTGAGGCGGATAGCGTGCAAAGAAGTTGCGGAGGCGGGTGGGCAACAAGCCCACTGATGTCGGACTGACAGACATGGTGACCAGTAAAGAGTGAATGACCGGATGTTTGTGTCGATAAAAGTTGAAGCGCTAAAACCGTACCCGGCAGTATAGACGTCACCGCCTTGGGTTGGATTTCCCAAATCGTCCATTCGGCTTTTCGTTTCGCTTTCAACATCCCCGTGCCCCATTGTTACCAACGCCACACCTTATTCATAGTCGCCGCTGTCTCTTACATCTCTCGTGAGCGCGCATTTTCAGATTACCTGCCACCATGGCGGACTATAACTATGGCGGTACCGACGAGGAGAATGGGGAGCTGAGAACGCTCGAAGTTGAACTGGTATGTCTGAATCGCGAGACCTGATACTGGTCAAAGATTCTTCGCTGACGCTGACTCTCCAATAGAGCGAAGATCCCGATAACTTCGAGACGTGGGAGAAGCTCGTGCGCGGCGCCGAGGCCCTCGAGGGCGGAATCAATCGCAACTCCAGTCCCCAAGCTATCACTACCGTGCGCAATTGCTACGATCGCTTCCTCGCCAAGTTTCCCCTTCTTTTCGGATATTGGAAGAAATATGCCGATCTAGAGTTTTCGATCACGGGCACTGAAGCCGCAGAGATGGTACGGGATCGTTCTCTCCCGCCGAGCGCGGGCGTGCGCATTTCCTTGCCGAAGTCACTAACACGCTTGTGATTTAGGTCTACGAACGAGGCATTGCCAGTATCTCACCTTCCGTCGACCTCTGGACGAACTACTGTTCCTTCAAAGCTGAGACCTCTCACGACGCCGATATCATCCGAGAGTAAGTAGTACAACAGCACTTTCTTTCCCTTTCCCTGTAACGTTTAGCAATGCCAGCCCGTAACCCCCCTTTGGTGCCTCATTGGTACAATTGGACATCTGTTGGTATAACAGTTGCATTGATGATGGGTGAGAGACCATTACCTTCCCACCCGGACAAGAGTGGAGTCTACTTCTCACCCATGGCTCATCCAGGCTGCTTTCCTTACCTACCTGACCAAAGATATCACCTTTCTTTCAAATTTCCCGGTCATGTCTAGGAAGACCTCGTCCGGAAGCCTCCTTTGACCCTACGCATGAAGCACCAGCTACCTTCCCCATGGCGTGCTCATTGTTTTTTGGACTGTCAGCCTGACAGAGTCGACCGCTTATGTTTGCCACGTCATTTCTTCCCTCCTCCTTCACTTCCAATCCATCCTCTCCCCGTTGAAGGCTTTGTCATGCTAACGTGAACATTGAATAGACTTTTTGAGCGTGGCGCCAGTTGTGTCGGCCTTGACTTCCTGTCCCATCCTTTCTGGGACAAGTACATTGAATTTGAGGAGCGCGTCGAGGCTCAGGACAAGATCCTCGCTGTCCTTGGTCGTATTATTCACATTCCGATGCACCAATATGCGCGGTACTTCGAACGTTATCGTCAACTGGCTCAGAGTCGTCCTTTGGCTGAGTTGGCCCCGGCTGAAACCATTGCACAATTCCGTAACGAGCTTGAGGCGGCTTCTGCTACCATCGCACCAGGCGCGAAGGCTGAGGCCGAGATTGAGCGTGATCTTAGACTGCGCCTCGATACGTACCATCTGGAGATCTTCTCCAAGACTCAAACTGAGACTACTAAGCGCTGGACGTTTGAGTCCGAAATCAAGCGGCCATACTTCCATGTCACCGAGTTGGATGAGAGCCAATTGACCAATTGGAAGAAGTACCTCGACTTTGAGGAATCGGAAGGCGAATACGCTCGAATTCAATTTTTGTACGAGCGCTGTCTTGTCACATGTGCTCATTACGATGAGTTCTGGCTCCGCTATGCTCGTTGGATGGCTGCTCAGGCAGGCAAGGAAGAAGAGGTTCGGATTATCTACCAGCGTGCCAGCTATCTCTTCGTGCCCATCGCCAATCCCACTGTTCGCCTGCACTACGCCTACTTCGAGGAAATGTCGGGACGGACAGATGTGGCCAAAGATATTCACGGCGCCATCTTGCTCAGCTTGCCCAGTCACGTGGAGACCATCATTTCTTTGGCTAACCTGTCGCGCCGCCACGGCGGACTTGAAGCAGCCATCGAGGTTTACAAGACTCAATTGGATTCTCCCGAAGTTGAAATGGCCACCAAGGCCGCCCTTGTCGCTGAATGGGCCCGTCTCTTGTGGAAGATCAAGGGCGCCCCTGAAGACGCCCGCAAGGTGTTCCAGGCCAACCAGCAGTATTACCTCGACAGCCGGCCATTCTGGACCAGCTATCTCATTTTCGAGATTGAGCAGCCTACCAGTGCTGACATTGAATCTACCCAGTATGACCGTATCAAGCAGGTCATTTCTGATGTCCGCTCCAGGAGTACCCTTCTTCCTGATGTGGTCAAGGAGCTCGTGCAGATCTACATGGCATATCTTCTAGAGCGTGGTACCAAGGACGCTGCTAAAGAGTACATGACCCTGGACCGCGAGGTTCACGGTCCGCCTTCAGTGTCCTCCTGGCCTGGATCAGCCCCTGTAATGCCCGCTGCGCCCGTTGAAAGGCAATCCGCAGCTGTCCCGGTGGTACAACCTACTGCTGACCCAGCTGCCGCAGCATATGCCTACTACCAGCAAAGTAACGGCGTTTCTGCTGTCTCAGGTCACGATTCACTGATCCACACAGCCTGAGGCTGCACGCTTCGTCATGTTTTTGTTATGAATATTCTCGTCCCGATAGGTCCCCTACCGAGGACCTCGCGTTTCTTCTTTACCTGGGTGGGTACCTTTCTCCCGATGTAGCATCATGTTCGTGCCTATACAAGGCATTACGTTTTCTCCTGCAGGTTTGTTAGCGTTTTCGATGCGTCCGGGCACCCTTTCTACTGGGTGCCGTTCGGTCTGCCCTTTCGTTTTATGCCGGGTCTCAATTTTGATCGGGGCATGGAGATCCAACAGGATTAATTTATTTTAAATGCCCTCTCTTCGAAGCTCTTGAAGCATGTTACTTTTACCATGACCTCTTTCATGTTTCTCGTAGCATATCTTGGATTTTGATATTTTAGCGCTAGCGTGCAAGTCGGGAGTGCATGGAGAGAATGAATCGCACTTCTAGGAGGGAGAAGGAGGGAGAAGAAGGTTGAGAAGCGAATGAAGTGTAATATTATGCAACTTAGACCGTATGGCTGTTGCCAGTCCTTCAGACTACCTGGTGGGGTTATATGTGCTGCGAATTTCTGCATAATTAGCTCATAGTCCACTACTTGGAAGTCTATCATTTAGAATGGCAACCGAAGCTGGTCTCGGAGACACGTGCTCTCTTTCTTTTCTGTTGTGCGCTTTTTTTTTCTCCCATTTTTCTTTCGACTGTCTAATACTTGAAGTGGCAACGCAGCCACTATCCCAGATTAGTGTGGCACTGATGGAGCACGTCTGCACGTGACTGCGCGTCTGGTGGCCCAGCCCGCCGTAGAATTTCGAGATGCAACAACTCGCCGTCAACCTTTCCTCGATCGCAAAATTACTCCTCGGTCACTATAGACGGCATGGCGACGAATGGTTTCGACGGTCTCCCTCCTGGTCCCCCACCAGACCCCATCGAACGCCCACCATCGCCGCCACCTCCACCTCCAGAAGACTTGGCCGCTCCGCCGCCGCCGCCAGATGCTGCGGCACCTCCACCTCCCCCCGATGATGCGCCACCCGCACCTCCGGTTGAAGCTAAAAAGAAAAAGTCAGGATGGGGGGCGCCCAAGCGGCCTGCTGCGACGCCGTTGAGTGTGGAGGAGCTAATTCGAAAGAAGAAGGAAGCAGATGCGGCAGCTTCAAAGGTGCGTACATCTCTTGAAGCAATGAGAAATAAGCTTTTGGGTGAATGTTCACTGATTTCGATTTATTGCAGCCCAAGTTCCTTTCTAAGGCTCAACGAGAGAAGCTTGCGCTAGAGAAAAGGGCCAAGGAAGTGGAAGCTGAGCGACAAGCGAAAGCTTCCACTAATGGAGCTGATCGCGATGGATTCTCGTCGGAAACACCTACAAAGAGACCCGAAGATCCTAGACATGATACACGAGATTCAAATGGAAGAGTCCCAACTGGACCCCGTGCGATGCGCGGAGACATCCCCACGGGCCCGGCTTCGCAGCGCAACTCGAACGGATACAATAATCGAAGACAGGACTCAGAAATGCCACCGCCGCAAAAGGGAAAGGGTTCAAAGACTGATAAACGCCCGGCAGAGGAAGATGAAACTGAAGCGCAAGCTGCTTTGGTGAAACAACGCTACATGGGAGTCGAGCAAAGATCAACGTTCTCAGCGAAGAACAAGCGCAAGCGCACGACGGACCGCAAATTCAACTTTGAATGGAACACTGAAGAGGACACGAGCCTCGATTACAACCCGTTATACCAACACCGACATGAGGCCAACTTCTTTGGACGCGGTCGACTGGCAGGATTCGGAGAAGATGTTGCAGATAGTGTGGCCCGCAAGTATGCGCAAGCCTTGGAGACTCGAGATGCAGAATCTGGAGGTCTACGCGCCAAGGAGATCCTGGAGATGGAGCGGCGACGTCGCGAAGAGAGTTCTCGGAGCCAGCTGGATAAACACTGGAGCGAGAAGTCACTGGCTAATATGCGCGAGCGGGACTGGCGTATCTTCAAGGAAGACTTCAATATCAGCACCAAGGGTGGCGGTATCCCCAATCCTATGCGTTCATGGGAAGAGAGCGACCTGCCCAGGCGCTTGCTAGAGCTTATTGACCGTGTTGGATACAAGGAGCCGAGTCCCATCCAACGCGCCGCAATCCCTATTGCCCTGCAAAATCGCGATCTCATCGGTGTTGCCGTGACTGGTTCTGGTAAAACAGCGGCATTCCTACTTCCGCTATTGGTATACATCTCAGAACTGCCCCGACTCGATGAGTTCGAGTGGCGCAAGAACGATGGTCCATATGCCCTTGTCCTCGCACCTACTCGTGAATTAGCCCAGCAGATTGAGATCGAAGCTAGGAAATTCACTGCGCCTCTTGGTTTCAACGTCGTCAGCATTGTCGGTGGTCATTCGCTGGAAGAGCAAGCATACAGCCTGCGCAACGGTGCAGAACTTATCATCGCCACACCAGGTCGTCTCGTCGACTGTATCGAGCGCCGTATGCTAGTCCTCAGTCAGTGTTGCTATGTGATTATGGATGAAGCAGATCGCATGGTCGACATGGGTTTCGAAGAATCCGTCAACAAGATCCTCGACGCACTCCCGTCTCCAACGAAAAGCCAGACACCGAAGAAGCCGAGAATCCACTCGCAATGAGCCAAGCCCCCGGAGGCCGTGCCAAATATCGCCAAACAATGATGTACACGGCCACGATGCCTATAGCGGTCGAGCGTATTGCGCGCAAGTACTTGCGCCGCCCCGCAATCATCACAATCGGTAGCGCCGGTGAAGCCGTTGACACGGTCGAGCAGCGCGTCGAGATGATCCCCGGCGAGGACAAGCGCAAGAAGCGTCTTGCAGAAATCCTCAACTCAGGCGAATTCCGGCCACCGATCATCGTGTTCGTCAACATCAAGCGAAATTGTGATGCCATCGCGCGCGATATCAAACACATGGGCTTTTCATCGGTCACATTGCATGGTTCCAAAACACAGGAACAGCGTGAAGCCGCCCTTGCCTCCGTGCGAAATGGTTCCACAGATGTACTGGTCGCTACTGACCTTGCTGGTCGTGGTATCGATGTTCCCGACGTCTCGCTCGTCGTCAACTTCAACATGGCTACCTCTATTGAGAGCTACACTCACCGTATCGGTCGTACTGGTCGTGCCGGGAAGAGTGGTGTCGCTATCACGTTCCTGGGTAGCGAGGATTCGGATGTCATGTATGATCTGAAGCAGATGCTCATGAAGTCGCCTATCTCGCGTGTGCCTGAGGAACTGCGCAAGCACGAAGCGGCGCAGTCCAAGTCCACACGTGGACAGGGAAAGAAGATCGAAGACAGTTCTGGGTTTGGTGGCAAAGGTGGCTGGGCGTGATGACCATCAATGTATCATTTTTTCAATCTATACCATTTTACGATTTCTTGAATGGAGTTCAGGGCTTGGCCATGCTGACTTTTCAACGCAAATCACGATGCATGATCTTTGTAGACCTTGAACAGAGTGGTAAAACTGTATTATGAACAGCTATGTTTATTTTGCTTTTCAGCTAGATGGAAGCTAGGCGCAAGAGAGAGAGTAGAGTTGGTAAACACAATCACCAGTACTAAAAGACACAGCCCGCGTGCCGGAATGCTAAGAAAAATCCCGAAACGATACCGCCCATAAAAAAAGTCCTTACAGCTTGCTCTGGAGGTACTGGTTCTTGGAGAGCCAGTTCTCCACATCCTCGCGATCGCGCTTTAGCCAGTTGACCTTGGCGCGGATTGCGTCGAGGCTCTGCTCAACAGCCCGGTCGTAGCCCTGGAGAGAGAGAACAATTAGCAATTTTGAAACATGAGAGACAAAGGGAGAACACAATGTTTTTGTACATCAGGCCGAAAATTTGGGGTCTTACCTTGGTATCCTTGGCGGCGAAGAAGTCCGTGACATCCTTAAGCTGAGCCTCAGTACAGAAACTGGAGGTAGTCAGCTGAACAACGGTGCCCAGCATGCCGAGGGAGGGAGGAAGACGCTTGAAGATTTCATCCCAGTTCTCCTTAAGCCAGGCCCAACGAGCCTCGATACCTGCGGGGTGGTTGCGCAAACCGCCAAGGGGCATGTAGATGTCCTGGTTTTTGACCTCATCGCTCGTGGCGAGGCCGAGAGTGCGCTTGATGAGCTCAGGGTTCTCCGCGGTACCGAGGCAGCGAAGAGCAGTGGTCTTCTCATCCGAGGTTGGGGCATTGCGGAAACGGTCGTAAACGACCTCGTACTCCTTGAGGCCACCGTGCTTGAGCACAATGGCGAAGACACTGCCGCGGATGTTGGGGTGGATAGCGGCGATGTCGCCAGCGGCGAAGCGGGCGAACATGTCCTGGGCAGCCTTAATGACGACGGGGTCCTCGGCCATACCGGCGGACCCGAACATGAGGGCCTTGAACTGCTGCAAGATATGACCGTCGTTCTCGGAGAAGTCCCAGCCGAGCTCGTGAGCCTTGGCGCTTACCAGCGAGCGCTGGAAGGCCTTGAGAGCAGCCTTGCTCTGATCATTCTCGAAGATCCAGGCGGCGCGGAGAGTACCGATACGAGTGAGAATCTCATTCCATACAATAAACTCGGACTCGGTGTCCAGGCCCTGTAGCAAGGACAGCAGACCAGAGGTCTTCTGGTAGCCGGAGGCGGCAAGAGCACCAGAGTCGGCAATCATACCGGCGCGATCCTCGACGGACAAAAGCCCATCACGAGCGGCCTTACCGAGCTTGGAAAGGCGCTCGGGGAGTAGGAGGTACGGTAGATGGCGGAGTGATCAGCGTTGAGCTTGTAGAAGTCCAGATCGGGGACCTTGAATTCCTTCTCACGCTCCGACAGCATGGTGTTCTCATCAACACCGTCCTTGGTACGAAGACCAAGCATGCAGGGGTAGATGACCTTGTCTTCCTCGGGCTTCACGTCACCAGTGCGCAGGAAGCGGTTCTGCTTTACCCTGATGGAAGAAGAGGCAGGGTTCTCAGTCACACTGATGACAGGGAAACCGACATTCTTTGTCCAGACATCCATGACCTCCTGGACAGGTTTGCCACTAGCATCAGCCAGCGCAGACCACAGATCACCGGTCTCAGTGTTGCCATAGGCGTGCTTCTTGATGTAGTTGCGGACACCCTGGAGGAAGACATCCTCGCCGAGGTACTTAGAGATCATGCGGAGGACCGAAGAGCCCTTTGAGTAGGAAATAGCATCGAAAATCTGGTTGATCTCGTCGGCGCGCTTGACAGGAACCTCAATGGGGTGACTGCTACGCAGCGAGTCGAGAGAAAGAGCACTCTGTAGGTTGTCGATGACGTAAGTCTGCCAGACCTTCCACTCAGGATAGAACTCATTGCAAGAGTACCAGGACATCCAAGTAGCGAAGCCCTCGTTGAGCCAAAGGCCGTCCCAGAAGTCCATGGTAACCAAGTTACCGAACCACTGGTGAGCCAACTCGTGCTGCACAGTCTCCGCGATGCGCTCCTTGCGCGAAGCACCGCTGGTCTTCTCGTCCAGCAGGACGTCGACAATACGGTAGGTAATCAAGCCCCAGTTCTCCATGGCTCCTGCGCTGAAGTCGGGCACTGCCACCATGTCCATCTTCGGCAGAGGGAACTCGCTGTCAAAGGCTTTCTCGTAGAATGCGAGGGTCCTCGCAGCAAGCTCCAGGGAGAAACGACCATGCTCGATATCTTGATCAGGCGTAGCGTAGACACGGATGGGCACGCGGAAGTTCTTGGTCTCAATGTAGTTGAGGTGACCAACGATGAAAGCAACAAGATATGTGGACATGTCAGGCGAAGTGCTGAACTTGACGGCCTTCTTCGATCCTCCCTGGACATCTGTCTCTGATTCAACGTCCATGTTGCTTAAGCAGGTCATGCTCTTATCGGCCACTAAAGTGACGGTGAACTTGGCCTTGAGAGCGGGCTCGTCAAAGCAAGGGAAAGCGCGACGGCAGTCGGTAGGCTCCATCTGGGTCGAAGCAATATACTTGGTCTCGCCATTGACCTTGTATGAGGAACGATAGAATCCAGCCATGTTGTCGTTCAGAATACCGGTGAAGGTAAGCTTCAGCTGGGCGTCCGAGCCAGCGGAAATGGCCTGGTTGAATTTGATGGTAGCGACCTGGTTGTCCTCGTTCATCGAGATGGCGGGCTTGGATTCCACCACCGCACCCTTCGAAGAGACAACGGCGCTGTGGATTTTGATTTGATTGGAGTTGAGGGAGATGAAGTCGGTGTCCTCGTTGACCTGGAGGCTGTGTGCATGGATCAGTATTGCATCCAACGTAGGTATACTTAATTCCACGGGTGACATACTCAATGACAACAGTTCCATCGTAGGTAAACTTCTCAAAGTTCGGCTCGAGTGTCAAGTCGTAATGCACCGGCTTGACATTGGTAGGCAGGACCTCACGGCCCTGGACATTGGTCGAGCCGGAGACCTCGCCGCGTCGTGAGCCACACATTCTGCGGTAGGAGCAGTATCGCTTGGAAGTTTGAAAGAGGGAATAACGAGGACGAGGGCGAATAGTCGATCTGGCAGGAGCTGAACGAGGGGCGGAGAGAAAGAGGGGGAGGGGAGATCTGGCGGAGAGAAGCGGTGGCTTTGCTTGAAGCAACGCGCGCGTGGAGAAGCGTCGCATCGGGAATCAACGAACCCCGATGGAGGAAAATCACAGACAAAGGAAAAGACAAGTAGCGGCCCAGAAACGCCCGAATATATTACAAATGATGTACAATTGCTCAAACAATCCTGGAGCGCGCCAACACAGGAGAACAATCGTAAAGGAAGAATCGATGGCAGAAAATGGCTCCGGCTCCCCCGGCGGTGAGTCGGGGCTAACTTGTTTTCTTCAATTTTTTTCCTCTTTTCCTCTTCTTCACCTCACGCAAGTCAAGCAGCGCATGCCCCGATTCTTCTACGGTAGACGACTGTGGAGTAGTTTATAGCTGCTCCTTCTTGCAAGACTATGCACCAGCAAGTTTGAGGGGTCCATGACAACTTTTGTCCGTGGATGGGCTTCCATAAAGCGTTGGGACATTCCTTGGTGAAAAGTGATCAATTGACTTCTTTTGAGAATAGTTCTAGCCTCGGTTTATGAATTAAGTTCGATTATATATAGAAAAATTCAAAGTCTGATTATCAGTTTAGCAAATTGTTTTCCACCTCACTTGAGTCAACTATCGATTCATCCCACGCCGTATGTATATCCGTCGTTCGGCTTCTATACTAGAACAATGATCAAGAAATAGATGTAAGCTTAAACAAAAAGAACTTCGTTGGGGAAGCCGCTAGAAAATGAATGCCCTAGGATTTCTTCGACGCTGGTATTCGTTTCAACACACTGCGCGACCACCCGTCCTCCTCCACGAAGGACTCCTTAATTAGTATATATCCGCCCAAACGAGGCAGCACGACAGCCCAAACAAGATAATAAATGGCCAAGAGCAAAGACTCCCAGTGCCACCACACAATGGAGATAGTACAGTGCGTCTCGAAACTGGCGCACCCTCCCTACACTCTTCGAGAGATTCTCTAGACCCACCACTAAGAGACACTAGTCTATTTTGGGAGTGTTCCGGAGTACCCCTGTCGATGTACCGTGTATCGCTTCTTACATAGATTACACATTAATTACAAGAATGTATTCGCTTGTAAATTCAATTGATCTGCCACCTCTATACCCCTCCTCCAAAATAGACTTCCTCCAGAGGCGCATCTTAGCAATCAATCATAAGTGGTCGAACCAAAGATAGCTCCAAATCTAGCTCCTTCCAAGCATGAGCTTATCTACGACATGATCCACAGTGGGGAACTATCTGTATCGGAGATAGCAGAGGCTGCTGGATACAATAAGAGTACGATACGAAGAATCTCTTCTAATATACGGATGTTTGGCAGCGTCAAAGCACCGCCTAATAAAGGTAGACGACCCCGTAATATCACTCTAGTTATGCTCGAGGCGTTATGCGAGCACCTGCTCGAAAAATCCACCTTGTACCTCGAGGAGATAGCGGTTTTTCTATGGGACGAATTCGCTCTTCTCGCGACGAAATCGAGCATTAGTCGTGCCCTTAGGTCCGAAGGCTAGTCAAAAAAGACTTCCCGCATTAAGGCCCGAGAGCGTAACCTAGAGCTCCGTGACAATACTTTTACTATATCTCAGACTTCTAGTCTTATTACCTTATCTATGTGGATAAGTCTGGATATAATAAAAGGATAGGCTTTAGGCGAACGGGTTAGTCACCGCTAGGTATAGCGCCGGTTTAAGTGTCTAATTTCTATCGTGATTAGCGATATCAGATATTACCTATATATACCTAAGATAGTATTGTTCTGTCTCGAGTGTTCTAGGGCTTAACTGATACACCTATCTTTAAGGATTTTATTAAGTAGCTTCTGTAGTATTATAGGAAGTGGCCAGAGCCGAAGTCTGTGTTACTTATAGACAATATATCCTTTTACCACTTAAACCGAATAAAACAGATATACTTAGAAGTTAGGGTAAAATTAGTATACTTACCTCTATATTTACCAGACTTAAATCCTATCGAGGAGTTCTTTGCTGAGTTGAAAGCCTTTATTCGGCGAAATTAGCAGTCCTATAAAGGTAATCCTAACTAAGAATTTGATACCTTCCTCGAATAGTATATTAATGTCGTCGGCGCGAGGGGGAAAAGCGCAGAGGGCCATTTCCGGCACGCCGGCGTGACTATAGAGGAGATATAGTATAGCTACAGCAGGATTCGAGATCAATCTCACCAGTTGGCTCAGAACGGGTTTTCCTAAGGAGTTATTAGGAAATCGTGATATATTTAGATGAAGAATGAAGACTCTCATGTAGATTGTCCCTAGTACACATTATACCTTCGTTTCTTACGAGCATGTGCTATCCGTCTGTCGGTACTTGCAGTCTCTCGAAAAACCCTGACCATGAATATGCTCAACACCAGCCACCAGAGTCTGCTAGCCTGAATCATACCGGCAAGCTGTTTCGCGCGCCCTATATGAAGTCCGTGATGATCGGAAAATTACTTTATAAAATTACACCACTACGCTAAATTGTACAAGTCTATTAATATAGCCGTAGTCTGGACATACTGAATACGGAGTATATTGACGGAGTATAATGGTCTAGTGACTGTCGAAAGGACTTAAGAAACCCGCCTCATGCTAGTCTTCTGCATATCTGCCCAGGGCGCACATCGACTCTGACTGTATTCTTGCATCCACATTCTAGCATAAGCGAGTCTTGATAGACGCAGAGTGAACTCTGATGAACATCTTACAAATAGCATCTACAGTACAATCATCTACAATTCTCTACAAAATAAGAGATAGTAAATCATTCCACTCCAGAGAGCTTTCTCAGTTGTACAAAATTACCATTCCAATCTTCTCACCAGCCGTAGCCCAGTCTAGTAGCGGTCAAGCCCGTCGACCCAATTCAGCACCGACAAGTCGTTCGCCATCGCGTTTCAATGGCCAATGCACATTTCCGTCTCCACCAACCAAACCCCCCACCAGAGCAACTCTCTTCATTTGTCCATTTCCTCCAGCACGAGAACACACCCAGTTCTTCCTGCCCACTCGTACTCATCCACGCATGGTCTGTCGCCCCTCTGCCAAGCTCCACTGGGTGCTGTTGTCCCCGCGCTGACCTGGCCACCCTGGGCTCCGAGCGAGGCCCCGCTGGTGTTCGAAATAGCGAACCCGCCAGCCTGGCGAAAGGTGAAGATCGCAGGGTCTGGGTCTCGCAGGGTCTGGGTCTGGGTCTCGGTAATGTGATTTGCTTCGAATTGAATTTATTTGGGTTGGGCTTTGGCTTTGAGATTGCCTCGTCGTTGGGTTGGGCGGCCGTGTCGTTAAGTCTCACGAACGTGTTTGGACCTGGACAATCCTCCTGGAGGAGCAACTTGCAGGACCTTGGGATGAGGATCTACAAGTCCATCCTCTCATGGTCTACGGTACGGCCAGCCAGGCCCGGGCCTGGCGCCTCTTCGCCTCACGCCGCGATGTCCTGACAGCCAGTCCGCGCGCGGGGCACGCGTTTCACCATGGGATTTCCCGCAGATCGCTCGATCCGGTAGAAGGCCTAGTGATCTGGCTCGGGAGTTCACCACTCAATCAACAGCACGGAGGACAGCATTATTGTTCTCTGGCCCTGGCCGGATGAGATCCCGGCTTTTGATTTAGCTCTTCCGATAGCCAGTCATCCCAATGCCTCTGGAGATCCACCGTCCATTTTTCCGCCCTCCACGGGCATCTTTCCTTATGCATGACCGCCTCGAGGACCAGTGCAGGGCCAGGCCAGGGTCCCGCATTGCTGTAACTAACTGCTGGGGCCCGGTTAGGCTGGGGGCTTGCCTTTCTCGGACGACTGCGGCCAGCGCGCACGGCGATTCGGGTGATTAAGTGGCGGGTTTTTCTTTGGGCAGACAGTGGATTACCCTGAGGAATGGTATTACTGTCTTGACCAGCAAAGCTACGACTAGCTTCGTTGGTGAGCTAAGCTGTCTCTTTTTTTTGACTAGCTACTGGTGACTGGGTTTCTTTTCTTGGAACTGGAGACTTTTCCCCTTTTCTTCCTTTTGCGGTGTCGTGACTGGTGTGTCATAGGTGCGGTTTCTTATACTCCTCTCTGCTTCACCGTGTATATTCATTACTTGCTTCGACGTGCAGGGTTCCCTTTCTTCTTTCTTCTACCCATATTCTTGCAAACGCCTCTTTCCACCTTTATATTCTAAGCCGATTTCTTCTGCGTACTGGCTTGACTCCTCTCCCAATTATCTTCTCGACATGCCCGTCTCCCATCGGACCCTGACCGTCTCGCATCTCCCCACCTCCACCTCGTTCTTCCTTTCCTGCCTTCAGCCTCTGGGATACCAGTTTATCGGCCGACATGATGACTATATTGGCTTTGGACAAAAGCAGGGAGAACCGGCGGATTTCTGGATTACGGAGCAGAAGCCTAGGTATGTGAGCCCGTTGATTTTGGGATTGTGGGGCGCGGCCCGTCTGGAGTATATAGCCTGCTAACATCAACCCTACAGCGTTCTCCTCAGCGCGGCGCATGTAGCGTTTCCCGCGCCATCCAAAGATGCCGTCACCGCATTCTTCCACCAGGCTATTCAAGCCGGCGGCAAGTTCCACGGCGAGCCACGCACTCGCGACTCAGTGACCGGATATCACAGCGCCGCCGTTATCGACTTTGACGGGAGTAGCATCGAGGCCGTCTACCGTCCCGGCGGCTCCGTCGTGGCATCAGAAGCTGCAGGTCCAATAATAGCCCTGCTGGAGAATCGCACCGTGGTCTCCAAGGCTGTCAGCGTCGCGGCCCCAAAGTCAGAAGCGGCTAAGTCGCGTACAATACCAAAAGCACCGACCACCATCGAAAAGGCCGCGCCTGCTCCGACTGTGATATCGCAAAAGTCCAGTGGCTCGGCCCTCGCCTATGGTCCACCGCCGGTCCAGAAGGTCGACGATGGTAGCAAAGCGGCCAAAACCATTATTAGCACGCTCATTCACGCCGCCGCCGGTGCTGCCGTGGCCTATGCTATTGTGAAAGGCGAGTCGCAATCGACCACCTCTGAAAGCAAAGATGCAGCCCCATCCCAGTATCAGCCACAGCAGTTTCAGCAACAATACACACAGGAACTCCCACAATTGATGGCTGCACCCTCGCTAGTCTCAGAGGCACGATCTCTAGCACAACCTATTCTCCGCGCTATCGAAGCCCCTCCCGCTCCCACTCGCAGCGTCTACATCTCGGCCTCTGCTGCCCGCTCCTCGATGTCGCGGAGCATCATGTCCAAGAACCCGCGCGCTAGCACCATCTACGAGGCTACCGAGTACTACCAAGATGAACACGGTCGTCGCGCTTCGGACGATAGCAGCGTTTTTTCTATCCCGGAGGACCTGCCACTCCGCGCGATCTAGTACCCACCCGCCAACGCCGCGCAGCAACTCTACCCATGCAACCCCAGCACCTTCATCAGCAGCTACGCGGCCGACAAGCCGCGCGCTAGCAGCGTGCACTCCGCATCAACCATCAAGGCATCGGCTACCTAGCGCCGCCACAGTACCGACGATGGATACTCTGAACACAGCCGCACCGTGTACCGCGCATCATCCTCGCACAGCGTCCACACCGTAAAATCCCATGCCCCATCCAAAGTCCACCAACCCGCTGGCAGCGCCGCCCCTTCAACCCGCTCAGCCCGGAACATCCCCTTACCCGCCAGCTCATCCGGGTCCATCTACAGCGCCATGCCCAGCCAATCCGGGAAATCCATCGTCTCCGCACGCAACATCCCCCTGCCCGCTGGATCCTCCGCAGACTCCTTCTACGGCCCTGCACCCAGCCACGCGCCTAAATCGCACGTCTCGGCTCGCCACGTGCTCCTCCCCGAGAGCGTGATTGACGTCGATGTCGACTCGAACGTTACCCCTGATGACTCGATCAGTCAGGTTGGGGGTAGTCGTTCGGGTCGCTCGAGTCATTCGCATCACTCGCATCATTCGAGGCACTCGAAGCATTCGCGTTCGCATTCTAAGGCGTCGAGGCATTCGTCGAAGTCGAGGATGGAGGAGCCGGTCAGACCGGCGGATAGTGTGAGTCAGGTTTCGAGGTCTTCGCAGAGGACTTTTAAGGCGATTGGGTCGAGTAAGATTGGGTCGAAGGCTGGGATTGGCTCGAAGGCTGGGAGTCGGAGGGGTAGTGAGGTTGTGGTTTGAGTGATGGGGTGCATGCTTGCATTTCTGATTATTGCATATCTGGATGTGTCTTCTTCTTTTTCTTCTTTTTATCGTTCCTTTTCTTCATTTTCTTCATCTTCTTCCTTGATCGGTTTTTGATTCGTTTTTTTCATTTCGTGCTTCTTGCCATACTCCATGGCATCAAGACTCTTCTTTTTTCTCTCATCCTCCTTCTTCTACTTTGGACACTTGTTACAGATATTCAGCCTACACGACAGATGACGTGGGAAGTTCCCCCCACGCTAATACTTTGCATGGAAATGGAAACCGCATATATAGATCGACACAATTCATTGCATTGAATTTATCAGACTCAATTTAAATTATACGTACATCCCCAGGTATCACATATAAAACAGCCTTGAGCACACTTATCCTTCCAGATCACCCGCAACAGTTCGCTCTAGGTTGAGCTCTAGAGTGAAGCCAATGACTCCACATCCTCTTCCGAAGCATACGTTCTCCCTACCGGACTTCCCTGTGAGCCATCCTCCTCCTCCTACTGTCTCGCTCTCTACCAGACCACTCCGGCCCCCGCGAGACAATCACATGAGGCCGTTCTCTCCCGCTCTCCCTCCTCTGCACCACCATGACGCTCACACTGTCAGACATCTCATCCTCCTCTACCAACTCACGAGGTTCTACATAGGACATCCTCGCATGCTCATGCTCCCTGCGTCTCTCACCTGGTCCATGCCTATGTACCCGAACTCGCGGGTCTACTTGAACCCTCGGATCTACCTCGCCCCCATACACATACTCTCTCTGTCTGTACTGCGGCTCGGCCTCACCCACATACATATAATGCCTCTCTCTGTCCTGCCTCTCCGGCCGCGACCCGTGTGCCCCATACCACCTGGACGGCCCTTCGCCAAGCTCAGGCTGAACGAAAGAACGATAGCGCTCATCCCCAAAATCCCGTCTATCCATATCGAACCCGCCATACGAATCGAAGCCTCCATCAAGATTAATGTTCACGTGTCTCTTCCCCCGTGGCTCCCTCGTGTACAAGTGACTCGGTGCACGGTGATGCGGCTCGCGAGCGTGCCGATAACTCTCCTCGAGTCGATGGCTCTCGGCAATGGTTTGTAGCATCTTGTCTTGTTTCTGCGCTTCGTGTTCCACGGCCATCATTATGCGGCGGGTAGGACCGATGCGGGGGCCTTGAGATGATGAGGTGTGGTCTTCTTTTCGTTGTTGGTGCGGGTCTTGTGTTGTGGTGGTTTGTGTGCCGCGGACGCCCTCTTCCCATTCGGCGAAGATGTCGTCGATGAGGCGCTTTTCTTCGGCGAGGGTCATGGTGCGGGATTGGACGTGGATGCTTGTGGGTTGTGGTGGTTGGTTATCGTAGATTTGTTCCTCGTCGGAGGAGTAGTGCGAATAAGAGGAGGCGGTGGTGGAGTATACTGTTTCGACGGCTGGGCGTGGTGGGTATGTAGGTTTGTGAGTATGGATGCTCTCATATGGACCAGCCGCTGGTTGAGGGATATAATGATCTGGCCTAGCTGATGATGATGGGCCATCGATGTGATCGGCGTCAGAGCTTGTTGGACGACGACTCTCGATGTGGATCTTCGATTTACCACGTTTATCGCGGACGAAGACTTGGCGATTGCTATCGCTGTCTGAGGCTGCGGCTTTGCCTTTTATTTTCTTTCGGACGACGTACATTCGTGGGTCGCGGGGGACTATTTCGGGAGCGGAGTTTGATGGTGTTACGTGGGGACGTGAATGGGCTCCTGGTGGTAGTTGTGGCTTGGAAGGTGGTCTTGTGTGACTCGAGTGGTTATCATGACCTCCAGAGCCATGACGTGGACCGTGACTTGTATGACCAGAGCCTCCGCCTGGGGGATACCCAGGGCCGCTACCACCACCACCACCACCTCCTCCTCCTTCTCCGCCTCCTCCAAGAGGCCTACCAGGACCATACGGACCAAAATCAGACGGAGGAGGTGGTGGCTGTCCACCTCCACCACCAGGTGGCATTGGAGCATGACGTGGAAGATCAGGAGCCCATTGCGTCTTCAGAATGACTTCGATACTCTTCGTCTCGTGACTGAAAAAGCCGATTCTCCGCGTTTTAGAAGATAAGCCGGCCAAATTCAACTCCAAGGATGGATGTTCCTGAGACAGACGCTCATTTTCACGACGCAGCAAGTCATCCACGAGCAACCTCTGAACACTTGTCTTCAACAGGTCTTTGTAATCATCCTGGATTGTACGGCGGAGCTTTGCGCGTTTAGTAGTCTGGGCCAGGACCTTCAGGAATAGCTCCTCGGTTGAAAGAGGCATTTGACTGCAGGTTGCCCATCGCCACGAGGGCTGCGTGGAGGTGGTATTGATGTGGACATATGGTGGTTTTCCTTTGGTAAATGTCCATCCCAAGTACAGGGATGTTAATCTGTGGAGATCGGGGAAGATGAAAGGTCGTCGATCTGGATAGACCTGTTGGTGGCCATGCTCGGATCGAGTATGATGATTTCCATTCGGACCACGAATTGTTTTCCAAAGTCCACGATTGATGTTAACGATTTCATCAAGAACTCTCTCCGCCAATGATTTAAAAAGGTCCAGAACCTTCGATTCAATCGCCTCGGAACGATTGTCGTCACTGCAGGTCAAAGTCAGTCAAAGATTCATCATTCATCCAAGGACGAACATCATCATGATGGAAACTTACATTGCTGTTTTGAAGACTGTCAGGGCAAGGTTCAGCTCTAACTTGTGACTCTCGATATCTCTCTCCATTTTATCAATATGCAATTCTGTCAGACTAAACTTTTGCCGGGCGTCATCATTGAGTTCAATCTTGTCCCGTCCTCGTTGCATAGGCTCGATATCGTTCGTCGCATATTGAATCTTGGTATTGATCTCCTTGAATCGATTGGTTGCACGTTCAAATGCATCCGCCAAGCTGCGAAAACGATTCGTATTCGAGACGTTTTGTTCTGGAACCCTGGCGCTTCCATCCGGAGGTTGACCAGGCTGAATGTCTCCTCTTGTGCCTTCGCCAGAGGCATTTCCCGTCGTTGTTCCCTCATTCGATGGACCACGACTTCCAATATTTGTTCCATCCTCCTGAGCGCGAAATTCTCTGTCGATTGTGATATTCTCCTTTGCGGCTAACCTTACCAGCAGATCGCGAATATTGCTCAAAATCTGAGACGTGGCGCGAATCCTGTCTTCAACATCCCTCAACCTCTCAGCAACTGTCGCAACGCGAGCAGTGAAGTTCTGGATATTATCGGTGAGAGTCGTGGCAGTATCAACGGTGAGATTAAGGGTTGCTGATCTGGTCAGTAACTATATGAAGCCGGACTCATTGGGGAGAAGGGTCAAAAGATTACCAATTATGGTGTTAAACCCGTTGACATTCCCAGTGACCACTCCTCCATTGTTTCGTATGTTACCGTTATTCACATTTCCCTGGTTGACATTTGACTTGCCTTTGGACGAGCTGGCGGGGGTGTGGGGAGGGGTCGGCGGGTCTGCCATGCGATCGATCTCGGTTGGACCCGAGGGAGGAAGCGTTGACAGGATCCGCTTTCTCCTCGTCCATCAAGATCTATTGACGCTCAAGAAGCAAGCTATCCTCGACTGAAAGCTCATACAGAGGTATGAAGACGCCATCGTGGTCGACAGTCAACTGTGATGGATCGTCTCGAGTCCATGCGAGTCGCGACTGAGGGCCCTGAGGCTCAGCTGGAACCACTGGGAAAACAAAAGAACGCACGCGCCGTCATCGCCGGCAGTTCCCTCGTTGCTTGTGGCCGATCACTCCCCGATAGACACCCCGGGCGCAGGGCGTTCTTCCCGCATTGCCCATCACCGTGCAGCTGACCGTAAGCCCCGGCGCCACCAAGCCAGGGCGCCTATCAATCCTCGCTGATTCCTTCCTGCGGGAGCCACACGGTTATCCTGCAGATACGTGCGTCGCTAATGGCACCTTGGCATTGGTTGAATAGGGACTCGCTGAGGATGAGGGGATGTTTGTGGACTGAGGTGCATACTCCCACGCGATTTGGATGGGGTGGCAGCCTATTGTGGATCTTATACACATGTCGGCTGCAGCTGCTGATAAAAAAGCCTTGCGAGGAAGTGCATAATGGTGTGCGTCAGTATTTCAGTGCTGACTGCGGCTGAGACTGCCTTGAGGCTTGAAAGAGGGGAAAGTTATCAATCCAGCTCTATTAGAGCCCGCTTGACCCCTCTTCTGGATGTAAGAATTCAGCGACTGCGTAGCTTTTGCTGCAATCATTGCTCTTAACTTTGGCCATCTACCAATACGAGTCAATATGACTGATTCCAATGCTTCAAGCTCTACGGAGCCTATCAGAGAAGGCCTCGCGGATATACTCTACGAACCAAAGGAAGGTGCCAAAGTAGAGTAAGTTGCTCGAGAGTCGCTGTTCAGAATCTAGTTGACCACTATTGTAGTATCGTTTTCGTGCATGGTCTTTCTGGAGATAGAGTCGACACATGTAAGTGATTGGCTACACGTATCATAACCCACAAATACTAGAGCAACTTTGCTCTGTACCAATCCTTCCCAGTACAAGCACCTTCTAATCAAATTCGAGTAAGTTAGGGACGTACAAGAAGGGGGAAATCTCCCAGTTCTGGCCCAAGACTCTCCTGCCCACGGATTGTCCCACGGCACGAATCATGTCGTTTGGATATAATTCCGACTTTGCATACTTCTTCCCACCCGCCAATGCAAAGGGAATCTCAAAGGATTTGACAATCGACAACTACTCGTCATCTTTACTGCATGGTCTCATCACGCAGCGAGGCAAGACTAACACTGTAAGTATTAGCATACATGCCAAACCAACCCTATGCTAACCAGCCCCATCACCCCTAGACCGATCGTCCGATCATCTTCGTCGCACACAGTCTAGGCGGCCTGGTAGTTGCCAATGCCCTCTCCCGACCCCACGGCACCGACGAAGCCGCCAAAGAGATCGCCGGCAGAACAATCGGTACCCTCTTCCTCGGCACTCCATTCCACGGGTCCTCCAAAGCGAAATATGGTAAATTCGCGGCAGATATATTGTCCTACTTCAAGACGACAGCCAGTCAAAACATCGCAGATCTGACCGAACGCTCCGCCAAGCTAGTCAGTATCAACGACTCATTCGCAAAGTTCTTGAAAGAGCGAGATCGTTCGAGGACCAAGCCTTTCCTTGAAGTGGCCTGTTTCTTCGAAGATAAGAACCTGACTAAAGGACTTGGGAAGATCGTGACCAAGGAGTCGGCGAGCTGGCTGGGAGTGGATGCTCTGTCGATTTCGAAGGATCATATTGCCATGGTCAAGTTCCGTGATGAGGAGAATCCGGGGTATCAGAATGTTATCGGGAAGTTGTGTCAGTGGATAAAGGATATTGATAAGCCTATGAGTTCGAAGGGTGGACGAGTTGGGGGATTGAATGCACAGGTTTGTTTTGCTTTTTGGTACATTTCACTAAACCGGTGTTTGATTACTGACTGGAGAGTAGGGCATTGTTGTGAATCAGGGAAATGTCGATAATCGCGGTATTACTAACCACGGGGGGGATTGTTTCGGGTAATATTCATAGCTCGTATGAGCATGGTGTCAAGCTTGTGGGGAGTGTCGCCAAGGTAATATACATGTATGAAGAGCATTGGCAATTACTAACAGCTTATAGCATTACAATGGTGTCAAGCCTCCAAAAGAAGAAGACAGTAATTGATCACCGTTCTCATGCTCTGAGGATGTGGTCTCTGTTCGTGCCCGTGATGTTTTGATGGCAGCTACGTTCAGTCGATATGCATGAGATTTGGATGCGAAAGTGGCTGAGTCTAAATTGAGGTACTTTGAGCAAAACGAAGATGTTGCTTTCATACCTTTAAAGGTCGCAAAATTCATACACAACTGGTGTGGGTGGTTCATCAAATAAGGTGGAGATATCCAAGTACGGGGCCCCGAATTCTGATATCAAGACTGATCCACGTCAAAACCACCAACTGAATAACCTCAGACTAGAACCAATACGATATCAATGAATACAATAAGGGATGAATAAATGCCAAAAAAAAATCACCGAAGGGCCCCAAACCCCCTGCGCATCTCTTCCCTCTAGGGAGGGCTCATGTCTACGTGAGTCAAGTAGTATCACACACCTCGTCAACCTGGAAAGCTCACCAGGGGTTCGAACCCACGCTTTCCGAGGAAGACACTGCAACAAGGTGTACCTTGATGCACCCCATGGAGAAGCGTTACCACTTGAACACGGGTGGTTCTGGGTGCTTGGAGATGACTGGACCTGACATAAGGGCTGTCCCCTGAGCGCTTTTAGGAAGGTACCTGCCTTTTCTGGATATTCGATACCAAACACTTCTGGACACTCTAAATTTGCTACATGAGGCTATTCAGACCATCCATGCTGTCTCCTTCCTGCCCCAACGGCCATCCATCGGTCTTCTGACTTTTGGCGCTTCACGTGCTTCCACTTGAACCACACCTCGTTTTTTCTTATGCCTTTTTGTCAATAATGTCACTTCCATCAAGAGAATTAATCTTCTTGGCCTCTGATACACTCTCAATATACACCCCTCCGTCAGCATTCCCCGTACATTCAAGCGTTTCGCCGGTCTGATGGTCCAATTGCTGCACCGCCTGTCCATTCGTTCCACCAACTTCCAAGAGAAGCTGCCCAAGGCCATCAAGAACCCTATCACCGATCACCTGCCCCCGAACTGCCGCAAGGTGACTATGAGTTTCGAGGCCCCCGTTGTCCGCACCAAGGACTACATCGAGTCCCTGGGCCCCCGCGAGAGTATCGCCATCTTCGTTGGTGCCATGGCCAAGGGTCACGATGACTTTGCCGACTCCTTCAAGGACGATACCATTTCCATCAGCAACTACAGTCTCAGTGCCAGTGTGGCTTGCAGCAAGTTCTGCCACGCCGCCGAGGAGGTGTGGGATATTCTGTGAGCGAGGCTATCGAGGAGAATTCAAATCGCGCAGCGTTACGCGCGCGTCCCTCGAGCCTGCCGTTCGCAGATTTTTCCGGCATCATCTCCGCGTGCCCATGACAGCCACGAATTTCCTTTGCGATGGGGACTAGACCACGGGCGGGTTCTGTTGAGTTGAGTGTTTCGTGATTTTTCTTGACTTGGACCGACTGGCCGACGGGGTGGTCCCGACTCTGGGGGAAGCAATTTTCGACAGAATGCGATAACGTATTCCACCACCTTCCCGCCCACACCACCTTCCCGCCCACCCACCCACCTACTTCTATATTTATGAAGCAATTAAATAACCACAACGCCTTTATATTCAATTTAAACCTTCTCTGTACAGAAATTAGCCCTATGGCCAGGCCTTCTGCATACGCTGCATGCATATTGACGTCTGTTGGTCTGACTATTGGTGGTTAAAGCCTTCCGGGTGGGCATTGTAGAGACCACCCCGTCATCTTCTATATTGCTTAATAGACCAATGCCTTGCTCATGGGCTTCAGATATAGCCATACCTTCAGCGCGTTCTATCTGCCGTTTGGATAGAGATCTTTTCTGTATTTGCTTCTTGTTCGCAGCGCGTAGATCTCTGACTTCCTTCTCTAATAGAAGCATACTTTGCATTACCGTTTCGCATGCTTTATATGCTTGATTGATAATGTCTTTGGTAGGTGTTGGTGGGCTTTCCGACCGATATTTCAATAGCTTCTTAGCCGATTTAGCATGCTTCGATAGCTGGGTAATATTCCTTGGTGTCTCAGGGCAATAATTGCTTGATTTGCTAGTAGGTCGTTCCGCATTTGGTGTAGGTGACCGAATTAGAACATTAAGCTTCGATAGCACTGGTTCTAGATCTAACGGCACAATACCAGTCGCTTTGAAGGCATTCACAATAGTATTAACCTGGAAGGTATCCTGGCGCGCGCGTGGGTATGCCGTAAGAAAATCAAGCTTGTCAATAAGGTTGATTCCTAGACGCATTTGCTGGTCGACTAAGCGACTGTATGATCGCTTTAGAACAGCGAAACAGCCAACATCTAGTGGCTGTAATAGATGCGAGCTATGCGCAGGCATACAAAGAGGTATGATATCGTTCTTCGTGCATAGTTGATCAAATTCGGGCGTAAGGTGGCTGCCATGACCATCGAGAATTAATAGCCTGTATCGCCCACATCGCCGGCCATTTGTTAAAGGAATAAATAGCTTTTCAAGCCATCGAAGACCAATTGCATCAGTAGTCCACCCATTGTCGCTGACCTCGATACGCCAGTCACCAGGGACATCGGCACAGAACCAGGATTCGATAAAACGTTTGCCTTTAAATATAATCATCGGCGGTAAAGACCAGCCCGTAGCATTAACTGTTTCGATTGTAGTCACCCATTCGCGATTGCCTGGCTGCAGAACAAATCTACGGCCATAGTATTCAGCTCTGGTGACTACCTTTGCGGTAGAAACAAGGCCCATTGCGAAGCCTGTTTCGTCAAAGTTATAGATATCATCAGGTTGGATACCATAGCGCGAAATAGTCTCTTGCAATAGGCGAAACCATGCACGTATAATCCGGGGATCTTCTTGTTCCGCACGTCGATAGTCATACCGACGCGAGAAGCGTGATTGAATGGCCGGTGTCCGGCTAATATATCGAGTAACCCAATTTAGGCCAATTGCATCAACACCGCGGGCTGCAAGCAATAAGTTGGCCATATCTTCCACCGTAGAGTGCCTAGGGGCTGCGCCGCGAGCATCCATAGAGAGGATCCACTGGGTAAGCGTATCCTCTTCTGTTTGGGTCATTTTATAGGATGTTGCGCGTCTGGTTGACCGAAATGAGTGGCCTGCGAGGCGGTCGCGTAGCGTGGAACGCGGTACGTCATATGTCTGCGCAGCAGCCCTAATAGACGGAATTGATTTTTTCTGAATAGCTTGTATTGCAAGCTCGATCCTACCCTCTTGGTGGAGAGATTCTTGCTTGGTTTTAGAACGAATTGGTGGCATTGTAGGTGATCAAAGTGGTTGGGGATACGCGGAGACGCGAAATTTGGTTGGGTGGGCGGGAAGGTGGTGTGGGCGGGAAGGTGGTGGAATACGTTATTGACGATATTGAAACAAGATACGCCTCTACTTTTTGTTTTGTGATTTTCTGCACTTGCTGGCTGTCGTCCCTCTTCCTCTTCTCTTGATTATATGTTTTCTTCTCTACCTTGTGTTTTTTTTTATCAACCTCTTGATAACCCCGTGAAGAATATTCATGACGGAACGGCCTAGCCAGCTATGTCGCCTTAGTACCTTCAAAAGCATTTGTAAAATTATGCGGTGGTTTGATCTTGGTATGACCAGCTACCGCTACCCAGCCGGTAACAATAATAAACAGCATGATAATCAACTTCACGACGCCTAGGAAATTGAAAAGACGAATGCCCCATTTGAGCGAAGTCGCATGAATGAGGAATGCGGTCGTAAGACATGCAAGGCCAATGCCTCGCTGATTCCATCGACCAGGTTCGATCTTACCGGCATTGAGAATATACTTGCCAAAGACGACGCTATTGCTGGCAGCCCAGCCTAGCAGGAAGGCGTACGCGGCGAACATGGCCGTGGCTAGGAGTCTAGGTTTCCTGAAAACATATTCGAGATAATTCTTCTCGCGTCTGTTCCCAAAGAGATGAATTAAACGGCTTTGTATGCGAGCTTGAGTCCAGGACTTACTTAGGAATGGCTGTCCCCCATTCAAGGTAAACTGCTGTACCGGCCATCGCGATGGCAGTACCAATCACCCACAAGAATAGAGATAACCCGACACTGCCTGTCAGCTGCAAAATGGTGCTCGGCGTCGCAAAAATGCCAGTTCCAACGACACGATTGAAGATCAGCATGGATGCGCTGATCACCCCGATCTGCCGGCGACTGTCTGGCGATGCATCGAACACATTTCCTTCGTCTAGGCCAGGTAAATTAGTGTCCACAGTGAGTCCACAGCACAACATGATTAATACTGACATAATCCAGAAATTCCATCAGCAGGTTTTGGCTCATTTCCAGAAGTTTTCTTCGTCTCCAGCACGGAAGTCTTCTGGGTGCCAGCTTCAAGAGTAGAATCCGAGTCGGCCATCCGTAGAATCTTACGCTTCTGCGTCGCAAAAGAGAAAGTTTGAAGGGCTAAACGAGTTCAAAAAGGTTCGGATCTCTAGATCTCTTATGATAATACCTGGCATATGGTTAGCAACGGCATGTCAAGATGGTGTGCTGCGGCTAAAAATGACACAAAATGCGAAAGGTCTACGCAGATGCTACCTTCGGAAAAGGTCTCTGAAAGCACATTTTTAGCCTAATCTCTCTAGACTCTTGCTCGTTGGGGTATTTCAGGATCGAGGATACCACTTGGAGGAACAATTAGGATCAAAGGACAGCGCGCACGTTAAGCTCGACTCAACTGCAATTGAGTCGATCTGATTACACGACTCGGTGAACAAGTTCGTAAAGCGATGTCAGCAGCAACTTGAAGCAAATTACTTTGAAGAGAGAAGAAGAGTCATCGCTCTCCTCGACTTTGCCTTGTAAATGCGAAAAAAAATCCAAAAAAAAAAAAAGATCGCTTCCTAGATTCAATATAGTTCGGGAGGCCGAGAATAGCCATGCCCGAGCCTTTTCGGGGAAAGTACAGGATCCCTTCATTTACTGACACCATTTTCTGTTTCCCCTTTACAAAAATGCCGATTGGAATTCAATTTCCGGGATATAGTTCATCGCGACATCTCTGTGCATTCTCAATTCGTTCCCTCAATCCATAATACTACTGAGTCGAGCTCGCCGAGGCCCAGGCCATGCCCAGACTCGGCCAAGTAGATCCCAATGAAACCCTGACACATGGAAACAGAGCACGTCAGTGTCAGCTGTTCTTAGTGATGGCACACGATAGAGTCGTCGTTGACTCAGGATAAACCTCCCCTTAGCCCGGCAGGCGAGGTCTTGTCAATAGATCAGTCCGTCGCTGAAGTTACCCCTCTCACCGAGCTCCCTGGTGTACTTGGTCTAGAAAGAGATTGTTGAATGGTGATATTGGTATCAAGCAGTAAAATTCATTGAGATCATCTAAATATCTGCATTCAACGTGATGAACCGAATAAAGTCCAGGGAGTCCCAAATCACACTCCGCAGGGCCACGCCAAAGAAACCAAGATTAAACTCCTTATCCATAAGCATGAAAACCGAGAGGAACAACAAAGTAGGAGCCATTCTGTAAATCCAGTCCGAAAACGCCAGAGAATGTCAAGAGAAAAAACTAACGAATCAAGGTCCGCGCCTCCCCAGTGCAGGTATATAACGTACTATAAAATTTATGCAAGAAGCGCATCATGGACAGGATTAGGAGCCCATTTCTGGAGGATCAGATAAAAAACTGTTTCAAAGATCTCTTGGATCGACTGGGAACTTTGGGGTAGGCCGAGGCCAGCAGCAGCGCAGAATCTGAAGGGTCGGTAAGAGTCATCGATCGAGAGCCAAATATTAGGGTATTGGCATATCAGGTAGCGCCGAAAAAATAGTGAGAAAGAAGTGTGGGCAGAAATGATCACTGAAAGCGCCGTTTTTGGCAATATATTGGAGTTTCATCGAGGTGGGGTTGCGCCGGTGGCATGAGAAATGGGATTTAGGTTGGATGAAGATCGGCCGGTAGCCAGAGTTGGGTTTGGGGCGGAAGCTCGCTTTTCAAGAACGCTGAGCTTCTTGCTAAGAGCCGTCAATCGGCCACGCATGCTAGAGATAACTGCGAGTCATAAGTATGATTCAACTTGTAGGGAGCAAAGAGAAGACTCACGTTTATTGACTATTTGGCGGTCTTCGCCATCGCCAAGGGATAACTTTTCAGTATTTTGAGATGTTTGCTGGTCGCTCTTGTCGCATTTAGCGGAAGAGCGGAGCACGTCCTCCTCCAAGATTGCCTCTAGCAACCGAATGGCAGTTATGTAGGCCATTTGGCAGCCTTGCAGGTCTTCACCGGTCAACTCGTTGATGGCCGCGGCACGACTCATTTCGAGCGCACGGTCGTACATCAGCCTCTCGGCGGAGACGCCCGGGCTCACAGCCACATCTTGAGATCCGTAAGAAGCGAAAGTTGAACCAACAGAATGGTTGTCGGGATGGCTAGGGTGGTCGTGAGGAAGACGCTCTTGTGCCTCAACGAGCTTGAGACGCACGAACTCAGCCTTCTCCAAGACTTCATTGAATCGGGTTCGGACCCACTGAACAACCTTATTGATCTGTGAGCCGATAATCTTGCTGGATGCTTCACTTCGGGGCGATTCGCCGTATGCCTCATCTCGGTTCTTGCGCGTCCACCATGACCCGGCAATATCCATTGACTTAGCGAGCAGAGAAAGAGCCTTGACATAGAGAACAAGCGCTTCTTCGGAAAGAGTGACGATAGCATCAACGGTCAAACCGCCATCATTCGGATCGGTGAGGTTAATTGGGGCATCGTTCTGCGCAGACGGTGCAAGCGGGACGAGTTGCTTATATTTGACCTCGGCGAATCCATACACAACATCACTGCGCGTAGCGCATTCTTCAAGCGATTGGACAGTCCTCGTGTCCTGATCACTGGTAGTATTGATCTTCCCATCACCCAGAAGCATCGTTTCATGAGGAGCGGGATAAATAGGGAATGGGTTGTAAGCCAACGGTGGGGATCTTCCTCCTTTTGGGCCAGCCAAAGGAGGGGAAAATCCCATGCTGAACAGCCGGCCGCTAGCCATGTTCAAAGCCTTCGAAATTGCAGATGTTGCAGACGTAGGACTTTGTCCGTAGCGTCGCTCATACGAATGTTGGCGCTGATGAGTCGAATCGGCTCGAGCCCGTCCAGAAGTGATCTGCATCGCCTTAGAAGAATTTGCGTGCGGAGATGTGGTCGATACGGTCGGTAGTCCTTGAGTGGTTGCACGTCGAGTGACAGAACCGGTCTGTCCGCGGGGAAACCCTCCTTGGATGCGTGGACTATGTGCCAACTCATCTGCAAATGCATTGACTTCGACCGCCTTCTTTTCCACAAGTACATAATCCCTCTCAAACGCCACATCTTGGGCTGCCCGTTCACGTTCCTCCCGCACACGATCCCGGTCTGCGGTTCGCGGTAACCCAGATGAAGTTTGTCGGCTCTTTGGCCTCTCCGTGGCAGCTGTAGGGGTCTGACGACCTGTGAGCTCTTGGCGAGCTGGGGCGGTGGCCTGGGAGATGGGGCTGGGCCGAGTTGGCCGAATGCCTCCTTGGGGCTGCTCCTTGGAAGGACCCGGGAACGGCCTATCCGCACTTCCCAGCCCACGCATCGGCGCAGAATTCGGTGGTGTATCGGGTTTGTTGCGTGGCACATATGAGCGATGGCTTGGCGGGTAAGTAGTGGGTTCTCCTTGATCAGTGGAATATGGTGAATCTTTAGCCGCCTTCACATCGAGCTCAGCTGGTTGCGTTGGCCGGTTCTCTGCAACATTGGCTCCCGAGCTACGGGCAAGTTCCAAAGAAGAACGGCGTGAGCCTCGAGGTGTATCGTCCGCTACCAAGCCTGGAATCAGCTCGATAATTACATTATTGTTGAAAAATTCAGGAAAGTTCAGTCGCTCGACTGGATTCCGCTTGAGAAGCCTGCAGATAAGCTTCTTGATTTCCTCAGAAGCAGGATTATCTTCTGGAAAACGTATACGGTCTTCACCCTTCTCAATCTTGCGTAGAAGTTCGACGTGATTTGTAGCCCTGAATGGAGGCTTTCCCACAACCATCTCGTACAACACGGTTCCAACTGACCAGAGATCAGCTTTGGCATCGTACTTCTCATAACGAAGAATTTCAGGAGCCATGTATAGTGGGGAACCACACAGAGTCTCTGCTAGGGGAAGTAGCCGGCAGGGAACGAGCAAAACCAAAGTCCGCGATCTTGAGCATTGGCAGCGATTCCAGCCCAGTCGTTGGCTCATACGAATTGTCGCTGCCCTTGAACGGAACAACATTGGCGACACCATTCCGGTATGAAGACGGTGAAGGACAAAGGAGGAGATTCTGAGGCTTGATGTCGCGGTGAATCAGATTTCGGTCTCGCAAGAACTTTAAGGCACTGGCAAGCTGCTTGAGAAAATGACGAGTGACCACTTCATTCAAGCCTCCACCGGGAGGGTTCGGGTATTTCGCGATCATGTCCTTGGTATACCGATGTGTCCCTAGGGTATCTCGTCGCTTGATAAATAAAGACAAGTCACCCAGGGCACAATACTCCATGACCAGATGAATATGTGATGTCGACTCATGGCAATCGATAAGTGCGACAATATGAGGGTGATGAAGGCCCTTGAGGATATCGATCTCGGAGGAAAGGTTATCCTTCAGTTTCTTGTTGAGCTTCGACAGATTCACCGACTTGATGGCAACGAAAGTCCGAGATTTCTAGAAGGGAGCGCAATCAGTATTTGAATTGGGTCACAACAGCGCAGGAAAAGCGAATGTGGCTCACCGTATGAACGCCCTGGTACACCGTGGCGAAGCTTCCCCTACCAATCTCATCCCCCTCGTGTGTATCGACCGATGGACATTTCGTGGTGAGGGGTCTCGCGTAACCTCCGGGTGTGATGATTCGCCATGGTCGTCACAACGCGAGCACGTCACTGTCCTGATGTCCCGCAGAGAATCTCCGAGGGAATCAGCTACCAGCCACACCCAACCACAACTACCGTAGCAGTAATGAAGATGAATGGTGCTGCGAGAGGCCCATCAGGGAGCCGTCCAGCGGTGAGTTGTTTAGCTGCCGGGTAGAGGGGGAACCGGCGGAACAGCGAGTGTGGCAAAGAAGTGCCGTTCTGCTGTAGAACAAAAAAGGTGAAGTCGGCTTGGTCAAGACGGAATTCGAGGGCGATGAAGGAGATCAGCTACTGACGAAGTAGACAGGAGCTCCGGGGAAGAAATGCCAGAGGTGAGAAAGCGGTGAAGTGATGGAAGTATAGCGGAGAGTGGTCAAGTATAGGTTGGTGAACCAAAGTTTGGGGGAGGCAACTATGGTGATGATGTGATGCAGAAAGGGCGGGAAGGCTTGAAACCAAGGACTGCGTCCCAAGGTGATGGGGGGGGGGGGGTGACCTGGACCAACGATAACGAGTGATAGGCCGCGATGATCTGGTAAGGCGGTCAGAAGGGCGGCGCGAATCCGGGGATGGGGGGGGATATGATGTACACAACGTTGAGTGTTGGGTTGTGAGAGAAGACGGAGGGTGAAATGTGTCAGATAGAGTCAAGGGAGACTTGAGATGAAATGGCGAGTAGAGAAAAGGGGAAGAGAACGAGTAGCTGCAGGTGTCCATGGAGGGTTCCTAAACGTTAACTGAGTTAGTTCGTCGTTATCGATTAGATAAGGCATGTCGTGACCTATCAGGTGATTTACGCGTCTCGATCGAGCGTGACTCATCTGTGAGTCGTATATTTGCGATGCACAGATTCCCGGCAAATCAAAAACGCTCTAATAATTGGGCCTTTTGCCCTACTTCACGCTTTTTGAAGCATATGGCTTCACCCAATCCACTCCCGATACCACTTTGGGGAGATATATCGAGGCATAGATGTTATCTGGGCCGGGATCGGCAGCCAAGTGGCACCGCGATAACCAAACCTTATCGAGGAACCTTGGAGCAACCCTGCAAGATGACCGACTCTCGATGATTCTTAGCTATGCAGAACGTCTATATGGTACAGATGGGCAACTAAACTCCCTGTCGCCATCAAACACCCAAACCCCGCACCAGCAGCCACAAGACAACTGGCACCACAACGTTATCGTTACAGCCAGTGAGGATCGCCTCGGTGGCGCTAGTTCCTCCTGCGGCTAACACGGCTTTACAGCTAGTCCATACCCAGAAGCGAACGGTGGACGCCGGTTCTCCGGCTGATTCGGTGCCTGTCACCGGCCATCCTCCCACCACCAGCCACCCACGAACGACGAGCAAACCGAAGGTTACCGCCAATGCAAAGGCCACGCTGCCTTCCAGCGACTTCCCTCCCCCCCAGAACCATTTCAGCCGACCGTACCGGCGGCCCACCAGCGATGCCGCTGCGTCTCCCATTCCCACACAGATCACGCCACTAACCATGCTGACATCACGAGAAGGCACATCCCATCCTACCCAGGGCCCGTCACCAGTCCGAGGGAGATCGGATAATGAGAGCCACAACGGGATGGAACATCCGATCAGCAGAAAGATATGTGAGATGATGACGGGGCCGCGGTGGTCACGGCCATCCACATAGGGAGCCAGGAAGTTCGTTAGCGGGCGGGAGATAGGAGGAAGCTGGGACGCGCGAAAAAGATCTAGTAAGAGGAAAACGGCAAGAACCAAAGCTAAAGCCAACGCGCAAAAGGCTGGGTCGACGAACACCGTAGGAAGAAACATCAGTACCATAGTCCCGTGGAAGACTTTACGTCGGGTATCAACCTCGGCGACCGAGCTGAGCTGAAAAACCACGGCTAGGCCGGTCGCGAGAACCAAAACGCAATAAAGAGTAATCAGCAGGCGACTGTTCGCTGGTCCAAGACTAGTTTGGCGCAGGTGTTCTACCCGGCCGAGCCAACAGTACACGCCCTCATCGGCTGAGTCCGGGCGTGGTGCAAGCTGAATCCAGTACTCAAGGTTCAGCATAAGCACCCAGAATCGGAACCCTGATAGATTGCCCAGAAGATATCCGAGAGCCCATCCAAAGGGATCTTGTCCTTGAAGGGCTCGCTCGGCCACGTACTTTCGGATGGGCCCAAAGATGATTGCCAGGGACACCAGGTACACATAGGCTGCATACAGCCATTTGCGAACCTGCGCCTGGGCTGCGGTGAGCGATAAGAAAGAGGCAAGGCCGGGACCCATCAGTTTCTTCCGTCGGCCGCCTGGTGTCGTGCGAATCCGTACTTCCTGGATCGCCTCGTCGAATGTGGAAATTGTATGACGCCTTTGCCGCTTGAGGTACCTCTCGAAGACTTCTTCTCCGGGAGGATTGTCGATCGCAGACGCAGGTGCCGCGGATGATGCATAATCTCGAATGTCCCGTATCGTTCGGGTCTTGCGAGGCTTAGGAACGCCATCATCGCTATCTGATGTAGGCTCGTCGGGCCTGCTCAAGATTGAGCAGAGACGGTGGTCCATCATATCGAGAAAGTTTCGCGGCGACTGTGAACCGCTAAGAGAGCGACGGAACTTCCAGGTAGGAATCCGAGCTAGAGTTACCTCCCAATGTAGAATCCTCCGGCACGAGACAAATAAACACATTCCTCCCAGCCATAGTAAGACCTTGAGAATTTCGGCCTGAGGGGAAGCAGCAAAGAAATACAAATTGATCAGAGCTGTGGTCAAGAGCTGTAGCTCCGCAGGTAGAATGCTGGTCGTCAACAAAAAGTCTAGGGTGGGTATCAACGCTTGATGCAAGGGAAATAAAAGAATCAACGATTCCGTATCGTACCCGCGAAGGGAGAGCGGTTTAGGGATTGAACGGTCGATGTAAAAGTTTTCGGAAACGAGGATTGGTATAATCGCGACCATCCAGTGCGTAATGGATAGTCCATGGACCCAGCTTTGGAGTGGGATAACCGGTGCTGGTAGGGAGGCAAGGCTGAGTATGATATTTGGCATGACCAGCGCGGGTTGGTGATGTGAGAGGGAAAGCGCAACAAATACCGGCACGAGTACTGGGTAAAGAAGCGGGGCTGGGTCGAAGCTCTCCGGTATCGAGAAAAATGAACGGCTAGAAGAGCGTATGCGCCATCGTCGGCTCCTCGAGGGGCGGAGTAAGAGAGGGTAGGAGGCGTACAGACCTAGGAGCAATAGTCCATGGGCTGCGAGCTCTTGAAGCGGATCAGTATATCGTGTGCGCTTCACATGGAATGTCGATTGACAGCCTTACCTTTTCTCCAAGCCCATGCAAGCAAACGCGCGTCTCTCTGTAGCAAGACTACGCCCCCCACGGAAAGCAGCAAAGCAGTCTCCATCAATCGTCGCAAGATCTCGACTCGTCTCCTGCGTCTTGACCGTGACTTTTCAGCAATGTTTCCGTCTGCCTCCTCTTCCGAACTTCCTCTTGAGCCTCTCGTCGACCGTACGAATGAAGGCCATGGTTTCAGCGAAGGCAGCCACGTATCGGAGTCTAGAGCACCATTCCCGGCTGCGCGTAATCCCTTGTGAGGGCGTACAGGAGGTGCCGGAAGACCTTTTAGAATTCCAGTGCTCTCATCGTCTGCTTCTGTGCCGCTTTCGCTCGATGTGCGGGATGCCTTGGAAAAGCTGAGCAGGTGTAGCCGGTCTCCTTGTTCGGATGGAGTACGTGATCCAAGTCGCCTGCTTCGGTGGTAGGGATGAGGAGAGCGGGTGAACTGTCGCAGATCTTCAGCTAGCACTTCGGAACTCGTAGCTGTCCCTAGCGTGCTGCATGCGATCGTTTCCTGTTCTTCGGGGCCTCGCGAAGTCATTGCGCCATTCCTAGAACGAGCGGTATATCATGCCGGGTGAAGTTCTATGAGTGAGAGTAAGGAGTATGTGCGACAAAAAAAATCAAAGGCGACTCTAAAGCGAATTGTTGAAGGTGATGTTGTTATCTCTCAACGCGGAAAGGATCGTGCTTATCACATGCTCGCCCCCGTATGACGTCCCGCCTCTTCCTATACTTTCTCTTATTACGATCCTAGACATCGTAACATCTATTGTAATCATGTTCATTGAATTGTTTACAAGATGGGAGCTGTTGCTATGAGTGTCTTCGCTAGTCTGAAAACTTTGTCTAGCATATTGAGACACGGACGGACGGTCCTTCGAACAGGAATATATAGCCGGTGTACAAGCACGTTCTCGGGAGTCTATCCACCTGACAAGATGTAGGAAACAACCCCCGAGGTTCAAGACTTGAGTCACCACAGATCACGCTCTCCTTCAATCATCCCCGCTGGATGACTACCTAATTTTCCAACCAAAACACGGCTTCATCTCGAAGAATCGTTTCATCGGGGTTGGTGAGTACAAGTTGGAATCCGTAATCGCAATAAGCCTGCCCACGAGATTTGTCATTATAGTCTTCTAGGACTGGAAAAAGTGAGGTCATTTCTCTTGTCTGCGATGCGAATGCTAACACAGTTGTGGTGCCTCCGGCAACAGCACTGCGAGTACTGGCCTCCCAGTTATCTCCAGTCGGCGCAGTTCTTTGGGCGAGATGGACATGCGAGTCCACATCTCCTGGAATGATGTATTGCGCCCTGAGCATCAATGACTTTTGTGTCAGGGCCTTTTGCAATGTCATGTCCTATGACAGAGATCTTGCCACAGGAGAAATCAGTGCTTTGTCCTGCGGAAAGCACGCTGCTTTCCGTGACCTGGTTTACCCGCTTAGCTTCCGATGCTCGTGAAGTAAGTCCGATCTCCAAATAGTATGCACAATATGTTGGCAAAGATGAGAAACTTATAATCAGTCCGTTCTTGACAATTGTATCCAGCATGTTGGTTGGCTTAACTCAAAGATAAGAAACACCGGTCCTCTTCTTGCCCGAAGTTGATCCAGCTCAAAGATGCAGAACATTTGCCTCCTTATGGACAAGTACATTTTAGTTAGCTATCTTTCGTTTAGCTCGCACATGTTTGCAGGCACTAACCAGTCTCGACGTGGCAATTCCCCTCATTTCGACTAGGCGAAATTATTGGGGTAGAAACTCTCTAACTTGTTATCTCTACTGCCGGGCCAAAAGGCGGCCATGACTTACTTTCCAAGACAGATTGAAAAGGCGCCTAGATGATACAATGAAAACAAATCAAGCAGTCATCGAATAGGTACATTAGCTAATTTGATGTCCGATGATTTGACAGCAATTCCGGCTCGACAACCCCTACCTGCTCCAACATCAGAGTGTAGTGCTCGGGTCTCCGATGCTTCCCGAACGCGAAGACGGTACTCTTTGGTCGTCGGCAATCGGCTAGGTCAATAGTGGCTACTACTAGTTCATCCTCTTTGGTATTTGCCTCCTTGATAATGTAGCTGAGAGGATGAACATTCATAGTGCTCCCAAGTAACAGGTTTCCGTCTTCCGTGCCGGTCTTAGCCACATTGATACTGAAACAGGCATTCATATAGCTCTTCCCCGGACAGAATAGCTTGTGGTGCAGCATAACTTGTTCCTCGGCGGCTTCTAGACTCATGTCTACCATATGTCCACTGGACGTTGTAGGAAAGGCAGTCGTGTTGTATCCACAGCACATGATCTCCATCCCCTGAAGACCGTAGACTCGCCATGCTTCGGGCCATCGACTATCGTTACAAATAAGCATCCCAACGATTGGGTCACCTTTGCCAGTTGTATCGGGAATCTCCATATCAGTGGACTTCTTCAAAGCTCCCGCGACAAGCCCTGGCGCCCGGAATGCCGGAAACCCAATGTCTCCAGGGCAGAAGTAACGCTTCTCTAGCTACTGATAGGCACCTGGCTCGGTGCGAGGGTCGACAGTTCCGGAGAGATGTACTTTGCGATATTTTGCGATGATTCTGTCCTCTTGCGCAGAAAAGCACACACAAGAGTTGTAGTCAACATATGCGTCGTCTTCCTGAAGACTCCTTTCCGCATAGCCTACGTAAACGTCGATGCCAAGAGAACGAGCATGAGCGAAAAGTGGCTTGATATTAGGAGATTGTTCGATTCCGCCCTTTCTTGGAACCTCAATCTCGAATTATTGATCTAGGTCCTCGCCTTCGAGCAGATATGCCGGGGAGAAAGTGGTGAAAGCCAGCTCCGGGAACACGGCAAATTTGACGCCTTCTTTCGCGGCTTGATCTAGAAGCTTAAACATGCGCTTCAAGGCATCTTCACGCGAGTCTGCTAAATGGCTCGGGCCAAGTTGGCAGGCAGCAACGGTCACTGGCCGCAGGGTCTCGAATTTGCTAGTCATCGCAATGGTGATTGACTCAAATGGTCCCGTAAAGCTCAAAATCTCGGCATGCTCATCGTGTGCGTTGTTGGCGGAGCTCTCATCTACCCTTATACATTCGTGAGAACGGGAGCTGTGATGGCAGCGGCTTTCTTCCAACAATTTTGCATTCAAGGTGCTTGGAGTGTGATACCAGTTTATGTCATGGAGCTTTCTCTAGGCTCTTTCCAGACTTTCATGCTTGGTACAGCTTACCAAACGGGCAATCTTGCTTCATCCGCTTCTTCAACGATTGAATCGACCCTTGGCGAAAATTATCCACTGCCGCCCCTCGTGAGTACGGACGGCACTGTTACTGAGCGGTATAATTATGGAAACGTGATTTGTATCTACATGGGGGCGATTCATGCCTACAATGTCTTCGTAATCCTCATTGGGCCAGAGAAACGGGGCCATGATTCTAATAATGTCAAGCACGATGTAGAAATGACGCAGGCAATAAACCAGGCTCAAAGGAGGAACTAGAACCCGATTTCAAGGCGATTGTTGTCGGAGATCTTAACCTCGGAATAGCTCCCACGGCTGATCTGATCCGCTTGGGCAATTGACGACCTCTCGGCCTTTGGCGCACTTGGCGCACTTGGCATCTTGGCATCTTGGCGCTGCTTAAAGCCGATTCCTGTGAGCTTCGGGTATAAGTCTTGCGACGATCTTATCAATATGAAAGTTCTTGGGCCACTAGAGCGATTTCGAAAGCTATAATCCATCGGAGGTAGGAGATACGAGAGGAACTCGGTCAGGAGGATCTCAGATATTTCTCCAGGATGAGAGAAACTTGACAGGTTGGATTGTATTTTAAGGGCCGAGAATGTTCAAACCCCCGAATCGGCTGGCTTTCAGAGGTTTGCCTTGATCGTGTGCCATGTAAATCATCTCTGCAGGTCCAATTCTAGGTGTGAGCCAGGCATCTTGAACCGGAGCTAGACTTCCGATGATAGCTTTTGGCCCCCATGTATATGGGATCACCATTGACACACAGTCACTCATATTTGGCATCAAGTAACCATTCCTCTCCACTCGGTGTCTGCCTGCCATGTTTTACGGCCAAGGAGTCTTTCACTTATCCCGCCATCTGCAGGGACTAAACCCGGTAAATCTCACGACGTTACATTGAAACAAGACTATTACTATGAGAATCCTAACAATTGTCGATCAGGCATCGCAGGAGCGAATCTACTCTCTCCGCAAAAGGCGAAAGTGGACCCTATTCAGCCCCAACAACTTCTTGGCATTTTGCCGATATGCCCCCATACAGCGTCTGTTCGTCAGGTCTCAGGGTCTCCATGATGTCAGAGCAAGCATTGAAGGAGCGCAGTGATCTTGGCATCAGACTTCAGGACCCTAGAGGCGCCACTGAGCAAGTATAAAGCCTCCAAATAGCACCTTCAACATGGAAGCATCAACACGAACAAAGCTCCTCATTTCAGCTACGGACCTAAAAGTTCATCTCTGAAATCCTCAATCCTCAAATCTGCACAGCAAAAATGCCTTCTCTCCGCACCGCTCTTCTTTTCCTGATGGCCAGCTCTGCAACAGTCTACGCAGAGCACTTGAAGGTCGTCTGGTCATCTGGTGACTTTTCAACCATCTCCGGTCCTGCCGGCGGCAACACGAACGGCCATTACTCTGGCTTTGCTATCATCAACGATGCGGGTGAAGCTATCTATGACCAAGGCTTCCCCGACGACCATGCACCTTGCTACAACACCGGTGACGGTCGGGAGTTTACCATTGAGGGTGACTGCTGGAGTACCCCACGCAAGTTTAAGTGCAAGGCTGACTTTGGAGGCCACCCTGAATCCTGCGAAGTCAAAGACGGTGATGGCAACAGCCTTGGCACTGGAGAGGGACAGGAGGACACAACATTCATCGGTATCGCGATCGGCCAAGATGCTAGCTGTGTCGTTGAGTTCGAATCCGACAGTGACGGCTGCCCTGTTGATGACGGCAACGGTCCCCTTCACGTCACCTCAGGCTAAGTATGATGAGAACTTTGCTTGGAAAGCCCAAGTGCGAGTAGGGTGGTACGTTTTTCTCCTTCTATCACCCACGTTTTCTAGGATTCGAATATAAGATGCTTGGAACTATAATAGCTTGCTCCACTGCCGTTAGCTTGTTTGCCTAAGACAAGATGAGTTAGACAAGACAATATTCTTATCAACTTCAGCGGGTCTCACCGTCACCAGGTGAATTCAGACATGATGAGTCTCATTATATCCATCGAGATCTTGGAAGCCGAGATACCTCAATTATAGCTTTCAGTTGATTTGAGTCAATCGTGTAGTTGTTTGTTCTTTCTTAGATCTGCTTGGCACTCCCGTAACACCACTTTCACTGCCACCTGATCGACTCGCTATGACCTGCCTGGCCTTGAAGCTTTACTCATTACTTGGGATACTTTGTAGACATTCACATATCCTTGAAGTCAGAATAGATAATCCGGATCTTCAAATATGGTGATCTTGTGAATCGAGATTGCCCCCTAAAGTTGGGGTAAAAACCCCACCCCCGCCAGCGCACGAAGAATATCCACACTTGAAGAGCAAGAGAAATAGATACACCCTGAGTCAGTATTATAAACCTCGGAATCGATCATACCTCGTCTTCTAGTCATCCATTTAGCCCGTTTTCAGTATATTAGGTCCAAAGCCAATTTTTCTAGTCTGATCAGTGAACCTACCCAGACAGAAAAAAACAATGGAGAACCAGATAGAGTCACCACTACTCACCGTTTCCGGGCCACCAAACATCCCAGAAATTAATATTCTTCTAGTCAACCCGAACTCGACACAATATATGACAAAAGTCTGTCTAAAAGCCATTGCCCCAAACCTTCCCCCGAATGTCACCGTCCACGGCTTTACAGCTCCTCGCCCAAGTCCCACAGCAATTGAATCCCAAACCGATGCAATCCTCTCAACAGAAGCTTGCATCAGGGCCATTAAACCAATCGCACATAAATACGAGACATTTCTAGTCTCTTGACCCCGAGCACATCCCCTCATTACCGTGCCCAAGGAAGAAACGACACATCCTGTTCTAGGGATCATGGAGGCTGCTGTCCATGCTGCGCGAATGCTGGGTGAGCGGATGGGGATCCTGTGCATGTCTGCGAGGTCAGGGTTAATTCATGGGCGAGCTGTTTCCTCGTATGGGTTTTCGGAGTACTTTGTTGGATGTGAATCGATTCAAATAGGCGTGTGAGAACATGAATCAAGGCCGAAAAAAGAGGTTTATGCGATCATCTCGAATGCTATTGGTCGACTTGTTCGTGATAAGGGCGCTGATTGTGTTCTTTTGGGATGCGCTGGGATGGCGAAGATGAGAATCATTTGTGAGGCTGTTGCGGAGGAGACAGGAGCAAGGGTGTTAGATGGGGTAGGACTTGGTGTTCAGTACGTGGTTGGTTTGGTAAGGGAGAGATTAAGGACCGCTACAAGCGGGTTTTATATGGATGCTTCGCTTGATAGAGCTAAGCGTGGTCAAAATTGGCTTTGATAGGGGCTCATTGTCCCCAATTCTTTTATTCATGATTCATCAAATCTTCACAGTGTCGTCGATTCATGCAAGTTCCTCTTGGAAGACAATACCAGCAGTCAAGCGCTGGCCTCCTCTACCCCATACAGACTTGCAAGGGATGACTTGGCCATCCCAGAGGCCTTCAGCAACAGGTTGTGTAGAATACAACACGGCCTGAGCCAGACCTTTGCTTTGGCAATGTGTGGCAATAATATCATGGAGATTAGATTCCAAAGACTCAGGCGAGGATGAAATCTCCACGCTGATGAAGCGATAAGTCTCGTCCACAGTAGAACAGACACATTCTGTCTTTATATCAACGGCAGCTTGTTCACATCGACTTCCGAGACCTTGCCATTCGACATCACTGCCACGCGGTAATTGGTCAACCTCGACGGCAAGGAACGGTGGAATTGAGGGACCATCTTCGTCAAGAACAGAGAAATTGGGCAAAACCGAAGAAACAGTCTCGGGCATCAGCTCCTCGGCCCTTCGACCATACTTGATATCCCATGCATCAAGTTGAGGCCCCTCATCGTCCGAATCGGCACTCTCCATCCGTGTATGCATCTTTTCCCAGAGATGCCACGCAATCTTGACTTGGGTCTCGATATTTTTAGCTTCGCCCGTCAAGAAAGCCACCCCGCCAAGCCACCAATTGACCTGCATGGCATCACCAATTCTCCAAAGATGCTGGAGGGAAAGCACCGCCCGCAGACAGTAATCCTCGAACCAAGACTTCCCCGCCGTTGCCATCTCCATAGAAGCCGGCTCCAGCGGGATCTGACCTGCAATATAAATCACCCTACTATTCTGCAGCGGAATGGACATCGCTTGCGAGTAAGGCCCGATATTGGCGGGCGCCCAATATGACCGTGATTGCACATGCAAACCTTGGCGACTGTGACGTGCGCCCATATCCAACACGAAAGAGACCATTACCTTCACGTTGGACGGAAGGGTGTCGCCGCATGCGATTGTGACTCGAGCGGGTGGGTTCGGTTTCTTGAAAAGGGAAACGTAGACGTTGTTCATCAGAGCGAAGTCATCCATGGAGCGGAGGAGGACCGTTGCGAAGACGATATCCTCAGTAGATCGAGGCGTGGAATTTGAGATGGTTTTCAGTGCTGCTTGGGTCTTCTTGACGATCCCGTCCATCTGCTCCTGAGCACCAGGTCCAGCCTCAGGTGCAACAAGATTCGAGATGGTCCACGTCGAGTTTGAGTGACGATGGTGCGGTTCATAGATCGACCACGCAGGCGACGCCATCATAGTCCGCGTCTCATCCCCGGTCGAATATCCAGGCACATCTTCTAAAGCGTTCACAAATACCTCATCCAATAGCGCAGGCCTCCTCACATTCTCCGGCCTAACCTCATCCCCCTCCTTATCCACACACTTCGCCCCTCTCAATTTCATAAACGCAACCCCACCCTCACCAGTCCCAATCTCCCTCTCCTCAATTTCAATCCTCTTCTTCCAAAGAAACCCGGGCCCATCAATCGCCAAAGTCTCATATTCACCCCCCCCCCCAACACGGCACCCCTGATATCTTCCTTCGCCGCAAACCTCCCCATCCCCTTCACAATCCTCCTTCTTACCCCACGACCTCCGTTCCCAGCACCAGAAACACTCTCCCATAGAAACCCATCATCTAATCCCCCAGACGCAACCTTGATAATCCTCGCATCACACCCACACCCCGCCATATCCTCCAACAAGCCCGCCTCTTTCACAGCCAAATAGTCTCCTTCCCTCTCGGCAGGCGCAGGAAGAGAAGGATACATCCACAACCAAGCAAGCGGAACGAGCCCCAACCGCCCAGCAACATTCTCAATTCTCGTCCGCTGATACGTAGAAAGAATAGCACCCGCCGAGACCGCATTCGCCTCAGGATGCATTTCCACTACCCGTCGAAGCAATGGAACCAGACACTCTGTCTCGTCTTGCACCGTGGTCTCGGCGCCCTGATCTGCGTCGTCGTGACGGTATATGCGCTGTGTGTCGACAGCTCCCCTGTGATTGGCGCGCGGTATAATGGGATACCTAGAGCTTCTGCGTATAGAGGGATCACGCTGTGGCCGATCGTTTGGTACATGAAGCTGTCGATGTCTTCTTCATTTTCGGGGGAGAGGTTTGCTTCCGGATGTAGGTTTGCGAGGGCGACGATACGGTGGCCATTTCGGATGCAGTGGAGGGTTGAGTAGAGGGAGTCTTTGCCGCCTGAGATCAGGGCGATGACATTCAAAGGCGGCATCTTGGGTGGTTAGTCAAGCAGTCTTTGGAATCCTGGTGGGATGTGGGTTTTCGTGGTTCCTTCTTATCGATAGCGATAATGATAGCAATCGGCGATAAGGTCTTGTTTACTCTTGTTGCCTCAGGCATGCGAATTTTGTGGGTGGAAATATCAATCACGTGACAGGAGAAGAGATTGTGGTGGTGAAGCGACCGGCGCTCTCAACTAAGAGCAATTCACATGTGTATATATGCAATGTAGTTACAATTTGGCCATTTTGAATGTTTGATGAGGGAACGACGGTTATAGTATGTATCCTTGAAATTTGATGCTTGATCCTCGTGGGATCGATAGAGGACCTGAGACCAACACAAAAAGGGGCAGGCAAGAAATGCAATACAAGAAGGGGGTATGAGTGTGCACACAAAAAGAGGGGTTAAATTAACTTATACACGAATGTGACCAGCACAAGAAACAGAGGGGGGAGAGGGGGGGGTGGGGGGGAGGGGGATGACGAGGGCAGATAAAAACACAAGCAAAAAAAATATTACATGAAATAAGAGCAACACAACCTGAACGAAACGGTGAAAGAATCGAAGGGAATCAAGGATGAAAAAAAAAAATCACAGTGAAACAAACCCAAAAGGGGGAACAGTGGGAAGCACTGCCCACATAGTGCTGGTCTGGCGAGAACAAAAACAGAAAGGAAAGGTAACAAAGGAAATCAACGTCCCAACCAACCCTCACGAGGGCACAGAAGCAGAAGCCGTTTTGCTCTATTCTTTTCTTTTTCCATGGGTTCATGAAAAGTCCCGTCGAAACCAGCCCGAGGCATTTCGCAGCCTGTATAGTTCCCACCATATTTTGGGATCATGTGACCAAAGGGAACAATGCCGTACACCGATGACCCAATATTTCCGACACCAGTGTAAATGCCCGGACGCCAAACCCAATGACCGTAACGGTCGAGCAACTCCGCGACCGAGGAAATGTATGTTATTATATATGCAGTAGGAAGATCTCCTGGTCTCATGAAAAATCATCAACGCAAACGGCCTCATTTAAAGGTCACGCTTGCGCTTCTTCACCGACCGGCGGTCGGCGGAGCCCTCAGAGCTGGATTGGGACTCGTACATGACACCGCCTATAGTACCGGCATCATGCTGGTCATCGTAGGACATGTCACTGGGATCCAGGACGCCCATGACGACCGAGCCACCACCGTGGGTGCGAGCGTGTTGAGCCAGGTTGTCACTGCGAGAGAACTTCTTGCCGCACTCATGGCACTCGAAAGGCTTGTCCTGAGTGTGAAGAGAGCGGTAGTGGCGCTTGAGGTGCTCTTGGCGACGGAAGCGGCGAGAGCAAAGAGTACACACGAAGGTCTTGGAAGGGTCCTCGGTGAGTGACTGCTTGCGGCCCCGACGGTTGACCGACACAGGAGCCGGCTCAGAGTCGGTGCTGCAGTCGGAATGGGCAGACGCGTGGGAGTGAGGCACGGACAGAGACTTGCGGTGGTGGTCTTCATCAATGTGGGCGGTCTTGCGAGTTGACTTGCGATTGCTGCGCTTCTTGGTCTGGGTCTGGGTCTCCTCCTCGGAGAGATCTTCCTCCGCCTCAATTTGGGGCTGGGCGGACTCAGTCCACTCGAAGGGGGGCAGACCGTTGTGCATATAAACCTCGTGGTCTTCGGTGTCCTCAATGCTATGCTCGCTTAGGAAACCCTCATCCTCAGCCATGTACTGTTCTACACGCTGGCGCTTACCGCCCACGTACAGCGCGTTGCTGCCGGGGTGGAAATCCACCAGGTGGCTGAGCTCATCGTCAGAGTCGAGGTCTGAGAAGCTGTCAAAGGTAGGCAGAGAGCTCAAAGGGTCCTCACTGGACGAAGCAGTGTAAGAAGGCGAGGGGTTCTCGTTGACGGGCAGGGTCACAGACGCACTACCCACCACAGCGCGAGGCTGCTCCTCATCACATGTGAGGGTAGGCAGGGGAGGGAGATCCTGAGGCGAGAGCACATTGGCCGACGGCTCAACCGTGAGCTGACGAGGATCGCAGAAGCTTTGGCCGATGTGCTCCAAGCCCGATTGGGTGAGAAACTCGGTCGGAACTGGAGAGGGGGAGGGGGAAAGCGAGGGGCAGGAGTTGGCGGAGAGCAAATCCGAAGTCTGGCTGGCGGTGAGAGACGGCGGGTGGATGAACACTGGGAAAATGGAGTTAGTCGGCTGTCATATATCCCTTGCTTCGCAGATCGTCCAAGATGGCGTGTTCTTTTTGTTTCCCGCCCCTCCGTGGCCTGCAGCCTACATTGCATGGCATGCATCACATTTCATTTTCACATACCTGGTGTCATAGGCGGGGAGTCGCAACGCGCCCAGTCCGGGTTGGCCAGGATTTCCTGGTGGACGTCGGTCTCGCACCCTTCCTTGACACCCTCCACCTTTTCAAAAGAAAAGAAGGCGTCATTGATGGGAGTGTGCAGAGTACCGTGTGCCGAGGGTGGGCTGCTGATGGTGCTGCCCGAGGACGACAGAGGCGGCGTCGAAGGAAATCCGTAGAGATCTGTGCCAATAAAGCGAGTATCCAAAGGCATCAAAGCGGGAGAGCCCTGCTGCACAATGATAGCCGGCTTCATCTGCGAGGGCTGGGGCGAGGCAATGGGAGTCATGCTCATGGTGGCACCGCGGAAGGCGTTGGTGGTGGCCATCTGGTGCATGTTCATCATGGACTGAGCCTGATAGATGGGCTGCTCGCCGTGGTAATGCATCTGGCCGTAGTAGGGAACCTCAGAGGGTTGGCTGGTGTAGTGGCCCTGCTGTTGTTGTGTGTCGGGATAGTATGCGAAAGGTTGGTTTTGCACCTGCGGTGCGACTGTGTAGGAATCCATGATCTTTTTCTAAAATTCCCAAGATATTTGGTTAGCATAGAACCAGGAGGAAGGCGCCATCGAGGAAGTGTATACCTTTTTGACACGATATTGAAATCGTCAATTGGCCGAGGAAATTATTAAGAGGGGGAGGGTCAGAACCGGTCAAGTATTGAAGGAGTGTGTAGACACGGCAACAATTAGGGTTGTGAGATATAGCAATGTGAGAGGTCAGGCCTCGTTGTGAGGTGTAAGGAAGGACAGGAACCAAAAGGAACCGGATGGGAAGGAGTGAAATATCACGGAATCGAAAACTACCCAAACCCAAAACAGATTCACGTAGCTAGTGGGAAAGGTGGAAGTGAAATAAGAAAGCAGTCAACGAGGAAAAAAATAAATAAAGAAAATAAAAAAAAAAGAGAGACAGGGCCGATGGCTATCTGGGATATGGGAAGTCGAGAGAAAGAGAGGAGGGAGGGAGCGAGTGGATAAAAGAGTGATCTGCCAGTGCTATTTTCTACTTGCCGGGTCACTATGGACTGGAAGTGGGCCAGGAACAGCATTATTTTATTTATTAGAGCATGAGAAATAGAAAAGAAAAATAAATGAAATTTAAAAATAAAAATAAAAATAAAAAATGGGTGTCTCAATGCTGTGTAAGTAATGGTGGTATCATGCCAGTCCGGGGCGGGATCAACCAGGGTGTTCAGTCCCGTAAACGCAACCAGGAAAGTTCGGGGTGGAGACGGACCTCTTTTTCCCGTGCTAGCCCCGTACAGATACAGTTCTTTTACCCAAGGGTACGGACACTGGCCTGTATCGGGTTCAGGGAACCCACATCGGTCGACGAGCCCAAACGAGAAGTGGAGCAGCACGAGTGGTGTTACGCTGAAATGCGGAGAGAGGCTGTGCTTAGAGTCATTTATGTCGGTCCTGTCGTTCTCTATTATTTCCCCGGCAGAAGGGTTGGAAGGTTCACGAGGCCCCATGTCGGGCGCCTACCCAGCTGTGATGGTCGTGTCGTCGACGCACCAGTCTCGGTCTGTTCCTCAGAGCATCCTCAAGTCGCACCTGGTCAGGCACACACCACCAAATGGGGGGAGCGGACGTGTGGCCACGAGGGCCACCGCGATTGGAGGAGGAGGATGGTGACAGCGGCAATCATTAGCAACTGTTATCAGTGGAGTCGCAACAAATGAGAGTGGGGGGGCTTTCTCTTCTTTCCACTCTTCGACTTGCCAATGACCATCCGACCGAGTTGGCCTGTTCGCACGCCCCACGGCTGTCCCGTCTTTTCGTCATTTTACTGCCAGGGCAAGAAAGCGATCTGCATGGGATCTGACTCTCGCGGTACTCGGGGATAGACGGTTTACAGACATTCGGCGATCATGGATGACGGAAACCTATCTATTCCCTATCAGGCCCGTCCTGCCTTAGGAGGCTTGCCCACGGTCGCTCATCACTTTCCCGCCATCAGCGGTGGCGAGAACCGTGCAACCAGCCTGAGATCGTGAAACAGTCGGCATCAATGATCGAATGCTGACTCGTTTCCGTTGGGTCTCTTATTCGTTACTTTCTTGGGAGGCGGAACCGCCCCTGTCAGTTTCATATGAATTCCGGCCAAAAGTACAACGGACTGTTCCTCGGTGTGATCCGCGCCGGTAGTCATAACCTTAGTCGCTCCTCTTTTTTGGGAGTCGAACGTCCCCCAAATTGGTTGGTGGCAATGATCAATGGTCATCGTAATTTGCCACTGCTTATGCCTCAATTTTTTTGAGGGCCTGTAAGGAGTCAAAGAAAAGAAAAGGCAGCAGCTGAAAGCGTTGTAAGCTGATCCTGTGTAATAGTCCAGGCGGCCTACTGCAGGAACACGCTGTGGAGGCCATAGCCGCGAGAACCATCGGAGACTTCTAGGGATTGGCTGCACCAGAGAACCAGGGAGGCAAGGCTCGTCTGCGACTTTCATTTGCGCCATCGACATTTCCGGGGCAGTGGTCCCGACTGTCCTCACTCTGCTTGATTGGAGCTCGGCGGACCCTCAGGCGCAGCGTGAATGACATCGTACAGCAGCCTACGTCGACGTGCAGTAGACTACCGTAGTCTACAGGAGCGCCTACAGGAGCCGGCAGTAGTCTGCCTACCTTCAACTCTTGTTTTACACTTTCGGTCTCCTCTTTTGATACATCTTATTGGCCACGCTGCGGCAGCCATGTCGCGAAGTGATGTGCTTTGATTGCATACGGGGGTGTGATGGCCCTACCTCGTCTCACATCTCACATCTAAAGTAGATCCGGGGCAGCCACTGTGATCCATCATGACATCTTCCGATACATCGACTAAGACTGAGACACACACACACTCACTCACTCTCTCTCTCTCTCATTCTCTCCTCCACTCACAGCCACCTGCACACCGCGCGCCACGCAAGCAAGGTTTGAGGGACGCGACGATGGCCATCGGAAGACCTACAGTACACGTGCAGTGAGTGGTTGCAAAGACGTGGGAGCACGGAGCAGTCTGTAGCCCGGTCACGCAGCACGCTCGAGTCCAGAAACAGAACGCGAAGCAGAAGCCAATTCGTATCAACTAATCCATCGACTTTCATGTGGACCGAACCACACGGAGCTCGATTGGCTGCTGCTAAAGATAGCGGCCTCCACTCGTTGGCTGCCACCATTCCATTCATGGAGAAAGCGTCGGTGCGGGCGGGAAATCTGCTTGCTTCCGCTGCCAATAAGATCTATCTGCGGAAATTGAGGATTTGACCTGATCGCTCGGCAATTATACCCAACACGCTTACAGAACTGAGCTACGCTCTTTCCTCTCCCCCTCTCTCTCTCTCTCTCTTTCTCTCCACTGGCCCACTACCGGAGATCAACCTCGGGTCTCAAGTCTTCCCTCCTTGGGTTAAGTGTCTTTCCCAAGCAATTGGAAACGCATGCATGGAAGGCTGTCACTGATTCTTTCAAAATCCCGGAGGTTCACCTTGCGTCGGGCCTCCCATCCGAGTGACTTTCTATGTATACTCTGAGATACCGTAGACTCATCCAAAAAAGGCAATCTGCTCAAAAATAAGACGCCGTTTTGACTTTGCTACTATTTACAGCCGGTAAAATTATTGTTCGCCTTATGTTTCTGCTTTGTTGCCACCGTTATCGCACAGACGGATAATCCTCTGAAAGCCACGGGGCAGCCATTGGAGTCAAGTCAAACAGAGATTTTTGCCTCGGACTATTGAATTCTCTCAAGTGATAGTCATTACAGGTGCTCTGGGGGCCTATATCTGGTCCCCACGTCGAATGAGAAGCTTGCTCACCGACATGGTCCTCTTGGAGCTCACCCCCCCCCCGCCCCCCAATGATCCCGCACACGGTCCATTTTCATCCGTAACAAAAAGCTGGTCAAAAAGGTCTACACCGCAGAGCTCTGGACTTGTGGAGCCAGACTGGAGATAGCGCACCCGCGACGGCCGGGCGGCTGCTAGTCCCAAGCGGCGCGGAAGCTCCTCCAACGCAGCCGAGCCCGGTCTGGCTACAGACTGTGGACTGTGGGCTCGGCAGACCTTCATTTTCCTCGCCCAGACCACACGCCAATAGTCAAGCCCTGTGGATTGAGGAGCACCAGTGCGATTTCAAATAATGGAGACTTGGAGACCTTTCGTGGAGCGTGCACTGGAGCTTTCAATCCTCCAAGGGTCAGTCTACCTCGTCCCTCTTCCCCGACGAATCACTGCGCACGCGTGGAGCCTCGACAGCTCGTTTGGGAGGCGGCCTGCGAGAAACCGTTGGCGATCATCATGTCTGTATCCGGCTGACTGGACATTAGAGCCATGCAAGGTACTCTTGACGCCGTGGATAGATCAATTTTAGGGTTCCGGCCGTTCGAGAGCTCGAGGTGATGCGTACCACGCCGTGCTGCAAGGGTCCTGCGGATGCGTCTTCCGAATCTACCTATGCGTCCTGATGGGAAAACCCTGGACAGAAATTCAAGAAGCTTGCTCGATTCGATTGCCTCGGAGAGCTCTCGGTCGGCAACGTACATTTGACTATGACTGTACGTAGAATTTTATGGATGCCTAGCAAAAGAACCAATGTGGAGCGCCTATGGGCTCTAGGGATTTGCAACTTCATGTCACGCGCTTTTCCGGAGCTCATTTCTGAGCTTAGAAGGAGTCGAGTTCAACGGGTGGTTCGTGCTCGAATTAGTTGTCTGCTCCAGAAGGTCCTAGGCCATGGCACCACTTCTCTATAACCCATCTGTTTGCTTTAGGGGCGAATTGGGGGATACTTGACGACTGTGGAGACTGGTGGACCGGCTAAACCGGGGTATCGTGAATCATGCCATTTCTTTTTTTTTTGGTTTCTCTTTTACATTTCGATCATGGTCTCCTATCATGCCCTTATCCGTTCAATTCTTGTCTTGTCCGAATGGAGAGGTGCAAACCCGAGCGAGCGGATTTATCAGCGGCTGGACCGACGGCTATCCGCTCAAACATTGACTGGAACAGCGGGAGCCAGCAAAAGCTTGAGCAGTACATATTCGGGGGCCGGGGAGGAAACCATGATTTGCCTAGGTGTGTAGGGGAACCCCTCTTTGATTTGTGATTTATTCCGCGACCTTTTGAAACTATGAATAAAGTCGTGGCTACAGCTTAGTCCCAGAGAAGAAGCCCGGCCCGAAATGGGTTTCTCGTACTTCTGTAAATTGGCGCAGCCATTGAGTTTCTGTCAGTCCGCAGATCTCCTTTTCGGGCCTGGCACGGAAGTCTCTAGCAATTCTAGCGCTGGTCTGGAGTGTGGAGAGGGTTCAGGGAGATAGCACGACTTCCGCCACCTCTAGCTCGTTCTTCGGCGCAGTAAGTCCTTCTAGGGCGAGGCCGAATACAACACTAGACCACCGTATGGGCTAGGGTCGGGCTCTATTTTTCGAACTATGGCAGGTTTGGGTGTTTAATTTCGGTCGGCCCATTCCGCACGTTGGCAAATCTGAAACATGTCGAGTTCCCAGGGGATTGGCGTGGCGCCGACGGAACACGCGTTTTCGAGTTGGTGGTCGACGCTAGTGCACACCGGAGGCCTTGGCCGCCCCACGCTCGACAAAGCGAGACTGTCTGAATATTGTAGCGGTGTACGAGATACCACACCCGCGTAGGGTTACGGAGTACGCTATCTCGATTGCGATATTTTAGTCTTGGTGGTTGATCTGGGTCTTGTCATGGTATACTTGGTCACCCTATTTGTCGGGCTCTAGGCGAGCGTGACTACAGTAGTTTGACATGAAAATGTATATCATGTCCCCCGATGGTGTAATCAGTGGTGTTTCCCGGTGTCTCTACCTCTTTTTTTGAGAGAACACCTGTTATGTAATCTCACATGGCCACCGCATTATTCTTGTGCAGTGTGTGCTGTCAAATGAACTCAGCTTATGCGACCGGTGTTCACCGGCTTAGATTGTCTCGCATCGTGGCTCCAAGTCTCACATTGGTTCGCCCCAACGGAGAACAATCTATGTCACCTTACAACCATGGAATTGAGGAGGCTTGAGCTAGATTGTAGATTGCAACAGTCGCCCGAGACAGGGCTCACATACGACGCACTGGCGCGCCACCAACAAAGTTGACACATGTTCACTGTGGCAGGGACAGGCAAGTAGGCGGCGGGCACAGCCCGTGCCCGTGTGCCCGTGTGCCCGTGGCCGAGCTGTCTACACATGTGTCTTGCAGCGGTGTCAGGACCACCTTATGGCTCAAGCGAGAAGCGAGCGTGAAGCGAACACGAAATTGCGGGGGAGGTTTCCCACACTCGGTTAAGTCACATTCAATGGCGTTTCCATGGGACAGGCGCGTTCAGTCGGAACAGTATCATTTACCAGATTGGGGCATTCTAGCGTCACCCAGTCTCTGGTTCCCAGGTACAGATCAGTTAGTGTACAACTGTAGTACAGTAAACTGTAGTCTGGGAGACGCCCAATAAGGTGGGCGTGTCCTCAGATGATACGCACGTGCGGGACAAGACGGTCCTCGGTATCCGCAATTTTGTCTCCAGACTCCAGAAGAGGAAGAGGCGATCCAGACTTCCCAAATTTCCCGGGGACCTTGGGTGTTCCCACATCTCCCCGGCACTAGCACCTAACCGGGTATCCAGTGCCCTCTTTAGGTACTAGGTTGCCGGTAGAATATGCAGGTGTCGTGAGATAGTTGCCTCTTGTGCGGGCCGTCCTGGACAACGTGTGTATCAAACCTACACTTTGACCTCTCAATAATATAGTGCCGTAGCCTCGGTCAGGAACGTGGCGTGTATTGCTTTTTTACCACCCTGGCAAGATCTGCTGTTCATCGCTCTCCAACTCCACAAATTCCAGTCTCGGGGAAATTGATAGTCCAGGGCTGCAATTCACCCTCAGCACCGATAGCCAATGGAAGATCCTTCATGTCTTGGCCGACCCCGTACACGGCCACCGCAATCTTTAGTCTTCCATCTTCAGGCTAAAAAGGCTAGGAACAGGAACAGAGTTTTCGTCTCGTGCATCAAAAGCTTGGAAGCGCGGCCCCACCAGTTTCCACGATCGCTGGCTCACACGAATCAGCAGCTCTTTTTGGTTCTGTTGCGGATTGCGATCGCACAGCTGCTCGGCACGATCCCAGGGGCCCAAAAATGCGGAGGAGTCTCTCTTGGAGACTCAAGCTAATGAGCCTATCTGGTACCTAACCCGCCCTGGAGAATGCCTGCGTTAGGGCAAAACGGCTATTTTGCGCACCCAGTAGAAGGCTTACTTCATTCCCAGTAAGTTTCTCAATGGAGACCTCGTTTTCGCAACTTGCAGCAGTTCCTACGATCGACTCTGACTATCTAGCCCCGTAAGATGTCGCCACTAGCATCTACCCAGAGCATGGCTTCACTAAGGGCCCGCGAACCGTCCACTTTATTCCCGGGAACCACTCAGATCCGTGTCCATAGACTCAATCCAGGCACAGTACAGTACGCTATCTCACCAATTGGAATTCTTTTTTTTTCATCTCCGGTGGACTCCTAACCCGGAAGCTGAAACTGCGGTACATAGTCCGTGTTTACGCTGTGCGCATTCCACTCCCTTCCCTTGATCTTTGGTACAGTGCCCACTGCAGTCTCGCATATCCAACCATTTGTTTACCCCATCGTCGAGTTCCGCGTACCCAGCCGAAACCCTATCTCACCCCGATCGGGATCTTGGTGCTTTGGTAGAATCATTCCCGGCTTGGTGGCTTGGTGGCGTGGGATAGACTGCGTATTGCTATCTCAATAGCTCTCAACTATCTCGACGGAGTATGTCCGAGCCTAACCGTGAAGCTGATCAGGCCAAATCCGTATCAATTTGTCTCAATTGCCACTCCTCCATCTCTCAGAAAATCATCAATTGATCACCACTACAGTATCTGTCCGATTCGACTCCATTATTTGTGAATCTCCCGACAGTGGACACTCTCGATAACACTCGTTCTCGGTTGTCCCCACCACCAAAACACCTGGCGCGCTATCCCGCCTCGATTCTTGCCTCTTCTTGCTTGGGTCCAGATCGACGGCCCGTGCCTTATCTGATATTGCAATGCACACGGCTCATGACCAAGGAAGTGGGCCTTGACCTTGGGTGAGTCTCTGCACATGAGGACCCGCGGCGGACTCTCCAGATCATCCGCCTGTCGTTGTACGTAATGAAAATTATACGAGATCGCCGCTGGATACGATGAGTAGCCATCGTGCTTACTGAGGGTTTTGCGTGATCGTGGACTCGATGAGTGTTCCATTCGCTTAAATCCCTTGGCCGAGTCTGTGACTCAGCCAAGTCTGCAGAGAGGTCTTGAGTTCTACAAAGTTCTAATCTAGAGCTATTCAAAGTTAAAAATTTCTCACGCGTGGCAAGCCTGCATGAACCTTACTCTCAGGAGAACCCAGATTCTTCATGGAAGTTTCTAGCTCTGCAGTCAGCACTCTACATGAAGCCTCGTCGCGCTTACCTTTCCCTCTTAAGGCTTGAAGTCGCCACGAGCTCTACTATGTTCACACGTGCGACCGCATATTTCCATGTCACAAACATCGTGCGCTATCTCTGGCAGATCACTGGCCACCTCGTGGTATCCGGGTGGGCTGAGAGCGGGTCTACAGTGCTAAACGAGCGCGCGAGAAAACCGAGAACACCCCCCATCCACAAACTTGGGACAATTCATACAGCTAGGTACAAGCACGTGCTCTTCAAGTGACAGTCGGATTACGCGCTGCCGGGCCACCTGGCGATAAACTTGACAGCGTGTTTCGGACTCAGACCACCAGAGGCTCGTCCGTGGGTCGGATCTGGGGCATCACGCCAGTTCAGGCACCAGGCTTTTTGCCATTGGAGGTGACAAGAGGTCCTTTACTGTATACGGACAATCGCACGACCAGCGGGGTCAACACATCCACCTATCTTGGTGTTGATACCACCTTGCAACGAGGCTACGGCAACGAGTTTGTTCCTAGCGATGCCGAAGACTGTATGGTCTTCGGCCCGCGATTGATATCGGGGTCTACGAGACCCAGCCTTCGGCGAGTCGTGGAAGTATTTGTGCGGAAATCGGCACGCGTCGGAGTTGTATGCGTGATGTCTCGCGATTGAGTATAATTTTTGCACTTTAGTCGCATAATGATCATCACGTGGTATGATGTCGAACCAAAGCCAGGAACTCTACCAGGGTCCTCGCGAAGAGGTTTTTTTTTTTTTTGAGATTCTCATTGTCTATCCCGAGCTCTATGGACCGCTTACCTGGGCTTGCAGGTAAGAAAGCTAACACAGATTGCATAACTTGAGAATAGTCTCCGGGGGTCCGGAGGATCCTGGGATATCCAATATGAGATCCGACAGTCCAAGGCCGACAGTGACCGACCAAAACCAGGTAAACACACATAACAGGCCTCAGGAATGGTTACAGTAAGATCACGCTCCCATTGGGAGTCAGTCTCTTCCTATCATATAATTCCATAGTTCTCATCATCAGCCAAATATTGTGAGAAGAGGAAACTAGCGAAGCCCGTCGAAGAAAAAAATGTTCCCTGTTCGCTTACGTAATACGCGAGATATCCCCGGGGCGGAAGAACCCTGAGGGCCGAGAGCACCATAAATTCTCGCGCGCAAATTCGCCCTTCCTTCTCTTTTCTTTTCTCCTTCGTGCGGCGGCGCAACTATACATTACCCGTGTTGCCTGGACTTCTCTCTCAGTGAGGTCACCAGGTGTCAGTTGCGCCACAGACGAACGGAATTGCACGGCGATTCTTACTTTATTGGTCTTTCTGATTTTTCAAGGATGAGACCTTTTGGTTTGGGATCGAACATAATGTCTTTCACAAGACTATTCTATTAATTTTCCATTTTACAAATTCAATTGAGATATACAAAAGAAACCATTGGAAATTTCTGCAATCTTGGCCCTTCCTAATGTAGCTTGGTATAATCGCTTGTTCTCATGCGTTCATAAGTCCTATCAAAGTGTCTTGGTGGTACTTTCTACCGTGTGTTCGCCAAACCGGGACGAGGAAAAAAGGAAAATATGAATCATGCCCAGCAGCTCTCAGCAATTAGCATTTACTCGCCTGGCTCATCGCCGATCTTCTCAAGCTTCCCCATGGATCTCTTCTCGCCCGCGTCGCCCACGATGCGAATGCGATCCACGCGCAGCTTCTCGCCATCGCCATCTCCATCGACGAAGAACAGCACCAATGACGTAACATTCTGGAACTTGACAAAGCGCAATGGCACATTGGCTGTCCCTGTCTTCGCATCCCAGTCCCCTTCCTTAATCTCCACCGTCTGCACAGCCGGGATATCCTCCGCCTCGTCGAACCCAAGCACGTGCGACCGGTTGGTGAAGAGCGACACCGTCTTAGGCCGCATAGGCGTCTCATCCTCATCCTCCGCCGCGGTCGGAAGCGACGTAATTTGCAGCGAGTGCACCTTCAGCGTCGACTGGAACGGAATGTAAAGCATCAGCTGTTCGTCCGTGTCACTCTCCACCCAGTCCTTGCCGCTGCTCGTGCTCTTGCCCTTGCCTGCTAGTGCGGACGGCTTGCTGGTATCGAATAGAACCCGCGGCTCGCCTGCATCGGTGTCCCGGTTCAGCAGATCCAGGCCCTTCGGGTCGACTTGGTCGGTGACGTCCGCATATCCCTTAGCTACGGATCCGCCGATCCAACCTCCGTTCGCACCGCTTGACTCGCCGTCGCCAGTGCCGGCTCCATCGGACTTGGTTGCTTCATTGGCGAGCTTTTGAATCACTTCGTTCAGGCGGCGTGGGTCGGCGCCTGCCACGGTCTGGGTCTTGCGGCCGTTCTCGAAGACGATGAATGTCGGGTACCTGTAGTAGAAATTGATGAGTTTGGTTTGTAGAGCTCGTAGAAGGAAGGGTCTCCTACGCTCGCACACTGTACGCTTGCGCCAGCTCCTTCTGCTCGTCACCGTTGATTTTGGTGAATGTGATTTGGTTCGGGCGCGACAGCTGGCGCGCCAGCGAGTCATAGACGGGAGCGATTGCTTTGCATGGTCCGCACCAGTCGGCGTAGACTGGAGGTCAGAGAACAGGTCAGAATCCGCGTATGTGGTGGTGGAAGGTGGGGTTCATCTCCCTTCCCGGGATGGGGAACTCACAGTCGGCGACGACAACTCGCGAGGAGCTGAGAAGCGTGTTGAACTGCTCGTTCGAAGATATGTTGATGACAGACATCGTGGAGGGTTGGTGGTGGGAGAGTTGGCGGGGATCGAATGAGTGTTTGGGTGGCTCTAATATGTCATCACGCCGAGGGTCCAACTAAGCTGCAGGCACCTGGGGGGAGCTTTCCCTACTTCGGTCTATAAGGCTTGAAGGACACGAGGGTTCTCGTCAATTGATTTGATTCGCACTTTTTAAATATTTCGGATACATTCATATGCTAAAGTGATAAAGTGGTGGTCTGGATGAAACTTAAGGGTCGCCTGCTTGAAAAAAATATTACTGATCGCCAGGAACCGAGGAATATATCTGGGCTTGGCCAACATCTATGCCCAGTTAGGCATATATACCTTAGCTTCGTTTAGAGATACTTCTGGAATGTTTCAAAATCTCAACAAGCTTGAAGCTTGAATATTCATGCTTTTTCGAAACTCTTTGCATTTTGGCTCGAATTTTGACCAGCTAAACCAGGCAGGTGCCGCCCTTGTATTCTGCTCTCCAGACGATTTCTAGGCGAAGGCAGGTCAAGATTGAATGTGAGCGCCAGCTACGTAGCAAATACGTTGGAAATTTATTCCTTACAGCTTGCACAGAAATGGCGAAAAAGAAGGAGATTGTCGGCTGGAACTTGCGCTCGATTGTGATTCAACGCAACATCAGAGCAACAGGAGTAAATTTTTCAAGCTGGCTAACTCACTACTGGCTATGATTTTTTCGAGGAGAAATTGGACTAAAGCAGATCTTTCTGAGACACAGTAATCTCCTTGCCAACGCTCTAAAGAAGATACTCTAGTATAAATCAACAGAGCCACGAACCTTCCGAGCCCCCAATGCATCATCCACACCGAAGCATTTCCAACATCTCTATACCAAATTCCAACCTTCGACTAGAACAATGGATGGAGATTCTGAGCCGATAATTCTGCTCACGCGAGTTGAAACTTCAACCCAAGCATCACAATCCATCCAAGTAAAGCAAGGCCCAAGCTGAGGATCCGTGCCGCGCGACCAGATCGGAGCACCCGATACTTTGTGCTGAGCTGAGCCTGGAAGATTCTTCGGTCAGGCTTTGTTTGTTCGTTGGTAAATGAGGTAAACTTACGGCGTAAATCCAGTCATCTGCGTTATCCCAATGAGTTGAGTACCACATGGCAAAAGAGCTCCACGAATATATAAACCAATTCTTTCGAGACTTCTTGTCTATGAAATACTGCAAACACTGGTCAAAACTTTTCACAGACAAGCAAAGCAGATACAGAGGGGATTTACGCTCCCGCATGAATCGTTGAAAACAGTTTTGGCAATGGATGCGTGCAATTTCTCATCGTAGAGTCTTTCGCTATCGGCTTTGACCTCTACAAAGGATGATTGCTCTTTAATGACTGGAGTGATCACCTTTATGACCAAGTCAACATGGCTTTATTTTCGGTTTGATCAGCATTTGCTGCACGCAAGGTCAGGTATTGAAGAGCAGATCACTTACTTTTCGATGGAATAGATGGTGGATGTGTGGCCTTTCCCTGAATTGGGGCCCAAAATGTAGAAGAAATTGGGAAATCCGGACATGGCAATTGACTTGTAAGCCTCCTTATAGCCGAATTCGTTCCAATGGTCTTCAAGGGTGCGGCCATCCCGACCTGTGAGCTCGACGTCATACTGCGTCAAGGAGAAATCGGTAGCCAGCAGCTTTAATGGAAAATAATTTATTAGCGGACGGGGATCTTTCAGGCTGCAAAAGGGGACTTACAATTGCATCCGCCGAGTACTCTTGATCAGACTGTGTCACAATAGAGTGAGGTCGAACGCTCACAATCGGGTCATCTGTGAGACCTTGTCCAGTTGCAGGCACTTAATGTATTTAGAGGTGTCGAAGATCCGGCGCTATCATTACGTTGTTAATATTCAATGTAATTAAGGTGGTCTGGTCTCATCACATGAGCAGAACAGATGGACTTACTTTGCATCCAATCTCGAACTTTGGAAGAAGTGGCCAATACTTCTCTTGAACAAGGTTAGCCTTCGTGGGGCTGGTCTTATCATTCAGTCCAAACGACCTACCTGGGGCAGTTTCCTTGATGTAAGCTTCACTGCTATCGGCAGACACCGTTCGAGTCTTCATGCCCTTTAAGAGCCCTATTTCCTACTGGTATCTCTACTCACCACTGAAAGACTTGAGTGCGAGGATCATAGAGATTAACAACTCGTACGGCGAAAAGAGTAATGTCTTTATGCACTTAACTGCAGAGAATCCTCTTTCCGAGGAAAAGTCTTGCGAAATGATCAGTACTGTTTCAGGAAGAGGATGCAGAGGCACTCAAACTTGGGAGTTCATGTCTTCCGCTCCAACTGCGAAGTACTATAGATCCAGCTTCGATGAGGACATCTTTGCTTCGCCTTTCGAGCGGGTGGAGGGCTCGTTCAACCTCCGATTTGTCGACCCTCTGGACCCATCTCCAGCCAAAGGGGGGCCATTGCACAACAACATGACCCTCATCAGCACCTGTGTCAAGCCCAAAGTGACAATTCGACTCTTCTCGTGTGCTCCACCGCTTTATCCCCTATTGGCATCTTCATGGGAGGTGGCGGTTTTTTTGATCAAATGGTCTTTCATCCTCCCCATCTCCTTGATTAGGATTGTAGTGGAGGCCCTGCGCATCCGCTTCAGAGGGAATATGCCATATCTGAACAAGCCAGATGTGAAACCCAAGAGCGTTCCTCGTGACGCTTCAAGGACAGAACAGTATGTACCCCATCCCGCGTTCCTTGCTCGTGCTCACGCCCATTCTCTCCTCTGATTTCTATGATCTTCTTTATCTGACTTGTCCCTTTCCAGGACTGTAGAGCCTTTCTTTCGGCACTATCTATCTCCATCTCGTTGAGACATGCACATTTCCCCTCGAAGTAACCTACATACCTGCAAAGTCATTGCATCTTAGGCCTATCTCTATGTGTTCTCCTGTCGAGACGGTAACACGACCAAATCTGACGATCCAGCCCCTTACACCTCAGTTCTACACAAACATCTTGAAATACACAGATCCCGCATCCGGCTTTGCTGCCGAAATGGAAGACATACCACAACCCTGCGACCCGATATCGCAGCGTCTCTGGGCTTCTGACGCGGCGCCTCTGCAGAAGCTGATCGCGCATGCAAGGGCCCCCCCTGGCTTTGGAGGTATCCCGGGTCTTCCCGCCGTGGCAACGGGACAAGATCGTCAAATCCTTCATGGACACGTTTGTTGAGTCTAACTTTCCGGTCCGCGCATGCAGAAGGTATCAGGCTGCCAAGGGCGACTGCTACATGACGGAACGGTTTGCGCACGGGTCGTACAGAATAGCAGCGGTGTACGGCTTCTTCATTTCGCTGATGTGCATGTGGGCCCTTATGAGATGCTTGTGTTAGATGATGTATGGCTTTCCTACAGTCATGAGGCCTGAGTACTACCTAGTGGTCTCAAGCGTGGGCATTGAAGGGCTCATGTTGGGGAACGGGCTTTGGGGCTCGATCTATGGGTGGCCTGAAGTATAATTGTGAAATCGATCGACCCGAGAGAATGGGCTAGTGTATGAGCCGTTATGACACGAGGTGCATCATGCACCTCGCTTTCAAATGATATGCAATCGATCCCTGGGAAACCCTAGTCCGTATGTCTATATACCCTTATATTGGCTGGCCAATAGCCCGTCATATGTATCACGGTAACTGCATGTCAAATCGACGGCTGTGAGGCTAACAAGCAATGGAACTTGTGTCCACTTCTGCGCCCCACCCACCCATCCTCTCTCCTCCTCCCCGCAGAATTGGTTCGACTGCATATTGAACTGCTAATAGAGTTGGGTCATCACGGCTATTCACCGCCGTGAATGAGGACCCTTAGGGTTTATTCCCGTGTTCCCTGATAGCTATCATTGATTTGGCGTCGTTTCCGGCTCAGAGAATCGACATCTGGATGGTGATCTATATCCAACAGGCATTGAGTGGTGATGAATCTGCATTTCCCTTCTCTTATGATGTCAGGATTCCCGGTCAATGCTTGAGTCCGTTTCAACAAGGTCACGCGCAGGTGCACAAATTGCGAAATTGTCAACGCCACAACGGCCTTCACAGGAACCGGAAAATGTTTCATATAGTACTTTACGCAGTGACCTTCAAATTAACAGCCATGAACGCTATGGGCCTTTTAAGCGAAAGAACTTTTTAGCGTATTTGGTAGGTCATGGTGACAAAGGTGCTGCAAGTGGCCGAATTGAGCAACAAAAGCAATTCGGGGCGCGTGGGGCGCAATGTTCATACCATTGGAATTCTTGAAGGACTTGCATCACAGCCTCGACGCAGCCACCATGCCCTGATACGCGAGACCGATAGAGACTGCCTCGACGTCATCCATCTCGTGTTCCTTTCGAGGGATTTCTCTCGTACTGGGCATCGGCATGATTCATTCCGGCAACGGGCTTAATCGAGAACAACACCTCTGGAGCTAGGGTATTTGAGAAGCGAATGGAAACCTCTTTACGTCAATGATTTGATGAATATTGCTATCATTTCTCAATTTACCACCTTCCAATCCTATGCCCTTCACCGTGTAGATCTTAGCCCACCGGGAAAATCAGCACGTATAAGGGCCTAATCATTTGGGAATGGACTGTTAATCTGCGCGTAAAGAGTTGGGAAATGATGTCAAACTTATAACGGAAAGAAAATATGTCCAACAATCTCGGCAGCGGAACGCCCAAGGAACTATTTCAAGACCTATTGAATATTATGTGTAGGCCCGTTCGTATCATCTTGTTGATTCGGCTGTCTCGATGTGTCAAAAGTTTTATCTAGAGATTAACATGCATCGACTACCAAATTCGACACTCGACCGAAGGAAGTTTAGGAAGCTTCGGGATTCTTCAAGAGACCCAGTACGATGGTCGGCGGACTTACGCGTCTCCATGTTGGTGGGTCAATAATTGGCTGACACGAGGCTAATTAAGGGCCAGACAACGCTCTCCTTGCCCAGGATTTCAGGCAAATTTCTTGATCGCATCCATTTCCAGTCTATGTAACATGTTTCAGGGATCTCGATTCAGATGTTTTCTCAAAATTTATTAAGGTATTCAACATCACATATTGCTTAGAGTGATATTCGTGGTGATTGCAGCAATGAAAATATTGCCAGCCTCCAGATCTACGCAAGTACCAAGATGTCATCAACCGCTCTATCAGACCCCGAGAGGTATGGCTTGTTTTATTTCATAGTACTCATATAGCCTGCTATGTGGGCATACAACTAGGCCAGTGTCAAAGTCAAAAACGCTCATGACCTCAATTTACAACGAGTGTCTGGCAGGTGCAGCACAATGCAGAAGCCTCGGACAGCTCGGACATCGTTCCAAGTTGAACTTGAAAATACAGTCCTCGATGGACCACGAGCCTCAGCATGCAAGAATGTGCATACGAAGCGTTGGTATTGACACCATTGAGGTATCTCTGGGGTTCGAGCAAGAACAGCCAGTCTTCCGAGTGGAATGTCCAATTCGACCATTTTTTGACGTCGATTTAAGCCTCAATGGACAGGCGGAAGCTTCTCAGCAGTGCAAGCCCAAAGCACCCTGCACCAAGATCTGAGCAGAGTCCAATGGCAGATGAAGTCAAGGTCCAGGATAAAATCCCAGTCCCAACCCAAAACATCTCACCCATCATCCTCGACCGCGAAAAGCACTTTCAACCAAAGACTACACCCCCGACACCCCACGATGATCTCCCCATGCTCAATGTCCCTTTCCAATTCATCCTCTGTAACTAAAAACCCCCTATCGTCACCACACCGACACTCTCGGAACCAACAAACCTCCTCCCCGCCCTCATCGCACTCCAAATCCTCCAGATCAACAATCTCCAACCCAGTATGAAAGACATCCGTCTTCTCCCGTTCCGCGACCTTGGCCCGGTCCAATCTCAAAGCGCGGTCATATTCTGCGCGTGATACCGGGTCGGAGAGGGTTTTGTATGCTGTTGTGATTTCATCAATGGAGTATCGTGCATCGCCGGTTTCGTTCGATGGAGCCTGGAGGCCTTGTGCGATAGCGCTGGCTTTGTCAGGGTGGTGTCTGAGGAGGGCTTTGTGATAAGCGAGTTTGATTGTTTGTTTTGAAAGGCCAGTTGATGTGCCTGTGAATGGGACGCCGAGGATCTGGTAGAAATCTGCGCGGCTGGAGATTGATTTCGTCATTGCGGCGTGAGTTGGCATGGGCGAGGAGCCAGTCGGGGATGAGCACCCCGGATTTTCGATCCCAGGCCGCGTTAGCAAATGGGACCTTGACCGCGCAGAGCAGGATTGTGGTGCCTGAATGCGTTGATGCGGGGTTGAAGGGGTGAAGAATTGAAATGAGGGCGGGCCGCTTGGTGTTGCGCGCCACTTCGGGTGCGGAGCGCAACTTCTCGATCCTACGCAGTTTGCGTATCTACGCATCTGCGACTTGTGATCAACAACCGTTAGCAGTGTCATCTCTTCGTCGTTTACGAGAATCTGCACATCTTGCTACAGCGCGTCTTCGGAAGGTCCTAACCGCTGTCGGCCTGTTGCTGACGAATGCGCAATGCACCTTCGTCTTGAATATACGGATCAAGTCTGGAGGATCTAACAAGGTTACATTGGAACGGTCTCTAGTCTTCTATGTCTAGAACCATCGCGGATATCAAAGCTGGGACAAACAAAAAAAAGCGCAATTTATGCAGACAAGCCCCAAATGGGCAATATCACGGCCCTCACGGCAATTTACTCGGAGGTCTTGAAGACAAAACGATCCTCAGGCTTGACCTTGAAAGGAACACCGTTCTCAAGAAGCTTGACATAGACGTCAGAGAACTCCTTGAAGAAGACATCGGCGTCCTTGGCATAGCGCTCGACGTGAGACTTGAAGCCCTTGTCCTGAATCAGGGCAATGTCACTGGGCAGCATCATCAGAGTGCCGGTGGTTTTATCGGTGTACTGGGTAGGACCGTTCCACTTGCGCTTGTTCCACTTCTCCTCAACGAGCAGACGGAAGAACTCGTTGCTGAAGACGGTAGGGCTGAAGTCCCAGGGTCCCTCGAAACCGGAGCGGTCGGTGTGAGCACGGCCCAGAGCGTGAGCTCCGATCAGAGCGACCATTTCGCGGTCGTCAAAGCCCATGCGGCCGAAGACGTCGCGAATGTGACGGTGACCCTGGGCGGCATCGGGAAGACGGCCATCGGGAGTACAGGCGGCAACGTCCTTGTCCTCACGGCCGGGGCGCCAGGGAATGACGGGGCCACCGAGTTCCTGAATGGCTGCAGAACCGGCCAAAGTCCATAGGTCGGAGTAGGTGATCCAGGGGAACTTTGCCTTGACGGGCTCAAGGAAGTCACGGGCGTGCTTCAGACCGGCGTTGGCGCCGTGGTCAGACTCCGGGGCGAAACGCATGGTGGCGCCGTTGCTACCACCAGTGCCGGTCTCCTTGTCATAGGTACCACTGGCGTGCCAGGCGAGACGAACGAGAACCTGTGAGAATGAAAACCGATGTCAGTTTTTTTCTTTCCCAATTTGCAATGATGGTTCACTTACGGGACCGTAGCTGCCATCATCATAATCGGTCTCGTTGGCGAGACGAGCGGCGATCTCGTCGTACACCTTCTGGTAGTCCTGCTGGGTGGGCTCGAAGGGCTTGGTCTCGCCGTTCAGGTAGAAGTATGCACCCACACCACCGGCAAGACCGAAGGCGAGAGCCCAGATACCACCGGAGCCGGAGGACTTGCCGGAGCCAGCCTCAGAGGCATATCCGCGGCGAGCAGAGGTACGGAAGCCCTGCGCGGGGACAGCGAAGCGGGCAGAGCGCGCGGCCGGGCGAAATGAGGAGGCCGGGGTCGAGCGCAGGAAAGCGCGGGAAGCGGAGCGAGCAGCTGAAGCCATTGCGAGGGTTTGGATATAGGAGGGGAGATGACAATGAGAGAAGGAAGAAGTCGGAACTATAGCCCCTTACAAACTAAATCCTAGGGACCGCAGTCGCAGAAGCAACTGGAATTTCGGCCAATCATTAAGGCATTGCCTCGGTCTTCAAACATCCTCCGCATTCTGCTTCTCCGACTTACCATCTTCCCCCTCCTACTAGGTGGTCCAATGTCTCCGATATTCTACCACAGCGATTGACAATCATATAGCCGATTGCCCTATCCCTCGCTACAGCATAGAAAAGCTCTCCCCTTCTCCTTCGGGGCTATCAGGAGCAAATTTGCCCTTCCGCGCATCTATCGGCTCCACATGAGGCGGGTCTGTAATTATTAACAGCTTGAATACGTTTGGCCAATCTACCGCGGCTACTCCACTACCGCCGCACGGCCTCTTCCGACTGCTTACCTTATCGGCCGGTCTGGCTCTGCGATCTCACTCATCATCGAGTTCAGTGCTTATCAGTTCAGCGCCGTCTAGAATATTTTCCTCTGCATCGGTGGCTCGGACCGTAGTTGAGCTAATCAAGGGTTATCCGAGCTGATCTTATACCTAGGCCTTCGGATCTGGGTCTTTTAGATCCATCGCCCGGACTTAATTAGTAAGACATTACTTAGGAATTTATATTCGCCAGCCTTGAGGGCTAGATATCTAGATAAATCTATATGAAGAGCGCGCATCTGTGCAGTTTTTGGGAATGGCCTGTGCCCGTACTTCTGGTGTTGCTTGTTGCCCTGAAATCCCACCAGGTGTTTCGTGGATGTACTCTTCTGCATGAAATATTGATCTCGAGGGAGCGTCGATATATATCGTCATCATCCCTGCACTCATCGCACCAGTCCAATGGCCTGCTGAATTTGTCACTGCTAAAGACATCTTTAACCATTTGGTAAGATGCGTACTCAGCCATAACCATAGTTGACGGACACCGTGATTGAAACATGTTTGACGCTGAGATTTAGAATTGGTCCTACGGTCCTCAAAAGCCCAAGATTATCAGGGAATCTCAATAGCTTGGAGCACGAATCGCACTCCTGGCCGTTCTTTATCGACTGGTTTTCTTAGGTATTCAAAAGAAGGAACATTCAGCCGACTCCGACTAACATCTAAAATCATGATCCCTTCCTTACGCTGCGATGTGCGAGGCTTGGCGTAGAGAAACTGGGATGGTGTCTGTACAATCCAAAGTCAGGACATACAGGCATATGAAAGGACACAGGCCAAGTGCAAAAAGTTCAAGACTTCCACGCTGTTCAGCCTCGATGCTCGGTTGGTATGATCAACAGTGAAACGGGACAGCTCCGTCGGGTCCTTGTAAGCACGAGGTGAGATTACGGGAAGACCACACAATGCAAGTTCACACACAAATTGTAATTATTCTTTAAATAGGAATGTCCGTCGTAAAATTAGTCCTGCTGTCCGATTAGGGCGGACACCAGGGTGGAGTAGACGCGGCCCTGCTAAAAGCCGTTTGGTTTTGATCTCCCACCGAACGAACGATAAAAATCACCCATGAGACGTCGATGCCACGATGGCACCTCGCGGGTTATGTGGGTATGTATCCAAGATAACTGACTAGGAGACATTGACTTGATCCTCACATTACAGGACCAGGGCAATGTCCGATGCTAGTGAAGCACAGGAATGTCGAAGAAAGAAAGAGTTGCAAAGCGAAAAATTTCAATGAAAAAGACAGGGGCACGTGACCACACCAACAGACGACTACTCATCACGTGACCATATCCATAAAAGTTGAGATTTTCGCGATCCGGTTTTCTTTCATTACACTTATAACCGAACGCATAATCAACCTCCAAATTTCCTTTATGCCATAGGATGGCAGGTCATATTGGCGTACTAGATGAAATTGAGTGCCTAAGGCTCCTCGACGGCACAGGAGAGCTTCGGCTCTCTGCGTGCAATGGTGGATGAGACTTTGGATGCTCGGACATCCCATCTCCTTTCTACGAGGATGTGGCCGTAGACGTAAAAAGAACAAAATAAGCCCCAGTCTGCCTGGAACCCTTGCAGACTAGCCCGGAATCTATTTATGTTAGGACTTGAGTAATCCGGAAGGAAGCGCGGAGCTCCGTCATGACGCTATGTCTGTTCCCTTGATTGCTACGGCCGGTGATGGCTTCTAGGCTAAGTCTAGAAGCTCGATGGCCTGTAGAGTGAAGATAGATGTGCTATTTCCGACAGAGAACGGCCGCGTGTAGCACTTTTCCAGTGTCTACGGTGCAACCTTGAGCCTCAGGAACGAGAACTTGCCCCTCGCAGATTTCCAAATTTCCAGATTTCGGGCCGCATCTTCTTCTCCGCCTTAGTCCCTTGCCCCTTATCCTTTAACCACAATCTTTGCATTGTGTTCACTCATTTTCACAATGCCAAACGGTATTAGCAAGCGCCAGCAGTTGCGCCATGAGAAAGCCCTGGCCGAGTTGGTCCGGTCTGTTCCAGGCAATGACCGGTGCGCCGATTGCGATGCCCCGTCCCCAGGTTTGTCTTGTCCCCTCACCGTAAGGAAACCTCATTAACATCGATTACCAGGATGGGCAAGCTGGAATGTATGCTATCCCGATACATCCGAATGTTCTTATCTTGAGTACCGTACTAATTGACCCCGATAGATGGGCATCTTCCTTTGCATGCGGTGCGCCGCAATCCATCGCAAGCTGGGCACACACATTTCCAAGGTCAAATCAATGAGTATGGATACTTGGTCGGCGGAACAGGTTGATGTAAGTGGGATCTACATCCTTCCCATACATACGGCAGCTGACCACGCGACACGGCAATTAGAGTATGAAATCGCACGGCAACCTCCTCATGAACAAGATCTATAATCCCAAAAATATCAAGCCGCCTGTCCCGACCGACGTTGACGAAGCCGACTCATGCATGGAGCGTTTTATCAGACAAAAATACCAGTACCGCTCGTTGGAGAGTGGAAGACCCAAGCCTCCAAGCCGGGAAGACGAGAGTTATACCAGGAGCCGTGAGGACAGACGCGAACGCCGCCGTGAACGCGAACATGAACGCGACTCATCCCCGAGGGATCGCCTCCTCCACTCCCGCCCAAATCAGGATATGGGTCTGGGTCTGGGTCCGGCAAGTTCTTCGGGCGCGGTCTACGGTCGTCATCCTCAACCTCGAACCTCCGTCGATTTGGGACCAAGAAGTCCCCGGCTCCCGAACAGCGACCCTGGTCCCCTAATTTTCCGAGGAAGACCAGTGGTCTCGGTGCGCCGGTCGCAGATGTCACGACTGACTCATTCGAAGCGAAGATGGCCGCTCTGCGGGATATGGGCTTCAATAATGACCGACGGAACGAGATGGTGCTCCGTGGGCTCAATGAGAATCTGGATAAGTCCATTGAGACATTAGTGAGACTCGGTGAAGGTAACGGTGCTTCATCGCGGTCTAGGACGCCCGCAGCAGCAACTACCACAGCAACTACCACAGCAACTGCTGCGCGTGCGACAACCCCGAACCCATTGGCCTCTGCCAGTACGAACCCATTTGATAGGGCCGTATCGAACCCAGTCCCCCAGCCGCAGTCTGCATCTCATAACCCGTTCGATCGACCGATAGCCACGACGAACGCAGCAGCGCAACCTCTAGAGTCGTCCTTCCAGAACCTTCAGGTCTCCCAGCCGTTGTTCCCCCACTCGACTGGCGGATATCCAGCCCAAACGGGCCTGATGCCTCAGACACAATACCAGCAGCCTTACACGCCTCCTGTTACCGCGACATTCTCGCAGAATCCTTACGTATCCTCACCTCAGCCTATGGACAGTAGTCATAACCCGTTCTTCCAGACAGCACCGCAGCAGAGCGGCTTGGGTGCTCAATCTTATCCGAACCCGAGTGCGCCCCAGAACAACCCCTTTTTCAATAACGCGCAGCCTCAACAGCAGCAGCCTCAACAGCAGCAGCCTCAACAGCAGCAGCCTCAACAGCAGCAGCAGGCAACTCAACTCTCTGTGCCTCAGCTGCAGCATGCAAACACCATGCCTGCGTTCTCTTCAAGTTTGCCATTTGGAAGCTCTCCATTTGGCTCTTCCCCGTTCCAATCACAGCCTCAGCAGCAACAGTCTCAGCCTACTGGCATCAGCCAGGGATCTTATAATCCGTTCCAGCAGTCAATGGGACAGGCTTCTCAAAGTGCTGGTGGGTATCCCAACCAGTTCCAGCAGCAGCAGCAGCCGCAGCAACAATATCAACAACAATATCAGCCTCAACAACAATCGCAATTCCGACCGCAACAGCAACAATATCAGCAACAGCAGCAATTCCAACAGCCACAGCAGCTCGCTCCTCAAATTACGGGCCGAATGGATAAAAACAGCATTCTTTCTTTGTACAACCTCGCTCCATCCCAACCCACTTCAGTCCCTTCAATCCCCGAGCAATATCAAACCCAGCCAACAGGAACCAGCCCCGTTCCACCCCTGACGAATTCCTTCAACTCGACCCCTCAAACCCAACCCGGCTCAAATATCACAACCCCTCAACCAAGCAACGGCATGACCACCACAGCATCTCGCAACCCCTTCGGCGCCGCAACCGTCGGCTCAGGCCTCGCCGCCCAAGCCGGCGTCAATTACCAACAAACTCCTGGCCTAGGAATTGGCATGGGCGCCAACCCCACCCAACCTCAAGGCTCGAACATGAATATGAACATGAACACAAATATGGGAATGGGAATGGGAATAAAACCCTCCACGCAAGGGCCCCCTTCTTCAAACGCATTCCCTCGAATGCACATGAGCCAGCCAAGCGTGGACATCAACGGCCTTCAAAATGGGCGACACAGCCCTGACGCATTCGCCAGTCTGAGCGCTCGCTACGGTTGATTTGCTTTTGTCTTATGAGACCTCGACCATGACCCATGCCTTTGTGATATAGAGCTTTCGCTTTGAACTTGTTTCTTGAGCTTGAAAAGGGATGGCATTTGGTTTACTGTTATTGTTTACGAGGATATACACGGATCAATGACGGGCTTCATGTTCATCTTTCTTCGCATGTGTGCATGGCTGGGTGTACCTGTATATTTTAGCTTTCAGTTCTGACTCTCCCTTATACTTTCTTTCATTTTCATCTCCGACTTGATCTTCGCGATCTTTCTTTGCTTTTATTCTTTACTGTGTTACTGTACATGATTCTTGGTCGCCGTTTAGCGCGTCAATGGTATATTGTGCTCTCTTTGACTTCCCAAAATTGACCTCAATCTCGATCCAGGCGAATATATCTATTGTCTCTTCAACTGATATTAATATCAATATCCAAGTCAAAAGTATTTATTACTCTATTCACTCAAGGGTATTATGTAACAGGAGATCCATCATAATTAGTACCCAGCCATGATATTTCCTAGCGGGTTCCTGAGATCATGACCATAAGTCGCGTACTGGAATGCGCTTGATTTTGGACTTACCTCCCAAAAAAGCAGGCCAAGAAGGCCACGACGAGGGCAAAGAAGGGATCCAGCTCCGAATGGTGGGACTTGGTTTACGGAATCTTGACAAGAAAGTATCCCAACGGGAACGGGTGGTCCAGGGCCATGTTCTTGAAGATCGGGGTGCGAAAAGGCTCTTTGCAGAGCGTTTCCAGGTGACCCAGGCTGAGGATGGAGAGGGTTTCGCCAGAAAAGGGACGAAGGATTGCCATGTGCGCTCTGGTTGGCCTAGGGCTTCTTTCTTGATTGCTTCGACAATTCGGTCGAATTGTTGGTCTAGGCTTTCTCTTTCCCGTCGATGGGTCTCGGCCCGCCAGGAGTCTTGTTCACCTGGGTCGAGACACCAGACGACTATGTCTCCGTGGCGGCGCCAGTCGTCGTGCCAGTGGGTGTTGTGAGTGCGCCAGCATTCGCCGTATGAGGATGCGCGGAGGAGGTTGTGAAGGGTTGGCTCGAGCTGGGAGAAGAAGATGAGGTAGTCCGGCCACTGGTGTTGGGTCGGGTTGGAGGGTGTTGAAAGAGACATGGAGCCTGAAACGTAGCTGGGTCGCTGGGGGATACGGTGAAGTCCACCAACCATGTGTTTGCGGAGGAATTGACTCGGGTCATCGTAAAATTGGTCTGCTTCGTCGCGGTAGACGGCTTTCTCTTCCGCGCTGAAGTCGACCGGGGGTTCGCAGGACAATGCCCATGCGTTGATGGAGGGGTAGACCAAGTGTGAGCGCCAAGGTGTGCTGTGGCAAGGCATCAAGAAGCCAGCCGTGATCCCTGGCTCGGGAATTGTGCCCACCAAGTGGCTATAAGGGGTATCTTGTCCTTCCGCAGCATGCAGGTCATGTTGATTGCGTAGGTAAGTCAGGACGTTCAAAGCCCCTGAACCATGATATACGGTGGTGTATAGAGCGATTATCAGGTTGGAAAATAGGAGGAAGAGGAGTGTAAGTCTCTGAGGAGTGTGACGAGATGACCGCGAGTATACAGCTGGGTAGAAATACTGCACTAGAGGCGGCGCAGCAAGAATGTGCAGGGATGGGAGCAAAGGGTAGATGAAGCGTACTTCCTTATGGGCAATCAGAGACAGAAGGAATGGCATCACAACGCAAACTGTCGCCAATTGCACCCGGATCGTTGTCTGCACTTGGTCAACGGGAGAAAATGCTCGAATCTTCAAGGTACGATAAAGACCGATAAGGGCGAAAGGAAGCGCAGTAGTGAGCAAGAGTGGATATCCCTCGGTGACATAGTAATCCCATCTATTCCGGCCATAGAAGACTGCCAGTGACTGGGCAATATTGAAGTACAGGAATCGAAGGGGAGGGAAAGTCCAAAATCCATAAAAGAGACGATCTGAAACGGCGGCCGCCGCGAGAACTACGGATCTTGGAAGACTGTCAGCTGATTCACTTTGAATGCAATAATGGTGGACAAACCCGCAAAGCAGGACTTCGCGTACAAGGACTTTGCGCTGCAGCCAGAATATCCGAAGCCAAGCGACACTGGCCAGAGTAGCCCAGATCAGAATATTGGTAGGTCGGAGGATGCAGGCGAAGGCTGCCAGGCACAAACATTGGCGAAGACTATATGCGATGCGCGTCAGTGGCTACTTATATCAAGACTGGTGCTTCTCCTACCTCCACAGAAGCTTCGGATCTTCGGCTCTGCTCCTCTCGGTAGCACTCTTGCTGAGTTTATCATCGGATACAGCGCCTGCTGACCATTTCCATGGCCACAAGTGCAGCGCGACAATTGTCAGGGTCGTTTCCAAGCAATTCGACAAGGTCCGTGTTGAGCAAAAGAATTGCCACGGACTGAGGACGGTGACGATCAACTGGAGCCAGTCAGCCAATATCCTTCCTCACAGCCCAAATACTGTCCACCTACCGCTGTCCAAGCGCCGCGAGAGTCAGTTCCATAGACTCGACTTGCAAGTTTCCAGGTGTAGAAATCGCCAATTGCCGAGACAACGGCCTGCGCTGTCTTGGGGCCGGCGATAAGGAGGTCCGCGCGCGTCGCGGCAGGGAGGTTGAGAGCGGACGCGAGAAGGTCTATGACTTTGTAGATGGCGGCGAAGAGCAGGGGATGTAGAGAAGATCGGAGCTGGTGTTCCCATTCCTAAAAGCCGATTAGACACATCGCATTGCGAACGCGCTTGCGACGCCACTCACCCACGTCACCCAGGCACCCCGATCTTTTCCTTCGCCGTGGCCAAACGCAACCTGCCAAGCGGGTTCCAGCGACTGAAAGAACTCATCGGGCTGGAAGAATGTGCGGACAACGAAGGCATTGACAATTCGAAAGGCGATGAGGAAAAGGAGGATATTGGTCGCCGGGGAAGGCGGATGCGACACGCGACGTGTCGCATTGGTGGTCATGGAGGAAGATACGGAAGAGGACATCGACGACACCGAGGACGACATCGAGCTCGACATCGAGGATGCGACGGAGGCCGGCATGGTCGACTGAGCGCAGACGAATAGCGGTTGAGCTAATCGCGGTTACCACTCAACTTAGAGATCCATAGTGGATAGCGGGGATGACATCAAGAGGACAAGTCAGGACAACCAGGGCACCACAACCGGGCCGGGCAAGTGAAAGCACTGATTGGAAGCCTGACAAATAATATCTGGATCTTCTGGATCTTCTGGATCTGAGAGACAGAAAAGACCGAGCGAGAGTGGGCAAGTTCGTGTAATCCTGCTTATAGGGAACAGTGGATGAGGAGGGTATCGCGGACTCGCGACAACCTGCACTTAGGAGAAAACCACTTGCACTTAGCGGAATAGCGGCGGATCTATACGCCACTCTGTGCCCACGTTCAGAGCCTACATATTTTGGAGGTCTGCCTTTCATTCTTTCTTCTTCTTTTTTGTTTCTTTCAATCATTCTTTCTTCCGTCTTCAAAGTTTTGACTTCTAGTGGTCCCCTCATACCTCCTTACCCCTTCCCCTACTTTCTCCAATTCTTCCCCGCAAATCCACTCTTATCCACTGACACTCTTCAACTTCCACCATGGCTACCAACGGGACCAACGGGGCTAACGGCTCCTACGCCCATTATCACGCTGCCTCGACCGGAGGAGGCTATTCATGCGGAGCATGAGTATGCGGCTCACAACTACCACCCCCTGCCCGTGGTCTTTGCCCGCGCTAAGGGCACCTCCGTCTGGGATCCCGAGGGCCGCCACTACCTCGACTTCCTCTCTGCTTACTCCGCCGTGAACCAGGGTCACTGCCATCCCAAGCTGGTTGCGGCTCTAGTTGAGCAAGCCTCCCGTGTGACCCTGAGCTCTCGCGCGTTCTACAATGACGTCTTCCCCCGCTTTGCCCAGTTCGTTACCAGCTACTTTGGTTTCGATATGGTCATGCCCATGAACACGGGCGCGGAGGCCGTTGAGACTGGTATCAAGATCGCCCGTAAGTGGGGTTACAAGGTCAAGGGCATTCCCGAGAACAAGGCGATCATCCTGTCTGCGGAGAACAACTTCCACGGTCGTACTGTAAGTGTTCCCCTCGATCCCTACTTATCCCTGAAAGACCTTGGTGCTGTTGGCACAGTGGCTGACCATGGTGGTGCCCCTTGCATTAGTTCGCCGCCATCTCCATGTCGTCCGACCCCGAGTCCCGTGAAAACTACGGACCTTACCTGCCCGGTATCGGTAGCGTCATCCCCGGCACTGAAAAGCCCATTGCCTACAACGATAAGGCTGCCCTTCGTGAAGCCTTCGAGGCCGCCGGCCCCAACCTCGCTGCTTTCCTGGTCGAGCCCATCCAGGGTGAAGCTGGTATCGTTGTCCCGGATGTGGACTACCTGCAAGAGGCTCGCGCGCTTTGCGATAAGCACAATGTCCTCTTGATCTGTGATGAGATCCAGACTGGTATTGCCCGCACTGGCAAGCTCCTCTGCCACGAGTGGAGTGGCATCAAGCCCGATATGGTCCTGCTGGGCAAGGCCATCTCCGGTGGTATGTACCCCGTTTCATGTGTTCTTGGCCGCAAGGATGTCATGCTCACCGTCGAGCCCGGCACTCACGGTTCCACCTATGGCGGTAATCCTCTCGGCTGCGCTGTGGCCATTCGTGCTTTGGAGGTCGTCAAGGAGGAGAACATGGTTGAGCGCGCCGAGACTCTTGGCCATATCTTCCGCCAGGGACTGGAAGATCTGAAGAGCCCACTGATTCAGACTGTTCGTGGTAAGGGTCTGCTGAATGCTATTGTCATTGACGAGTCCAAGACCAATGGCCGCTCAGCCTGGGACCTTTGCATGCTGATGAAGGAGAAGGGTTTGCTGGCCAAGCCCACTCATGAGAACATCATTCGTCTGGCCCCGCCGTTGGTCATTACGGAGGAGGAGATTGCACAGGCTTTGAAGATCATCAATGAGGCCGTGACTGAGCTTCCTACCCTGAAGGGCAAGATCGGCGGAGAGCACTAGAGAAACCGAGAATCGAGAGTTGGCGATCAGGTACACCCTGACATATACCCCAGATGCACAGCAGCTTGATAGACAAGGCTCACTGGATGGGACTTCCCCATCCCATGACGTGACGATGGAACGGATTTCAAAATTGTCTGCCTTGGCTACAAAACCTAGACGGTACATTCAAGTGCCATTGGATTAGCGGAATCAAATTCTTTAGTACCTTACCTCAGACTCAATGTCGAGTAGATTGAATTTCACGTCAAACAACCACACCGCGTAGTTCCTACCGGTAGTCTCAACAGAGTCTAAGCTATCATCACGTTTTCGTCGAAGTTCTCTCTAAAGGGCCAAGAGAAGAACGTTCATGTGAAGCCTCGCGCTCGTCTGGATGATCCAGATCTATACAAACGGGATATAATAAATAGCATGGGCTACAAGGTCCACCTTTCCTTTCTATTCCCCGTTCATTCCCCCATGCTACCATCTTCCCTCAGTTTGACATTCAACTATCACCAATGCAAGTATCATCCGTCCAGCAACACAGGATACTTAAAATTACGACTAGAGCCGACTCCATAGGCCGCTAGATTGCCAAAATTCCTGGGCCTTTTTTGCAGCTGCGCTTACTACACTCCCGATTCTATCATTACTTGATACCTGGAACAATGGTACTACGGAGTGTGTTCTTCCAATATTGACAATCCTGAAAACCCAATTTGCCGATGACTCGGATACATTAAACAGGGTAAATGCGTCAAATGAGACTACAGTTTGACAATAGTAAGTGTCACTCGTTAATTAGCAGTTCTTGTCCACGACTCCCAACGAAGTTGGAAAGTGGAAAAGTCATTAGAGATAGGCCACCCGCGGGAACGTCTAAGTCGTGGAGGGTACATACTACTTAGGTAACATCACTGCAGAGCCAAGGACCTTACCGATTGTTATCTAGTCAAGTTCGAGATCACTCAATCCGTTTGCTCATTGTCGCTTACTTTGCTCGCCTAAAGTTAGCGCATTTAGCACATTTCAGCACCCTCAGTGTACCAATTGACCATCTTCTTCCCCCGTTTTGTCTCTACCCCTTCTATTCTTTCTTCTATTCTTACTTCCAGTTTCAAGTGCCGGCTCCTAGCCTCCGATAATCAATATGCAGGTCGAAGCTTCCACTCGTGCCTTCGTCTTGGCCCTCAAGTTCTCAGGCAACACCAACGCGGAGATCGCAGATCTGACCGGCCTGCCTAAGCGCTCTGTGCGTGGTATTTGCGATTTCGCTGTGAACAAAGGATTTGATGTGGACAAGCGTCCTCTGGAGATAAAAGATGAATACTTTGTCACTCATATCCGCGGCGAGACGAAGAGATCGCCCGAGAAGAAGACCGCTGTGAAGAAAATGGCTGCCAAGAAGAAGAATGTCATCGCGAGGGAGGAGGAGCAGGAGGGAGAGGCGGAGGAGAAGAAGGAGGAGCTCGCTGGATTTACGTGAGTATCACCGTAGTTCCATGAAGAGTCGTACATTTGAGCTAAATGCTGCGCTGTAGTGACGAGGGCAGCGAGGTTGTTTAGAAGATCTGAGAAGCTTCTCAATGCGGGAAAGGGGCATAGGGAATGGAGTGAATGTGAAGCGTCAGGATATGGAGAGTGAACATGAAGCTAGGAGGAATGAGCTTGATATGGAGACCTGATCATGAGAAGTCGTCTCCGCTGAAAGGAACACTGGGATATGGATGTATCAGATGGAATGCCGAACATTATTACTACCCGATTTTGAGATCCTTCCTAGATGAACACCTGCTAACTCCTATTCTTGCCACGCTGGTCGACCTTCCAACGAGCAGATGTATTACTTGAGGTCGGCGGCCTAGGGAGCAAGTTGCCCAAGAGATAACCATGAGTATTGATGTAAGAAGGGAGCTTCAAAAAGTGAAGTCCTTGCCACGTAACAGGGTAGCATTCTTTTACCAAGGTACGGTCTTTCTAACTACCTGGTGCCCACAAGCTTCAAGTTATCACTTCGACCTTTCTCTTTCACTTGCAGAGCTCATATCGAACCTCGACGTCCACTCTATTATCTCGTCTCCAGCCACAATTTGCAATTGTGAAATTTGACACTCCATTCCAACAACGCATCTCCATCTCTGCTCGTCATTCGTTTCATTTTTCAACATGGCTCCCCCAACGGATAACACCACTCGAGGCGTGATCCTTGGCCTCAAGATGGCAGGCAAAGGGAACGCCGACATTGCTGAGATTGTCGGGATGACTCCAGGTGCGGTCGGCATGCTCTATTTTCGAGCCCTCAAAAAAGGGTTTGACCCAGAAAAGCGACCTTTAGGGGGTCTCCGATGTCTTTTTCGGAAAGGGAAGCACTCAGGGTAGCCCCAAGAAGGCAAAGATCCGAGCGTCGAAGACGCCCCCCCATTGATCGGACCGAGGAACCCGCCGAGGAAATCGATGAGGAAATGTAATGTCTCATTGTTGGCTGGAAAAAGCTTGCAACTTTACTGACATGCTACAAAAAGTTAGGTTCGAGGGCGGCGATGCATAAATGGATGCCTCTACTGCAACGGTAATCTGGCAAATCTACATACAAGGAGACAAGTGAATCGGGCAAGAGCAATTGTCACCAAGATCGGTGAGGTGCAGGGCACAATAATGGAGGATTTCATATGTGACAGCTAGAAGTCTAGAAGGCTGTTAATTCAAACGCGCATAGGTTGTCAATGAAGCCACAGCTCTCCAAAATTACCTGGGCACTTAGATGCTGGCATCTCACGTAGATTGCCCGGGGATATTGCAGCAGAATGACTGCTCTTCCCCCTTTCTGTCACTTACTCTCCCTCTCTCACTTCCTTGTCCCCAACTTCCATCCAACATCTAGAAGATCCAATACTCAAACACGTACCTTTTTTCTGCCTACCCACACACTCGTTCATCATAATGGCCCGCAACACGGTTGACATCAAAGTTCGAGTCATTGTCCTGGCGCTGAAAGCCCATGGCAGCTCCCATACCGAGATCATCGAATACACTGGGCTGAGCAAAAGCACAATCAAGCGGATTCTTGCCAGAGCAGTTCGCCAAGGGTTCGATCCTGATAAGCGTCCTCTTGAGATCTCCGACTCTCACCTCGTTGAAGGGACTAGTGCCGACGAGGCGTCTCCCAAGAAGCAGCAGCATGATGCTGAGCCTGGGTACGTGTTGTTTGCTGGCGCAAGACAACCGAGCTAATCTTTGATACTTGCAGGTCTGAAGATGACACCGCTTAGGCAAATCTTACACCGGCGCTTGTGGGTACGTGAACGGAGGTCTTCATGGAGAAGCGGCTGGGGTGGCAAGCACGGTTGATACAAAGAGTCAGGGGAAACAGATTCTATGGAGCATAGACACTCAGATCGCTCGGATATTGCTTTCTACACAATGGAAGTTGCGGATCTTTTATCAATCTTTAGACTGTAGATCGGGTCCTATTCTCCTCAACTGTGTCCATCATCCGCTGTCTTAGATGATTGTATATAATATGAGAATGAGAAGCTGGTACACTCGGTTGAGAGGGCCAAGGGAAAAGCAGATCATGAGCCTTAGTAGGGGAGTCTCAGGATGACTAGAGGCATCACGGTATTTAAGGTAGCTACCCAAATAGAAGTGAAAGCGTGGCCGAGAATTGTGAAGACAGCATGTAGCAAGGCGTGGCGTGACGCGACTGTCTTGATTGACTTTGACGGACTTTGACCGACTCCAAGTGAGAATCATTTTACTCATTCATCCACACGTCTTCAAATTCGTCTCTTCACTAACCCTCTTTATTCACCGCCATTTCTCTGTCCCATCCTTTTTTTGCTTCAATAATGCCTCCAGCAATCGAGCCAGGAACACGGGCCGTCATCCTGTGCCTTCGGGCGAGTGGAATCCCGGCAAAAAATATCCAGCAGCTTGTCGGATCACCCATCAGCACCATCAACGGACTCTACAACTCAGCTCTCAAGAAAGGCTTCAACCCTGACTCCCGTCCCCTTGAGTTTAACGAGTACATCACGGACTCTCCTCGTCGTACCGATGAGTTCAAAGTCAAGAAACCGGGCACCAAGAAAGCGTAAGTTCCAATCGACAAAGTGGGCAAGCTTAGCCCCCATCACTGATGGACACAGCGCTGGCACCCCTACTCCCCGCCCTCGTGCGGCTCGCAAGAATAAGGCTGCTGCTGAGCCTATTGAAGGATATGTTCAGGGCCATACGGATGAAGATCTCGAAGACCTCGAAGACCGCACCGAGCTTCAAATCAAGAATCTCATCGAAGAGCCCGTTGAGGAAGAGTACGTATGGATATTGAAACTTTCGAAGACTTGTACTAATCATGCTTGCGAATACAGGTCTGAGGACTTCGAGACCTAGATAACTCATCCTTTAATTACATTAAAGAGTTGATCAGAAGGAAAGGTTCCTAAGTCACACAGGCTGACCTTAAACCTGGCAATGGAAGAGTGGAGATAGCTGATATGTGTCTCGAGAGCGGGTAAATGAAACCCAACGGCATCTTTACCTCAATGAATGATATGTGAACCTTACTTTTCAAAATCCTTTCCCTTAAACCTCCAATGATTGAGCTTACCTGGCTTGCAGTAGGCACGCCCATTGATGTTGTACACACTGGGCCCATATCGTCTAGGATACTCTACCATATCTACGGATATGTCCCAACGAAACGAGTCGCTAAATGAATTTTGCGGCCCGCTGAACCGCTGTCTTCATTCAGGATAGCTGGGAGAGGGGTTTGTAAGCTCCAAGTGCCCCGAGATATTCCACCATGGAACGAAGCTATGAGCTCCAGATCTGGCTGCATGTCTCGGCATAGCACACCGCTTACATCTCCAACATGGTTGCTTATCTCAAATTCAGGCCATTGACACCATGCACACGCGGAGAGCCTCAAAATACCTTTAGAGTTTCTTCGCATTTGCTCTGGCTCTTCTTTGCAGGCAAAACTTCAACGACGGCTTCTAAGAGACAATTAGGCAGTATATCATGACATGGCTGCGACCGCCATCCCCACAGATAAGCCGTGGCATATGCACGCACTTGGACCTTAGGGGCGGAGATAGAGACCAGAATTGTCCGAAAGAGGAAAACAATAAAGGCCGAACAAAGATCTCCCCACTTCGGGGTATTCGCGTTATCCATTAATAATGACATCGGGACTCGCGGGGCTTGCTAATTCCGATTGCCGATCGACGTCCGTGGTTAGACTCCTGCGCTAAGCGAACGCGAAAGCGAGTGGGCGCGAGCACCTCTAGTAGGGGCAGCCTTCAGTGACCGCCTTCTCTAGCTAAGCTAAGACTCGGAAATCGGGGTTATTTGCGAAGCTAAGCTTCTTCGAAGTGGTGGAAACGTCGGGGTGGTATTCGCCCACCCAAAACTCTCTAGCAAGGCAGGATTTGAGGCGCTCGAACCCTGCAATCCTATCTTCTCTTCTATTCCCCGTCAGAATTCAGCGTAAAACCCCGAGTGACTCATCGACTTATCTTGATCCGAGAAGTCCTAGTTATGAAGTTGGCGTGGTATCGCGTTGACGCCCGTTTTCAGAAGCCACGTCCGCCCCACATCAATTCTGGACTGAACTCTTGATTCCATACGCCTCCCATCCGACTCTTTTTTCCTCGTCTTCCTTCAATAGACTCTGACATTTGTTCGCTTGAGCCATGTCGGTGCCTCCCGAACCACTGACACAGGTCGTGGTCGCGGACAACGAGAAGGTCCAGGCGGCCTCGAGCGATCAGTCAGCATCGGGAGATTCGACCGAGGCCAAGGCCCCGGATAATGCGCTGCAACCACCAGACAAGAGAAAATGGAATCGCAAATTAAATCCTCTGCGATGGGCAACACCGCCACCGGTCCCTGAAGAAAGAGCACCATCGAGAGAGTATGGCGCATCTTTCTTTAGTATAGTGACGTTTCAATGGATGTCACCTTTAATGAGGGTAAGTTGTATCGCCAAGCAATTCTCTGGCTCCGGCATTTTTGATCAGTACTGAATGTTAACAAAACAATGTAGGTGGGCTACTTGCGCCCGCTCGATCTGCAAGACGTTTGGACTGTGAACCCTAACCGCACCGTCGATGTCCTATCAGAGCGTTTGGATGCTGCCATGGAGCGTCGAACAGCACGGGGCGGTAAACGCCCCCTGCTTTGGGCGCTGTACGACACATTCAAATTTGAGTTCATTCTGGGGGGGAATCTGCCAGTTGTTTAGTTCACTGTTGTTGGTATTTGCGCCTTATTTGACTCGTTACTTAATTGCCTTTGCCACCGAGGCTTGGGAGGCTCAACACGATGGCCAAGGCGCTCCCAATCTTGGACGCGGAATGGGCTTCGTCGTTGGCATTTCCTGTATGCAGGCTCTACAGAGTTTATGCACGAATCAGTTCTTGTATCGTGGACAAATGGTCGGCGGACAGATTCGTGCAGTACTCATCTCGCAGATCTTCAACAAGGCGATGAAGCTCTCTGGTCGTGCGAAGGCTGGTGGAAAGGCTACGTCGGAGGACATCAAGGCCTTGGAAGCGACTAAAGAAGAGCTCATCAAGTCTAATGGGAAAGGAAAGGGCAAGGAGGAGCAACCGTCTCCCGCTGGCGTAGCAGGCGACGGTCGTGGTTGGAACAATGGAAGAATAGTTGCGTTGATGAGTATCGACGTCGACCGCATCAATTTGGCTTGCGGCATGTTCCACATGATTTGGACCTCGCCTATCTCCATCATCGTGACCTTGATTCTACTGTTGGTCAACATTGGCTACAGTTGTCTCTCAGGCTACGCTCTGCTCGTTATCGGCGTGCCATTCTTGACGTATGCCGTTCGATTCCTAGTCAAGCGACGAAGAAACATCAACAAGATCACGGATCAGCGAGTCTCTTTGACCCAGGAGATTCTGCAAGCTGTACGATTTGTCAAATACTTTGGCTGGGAAAGCGCCTTCCTGAACCGCCTCAAGGAGATTCGCTCACGTGAAATTCGATCCATCCAGACTTTGCTGGCTGTCCGAAACGGTATTCTCTGTGTCTCCATGTCAATCCCCATTTTCGCCTCTATGCTAGCGTTCATCACTTACGCCCTTTCAAACCACGACCTCAATCCTGCACCGATTTTCTCGTCCTCGCTCTGTTCAACTCTCTGCGTATGCCGCTCAACATGCTCCCGATGGTCATCGGACAAGTTACCGATGCCTCAACCGCCCTCCAACGAATTCAAGAATTCTTGTTTGCCGAAGAACAGCAAGAAACCATCGAGCATGACGAGGAAATGGAAAACGCCATTGAAATTGAACATGCCTCCTTTACATGGGAACGATTGCCGACGGATAAAGATGCCGAAAAGCCTGGTAAGAAGGCCGATGCTGCCGCGGCTGCTTTGAAAGAGAAGGAGGAGGCCGAGAAGGAAGCGCCCACAGAACCATTCAAACTGAAGGATCTGACACTGGAAGTGGGCAGAAATGAGCTGTTGGCTGTGATTGGTACAGTTGGCTGCGGCAAAAGTTCTCTTCTTTCTGCACTGGCAGGGGACATGCGGGTCACTGAGGGTAAAGTCCGAATGAGCACTTCTCGATCATTCTGTCCTCAATACGCTTGGATTCAAAACGCCTCCGTGCGCGACAACGTTCTGTTTGGAAAGGATTATGACGAGAAGTGGTACAACGAAGTCATTGATGCGTGCGCCCTAGCCCCTGACTTTGAAATTCTTCCCAATGGGGATCAAACCGAGATCGGCGAGCGCGGTATAACTGTATCTGGAGGACAGAAGCAGCGGTTGAACATCGCTCGTGCTATCTACTTCAATGCCGAAATGGTTCTTATGGATGACCCCTTATCAGCAGTGGATGCCCATGTCGGCCGTCACATTATGGACAAGGCCATCTGTGGTCTTCTCAAAGACCGCTGCAGAATTCTGGCGACCCATCAACTCCATGTGCTTAGCCGATGCGATCGCGTTGTGGTCATGGACCAAGGGAAGATCCATGCGGTTGACACGTTTGATAACCTGATGCGTGATAACGAAATCTTCCAGCGGCTCATGTCTACGTCAGGACAGGACGACGTCGAGGAGGAGTCAGAGGATGGTGAAGAGGTGGATGAGAAGCTCAAGGAGAAGGAGTCAGGTCCCAAAAAAGCTGCGCCTGGCAAACCGGCTGGGGGTTTGATGCAGCAAGAAGAAAAGGCCACCGCCTCCGTTGGTTGGAGTGTCTGGAAAGCTTATATCCGGGCATCCGGCAGCTATTTCAACGCGCTCATGGTTTTCATCCTGCTCGCACTTGCGAACGTCGTCAATATCTGGACCAGCTTGTGGCTATCCTGACTGGACCTCCGATAAGTATCCCTGGCTGTCTACAGGCCAGTATATTGGCATCTATGCCGGACTCGGTGGTATGGTCGTGTTGATGATGTTCCTGTTCTCAACATACATGACCACCTGCGGAACAAATGCCAGTAAGACCATGCTTCAGCGTGCGATGAGGCGTGTCCTTCGCGCCCCGATGTCTTTCTTCGATACCACACCCCTCGGTCGCATCACCAACCGGTTCTCCAAGGATATTCAGGTCATGGACAATGAGATCTCGGATGCTATGCGTATGTACGCGTTAACAATGACTATGATTATCTCCGTCATGGTTTTGATCATTGTCTTCTTCTACTACGTGAGTCTTCCTTGATATTCTCAACCCAAGCACACGTACTAACCGTTCTACAGTTCGTCATCGCCCTTGTTCCATTGATGATCTTGTTCCTACTCGCTGCCAACTACTATCGAGCCTCCGCCCGCGAGATGAAACGCCACGAATCAGTTCTTCGATCCATGGTGTACGCCAAATTCGGCGAAGCTATCACCGGTACCGCCTGCATTCGCGCCTACGGCGTGGAGAACCAGTTCCGCACCAGCATTCGCAACGCGATCGACGTGATGAACGGCGCATACTTCCTCACCTTCTCTAACCAGCGCTGGCTGAGTATTCGACTTGATGCAGTTGCCACATGCCTCGTGTTTGTCACTGGTGTGCTGGTCGTGACCTCTCGATTCAATGTTTCCCCCAGCATTTCTGGCTTGGTTCTGTCTTATATTCTCTCTATCGCTCAGATGTTGCAATTCACTGTTCGGCAATTTGCCGAAGTGGAGAATGATATGAACGCGACTGAGCGTGTCCATTATTATGGAACTGAGCTGGAGGAAGAGGCACCCTTGCAAGGTGTTGAGGTTTCCCCCAGTTGGCCTGAGAAGGGCAGGATTGTCTTCCAGGATGCGCAGATGCGATACCGTGACGGCCTGCCGCTTGTGCTCAAGGGTCTCAGCATGGATGTTAAAGGCGGCGAGCGAATTGGTATTGTCGGGCGCACTGGTGCCGGCAAGTCGAGTATTATGTCTGCTTTGTTCCGCCTGACCGAACTGTCTGGAGGCAGCATCCACATCGACGATCTGAACATCTCCACGGTCGGTCTTCAAGACCTTCGATCGCGCCTTGCCATTATCCCTCAAGATCCAGCTCTCTTCAAGGGCACCATTCGCACGAACTTGGACCCTTTCAATGAACATTCTGATCTGGAACTGTGGTCTGCTCTGCGCAGGGCCTACCTGATTGGTGAAGACACTGCAGGTCCCGACACAGAAGGTCTCCCCAGCATTCCTGGAACCGGCACCACCACCCCAGCCACCGACAGCGACGCAAAACCCCGAAATCGCCTGACCCTGGAGTCCCCCGTCGACGAAGAGGGTCTCAATTTCTCTCTGGGCCAGCGTCAACTCATGGCTCTTGCTCGCGCGCTCGTTCGCGACGCACGTATCATCGTCTGTGACGAAGCTACGTCCTCCGTTGATTTCGAAACCGATCAGAAGATCCAGCGCACCATGGCTCAAGGCTTCCAAGGCAAGACGCTGCTCTGCATTGCCCATCGCCTGCGCACAATCATCCATTACGATCGAATCTGCGTCATGGACCAAGGTCAAATCGCCGAGATGGACTCGCCGATCAACCTCTGGAACAAGACAGACGGCATCTTCCGCGCAATGTGCGACCGCAGCGGCATCACTCGGGATGACATTTTGATGGCCGACTGATTGAAAATTTATATTGCACATAATTAATCACCTCATTGGCAGTCTCTAGGACAGACCCCCGTCATATAATAGAATAATTTGATACCTTCATATCCATCTCACCATCTCAAGATCTCAAGGCTACTCCAGTCTCATTCCTTGTCCAATTCGCAGACGAGCTCCATCCCCAGATTTCTCATCATCCCCTCCACACCAGCATCCTTCCACCCAGCTAGATCCTTCTCGTCAAGATCAACCCTCTGCTCCTCCTCAGATAGCGCACCAACAGGTAATCCAGTATGTCTCACAACAAGCCCTGGCGCTGTCCCGACGACTCTCATCCTCAAACCCGTCAACACATCCCTTAAATGATCCGCCGCCTTGCCACCACCACGCGACCCATATGTCACGATCCCCGCCGGCTTCCCCTTCCACTCATGGAACAGATAATCCAGCGCATTCTTCAAACTCGCCGGAATACTCCAATTATACTGAGGCGTCACGAATATGAATCCGTCATAACACCGCACAACAGCAGACCACGCCTTGGTATATTCCCTTGTATAATGTGGCGTGGGGTCGGAGGCGGGCAGGCGTGCGGGGATGACGGATTCGTCGTACAAGGGAAGCTTCTGCTTGGCCAGGTCCAGGACCGAGAGCGTGATGTGTCGCGGGTCTGTGTCTTCTGTGTCATCGGATACTTTCTTCGTGGGGATCGTTGGGTCATGAGCGAGGACGTCATAGACGTATTGGGTAATTGTGGGGTTCAGGCGCGGGGAACGCGTGCTGCAGGTCACGATGGCCACATGTTTGGGGGGCATGGCTGGAGAGAAGATGCTTGGGGGTGATCTAGCTAGGTTGCAAGGTTATATTGGGTATATTGGAGCTTGCTGGATGGTGATCTTTATTCAGGGAAGCCGGATCCTGGAGAAAGCTTATCGCTTATCTCTTATCGGTGGGGCCACTCGTGCCAAGCTTTGCGATCTACAGCCCGAGGAGTGCTTACAATACTCTTTAAAGAAGCGGCCATGCTTTGGTCACTGCCCTGAAATCTTGAAATTAGTATTGTGATAATGATTAAAGTGCTTTTCCGTGCTAGACTGTAGTATTTGAAAGTTAGAAACATGAAGAGAAAGAGGTGACAGAAGTAAAGAGAATCCCGCATGTCATGGAAAGTACGATGAAGATGACGATATGAGAGCGGGAGCGAGAGAAAATATCCACATCAACATCCAGATATCCATATATAAACAAAAGGTTGGCAAACAGACAGACAAAGGTGTACAAGCCTATACCCAAGAGGGAAACCCTTCATTGTACCTTTCTCCAGATTAATATCTGATGTTCTTTATATCATTGAGCTCAACGTAAGATCGAATGCAATTGTCTCTCATAATGAATAAAAGATCAGAATATAGTAGCACCATCAGCTTCCCATTTTCCCGTCAAATGAAATGCTGTATTTGCGAAGAATTATCATAACATCAACTGCTGCGGACTCAGCAGTATATGCCGTCTTCGAAGCAATTTGACATGTTCATTATCTGCAAGGAGGCGAATTGCATGCTTGGCCAGCGTATCTCCCGGGATTAAAGTTGTATTCATCCCAGAGACCGTCCTTTGCGGCCATGAGATTTCTTTGGAATAGCCATCCACTGCAGATTCGGTGTTTCATGTTGCTCCACCAGAGATACATGATGATGTTGTTGAGGAGCAAGGACCGGTGTTTAGTGGCTTGATTGACAGTAGTGAGGGTGGCAAAAGGGCCTGAATTGTGGTGTATAGACCAAGGGGAAGTAGATTGTTGCAGAGAAGTAATGGGAACTGAGGCTACTTCAAAGTTCTTTAAATACAAATTCCGTAGGTAGGGTGTGTAATGTTGATAATATCAAAAATCCGATCTCGTACCCGAGTAATCAAGTCCGTCGGGGTGGCGGACAAGGTAATAGTGGTCGTACCAATACAGGACATGCAGTCGCTACTATTTGTAATACGAGATCGATCACGCGGGTTTCATCTGTGTAAATTACGGGTCGATCATGCTGACCAATTTGTTCCTTGGCGGTCAGGGCTCTGGAACGACATCACCACTTTAGGCATTCTTGTAAATCATCAAGTCCGATAAAGCCTCGATAAAGCGCCTCGGTATGCGTTTTATCAGTGTCCCATGGCATTCACCGCCGGGCAGGCTCGCGCAATCGAGATTACTGAGCGAGTTGGCTCCTCCATTTCATTATTATGTTCTTGCTCAGTCATTGCCACCTTCTTCTTCACTAAACATGATCAAACGCCTGTTCAAAGACTTATCTTCTTTGCCACGTGGGGGAATGTCTGGTCTAATATAGGCATGCTCATTGCTTTATCCGGGATTTCACGAGGAGAGGACTCGGCGCTATGCCAGTTCCAAGCGTTCCTAATCCAATGGTCCATCTCTCCATTCAACCCTTCATGAGTCTCGGCTTATCTCGAAATACTTACATAGGTTTCCACCTGCCGATGCATTTTGGTCACTCTGCATGGCGCTCGATATATTCTTGACCTGCTTTCGAAGATACGACATGACAATGCTACGACGCCTTGAGTGGAAGTACTTTCTCTTCAGCTATGGCACGCCCTTCATCCCAGCAGTAGTTTTTCTGTTCATCGAGACAAGCACAAAAGGGAAGGTATACGGATCAGCTTTCGTAAGAGAATCCAATGCCTTGAACATGTCCACGTGTACATGACTGACTCGATTGCCAGATCTGGTGTTGGGTAAGTATTGATTGGCGCATTCTCTATTTGGTCGTATATTATGTGCCGATTTGGATTGCGAACATCCTCACTATATCTATATACATCTGGACCGGCCGTGAGATCATTCAGAGTCGGAAGCAGCTTCAACATGTTGTGTTTGATGCAGAGTCGCCTGAACACCTTCCAGACGGCACCTCTGGGTCTTCTGTGCGTCGACTCATGTCAAGCCACGATGCCGGTAGTGAGTTTTTGTGCCAAAATACCAGTCAATCAGGTGCGCCACTTATCATGCTGTTGTTTGCGTACCATGCGGTTGCGACGAAGCTGTCTTTACCGTAAGGCAGAGTCTCCAAGTGTACCTGACACATTATCCTTCCAGGCACATCTCCTACTTCCCGCGAAAGAAATCGTTCCTCGGTGTCAAGTATGGCTCATACACAGGCCACCGTCTGGCCTTTTGCAAAGCGAGCTTTAATGTTTTTCATCTCAATGCTACTTATATGGGTAAGAACCATTCGAAGCAATTCCTACCTTGAGAGGCTATCAGCTCATAACATGTCTATCAGGCACCCTGTACAGCTAATCGATTCTACTCTTACACTCATCCTGAGAATCCGTCATTTGTCCTGAGCTATCTACAATCACTGCTCCTCCCGCTACAAGGTTTTTGGAACTCTTGCATATATATGTCAAGCTTTCATCTACAATTCAGGCGTGTCTTCCACCGGAAAGACTCTGCAAGAAGGTACTTAGTTTAGTGGATGAATTCTGAGCCTTCGCTGTTTTCAGAGTAATCAAACATGAAATTCAAATCCAGTCAGTAAGAGCATAAGTCCAGAAATCATGCCCAAGTTCTGCATCGGCTGAATTGAACGGTGCTAGAAAATCAGTCCAACTTCCCCTCACCCGGTTAGGAAGATCAAAATCCAAACATTTCCGCTTATCGGTCTACATTTCAAAAGTACGTTGAAACAAAGTCTCCGCTTTCGAGATTTGTAAATTGAAATCTGACTGGTTTTCCAAAAGCACTTCGGCAATATGCCATCATCCCAAAGAGAAATACCGAGAGAATGACATGCGCACCAAGTGAAATTCAACTATGTATATGCGGGTGTTGCGTTCACCGTTCGTCGATTAGCGGTATTGAGAATCGGTCAGAGCTCACCAAAGCAAGTAGATCAAGTGCTACAAGTTAAATTCCATATCATCTTCTCAGCAAACGCGGTCAGAGACCAAACGCACATGGAGAACGCGAGACAGCCAACATCATGCGATCCCCGGTGCAGGCAATTGGGGAAAATCAAAGTAAGGAAGAGCGACCAAAGAGTACGCGACACGCGTACGGAGAGTGGAACGTAACAAAATGAGTTTTGGGACCCGCATCACCACGTGAAGACGTAACGAAAACAATGCAAGGGAATTGATATGCTTCGTTTATTCAGGTAGGGTGATTATGATGCAACAGAGTAACAACATCGGAGAGCCTGTCAGTTCATAGGCAGAGAATTATCCAGACCTTTTGCGGCCTCCATCAATTCAGCCCGCGTATCGCAAGCAGCATAGACGAAACGATCATGCCTCACAATCACAAATCGCTTTCTTTTCACGACGTTCCAAATTTGAGATTCATTGTAGCCATGCGGTTCCGGGCGTCCAACGCACAAGTCAGACTGCTCGAACTCCTCTGCAGTGGCAGTTCGGAACAGGAAAAGACCGCTGAACCCATTGGTCTCATCAATGGGGAGACAGTCCTTCTTCTGGACCAGCAAGGTGGCCTCTTTAGTCGATAAGTGACCACCGCTAAGATCATCAATACCGTCCATCTCCTCAATGGCCGCTATCGCCTGGCTTGGTTTGTCAAGCAAAACAACAAGCTGGAAGAGCTTGGTCTTTTCCTTGGAAAAGATCACATCGTCGGTAAAGCGAACCTGATTATCGAGCTTCACGAGTTCCGTGCAGTATGTTTGGGGAAAGGCGATTCCACCGTGGAGGTTGGGCAGGAAGGGCATACCATCCGAGTGGGTGTAGGTGACCGGGCCCTCACTCCGAGGTCCGAGTTCTAGTTGATGTTTGATGGGCGGGATCAATTGCATCACGCGGAATGCCCAGTCCCGGATAAAATTCTGCACTGGGTTACTGCTGCTCACCAACTGTCCATTTCGCAGAGTGGAGTTGAGTGACTTCTGGAATTGTTGGCTGCGTTCAGAGTACCACCCCCGGAGGACCTGCTCGTAGTCTAGTTGAGTTGAGCGGGACCGAGTGAGAATGGCAAGTCGCCAGGCAAGAGCAATCGCATCGCGGAAGCCGGAAGCAATTCCCTGTCCACCGACTATAGATCAGAATTCTTGAGTCAGCATTGAACCCTTTACAAGCAAGGAAAGGGGAAAACTTACAGGGAGGAAAGACGTGAGCGGCATCGCCGCACAGGATGACTCGCCCCATGGCCCATTTGTTGCACTTTCGTGCAGCGAAGCGGAACGGACGAGAGCGAAGGACTTTGATGCAATCGGTTGGAAACTCTACTCCAGTGTCTAGCCTGCAGCGTGTTGTTAGACGAGGTCTCTCTTCAATCTCGATCATCTCTATTCATTGGAGATGGACTTACCCATAGCGAGCACCTGAATGACGAAGGTAGGGGAAGACAATGTCCCGAATTTTGTGCGGCGTCGACATTTCTTCCGGATCTTCACCGGCTTGAACAACGAATTCAAACCTCCAAAGGCGGTCCTTGGTCTGGCCGAAGCGGCCGCAGACTGCCGGTCGACGAGGATTACACAGGAAACGAAAGTCCTTTGGGAAGAACTGGTCGTACACATCCTCAGACGAATAACCTAGTTTCCATAGGGGGGAAGTCTGGGTGAGTTTCTGCTGTTGGCAGGCTGATTTCCCAGTTCAAAGCTACCCAGGTCTCTTCATAGCGACACCTGTGACCGCATGTTAGTCCATAAGGCTTTGTCAGGATTCCCAGGTAGGGTGCGACGTGTGTGAGGGCACGTACTGTTCAGCCCACTCCATCTTAATTCCCCGTGGTTCCAAATATTGCTTGCGCACGTAACCCGTCTTGCCGTCCGCGCCAACCAGGAAACGAGCGCGGATTCGTCGAGTATTTCCTTCAGCGTCTTCATAGCTCGCGAAAACCCAGTCCTCATTTTCTTCAATCGACTTCAGGGTGCATCTGCTTCTCAAAGATGAGTGCTGAGCCCCCTTGATGACGGAACGAAGATGTTTTTCAAGAGCAGGTTGTTTGTGACTTATGACACCGACATGTCCCGTATATCCTTCGGACTAAATCATAGGCAAGTCAGTTCAGATTTCATCAAATGATATTGATTGGGAGGGCAAGACACTGACGGAAGCGGTGTTGAAGCCGAAAATAGGTTTCGTGCCCAAGCTTTGCTGCTCTCCCGGCAGGAACAAAACCTTCTCGATACCTGTCATTGTTAGCGAACGCTACCAAGGCAAAGACTCCAATAGAATGCACTACTTACATGAGCCAATATCTGTATAAATATGCTCATACAGACCCAATCCCTGCATATAACGAATGCCATCGTCGTCAAGAACGATTCCCCTCGGGTCTGTGGTGATGTCGGCCTCTTTCTCCAGGACTATGTTCTGGACCGCCATGCTATCAAGGTAGCCAGAGAGCATAGCTCCGGTTGGTCCACAGCCACAGATGAGAACATCTGTGGTCTCCAATGCGTGGTCAAAAGACATATCGTCGCATACGATCACGAAGATGTGAGGAAATTCTGTGGTTTGAGAATTTTGATCTCACGTCTCAGTGCCCGCTCCTTGTGCAATTTATGTATATATTTCTTAAATGAAGATGGGGCAATCCAAGAGCAGCTGTGGCACTATTGTTGAGCTCAAGACCCTCTATGCTACTCGGCGATAGTTGCCACAAGGGGTCTTCCTCGCAAACAGGTCCCACATGGTCCCCGCATATAAATGACGACTTGGTGTAACGTAATTTATACCGAGCCCGCCACAACATCAGGCCCACCACATACGAAGCCCGCCGCCCTATGTAATTTTGTCTTTTCTGTGTCTTACCACTTTGATTAACCCAGTCTACCATGTAATTGTTCGGAGGAGACCTAGATATCTGTTTAACGAGGGGATGGAATTGACTCTACGATCTTAGCTATTCAAATTTATATGAATCTTGAATTGTAACGAGTCAGTACGTCCGTGGTGAATTGCGGTCCATGCTACGCGACCGAACCATCGGCCGCCATTTGATGGCTACCATACGCGCCCGTACCGATAACTTGATCTAAGGACCCAATCGCGCTTACTTAGTTGATTAGATCAACGGATGATAATATCATAACCCCTAGTTGAACGATAGTACGGATTCTAGATGAGATACACGTTATTGATAGCTCCTAAGCGGTTGTAAGGTCGCGTGTAGACGAGCAAATGCGTAGAAGTGTGAAAAGTTGATGAGCTCGATGTTCTTCTGACCTTTCAATGGTACTGGTCATTCAAAAGCTTCAGAAGTTAACAATAACTGGATTGATGGTGGGCAAGTTACGAATAATGCCCAAAGTGTGTGCCAACATGACATCAGGTTTGTTATAGAGATAGACGTCAGAGCCTTAGCTATAGGAGTAGTGGAACCATTTTCATCGTTGTACACACTTTTGATGTATCAATGCATTCTAACATTTTTCTAGTCAATCACATTATGTGCCATTGTCTCTGCAGAGTATAGTTTACATGTTTGAGGATATAATGCATGGAGAGGACTTTGAATTCACTAGATGCAAAAAACCAAAGTTGATCAATATTCACACATACGTCTACAACCTGGGTTATCTGTTGACTGTACATCATTGAAAGCCACATTCGACTAAATCTGAACAAGACCTTTTGAATGTCCAAATTACCCTAACTTCCACACAAAAAAACCTACTGCAGGAAAGCCAATGGAACCTCAGGACCCCAGATCGCCAAGGACTCATGACCCGCCGGCAAAATGCCAACTGGAGTGTCCTCATTGACCAGGTCACCATCAGCGTAGTGCTCAACCATGTTTCCAGCCGGGTCCCACCAATAGTCAAAGATTTGGGACCCCAGAATATGCCGGCCCACGCCCCAGACGGATTTGTAGCCCTTTCTAGCAAGCCATTGATGTCCTAGGTGCTGAGTATCATAGTCAAAGACCTCAAATGAGCAATGATGAACATGAGACGAAGTTTGACTGGCGCCGATGAAGAACGAGTGATGGTCCGTATGGCCTTGACCCAGGTCCAGATGCATAAATGTGGTCACATTCACTTTATGGCCCTCGATCTCCATGTAAAGCAGGTCTGTCGGAACGATGTTGAAATGGGTGGTGTAGAATGAGAGAAGCTCCTCGAAACGTGTCGTGGAGTAGCCAAAGTGACCCAACTAACAGTCACACGAACAATCGTCAGTACATGGAAAAGAGCATGTCCAACAGAATATGAGATGTCCACTCACTTTGTGCACAGCCGCGGGGCCAGGTTCGAAGCGGTTGAACTGGCGAAGCCTCTGCTTCTCGATTGGGAAGTTGGCCTTCAACTTGTTGGTAGGAACTGTTGGGGCATCCTGGCGTCTTTCTTGGCCAAATATCACATTGACGGGAAATCCGTCCGGGTCCATGATGGTCACCATCTGACCTGCTCCCGGGGCTTCAGATAGTTTCTGGACTTGGGATGCTCCTGGTATCTTCAAGGCCCTGTATTACAATCAATCATATCAAATTAGCATTATTTTTGTTATAAGCAGGTAGATCGCTTCTCTCACTTCTCGAATTCCTCCTTAGAATCAACTGCGAATACCCCACCCAAGAACTTCTTCGGCCCTTTGGTTGCATGGTAGACATATTGATCGACTCCATAGCCTCGGAACCAGACTTCAGTCTCGGTTCTTTTGGCGATCACCATTCCAAAATCTATAATCTTTAGTTTGCATTCGGCATGTGAAAGCGTCCTGGTGACACGAACCCAGCATGAAATCACACAATGCGTCCAAATCGGGAGTCTGATATCGCATATGAGAGAGCCTAGCCAGCCGAACACGGTCTTCGATCTTGATGCCTCGAGACTGGAGCCAACTGAGTTGGGAGGTTTGCTCCGGAGAGGCGCTTGTGTCGGGTACAGAGGCTCCGTGGTTGGCCTTGACCGACGTCTCCATGACTGTCATTGTGAAGATGGGGATGATGTTTGCCTCATGGGGATATGCACTGATAATTGTGATAAATAAGGGCTAATTGGTAGCTGTTTTGTAAGTTATTATAGCTGGCGCAGTCAAAGGGCCCACATCGTCTTCTGCCTAAGGGTTTAGTGGACCCTATGTTGCGGCGGGTCATACCGCCTCGCTCTGGACGATTGTCTGAGGTCGCGGCATCGCCATGCGGTGACGGTGGGACCTATATTATGGAGGCGCGGATCTCTCAATTTTTGATCTATGTTCAATGTCGCGCAGTATCCCCATGCGGGCGTGGTGGGACCTATAATGCGGACATTTGAACCGCCTCAATCTGGATATAAAGTCACATCGCATTAACACCAACGTGGTTTTTCCAGAACGATTCCAAGTCTGGCTTTCAGATATATTTGCATCCTCTTACGTCGTACTAAAATCCTTACTTTTTTTTCTACCAATACCAAGAATGGCCTTCAAGCGACTGGTCCGTTTCGCAGTGGGAGACCGTGTCTCCTTCGGCGATCTACTCAGCGAAACTGGCAGCACGTACAAAGTCAGAAAATTGACTGGTGACCCTTTCACTAAGTTGCAGCCCACTGAGGAGATTGTGAATGTCGACAAGGTGGGTTTTTCAACTGACAAGTTATCTTTCCCTATTACCCTATTAACGACTAGCCAGCTTCTCTGTCCTCTTGATCGTACTCCGCTCATCGTTCTTGTGGGCTTGAATTACCAGAGTCATGTAAATGAAGCCAAGGTTCGTGTTTCACACAATGACTTCTCAGTCGTACATGGCTTGCTGACGAGAACAACCAGCTCAATGTTCCGAAATACCCTCCCATCTTCGTTAAGCCGGCTGATGCGCTAGCCGGCCCCTTTGAGACTATTGACATTCACCCCGATGCTCGTGAGATGCTCGACTACGAAGGCGAGCTTACCGTCGTGGTGGGCCGAGATGCGAAGAACATTTCCGAGGAGGAGGCATTGGACTACGTCCTAGGTTACACGGCCGGAAATGACCTCTCTGCGCGTAACTTCCAAATTCCCGAGGCATCTGGGATGCAATTTGGATATTCCAAATCCTTTGATCAATTTGGACCTATTGGACATACCATTGTTGCGGCCAGCGAAATTCCAGATCCCCAGAATCTTCGTCTGGTCACCAGAGTCAACGGACAGGTCAAGCAGCAGACCAGTACAAATGACATGATCTGGAGTGTTCAGCAAATTGTCAGCCACCTCTCACGAGGTATGACTCTTCGCAAAGGTACCGTCATCATGACCGGCACCCCTGCTGGCGTGGGATTTTTCAACAAGGATTTCCTGAAGGCTGGGGACGTGGTGGAGGTGGAGATTGAAGGCGTGGCGTCCGTCAAGAACGAGATCCGGTTTCCTTAAGATTACTGTGGAGTCTAGATTGTACGCTATCTGAAATGGAGAAAAGAAGATCGATCTAGGAGTGAGAACCAAACTTGTAAATGCAGAAACAAATGCACCGGGTCTCGGCGGGCGGAAGTTGCCACAATCCGTAGTCCAGCCTCACGCCGCCACCTGTACGCATCATCACCTCCTGAACACCAAATCACTAGCTGCATCGTCACCATCATTCAGAAAACCGAAACTACCTCCGCCTCACGTACTTTTGGGAGGGGCAACAATGCAATCTGGTGCTCCTTCTCGATTAGTGGGCCGTCGCCGACCAAAGTCTTCCAAGCAGGAACGTGTATGTCCGATATGTTCCAAAGAGTTCCCCAAGGCGGAACACCTGGCCAGGCATTATAGGTCCCACACAAAGGAAAAGCCGTTTCAATGTGCGGATTGCGGAAGGGTCTATACCAGACAGTGAGTCTAACAACCTTCTCAATTGACTAATAATGAAAATATGAATTGATGATGCTCATTGCTTCGTGAGGGACACATTGCTTCGTCATACACGGTCGCATTGCCGCAAGGATGGATTGGGTGATGTTCTAGACTCTCAAGGGGGAACGGGCGTCCTTCATGTCACTCCTCCCACGACCGAGTCTGGTTTGGAGGGGCCTCCCGCGGCAACATTGCATCCAGTCTCACCATCGGTCTCGTCACCTTCTACGAGTAATATCGCAACGATAAGGACTCCTTCAAATTACGAACTAGGACGTGTGGGAACGGCAACTGTGTCCGGAGGCAATGATCTAAACGTCTCCGCGGGATTTGATTTCCCTATAACATACTCACAGGATACAGGTGTTGACTTGCAGGTGAACGAAGGCCTGGATTTGTCGGGTGTCCCTAGCGTTGAGCTCGAGTCAGGCTGGGTCTCTTGGTTGATGGGCGACAAATTCGACTTGGATGCTGTCAACTCGTCCTTACTACAAGCCACAGCTGGGGAATTCTTGGCTGTTGATCGAATGCCGGACGAGAACCCAGTTGCTTCTGATTCATTCGGCGCTGGTCCACAGGCAACGGGTGCGGGATTGGTGCCGAGTGGGGATGCAATTAGAGAGAAGTGGCACACCAACTGTGAACAGTCCACCTCGGGCGCCATTTCCCCAGACCCCGCCAATGACCGCAATCAAATTGACGACACGTATCGCCACGAGCTCGCTATGCGCCTTGAGCAACGCGTGCAAACCGGAATACTTCCTTCGACGACTTTCCTAGTAAGCTTTGCACCCTTCTTTCTCCACGGAATGACACCCAGTCTCTGGAAGAGCTACAAAGGCATACGGAGGAAAAAAGGAATTAAAGATTGAGGCGCTAAATGATACCTAGCATCTCTGTCTGCAAGCGTATTTCTCCCATTTCCATCCCATATTTCCTATCATCCATGAGCCATCCTTTTTGCCGACTAGGAAGGATGCCATTCTTCTTCTCTCCATTTGCTCGGTAGGCAGTCTCTTTCTGGGCTCTCGGCGAGCAATTGAACACGGTATTAGCATGTTTGAAAGACTCCAAAAAGCAGCTTTATCTTCGGTGAGTCAGAAGGCCCATAAGTTTCGCGCAGTCTTTCAGTCTTGAGCAAACAGATTAATCGAGATTATGGCAATGCAGTGGGACATTATGATCAGTCAAAGACCAGATTCCAAAATCATTGCTATCCAGTCCGCCTTGCTTGGGCAGACATTCGGTCTCCTAATGGGAGTACGTCCTTTCCAAGCCATCGATTCTCTCACCCTGCCATCTGAATCGTGTAATTTCAAAGGCTAACATATGCCCTCGGCTTTCTTTCTGCAGAGGCCTAAGGATTTGGCGGGAATCGAGGCCTTTCATGGAAGTATAATTGCTGTGAGTTTTTGGCAACCCATTCGGTCTCGAGGTGAGACGCTTGCAAAGGCTGACGATGGTCAAGTTGGCACGCAGAGTTCGATTACTCAACCATACAACATCACCAACACTACCTAAAAATCTTTCGAGCCTCCCGAATGACAAAATCCAATCCGCATGGAAGCATTGGGTCGCCTTGGAGGAGAGAAAACGGTAAATATGAAAGATTTACTCAAGGTCGGTATGATTTCACTAATATCGTACAGCACTGTGCTCGGAATCTTTATCCTTGATGCTGAGTTGGCGAAAATTCATCATCATGAACCATGTCTAAGACCTGCCACGCATCGTCTACCGGTCATCTCGTCAGATGAACTGTTTGCGGCATGCAACGCCCATGCATGGAGAGAGCTGGCTCTGCAACAGACTCAGAGTTCTGCGAGCAGGTCGATGAGAGACCGAAATCTTGGAAGGACGAGTGACTTCCAACTCTATGCCACTCTTGATTCTATCAGTGCCATGGCATGTGAGTGCCAGGATCATTTCTCAACGACACTTCATGAGGCCCAGAAATGCCAGGATATGCTCCTATCCTGGTACAAGACGCATCTATCATCCGCTGGCCCTAGTGATATTTGGGCATATCCATTAAAGATTCTCTGGCATTCCACCTTCATCCTCTTATACTCGGATCTCGACGCTCTTGAGCGAGCTTGCGGTAGAGACGGCCCCGAGGTAGCACAAGAAGCCGTTGGATACGCTCGGAAATGGGCAAATTCACAGGACGCGACCAGGGCTCTTGTACATGCTGCCTGCATCAGAAAACATTTCGAATCAATGTCCATTGGGTCCGAGTGTCCACTACAGATTCCCACTTGCCTTTATCACTGTGGGATCATCTGGTTCTGCTTTGGGCACTTTGAGGATAATAGTCACGGAGGCTTGGTGGAGCACAACTTTCCAGAATTGGACCTGGCAGGAGTGAATGTTGGTGAAATCAATGCGGCAGAATTAAGGAACTCTCAAATCGAGCGGAAGGCTGCGAACCAGGTTTTCGGGATCGTCGGATTGCTGCAGAGCATACGCCATTGGAAGCTAGCATTGAGCCTTGCTTCAACATTACTTGCGCTGATCGAGGGACAAGAGAATGTTTTCTAAATTGAGACCCATGGGACTCCTTCAGGGTAGGGATCAAAGACATCTCGGAAGTATTAAGCATCCATAGCAATGATAACCCACCAACTCACCCGCTATATCGCGTGTGAGAGTGCGAAGGTGTTGGGTCTATCACAGAAGCTAGTCTTTCTTTCCTTTATTGTTTTTATTCTCTCAATTCTTATGATTTCCAACTCAAGTCTTGTTCTAAAGACCAATCGGTATGCAGAATGTCAGAACATTGAACGTTAGACGGAATAATTGGACACACGATCGCAGGATCGACGAGGCATTGCTGAGCATTGTACCAACCTGGCTTTTCACAATAGTCTACACCACGAAATGTAATGAAGATTGAAAATGAGCCTTGGTAGTTTGATGAATAAAATTATAAATTGATTGAAAGACGATCAGGGAAGAGATAGATGAGATACATGAAGATCGTAGGGTATAGTTGTACAAAACTAACTGGTGGGCTACGTGAGGCAGAGCCGTAGAAGTTTACAAGAACACTATCCAAGACGAACATTAATTATTGAAATTATGTCCGTGGATACTACAAAGAGTAAAAAAAAAAGGAGGGGTTCTGGAGGGGCGCGGGACCAAAGTGTATTATCAGCGACTTTTGGGTTGCCACCACAGAGTTAGCAAATCCGAGTGTCGTCTTCGGGGTGGATGATGAGTTGAGTGACCCGACACCGACCATAATTCGTTACCTCGGTTTCGAGCTTTCCTCATTCTCCGTCAGAGATACTTTTGTTTTGTTCCGCCACCGACTACTTAATTCACGTTACGGACGCGTCGAGCTCCAATGAAGAATTTTGATGTCACTTTTATCTCCGAAATGAGTGTGCTCCACTCGTGCCATGTGATCGAGTTCGGCCAACCATTTCGTCTTTAACATCGTGCGTATAGGTTTGTCCAGACCACTTGAAAAGATCTGAAATTTACGATACACGTACTGGTATCATCTGGACTTCGTTAGGTATATACCCATCCTAATCTCGTGATCCAGAGTAGTTGGAGGTCACTGAGCAGATTTGAAGTCGGACTCTTCGCATTCACGCTACGGAGCCGAGACAATGACGACTACGGTGAGACCCTCAACAGACACGCCCTTGGATAAGCGCAAGGTTAGTAGTCAGACCGGGCTATCCAACAGAGATGGCATGGACCCAGGTATTATAGTAAGAAGTGCGATCAAGACCTCACTCTCAGTATTCTTGCGCAATACGGTTGAATGAACTACTCAGTTTATCGTACTGCGCTCTTGACTATCTGGTACTAACTTGCTCTATTATCAAGACGATGGACGCTTGGATATTGATTTGTCCAAAACAAGTCTTGAGGGATTATTCGCTCGCTTCAAGCCTTCTTCCACATCACAGTCTCGACAAGACCCTACTGAACAAGCAACCACAGCACGCACAGGGCAAGAGGAAGAAGAACCATGCCCAGTCCATCTCAACATTGTCATCCAGGTTGTAGGGTCTCGTGGAGACATCCAACCGTTTATTGTGATAGGCAAAGCCTTGAAACAGTACGGTCACCGCGTCCGACTGGCCACACATTTGACGTTCAGGAACCCAGTCAAGGAGAACGGATTGGAGTTCTTTGATATTGGGGGACATCCAGCAGAATTGATGACATTCATGGTGGAAAACACGGGACTCCTGCCTCAATTCAAGACAATCCGGAGTGGGGCTGTTCAACGACGCCGACGTGACATGGGTGAAATCATCCAGGGCTGCTGGCGTTCATGCTTCGAGACGGGTGATGGGACGCACCTGCACCAGATTCCGGACATTCTGGTGAATGGGGTGGTCGGTGGTCGGCAACGACCTTTTGTAGCGGACGCGATCATTGCAAATCCGCCGAGCTTCGCTCACATTCACTGCGCGGAGAAGCTTGGCATCCCGCTCACAATAATGTTCACGTCAGTTTCCCGCCCTACAGTAATTCCAGATAACATAGATGCTGAAACAGAAAGCATAGAATGCCATGGTCCCCTACTCAAGCTTTCCCTCATCCGCTGGCCTCCATCAAACAACATGATACAAAACCCACGGTTGCCAATGCTGCATCCTATGCCATCGTGGACATGATCCACTGGCAGGGTCTCGGCGACATCATCAACAGATTTCGCAGGAAAAGCCTCAACTTGGACACCCTGGACGCCGCGCAAGCTCAAGGCGTGGTTCAAAGGTTGCATATACCGCATGCTTATCTCTGGTAAGGGCGACCTTCATTTCATCCGACTGAGGATTGGGTTAGTGACATGGTTCAGGTCTCCTGCATTACTCAGTAAGCCAAAGGATTGGCCCGACAATATCGACGTCTGCGGATTTACTTTTCTCTCCTCGGCAAGTGACTACAAGCCTCCAGAAGACCTTCTTGCCTTTCTAAAGGCTGGTCCGCCCCCAGTCTATGTAGGATTCGGCTCTATTGTCGTGGATAACCCGCAGGCATTAAGCAAGATCATACGCGGCGCTGTTCAAAAAGCTGGCCAGCGTGCGATAATTTCTAAAGGCTGGGGTGGTTTGGGGACAGATGGGTTGGACAGTCAAAAGGGGACTTTCCTTCTGGGTAATTGCCCTCATGACTGGTTATTCCAGCACGTCTCCTGCGTGGTGCACCATGGCGGTGCGGGGACCACTGCAACTGGACTCAAATTTGGGCGTCCAACAGTAATTGTTCCATTCTTTGGTGATCAGCCTTTCTGGGGGGACATCATCGCTCGAGACGGCGTTGGTCCGTCTCCAATCCCTTACAAAGACCTTACGGTGGAAAAATTGGCGGACGCCATCTTAGAAGCGCTGAAGCCAGCTTCAAAACAGAAAGCCCACGAAATCAGTGAGATAATTCAACGCGAATCAGGTGTCGAAAACGCCGTGAGCAGTTTTCACAGACATTTACCCTATGAACGGATGAGGTGCGCTCTATGTCCGTCTCGTCCGGCTGTGTGGTGTTTAGAGGAATCAAAACTCGCCTTGAGCGCCTTTGCGACGACTGTGTTGGTCGAAGCTGAATTGCTTGATCCAAATACTCTCAAGCTGTAAGTGAGATGGAGTCAGTTGTTTCCTCGGCTCATTCAAGATGTTGATTTTCTGTTCTAGGTACCGTTCTGAAGAATACGATACAAGCAGAGACCCACAGAATCCGCTCAGCGCGGGGTCACAGGTAGTGTTTGGCAGCCTGACCAAGCTAATGATAGACATGCGAGATGTAGCTTCAGACATCATCGAAGTGGTCTCTAGGAGAGGGCACCGTCGTCGTTCTCATGGAAAGCGCCATAGCGTGTCAAAGGACTGGTCACAAAAGAGACCAGTCGTTTTCCACTGAGGGAAAAAAAGCAAAACGAGCTGGGACTTTGCCTGTGTCCAAGAATGACTGGAATCAAGCGAGACGAGGGTCATCCAGCGGGCGACCCCAAAGGAAAGGCAGGAAAGGGTCTATCTCGACCTTCGAAAACTGCCTGCCAACAACAGCGGCGCATGCGAGTCGCTTGGCGCAAGGAATTTTAGACATGATCGTCATACCGCCCATGGAGATCAGCCTTACCATATCCAAAGGCTTTCGTAACGCGCCCTTGTTCTTTCACGACGATACGGTGAGGGATAGCCCGACTGTGACTGGGATACGCAGCGGCTTAGGAGCTGCAGGAACTGTACGTATGCGGGCCACGTCGCAGGCCATATCCCTTATATCCCCTTCAAATAATTAATGACCTGACATCTTGCCACACAGGAATTCACATCCGGAATTTTTGACGGTGTCAGCGGGCTGATCACGCAGCCTCGCCGCGGTCTGAAGAAGGCCGGAGGAAAAGGCCTAATTCAAGGAATCCAAATAGGATTCGTAGGCTTTATGTCTAAACCATTGGCAGGTATGTAAACGTTCTAATCTACCGTAGTATCACCGCTACTCAGACAAGAAAGGAATGGCTAAAACTTGGAGCAGGACTATTTGGTATAGCAGCATACCCTTTGACTGGCCTTCACAGGCACCTTCGGGATTCTCTATCTGATAAAGGGCAGGGCTACATCAAGCGCTCGCGAATTGCCCAAGGACTTGAGGAGTTTCAAGCTTCATCCTTTGACGAACGGGCGGATGTCATTGGGCGTTGGAGTGCTTTGGGCCTGGCAGGTGCGAAGCGTAAGAAGTGACAGAAGTCTGCAGCTCTATGAAAAGCAATGGTAGTGCTTAGCAATATCTGTATAGTCACTGTAATCAAGAAGTGCACGTTTCACAGCAGCCGTACATCATTGCGTGGAAATTTCAGGTCTTTACATGTTTTTTGTGTATCATACTAGCTTGACTGCTTCATGGGGATCACACCCGCGATGAGGAAAATGCAAAAGCCTGGTCTCCTGCAGGGTTTAATTCATCAACATAATTCCTCGAATCGCCACTCCTCTGTTGGTGGCGATTTCACCAAAAAACCTACGTATAGCTGGCTTGGCTTTTACGTAGCACAGAGATCAGGGCTTAGGTACTGTTCTTGATAATAAAGTGCATTTCCATCCAAAACCAGCATACACTGCTAACAACGGGGAAAGTTACCATTTGCTCTAGAAAATCGAGATAATATTCTTTCGAAATGGATTCACAAGAGTATCGAGACCGATCTTTGACGCTCTCGGCATTGAAATTACTTAAGATACTGGGTATTCGCTTCCGATATCTGCACGGTTCCTTGAAGTCAAGGTCGTCATTAGTTGATGTTAAATCGAACAAAGAAAGAATCATCAATAAGGCCTGTATCTGAACATAAAGCTGAGCATGTATTATCGTTATATGTCTAGAAACGCTGGCATAGCATGAATTGTACATAATCTATCATGGTTCAAACGACGTCGGAAGCATCCACAACCCAAAGTTCAATTTTCAAAACACAGACTGTGCGATCAAGCCCAGAATCTCATGAGTGGGGGCTCATTGAGGGTCGCAGCTCAATATTCTCACGCGTGAATTCAGCCTAAGATACCGGCCAAAAAGTTTGTTGAGAGCGAGTATCATCGCGATTGGTCCCTCCTAGGTAGGCCCGAGGAGGTCGTTTGATGTCGCTGTATTTAGTATCATTGCCGTTATGACTAGAATTCAATGAAAGTGTTGAATCATCCAAAGGCATCAGGTTAACTTGATCGGAGTTGATCGGTTGCTGGGTAGTTGTGTTCTGCTCAGATAATTTCGGTCTTGACTCATCCGGCCCAGGACAAGCGCATCCACATTCTTGAACCGCACTCATGGGACCTTCAGGCTGCATCTCGTATGCTGGAACGAAAATATTGGCCGGAGTCGCCTTGCAGGACAATATATGGAAGGGAGCCTCGATAGCCATCTCGACGGGCTTATTCCCACTCGGATGAACGTTGCCTAAATTAGAAAAGCGTACGACCACCTATCAGAGCGGAAAGTTAGCCTTATCTGTATGAGATTCCAAGTTCACCTGCTGAAGGTGTAATTCACCTGTATCCAGTGATAGATCTTCAGACCTTCAACCTCCGTGTCAAAATGTAGGCACTGCCATTTCTCCTTGTGCTTCATTTCGTGACAGCTAGGCAGCTGAACCTGAAGGTCAATTTCAGTATCGGTTGGAACAGCGCCGAGCAAACTCGTGTTCTTGTTGTCGCTGGTTGCAATTGGCGTAGTTCCACCGAGTTCCATTCCATTTTCCGGAATGATACTTATCTCACTGCCGGGATAAGTACTCGCGCTCTCAAGGCCTCCGTGTTTTTCAAACAAAAGTACTCTCTTTGCGGGTAGTTGCAGATGGTAAGCGGTCTTTTCTCTCGTCCAATATTGCACATGCTCGGTCACATATACTTTGATCCAATGGCAAACAACATCGGTCATGGGAATCAATTTCAAATTGATGGGAATCTTTGAACCCATGGAAAACGATTTTCCCAGGATAATCGCCTTGTAGTGGAGCTTATCGCGCCATAGGCGAGAAATTGCAATGGGCTCAATCGACTCCAGCGAGTTCTCTGCTGGTAGCCGGACGATAGGGATATCCAGATTTTCGGTCAGGGTAGAGCAAAAAAGCCCGGCCGGCTCGATAGAAGCTTCCAGGTTGTACTTGACAAAGCCTAGATCTGTCCTAATTGTTTCAGGCAGCGAGCCGTCCACGACGAACTCAAAATTATACAGATAATCACCAGCAGGAAATACTCTGTGATGATGCTGGGACTTGGCTGCATTGGGTCTTCGAAGACACTCTGTGAGAGTCGCGCTTGAGTAATCGGGTACTAGCAAGCAACCGTCCACGTCTTTGGACGAGCATGATGAGTTATTTCGAAGAGGCATATCTCTCTTTGTGGTCACCTTAGCTTTTTCTGCGACCTTGGAGGGAAAATCAGAGAGTTGAAAAAAGTCTGCCCCGAATTCATTGCGTTGTAGTGCCGTATGCCCATGGTCAAGGTAAGTAACGCCTTGCGTCAAGAGAGTCTTTTTTACCGTACAGGCTACTACTCGGTAGACAAGAAGTGAATTAGCGATAAGACGCGGATTTGTACTTGGTCCATAATAGAAAACATACCGTATGGCCACTGGATCTTTGTCTGCCCGCGAAAGCGAATCGAGATCTTCTTAATCGTAGTAGCTTCAGTGACACTCAAATTTAATTGTCCTCTCAGGACATTGCATTTCTTTGTGCTAGGGTCATCTTTATTGTATTCCTCGAGAAACAAGACAGGTTCGGTTAGAGTAATGTTGAAGTGTATCCCTTTCGCCGTCGCGATATGCGGCTTCAGGACTGAGGTGGGAAGAAGCGCTGTGGAATTTCGCATCTTAGATTTGGATGGATGCCAATGATCAGGTGTGCAACGTGAAAGGAAACCTGCAAATGTGGAGGCGGAGATTTGAAGAAGAGTCACAAAGAAAAGTACCTAATCTCCAAAAGATTCAAAGCATCAACCTGTCATCTTGTAGCCGTCATGCAAAATGGACCTTCGATAGAGTGTTAACATAAAGGTTGCCTAGAAAGTAGCGTTAGCGAGTTATAATTAATATACGGTAGGTTCATCCGAGGCTCATCGTTACTTGTTCCAGTGGCTAGTGGACCTCGGAGCAGATACTCCTCCAGGTTATCCGGAGAACGCCGTCGTGCCGAAAGACTTCGCGGTGAATTCAAATATGAGCTCGGCCACCCGCATGATCTTTTGATCGGAGCGTGTTAGTCGCCCCAACTCCGAAAATCGTCCGTTGTAGATAAGACAAGTCCAGCCATTCAGCGGCCCGTGCGTCACTCAAAATACACTCAGAAGGAGTCATTGGCTTAGCACTAAAAGCACAATAAAGTATTCCGTAGGCTCCGTGGACTCCGAATGTGTGGCTTAATGTGTGAGGTGCCAAGAAAGCCAACTCGTCACTGTCTATGTTGCTTAAGACCCGTGCGCCAATTGCTTCCACTGTAGGGGGAAACCCCATGTTTTTCAAATCGGCCTCCGCCAGACTCCGACTTACCTGGGGATCCCTGTGCGGCGGGGATGCTACTAAGTAGTTGTTTAGTCGCACCATCTTTGCCCTCTGGCTTTCTATGGGGATTGCAGCTTCTTTCTCTTTCGCTCTTCTCCGAGAAGCTTCGCTTTTCTTCTATCTCTTCTTTTGTACCTTCAGTAATTTCATTTGATCTTGGACTAGAGCGATAGCCCAAAGCAATTCGGCGGGTCTTATCTAGGGTCTTCTACGGAGCGCGGGGTTTTGTGGAGTTTCGAACCCCGTGTTTTAGTCCCACATTCATACTTCCTACCGCAGAACGCTCAGGTTTGGTCAAGATATCGCCAAGCAACCTTAAAGTCGCGTGATTCGCCACTGTTATGCGACAAACAGATAACCAGCTTTCCCATGGTACGATGCAGCAGCTGCTAGATTTGGTCACTATGGTCGAATGGCCATACAGTACATAGCCGGTGCTTGAGATTCATTGGCTGATGTGGACACTGGCTGCGATCGCCCCGTCTGGACCCCAGGCGGAGTGGGATTCTAGGGTCACAGGCCTTATCACAGAATCGGAGGTGGCTGTAAATCTTAATTGCCCAGGGCCGACCTTGAGCCGATAATGGGCAACATCGGAGCCGATGCTCTCAACGTCCGACCAACTGGGACAGTGAAGGTACTCGTCCTTCGTGAAATGCGGGCCTTATCACATGATCGGCGGTAGCTTTCTGAATCTTAATTCCTCTTGCGGATACTTTCAACATCGGAGTATTCGGGACGGAGAGGATGGCCCTCCCTCACCGAAATCAGGGCCCATGAGGCAGGGCCCATGTCCAAAGTGGATTCGCCCTCCCACGATGATGGGCTGGCTGGGACTCTATAAATGGCTGTACGACAGCAGATCACATGGGAAACATCTGATACATTGGAAGCGCAATCTTTCAAATCGACAGTGCCCCCTGATTCCCCCACCCCCCGGTACGTAGGAGAAGCGTTTGAAGATGTCACCTCCTCGAAGTGCCGAAGAACTGCCCCGCACTGAAAGCTCTTCAACAGGCTTGAGCTCTTCGGAGGGCTCAAGCTCAGGCCTTTCAAATCACGAACCCAGCAGCCCAATATCACGATCGGTGACGAATCTTGATATTGAAGCCATTTCGCAGATTGCGTCCGCAAATCCTATCCCAGGACGACAGATAGACGGCCGAGGCACGCCGCTGCATACCATTGCAGAAGATGACCCGGTACTCAACCCGACCAAGAAGGAGTTTGATCCATACGAATGGGCTCGCACCAAACTAAATCTGCTGGACGAGGAAGGTATTTTGCGCAAACATGCAGGGGTAGTGTTTAAAAACCTCAACGTCTCCGGGTCTGGCGCAGCGCTGCAGCTGCAAGAAGTGGTGAGCTCGGCTCTTCTGGCTCCCTTTCGGCCATCCAGCTACAGGGAACTCATCCATTCAGCGCCCAAAAGACAAATTCTGCATGAATTTGACGGGGTGCTGAGAAGCGGCGAGATGCTCATGGTTCTCGGTCGACCGGGTAGTGGCTGCTCTACGTTCCAGAAGACAATCTGTGGTGAGCTACATGGGCTCAACTTACACCCAGACTCCGTCATGCACTACAACGGCATTCCCATGAAGAAAATGCACGAAGAGTTCAAAGGGGAGTGTGTCTACAACCAGGAGGTGGATAAGCATTTTCCACACCTGACTGTTGGTGAAACACTGGAATTTGCTGCATCAGCCCGAACTCCATCTCATCGGTTGTCGGGTGTGTCTCGCAAGCAATTTGTAAAGGAAACAACCCAAGTAGCCATGGCAGTACTGGGTCTTTTTCATACTTACAACACACGAGGTCAGTTTTCAAATGTTGCTATGTGCGGCCTTACATTTGCTGAATCATGGTTCGCAGTTGGCGACGATTACATTCGAGGAGTATCTGGCGGAGAACGAAAACGTGTCAGGTGAGAAATCCTCTCCACCCTTATGCCCCCAAGACCTATCAGTAATCTAGATTTTTACCCTACGAGCAGCGGCTAACAATGATATAACAGTATCGCAGAGATGGCTCGTAAGATGCAACCCCTGTCCCAAGAAATCGGGGAAGTATTAGAAGTGAATGTGGCTAACCTTTTATCTTTCGCTGATCGTAGTCGCACGAGCACCCCTTGCCGCTTGGGACAACAGCACCCGGGGACTTGATGCTGCCAGTGCTCTGGAATTCGTGAAAGCACTGCGAATTTCGGCCGACCTCACAGGAAGCTGCCATGCGGTAGCCACCTATCAGGCATCTCAAGCAATCTATGATGTCTTCGACAAAGTGATTGTCTTGTATGAAGGTCGCGAAATATACTTTGGGCCTTGCAATCAAGCAGAGAACTATTTCTCTAATATGGGCTGGGAGAATCCCCCTCGACAAACAGTCGGAGATTTTCTTACATCCGTTACCAACCCTCATGAGCGCAAAGCCCGAGAAGGGATGGAGAAAAGAGTTCCACGAACACCGAAAGAGTTTGAGAGCTACTGGAAAAGAAGCCCCGAATACGCTGCACTTCTAAGAGACATCCAACAGTACGAAATTGAATATCCTCTGGGAGGCCAGGGGCAAGAAGAAGTGACAGCTGGGAAGCGCATGGAGCAGGCAAAGCACGTTCGACCGAAGAGTCCATATCTCATTTCAGTTCCAATGCAACTCAAACTTTGCATGAAGCGGGCCTATCAAAGGTATGTCCAACTGCGATTTGCTTTCATAATTACTGTGCGTTCCTCTGAAGAGAGCCAAAGGTTTACTAAGATAATGGCATCCTTAGGATATGGAATGACAAAGCTTCCACGCTAACCGTGCTTGTTGGTCGGATTGTTATGTCCTTGGTGGTTGCGTCGATCTTTTTCGAGTAGGTAAACTGTAAACTTTATAGGCTTGACCAATTCTGACGATATTCTACAGCACTCCAGATGCCACTGCTGGATTCTTTGCCAAAGGGTCACTCCTCTTTTTTGCTACCCTGTAAGCCCAATTGTCTCCCTATGAGCATCCGACTTGACGATCACTCAGCTGACTGTGAGCGCCTTATAGACTCAATGCCCTGATCAGTGTGACTGAAATCAATTCTCTCTATGATCAGCGTCCCATTGTGGAGAAGCAAGCTTCGTATGCGTTTGTTCACCCATTTGCAGAGGCTTTCGGGGGGATCATGGCCGACCTACCTATCAAGCTTGCGTCTGCAGTTTTGTTCAATGTGACTATCTATTTCCTGGGAAGTCTGGTAAGTCAAGACTCCTCCAATCGCATATTAAACTTTTCCAGCTCTGACATGTTTGAAAGCGCTATACTGCATCCCAATTTTTCATCTTTTTTCTCTTCAGCTTCATGTCGACGATGATAATGTCCGCCATGTTCCGTACTTTGGCCGCATTGACAAGAAGCGTTGCCCAAGCCATGGCATTGGCTGGACTCTTGATCCTCATGCTTGTCATCTATGCAGGGTTCGTGGTACCCACGCCAGAGATGCATCCCTGGTTCTCGTGGTTACGATGGCTAAACCCGCTGTTCTACACTTTTGAGAGCCTTATTGCCAATGAGTTTCATGGGCAAAATTTTGCATGTTCTCAATTTATTCCTGGATACCCAAGCTTATCCGATGACGCATTTATTTGCTCCGTGCCTGGATCTACGGCGGGTTCAAGGATTGTGTCTGGGGATTCCTTCATCTATGCGCAATATCGCTACAGTTACAACCACGAATGGAGAAATCTCGGGATTCTCATTGGTTTCTGGGCATTTTTTACTTGCGCATATCTCCTTGCTACCGAGTTCAATTCTGCCACGTCCTCAACAGCTGAGTTTCTGGTCTTCCGTCGGGGTCACGTCCCTTCTTACATGCGACCAACAACTGAGGATTCCGAGAAAACTCCAACCTCCAACACGCTGGGATTGGAGCCATCAGCAGAGAGTGGAGATCCTATTGATTTGAGCACAGTCATGCCAGAGCAGCAAAGCATCTTCACCTGGCGGAACCTTTGTTTTGATATCCCCGTCAAAGAGGGGCAACGCCGTCTTCTAGATAATGTTTGCGGCTGGGTGAAGCCAGGAACCCTCACAGCATTGATGGGCGTATCTGGAGCAGGAAAAACCACATTACTGGACGTTCTTGCCCAACGGGTGTCTATTGGGGTAGTCACTGGTGACATGTTGGTCAACGGATCATCTCTACCAGCAAGCTTTCAGCGACAAACGGGGTACGTGCAGCAGCAGGATCTTCACCTCGCAACATCTACTGTACGTGAGGCTTTGAGATTTAGCGCAATGCTCCGGCAGCCTAAGCACGTCTCCAAGGCAGAGAAGTATGCCTATGTGGACCAAGTCATCAGCATGCTAAATATGAAGGACTTTGCGGAGGCCGTTGTTGGTACACCGGGAGAAGGCCTGAATGTGGAGCAGCGAAAGCTACTCACCATCGGAGTTGAACTTGCGGCCAAGCCACGACTTCTCTTGTTCCTTGATGAACCGACAAGCGGTCTAGATTCTCAAAGTGCATGGTCCATCTGTGCCTTTCTCCGCAAACTCGCCAATAACGGACAAGCAGTTCTGTCAACAATTCATCAGCCAAGCGCCGTCTTGTTCCAGCAATTTGACCAGCTTCTGTTCCTTGCCAAGGGGGGGAAAGCCTGTCTACTTTGGCGAGATCGGGGAGCAGTCCCGGACACTGCTGGGCTATTTCGAGCGTAACGGAGCAAGGCCGTGTGTCCCATCCGAAAATGTAAGTCGAGACTCCATCATCCTTTCAGAAGTCCACTGCAAGGTCCTAATAATTTTCGAATTTTTAGCCCGCTGAGTATATGTTGGAAATTATTGGCGCAGGTGCATCTGGCCATGCGACTAGAGACTGGCCAGTCGTATGGAAAGAAAGCCCCGAGGCCCGCCAAGTGGAAGCGGAGTTAGATCGCATCCATGCTACAGCATCGGTTCCTAATGGTGGCGCTGCAATGATCAACGAAGATGCAGATGACCAAGAAGAATATGCCATGCCGCTCAACGCTCAGTTGTGGTGGGTTACCCGCCGCGTATTTCAACAGTACTGGCGTGAGCCAGCCTACATCGGAGCAAAGTTCATGCTCGGCGTCGTTTCGGCTTTGTTCATCGGATTTTCCTACTTCATTCCAGGACAGTCCATCCAGGGCATACAGAACCGCCTTTTTAGTTCCTTCATGTTGACTTCAATTTTCTCCACCTTGGTTCAACAGTAAGTCTGGATCGCTACTCCCCAAACTATTTCATTCGAAGCTTTTGTTTCCTAACCTAGCTCACAGAATAATGCCCAAGTTCGTCACTCAGCGATCTCTGTACGAGGTGCGGGAACGACCATCCAAAACATACTCATGGGTGGCATTTGTCGTCTCCAATATCGTTGTGGAAATTCCCTACCAGATTTTCCTCGGAATCTTAGTATGGGCGAGCTACTACTATCCCATTTACGGGGCGAACCAAAGCTCAGATAAGCAGGGCCTTATGCTGATTCTTGTGGTTCAATTCTTCCTTTTCACCTCAACTTACGCAGATCTGGTGATCTCCGCTTTGCCAGATGCCGAAACTGCAGGTAAGTTATTTTCCTCATGAGAATAAAGATGATCTGTTGAGAGCAATAGCTGACAATAATTCAACCTCGAACAGGAACTGTTGCAACATTGTCGTTTGCCCTTATTCTCACATTCAATGGTGTTATGCAAAGTCCAACCGCCCTTCCTGGATTCTGGATTTTCATGTATCGTGTCTCGCCTCTGACATATTTGATCGCGGGAATGTGTGGTAATGCACTTCATGGACAGCCGATCCGGTGCTCTAGCAGAGAGCTCAGTGTATTCTCACCACCTCAAGGCCAGACTTGTGGCCAATACCTTGCGGATTGGTTGAGTGTATCACCAGGTCAACTCTACAACCCTTCTGCCGTGACAGGGTGTGAATTTTGCGCTTTCAACACCGCAGACCAGTATCTGTCTCTAAGCAAGATATGTAAGTGGAGATTTTGCTTTATCAAAGTTCCGAGTGATTGCTCGGTAGTCATACAAATGCTAACCATAATCATGAGTTAGACTACAGCCAACGCTGGCGCAACTTTGCAATCGGCTGGGCTTACATTGGGTTTAACGTTGCAGGAGCTATATTCTTGTACTACATTTTCCGTGTTCGCCACTACAAGCCAAGGTTGCTTCCGTGGGTTGTGACCGCCTGCGGACAGGCATTACATAGACTATTCAGAAGAAGATCGGGAACAGTGCCTCAAGGGAAGAAGGCTGAAAACAACCGGGTCCTCTGATTTCATTTTAGCGTGCGCGGATCGACTGCCATTTCTCTTTCGTTCAATCAGGTAACCATGGTGACCATGGGTTAGTGCTGACCTTTTAAGATTGAGATATGGGCACTACGGCGTTCAGTGAGGATCAGCCGCTTTCTTCTCAAGCCTTTGTCGCCTTGAATCCACCCTCGAAGGTGGAGAACACGTTTTCACTTGCAATTTTGATTTTTCATGTTTGTCCCATACAAATTGTCGATTTTGGATTTTTAGAATACTAGATCACTCGATTCTACTGATTGGGCAGCCACTTTCGTATTCCGTCAGTAGTTTATTTATCAGACCAGATCCCGTCCTGAAGCGGTTACTTATTTACCTTGACAGACTTAGTATCATCACTTACTTAAAGCCCGTGACATGAAGGATATTACTGCGAATGACAATCTCCCAACTTCGTGTGTTGATACCCAGGAATAATTTCAAGCCTAGGGCATTCCCTGGAAAAAGCTATCCAGCGTCCGCCAAATAGGGTTCTTGCGCCGTCGAACATGCCCAAAAAACAATCGCAGGATCTCCGTTCAGGATGAGACAGACGCTCTGTCACGCTTAATGAAAGAGGCCATAGAGCAAGATAGGCCTTTCGCACCGTAGAGACGGTTTGTCTCCGATTCACATAAATGGAAGAGTCTCGAAGACCAACAGGCTCAAGCCATGTTTGAGTCTTATCTCACGGTGAGAATGGCAATGACTTTCGCGGTGGGTGGGAGACATCCCGGAAATTTGCTTTCACTCGGCAAAAGATGTGGAAGAATTCACCCTGAAATCAATACATTTAATTCTCACATATATGTCCCATCTAGTCATCATGCTGCGCATATCTGCTATGATTCCGAATCTTCTTACCAAACTTGTACAGGACAAACGGATATGGTAAGAATAGCAACGACAAACACCCAAGCAATGTACAGGCCCAACCGACCCCCAGGTTGAGGAACATTTGGGTTGCAAAAAGCGGGAAAGCACCGCCAAATGAAGATCGTAAGAAATCATTCCCGGCAAGAACAGAGGCTGCATATTTTGGATAAGCACTTGCCTCGTAGCAGAAGATGCTATTGAAGATAAGGCAGCTTCCGATAGAAAAAAGCATCGACGCAATAATCGGCACAATCCAGTGGATACTAGCGAAATTTCCAGTCCATCCAAACCAGAAGAGCGATATGGGCAGGCACAACGCTCCGAAACACGCGGGAGGCAGATGCTCTTCCGGAGAAAGATAGCCGTTCACGTCAATGTTCTTGGATTGCCAGCGGAATTTCCAAAAGAAGTATCCCGGAATAGCGATACAAACAGCCCCTACCAGGATACCCAGGAATGCCAGCCCATTTTCCCCTGGATTGAAGCCGTGTTTCAATTCAAAGACGATGGGAAAAGCCTCGAACCAGATGTACAGAATGCCGTAGATAAGAGCTATGTAGAGGTTCATCAAGAATACGATGGGCTCGAAGAAGCAAAGTTGAAATGGGCGGAGGAGAGCTTCAAAAAGCATATCCTATATAGCCTGTAAGCCTTCATATTGTCAAGGTGGAAGTAAGGAAATTCGGATATGGCACTTCAGGCTTACCCTGGGATTGACATGGGCAATCTCAATCTCAGCCTCGGATGCATACATCTGATCGCCCGTGATCCGGCGGACTCGTCGGGCACGACGACTGAGGATATTAGCCGCAAATGTTTCCGGAAGTAGGATAAAAAGAACCACAAGAGCAAAGCCAGATATCCAAAGTAGTTCCCAAATAGTCCATGTCCAACCTTTGGCGGAGAATGCAAATCCTCCCACTAGAGGCCCAAGTACAGGGGCTGAAATGGCAAAGCAGCCCCAGATCGCAATCATATAGTCGCGGGTCCTGATATCCCAGATGTCTGCCATGGAAGCTGCACCTGTAGCAAGGACAGGTGAGCCAAAGAAGCCGGTCAAGAACCGAAATGCCAAGAGCATGCCCAAATTCTTCGCGTAGATGATAGCGAACTGAAAGAATACGAATACTGTCAGAGTAAAAACATACACTGGACTTCTTCCAACAGCGGGTAGCTCGGACAAAGGTGCCCAAATCATGGGCCCTGAAGGATATCACGTCAGAATCTGCCAAGGCCAATCGGTCCAGGGAGAACACAATGCAACTCACCAAGTCCATATCCGAGTACGAATAATGTCAGTCCCAGTAATGCAACTTCTTTACTCACACCGAATTGCTTCGATACTCCTGGTATTCCAGGTGTGTATATGGCGGAACCAATGTAAATAGAGAATGTGAGGAGCCAGATAAGTGAGCTGACAAAGATCTTCTTCCGGGTACTCCAATTTTGAGGATTCTTGGGGCATCAGTTGGAACTTTCGCTTTACAGAAAAATGTCTTACCTCGCTATCATCCGGGCCTCCCCAGCCGATTATTACAGGTGTTTTTTCTTTTGACCCACGCCATGGACCTGCCAAGGCACTATTCAGAGAGGGCCTTCGTCGGCTCCGGTGGGAAGCTTGTGAAACGACTGTGTATAGTCCGTATGGGTGAAGCAGTTCATTTTCGCTAGTTGTCGTGCTTAATTCAGGTTGATCGGTCTCCGCGGAAGTTTGTAGGTATGTCCGCCAAGCTAATTCATGCACCTCTTCTGGGTATGGAAAGACTTTTGTACCGCTGATGATACGAAGTAGTTTGCCGAACGCTGAGTCGCGAAGAATCTCAATCATTTTAGAGACTTTTTTGTAGCTGTAGATACTTGATGGATTGACCACTTAGCTTAGTCCTAAAGCAACCATTTGAGTGCCTGTGGGAGAAGGGGGAGGCTTCCTCATTTTACACCCTCAGAAGACATGCATAGACTATTCTAGTCGTCAATCATATTCATCTGTCACTGGTCAAAGAGATCCGTGGTTTAATAGAAAGTCGCAAGCCAACAGTGTGCCAAGAAATAGAAGCTCTCACACTGGGCGCCTTATGGAGTCTTGGTTTTAGTCTTGACGCCATCCAGAAGTAAGTGCTGGCCAATCCGGCAGTTTCGTGCTTCCGCCACGGATGAAGTTTATACATCTTACCACCCGAGGGAGGTCCAGCTGACAGTGTTCACGGGGTGAGAGTAGGTTGTGGTCCGCCTGAACACGAAGCGTACAGACCAATACTCTTCCACGGTATTTGTATGACCGTTACACTAACACAAGAGTGGATTGTAAGATCTCGTAATGGAACGTAAAATTCGGAAGAACACCAAATTCGAATTAAGTCTGGAGGGAATTAAAATCCCCACTTTCTCCGCCTTCCTGAAAGAGTCATCCCATCTGGGCTTCAAGGCAAACCCATCCATGAATCTGAACGGCAATTCACTTTTGTTGCACCCTATGACCTGTTTATCATCATTTTAGTGTCCAGTGGTGACTGTCTTGACATGTAGTACAACAAGCACCATCGTAAAACCAGGTAAGCATTGAGCATTAGGGTCGGTGTTCGAATTACTCCGAAGCCAGAAAACGCAAAGAAAGAGAAACTTCAGAAACTAGGCAGGACTCATCCGACAAAATTGCGGACGATTATGTGCTTGTGTAGAGAGTTAAGTAGGATATTCGACTTCCTGCATATATGAGCACGTTCAAGCTTCAATGTTACCTATCAGAAGCTAGATCATCAAGGTGCTCTGGTCTCATACTCATCATATTCTCATCAAACTTCGTACCGTGATCACCTTATCTACAACCGCAAATCTTCCTCCTTGGTGGTTTCTTCAATATTAAGTTATATGATCTCAGCAAGCCTTGGTCTTCAATGCTGTTGGTTGTAGATTCTGTCTTGATAAATAAGAAAGTTTTTCAAGTTCATGAGATACGAAACGGTACTCGCTAAATGTCCCATCTACTTAGATAGATCGGCCAGCGATGTCAACCCAAATCCAAAGTTCGACAAGTTGCCTCCAAACAATGCATGGGCCTGAAAAACGACACATCAGTTCAGTGATCTGATGCTCCCACAGCTTACCCATGCAGACGCTGAGCCCAACTCAGAGAACCATCAGCAGACCCCGGATGCGCAAAACTTGGTCCCGACCTTGTATCAGGTCCTAATGGCCCTGATTCATCAAAATATGGGCTCATATCAGTGTGCATAGGCGGTGGTAAGGAAGTGTGATACACAGGGGTGTCCAAGTCACTATCTTTGGTGGCAGGCGCTGATGATGGAAAACCTCCAGTGGCATTGACTGAGAATCCCGCAGCATTTGTGGCGGTGATAACCTGAGGTAAGAGTTTTTGGTCTACCCCCTCAATCTTGGTGTGGATGAGGATATTATGAGCTATTCCCGTCATCTTCTGAAAGACCTCAGCCAGCAGCAACGCAAGTGGTGAGCTGGTTGTGGTCAGAGCGCTTAACATAGAATCCATCACAATATGGAGCAGACGAAGATCGGCCGAATTGCTCGAGTCAAGAGGGTGCTCGAGTAAGTTGAGGAAAATGTCAAAATAAGCAGTGAGAGGATAATAGGACAAATAGCTTATGAAGCGTCAGCTTGTTTTGTTGTATAAACTTCACGCAAAATTGACGGAAATCCATACCGTGCCAAGTTGCTCCGAAACGCATTCCCAGTTTGTTGAAACTTTTCAAGAAGCTCGGCTGTATGCCTCGCAGCGGTGAGGCATTTTTTACGGCTTGAGAACCCGGAAGGGTTGGATGAGGAAATGGATGTGCGGACAGAATTTTCATTCGATTCCAGAGACTCCCAATAATTGTCCGTTCGATAGAGCATCAACTGACAGTTATAATATTCAGCGTATAGCAACACTGTCATGGTGCTAAAGACTGCGTTCGGATAGTGTAGTGCTCGTTGAATTGGTAGCATATCTTTAGGCAAGGATTTTTGCCAGATGATGAGCTTCTCATCAAGATCTCTCAGGCAAGCAAGCCTTTTTGCTTGGCAATCACCCATCCAAGATCGAGCAGAGTAAAGTTTTGAGTAGATCTCGCTCTTGATCCTATTTAGCTTCACAAGGTGCGCAAAACCGTCTCTAACTTGGGACGGCTGCGATGCTTTTCCGAGACTAGGTTCGCTGACTTCGATGTCTTCTTCGCAGATAGTAGGGGGACGCCCAAGTCGGAGGCTTACGCCTCTGTCCAACACGTACAGAACCCAAAAAACGTTCCGTCGCTCTTCCACTTCACTTAACGTAAGATGGGAGTCCACTAGTGTCCGGTGTAATCCCAAGCCAAGAGCAAGGCGCGCTGCTGCTCCAATGGCCATATAGCTAGCCTCTGCATCTAGAAGCATGTCAAGGATCAATGCCTGGAGCAAGAGATCATTGTGAATTTTGGATCATCGTTTCCTAACAAAAAGAGAATACTCACCATCCCGATAAGAGCCTGAACACCCATGAGCTCTCTGCAACTGTATGCCAATCGGGTAAAAACAGAATAGCAATTTTGCAGACAGCTCAGAGCGTGTATGGAGCCAGTGGCTTTTGTAAGAGTAGCCATCTCTGAAGAATGCATACCGATCTCATCTTCAAATACAAGTTCGCCGATGCCGAGCACCGCATGAAGCGAGGCATACCAGGACACGCTTGTTGGTGGGTTGTCCGAGTACTGCTGGTTGAAAAGCCTCATGAACCGTTCTTGATCATAAAGCGGTATGACAGAGTTAACGTAAGTAAAAAAGACTATACTTTATTAGCATATTAAGGTTAAATGTAGGTCATAGAAAGGATTAGGTATCTGACAATTGATCGTGATTATCGCCGACTCTTTGGGGGGAATGGGTGTTCCGTGATCTGGTGCGAGATGCTGACACGCAAACATCATCTCTTCGGACCAGCCAAGCATATATATCCGTGCTCGGCTAGAAATGAAATCGGACAGTTCCGTTGATCCAGTGAGCTCTGAGATCCTTCGTAAGCCGCGGGGGGGATAGAAGTGAAAATCCAGACGCAGATCCTAGGCCGAACCGCACTTGTAAGCGAGCTCGCAAGTAAATCTAAGATAATCGAACATATTGAGACTTACCAATGAAACTAGAGAAGCCCATGCGATCTGTCAAATAAAATGACGGCTCGTTATCACCGGCCACGGGCAAAACCGGAGTGTCATTTTCATGGTCTGCGAATTTGCTCTTCGACGGAGACAAAAGCGATTCAAGTCGCTCGAGCCGATTCTTCATTTCAGTGATAGCATTTCTGCGCATTTCAATCGATTATCAGAATGTACAAGTAGACCGAGAAATGACATTGGGTTCTTACTGCTGCGAAGGGGGTTCTGTCTTGGTGATTGGCTTCCGGGCTTTAGGAGAGAATGCACATTTTTGACCTCGATGTGAGCAGCGGCTACAATTCGCGCCTTCTCTCTCACATCGGACCTGTGGAAACATGAGAGTCAGCACGACTTATCACTGTCACTGAGTCTTGCAGGCTCAACTACCTTTGCTTTCCTGCACGAGTCACAGGAAGCACGCAATGGAATACGAGAATCGGATAGTGACCGCATCTCACATCTCATCTGGTAGGATGCCTAGAGAAACTACGAAATATCACACTCGAAGATTGATCTTGCATTCGCATCAAAGGTTGTTGGGACGCTGTGCGACTGTTGCTCAGGTTCACGATCGTTTGAGAGTATTCTGGGTAAACTCCTGAAGTTTGCAAGAATGGCTTTCAGAGTCATCTATTCAGATGCCCGTGAACTTTTCAATGTACGGTCCTCTTATAGCAACTGCTACTGACGTCATAGAAAATTCAAAATCAGTTATTTGTACCAAGCGCGAGGAAATTACGCTTTTTCGCCATATGTGATACTTTTCAAATTACCAATTAAGCTATAGTCTTTAATAACGGTATAACACTTGAACGTCAGACCGTGGTACGTGTAGGAGTCGAAAAGCTTGGTGGCTGGAGGTGGCAAAAGTGAGTTATAGTACCGCGGTAAACAGCGCCTTGGACCGGCGATACTGATTCACATTTTTTATGAGCCACCGCCTTCCTGTCCACCCTTTCTGGCCGAAATTTTCAGCGTGATATCATGGCTGCAAATGCATGAAATATGCCTCTCAACTATCTTAGCAAAAAGATAGGCAATGTATACATTGACAAAGTTGGTATTTGATAATCGTACTTACTGTAAGGCGAGACTGTCAATTGAAGCACACATAGGAGGCAAGATCTTTGGAGCCTACTTACCAAGAAACTTTTAATTACTTTCGAGGCCAAACAGAAACCTAGGTATCGATCATTCTGTTGAAAATCCAACACTGGCAATGAGATGCACCCACCTGTGAAGGAAGCGTAGGTCTACGTTGCCGGGTGGCGCCATCCTCAACGAAAGACGCTCAGTTTAGGGGGGTCAGGTCACTATGAAGGTTCATTTGAAGCATTGGAAAGATCTACTGTGCTTAATTCTCCACGTGACGTATCAAATTAATCGAGGCCTCTAGACTCAAGCATTTGTTGACTCACATCCCTTCAGAGCTAGATGCCCAAAAGATTCGTGATATGTATGGTATTAACTTACTCTCCAACTCAAACAGCTATGCAGTCTAGTAAAAGGAACCTGCTAGGCCAATCCTGTTCTAGATCAAATTCTTAAACAGATTGTGGACACCACATCTTGTTTTTGGTTTAAAAAGTCGAATGCTTCTGACCCAGATGCGTCATATCAGACGTCAATTACTACTTGAGAAAATGTGTCCTTGACAATCATGAGCAAGAAACATATCTGCGCGATCTATCACCGATACAACGACTGCTAATTTCTTCCAAGTTGTCACGGCTAGGACCTTTGAGGCCAGTTAGTCGGCTTGCGTGGACGAGAGATTGGAGATTTGCATTTCCCCAGATACGTTATACTACTTACTTCGATGCAAAATAGACGTGATATGCGGTGTCCGACCCAACGTCAGGCGATATCAACTTGGACTCAGTCATGACGGGAAAGTATGTGGTGGGCCCTTTTCCTACCATCTTATGGGAATATGTACCCGATGAACACAGAGCCCTGATTGATGTATCACAATTATCTCTTCATTTCCAGAATTTGTTTTCATTGATTTTTCCTTTGATTTTCTAATCCCAATCTCTACATTATTTAACCTTGTGAAGTTTCAAAGTCCAGGATAATCTTTGAGTCCTGAATTTGAGGGTAAGTGCTGTGCATGAGTCCTTGAGGAAGACTTGAGTCTGTAGAACATGGCTCTTAGGAAAATCAACTGGTGTGCCCTGGAGATATGTAAAAAACCGCGGCTATCAATCCCAGAATCCAGGTGAAACCCAGCGTCTTTCCCAGCCTATTTAACCTCAAACTACCTGAATGAAGCTTAGAGGAGAAGCTCGAGACCTGGAAACAACGATGTACGTGTTCATTTCCAGTCACCTTGTGTGTATTAAGAGCCAGTGCTTGGAAGGCGTTCTCTACAACGCCGACTCAGCCCGAACTATTACTCAGCCAGCCATTGTCCAAAGTTTTTGACAAATAATTCGTAGAGAAGCACCTTCTCAACCCAATATTCAGGGGTTAGAAACTACCTTCCAACACCGGAACCAATATTTGGATTGAAGCGTGGAGCTTTAGGTATATATGTCTCAAGCCTCCAAAGCACTAATACCTTCCAGTCCTGGAAACTTAAATTGGAAACCTCGTCACTGGCTCCACCAGCCTTTCGAATCTTACGAACTTGGCGGGTAATTTGACGCGAGAGACGGCAAGCAGTCGTGGGGCCACCAGAAGGGTGAATTAGCACTACACACATTATCGCCGCCTCGGATGGAATGAAGTCTCGAAAGCTCATCTACGCAGGCGACCCACACCAGCTCCTCGGCGCTAATTATACCCTAGTCGTCAGCGGAGACACTAGTCTACGGCACGCGATTACAGAGTGGACCTAAGCCGAGATTCTGGGATTCATCGGCCGCTGGGACAGATGTGGATGACCTTTCCCGGATACGACGACGTTGGCTCGAAAAGCAGTGGCCCGAGAGCCGCTGGTGGGAAGCAAACTTGAACGAGTCCATGCATAATCCAGTCCGACGGTCCCGTACCCATGTGGCGTCGGACAGACAATCCCATTCTGGCTTAGGAGGTCCATTGTTCTTGGAGGGCGTATGATATTTGTGATGCGGCTGGTGATGGTTGAAGCCTGCCGAGGCATCCCAAGGATTGAACATCAAATAGTTTGCCTTGGGCCCGCTGAGTCAGTCATCTCCGGGGCAAATTGCCCTTTCACGGCACTGTGTGTCCGCGCACGTGCATTCACAGATATATTGCAGTGGTGGAATTGCGGCCCCTTGGTGGAAGTTGGACGGGTAACGGATGTGGCCGTCACAAGAGTCGGCACACCTCGTGGGCACGCCCGGGTTATGCTCGGCCATGCACTGTGATTGTGAGTGACGACAAGGCAGAATGCAACATGACTGAGCTTTTTATGGGTCGGCTCAATGCATTTCGATGCAGACATTTACCTAGCCGCATCAGGTCAGGTCTGACGTGAGTCCATGCCCTGCAGGCGGAGCTATGACCACACGTGTCGATCGCCATCCTCTTGAGCCCCGAATAACGATCACTTCGAGAATCATTCGGGAGAATTGCCGAACATAGACTAACTTTGAAATTTCAGACGGAACGGGCGTGTCCCATGGATATTGTCAAAGCCAAAATCCCAGGTATGAGGTCAGAGGTCTGGACTCCGCTTGGGAGAAAATGAAATCCCGAAAATCCTTGACTCTAACCAGGACCCGACTGCCTCGAGCCAAATCAGTACATCGAGGCATTTACAACCGACCCTAGGCGAGTGGCTCTGACAGTTCAGCCCGGAACTCCAGATGAATCGGGGCCAACCCAAAGCCACATGGGAGGAACTTGCGATGCTGGGTGGATCCTTCTCCCGGATGATGTATGAACCAGCCATTTTGGCACGTTTACCGCACTGGGTCCACTTGCTCTAACCATCTCCCGGGCGTTTATCACCATTCTTTAAAAACGCTCCTCTTGATCAAAATATACTATAGTTCCTGTCGGTAGATCTCGACCGAAGATCTCTTTGCCATTCTGGCATGCAAAGCTCCCTCTGAGTCGTCGCCCGCCGAGAGACGTTGTCATGAACTTCGTCCCGAATCAGGACTATCACGAGTGGGCTAGCAACTCGTCTCGCCGTGAAAGCACGGTCTCAACCTCCACAGTGTCGTCCGCCTCCACCAGTATACTATTCCCGACGCCCTCGACCTCCCCCGGGTCCAACTCGCGCAAGCAGTCATGGCAGTTGTATGACGATGTCGTGCGGCTCGAGTTGCACCCCTCCATGACAGTGTACGTGTCGTGTCCCACCCGTGCAACCGCGATGTGATCGGCGGCTAACCTCCCCGCAGTTCATTCGTGAAGAATGGCCAGCTCTTCAAGTTACGCTACACCTTCATCGATCTATGCAAAGACTCAACCGGCGCATTGAAATGTCTAGAACTCGGGGGAGGATTGGGTCAACAGACCCCATTCGTTCATGCCTGTGAGTCGCCCAGTCTCCAATTTGAACAGGTCGAGAGACCAGAGCGGGACTGATTCATCGCAGTTCACAACACCAAACTTCCTGTCCCACATCTCGAACACCCAAAAGAAGACTCTGCATATCCCTTGCGCATCACCTTTCTCGAGCAACAAACGATACAAGCCGCCCATGTGGTCTTCATGACACAATTATCCTACAAATTTGAGAACTGGGAGGGTACGCGACCGTGTCGATTTTTTTTCGTCCGCGAACCATCCGCTAACCGTCTCTAGACTGCGTCCAATTCCAAGAACTCCTCCTTTGTTCTAAAATGATGTTCATCGGCGGCATGGCCGAAGCCAAATCCAAAGGCCGTGGCGAGGAGTGTATCAGCCAGAATCTTCGCATTCTCCGTGGGCAAAACGGCAAACGGGTGATGTTATTCTTCGCAAATTCCCAACGAGGAGGCCTAAAGCGATACGTGTCCATTCCCCGTGAGTTTCCCGTTCCTATTCACGGCCCCTGAAAGCCCTGAAGGTCCTGTGTTCCGGAACTAATTTCCACTATAGTCAACTGTGTGGCAAACGTCAAGCCTCCGAAAAAGCCTGGGCGACCGGTGGTGGTGGAACTTAATCCGAATTTTGAAATCTTATCACAGATGCGGAACTTAACGATCCAATTTCTCGACAATAATGGTCAGTGCTCCGTCTGAAAGCCTAGAAAGTGGATTTTACGAGGTGGACTGTCGCTTACGAACGTCTAGATTGCGCGGAATTTGTCCAGCTACTGTCGACGGATCTTACGATTGGATGAAACATCAGCGGGGGGGGGGAACTTGTGTATTATTGTATAGCGGAGTTTACGGCGTGATCAAAGAGAATCGTGTGATACCACCATGCAGCCTTGTGTGAATTGAGACAATTACAATTAAATAATTTGAAAAAAGAAAAAAGAAAAAAAAGGCAATTTTAGTAAGATAATGCTCCGGAAGATGAGAACAAGGGAAAGGAAACGTGGAAACGTGGGAACTAAGCGTCGAGGCAAAGTGGGGCTGCTCCCCGCCTCAGCGTGTCAAGGGCCTTGATACCCGCACGTGGGCAACAGTGCAATGATATTGGCTGCGGTAGCATCTCGGAGTCCACCCTCTATATTGCATTAGCGTGAACCAGGGTTGGAGGGGGTCGAGCCTTAACTGGATCGCCCCATTGGGCACTGTCTCCATGTGGTCCTTACTCTTAGCGAAAAGGTGCTCCGATGTCCCGATGGCTTGTGTCTCAATGTGCCTGATTATTATCTCGGTTCCCGCATGCTTCTTCTGATGCATCTGCATCCTTCCGTTTAGCGATTCACGCTCTTTAGATCGCTATGGGGAAGTTTCACGCTCGTCTCTACAAGACTGACCGTGCGCGGGATTTCGATCATGAACAGGTATGTAGTGCTCCTCCAGGAATGGCGGGGCTGGGCTAACCCCATTCTTAGGATCGATATGTTCGCATGCGGCAGATCTACGAGACTATCGATCGCCAGAATTATCAATGGGTCGTTGTGCTTGTCGCCGGTCTGGGGTTCTTCCTCGATGGATACACAGTGAGTGGGCTACAGAATGAAGTTAGCAATACCACAGCTGCTAATGTTTCGCCTTACCCCGCCTTAGCTCTTTGCCAGTAATATGGCCCTTCCGATGATATCCTATGTTTACTGGAGAGATGAGGTCTCATCACTCCGGCTGACTTGCATCAATATTGCGACGTTAGCCGGTACATTGCTTGGAATGATCATGTTTGGATTTCTCGCCGACAAATACGGGCGGAAGAAGATGTACGGCGCTGAACTGGTGCTGCTAATCACCGCTACACTGGGTGTGGTCATGTCGTCTCAAGGCAAAGATGATAGCATGAACATCTATGCATGGTTGATCTGGTGGAGAATCTGTGTTGGCATCGGCGTGGGTGCGGATTACCCCCTCAGTGCCGTGATCACGTCTGAGTATGTTCCCAGACCCTATATGTGGGAATACACCAAGCTAACAACGAGTTAGATTTGCTCCGACCAAGCACCGTGCCCGTATGATGGCCAGTGTCTTCTTCATGCAGCCTCTCGGGCAAATCGCCGGAAATTTGGTCTCGCTCATTGTTATCGCCATTGCCCGCAAGAATGGTGACGAGCACATCACCAGTGTCATGGACAGTGCGTGGCGCTGGGTACTCGGCATCGGTGTGGTGCCCGGGGCAATTGCTACGGTCTTCCGTTTCGCCATTCCTGAGAGTCCACGCTACCTCGTTGACATCGAAGACGATCCCGTCACTGCCGAATTCGACGCGACTACCCTATTCAGCGAACCACCTATCCCTATGAGCCCTGGTACATTCGAGACTGGTAGCTTCACTACCGTTACTGTCGGCAGCGGTATCCATCTGCCTCCCATCTCATCCCTCGCAAGCGATTCTCTCTACGAAGATGAAGAGTACGGTTCACGTCTGCCACCCGCGACTCTCAACTCGCACTGGCGACTTGCCCGCACCGATATTATCAGGTACTTCTGGACGGAAGGCAACTGGCGTACACTCGCTGGCACATCGATGGCATGGTTACTTCTTGATTTCGGTTTCTACGGTATCTCGCTCTCGAGTCCTCAGTTCCTTGCCAAAACCTGGGGTGCGCTTCACATCACCGACTCTGAGCCGAACTGGATGACCGACAGTAGGCCTGGCGCGAGTGTTTACAACATGTTCTTCGACACCTCCGTCCGCGGTCTTATCGTCTTGAATATCGGCAGTTTCGTTGGCGGTCTTCTCCTCATTCTCTTCGCCCACCGCATCGATCGTGTCGCCCTCCAGAAATACATGTTCCTTGCCTTGGCAGTTCTTTTCATTACCCTCGGATCCATTTTCATCACCCTCACCGACAACCCACCGGCCGTCGTGACATTGTACATCCTCGGCCAGATCCTTTTCAATTTCGGTAAGTACACACTAACCATCTCCCACACCTTGCCATCTAACATCACCCCAGGCCCCAACGCAACAACTTACATGATTCCCGCCGAGATTTTCCCCACCCGCTACAGAGGCACATGCCACGGCATCAGCGCCGGCGCTGGCAAACTAGGCTCGATCCTCGTCCAAGTTTTCTCTACATACTACCGCTTCGGCACGGGCCCAGGCAACATATCCACCCTCCACCACGGCATTATTCTCTTCGTTTTTAGCGCCTGCATGGTTATCGGTGCAGCAGTGACACACTTCTGGATTCCGCCCCTTCAACAACCCAAGGGTAAAAATATGATTTGGGGCGGAAAACCGTACACCCTTGAGACATTGGCCCTTGGTCGTATGGGACGCAAGAGTCGCGATGCGAACCTCAGAAAGAGGTCGTCCAGGCAAAGGGCCATGTCTTTTAGCGGATAGACTCTCCTTTTTCTTTTTCTCATGGTATAGATGGTGTTTTTGTGCTTGTAATTATGGGTTCGTTTGGAACTTGGGAGGATTATGTCGACTTGACAGAGCAAGGTTCTCTATGTGAATATTTAAAAAGATACCCCTTTAATTCAAATCTTCTACCATACCTCGTTAGATATAAGGATTGTATGATCAATAGATACATGATTTTGCAAGAAGTGACATAATTGCAGATGAATTTAGCGCTTTGGCAATTCTACTTCCAGGTAGAGGAGCGCATCCTTTTCTGTCCCTTTCAAGCCTCAATTCTTGGCGATTCGAAGTTTCAGCCTTTCACCTCTCTCTGGGTCTTGATGTCCGTTCCTTGGCCATTTCCGTCTGTCTTCACAAGTCGTGGTGTCCCTTTCCTGCCCCTCTTCGATCTCTATTTCTACACTCACTCCCGCTCTCCACCGCTCCTGGCCCTTTCAAGGAAGATTCAAATCGACATTCAATAGTTTTTTATGTAATGCAGATGATTATTCAAGCTGAACGCCCACGGCGCGTTAGCCGTGAGCAATCTTATTGATGCTGTTGACCTCTTTTGAGCTTCTTATTCTTCTCGTTCCATTCTTTTCACGATCACCTCTAGTTACGCCACCCTTCATTTTCTCTCCTCGTATGGACTACATCATTTAGCCCTCTACTTAGACATTGGAAGCTGAACCCCCGGTCTTCTTCTCTCGCATATGCCGCTCCCTTTTTGATCTTGCGATCGGTGGATATATATTAAGTAGCACCCAATGAAAGCGAAGCAAATTATGCAAAAGACCATACTCATTCGCGGGCTGATGTGAAAAACTATGAAATTCGGACAAAGGTACATATGTCCGCGGAGTTGTACCAAATATATCACTATCCACCCGCCACCCGCCACCTCTGAAACATTTTATTTATTGCGATAAATTAATCTTGGAAGTAATTAATTTCCTAGACGGATATTAGTACCTTTGGACATACTACTTTAATTTGAATAAGCCATGTTAATCTCGTACGAAGTGATCAAATGTAATGCTGCTTTACTTGCAATTGCCAAAAATCACACCAGCCGTGTCAATAGCGAGCTATCGGAATAACATAATCATTTCAACAATGTAAAACGCTATATACGTGTAGAAGAGTATATTGGTATATCAAGGCCTCCAATCGGATTGAAAGTGGTGTACTTAAGAGATACATGTTGTCGCAATTACCATGATGTTTGGGGTGGCGGATGGCTTGTGGTGGCGAATGGCTTGTGGTGGCGGATGGTTTCTGAATTACAATTATTCCAATGACATTCGAAGTAACCGCTATGCTAGGCCTGTTGTTAACCCAAACAAGAGATATCCATGTATTTCAGTGTTCTCAACAAGGGACATATAGATCCCCAAGCTTCTCCCGGTTATCTGCTGTTCCAAAAAAAAGTCAATACAAGGGAAAATTAGTGCGCTCAAGATTCTTGGATCATGATGGCAAAGAGTGGATCCCCTTTCAATAACAAGCATCATTGGTCTAGTGGTAGAATTCGTCGTTGCCATCGACGAGGCCCGTGTTCGATTCACGGATGATGCATATTTTCTTGCTTTGGGCAGACACCGAATCCTTTTTTTTTTCCCCAGCTCGAATTTGCTCTAGCGCTCGTAGTCAAATCCCTGACCGAAGCAGGTATCTCCGGTACTCTAGCTTTAGATTGACTTTAACAAACCCGCTAAAAAGTTACTAGTGTGTTCAGCCTTCACACTTCGTAGTCCCACGACCGCGCCAAGAATGCCTTCATTGTGGCTGGCTCGTTCGCTTCAATCTATTTTATTGCCGCAGGTCCCGCTCGTTTTGATTAGGCCTACGCAGTGGAGAAAATGTCTAGTCAGAACAAAAGAAGAGTTGTCTTTAGGCTGGTCATAAGGTTTTGTGATTTCGTGAATTTGTGATTCCATCTAGACATGTCCGGTGTCTTACATTACTTCCAACACGTGTACCATCACATGCAAAGTTTGAAGTTGAATGACCTAATAATCTAGACGGTATTCTCCGTGATCAGGCTGGGTCTCAGACCAGGGCGATTCATGGCGCAGCCACTAAACTCTACTCACCCGCCTCTAGAGCTGGAGGAGAGCGTCGTCATCCCGCAGCGTATTTTGGGAATCGGCCACGCAGCCACTCTGGGAAAGTCCACCAATTTTTCTCTGGGCCAAGCTGACGAATGTGCAAATTTCTAAGCATCATTGCCGGACTCTGCTCGGGTCGTGGCGGGTGGCTTTTCTCCTTTCCGCTTGACTATTTCCAACCCTCCCTTGGTCCATGACGCCACAGCATGCTAAAGTAAAGCCAGTAAATGTGTTGTGCCTAGGATGAGTCGGCCCAGGCGGCAATTTCTAGGTTGTGTCTTAGTGGTCGTTGTGCTTTTCCTGGTATACAGGCACAGTCAATAGGGGTCCGATGTAAACATCCTTTCTCCTGTGATCCCGCAGGCTCCAGAAGCCCTTGAGGTTCCTGAAAACCCCCCTCAAGATGAGACAAGACCCTCACCTCAATGGCGGGATCTGCCCTTGCGCTTCCCCCCTTCTGTCATACAGGTGTTGCCGGAGGGACTGCCGCAACATTCACTCAGGCTTCAGGCTAGCTCTAAACACGTTTCGCGAAAGACGTTGTGGCACCAACAAACCCGAAAGGCGGCAGTAAAAGAAGCCTTTGAACGGTGCTGGAAGTCATACAAAACTTTGGCATGGCAGGCTGATGAGCTTTCACCTCTGAGTGGACTGCCACAAAATGGACTTGGTGGTTGGGGCACGCCGCTCGTGGATAATCTCGACACGCTTTGGATCATGGGTATGCATGACGAGTTAGATGAGGCCCTGGAGGCTGTTACTCAAATCCGCTACGATGTCACCCCGTTGCTCCAAATCAATACCCATGAGACCAATATCCGCCATCTTGGAGGTCTGTTGGCTGCATATGACCTGAGCGGTGACCGTAGATTCCTGGTTAAGGCCATCGATGTTGGCGACATGCTTTACGCTGCTTTCGACACTCCGAATTGCATGCCCATCACCCGCTGGGGTCCACACCAAGTGGAGCGCCAGGAAGAACAGCTGGCAGAGGAAATAGCATCACCCTCTGAGCTTGGCTCCTTCATTCTGGATTTCACGAGACTATCCCAAATCACAGGTGATCAAAGGTACTTCAATGCAGCGCATCAGGTCATGGTGAGACTTGAATTAGCGCAGGAGAAGTCAAAGCTGCCAGGGATGTGGCCTGTGATCGTGAACGCGCGCGTTGAAGTGGCCGATGGCGATATATTCACCATGGGCGCGGAGGTCGATTCTTTGTACAAGACTTTGCCTAAAGCATACGCTCTGCTGGGAGGTCGCTTACCTATGTATCGGACCATGTATGAGAAAGCCACAAGGACCGCAACAAGCCACAGCGTCTTCCGACCTATGAATGCAGAGGGCAAGGATATCCTCGCCCCTGGATCTGTGCAAGTGACAGTGACTCAAAACGGCAAACCACGGACATATCTAGTATCTCGGGTTCATCAGCGTGCCTGCGGTGCCGGCGGCATGTTCGCGATGGGTGGTGCGCTCTTAAATATCCCGACCCATCACAAGATCGCGAAAAAACTCGTCGACGGCTGTGTATGGGCTTCCCAAGCTATGCCCAAGGGCATAATGCCCGAGACATACGAAGCTGTTCCGTGCGCATCGCAAAAAAGCTGTCCATGGAATGAATGGCACTGGAGGAAGGAAGTATGGAAGAAAGCAATCATTGCAAACCCTGATCCATCTTTTGATGTCGATGTTTTCCTGAGGGATCACCGTATACCGAGAGGCTTTATCGCCATCCCAGATACTCGGTACAACTTGCGGCCAGAGATCATCGAAAGTATTTTCATGCTGTACCGCGTGACTGGGCGCGAAGACCTTCTCGACACGGCATGGGAAAGTTTCAAGACAATTGAAAATGCTACCCGAGTCGAAAATGGCAATGCTGGTCTCCTCGATATGACAGATGACCAGGAAGGAACAGGCCACATCGACTTGATGCAGAGTTACTGGATGGCCCAGACCCTGAAATACTTCTATCTTATTTTCAATCATCCCGACTTTTTGAGCTTGGATGAATATATCTTCAACTCTGCTTGACACCCGTTCAAGCTTCTGTGGCTCACAGAAGTGGAGAAGGCGTATGGATTGCAGTGAGATATCCTTTCCTGATTTCCTTTTCTCTTTGTTTCAAGCGAGAACAAAGCCGGATGCTGTCAATATAAAGATAATGATGCATTTCTAATGAACTGGGCAGCGCGGGCGTCTTGGAGCAGTGCATACCATATCTGGGCGAATTCACATTGATTGTGATTGTCTACATGTAGCCTCTAAATCGTAAGGGTCAAAGACCCTACGTAGTTGTATCTATCATGGCCTTTTTTTGGGGCTGGCTTTGACGTCTTGTTTGCAACTGATTACCGAGGCAGTTACCGATGATGCAGTAGTAATTGGGGAAATTCCGGATAGGCGAAGTTCCACCCTCGGACTAATACCGAGTCAGTGCTTCCCCGTATTCTGGAATAACAGATATTGCCGGGAGACCGGCGGTACAAAACAGCTCGCCGGATTTCGTAACGCGAACGGCGAAGATATATATCTGTGTAATCAGAGATGATTCTAACTTTGACAACTTTGAAAGAGCGCCCCGATGTGTTTATGTGAGGTGCATTCAAACTTGTCACACTGAGATCGCGAAAAGGGCGCCACCAGACCCTTGCTACAATGTGAGGGGCCAGAGTGCGGGGTTGTAAGAAGCCTTTTGGACTGGGTACTAATATCATTTAAACCTCCCCAAGTCAATCCGACTACCTATTATATCCAATTTATCACATGTGAACATGGCAACTGTCGAGGTTGGGACCCGTACAAAGGAAGAGCTCACTCTGTCGCGAGAGAGAGTCGAGCCTGGCTCCTTCAACATCCCTCTTGGCACTTTCCCACAAACATGCTCTGAGACCCCCGAGGACCCTGACAGAATTGCGACCTCTGTGATCGATCAACTAAACAGTGCGCTCGGGGGCAAGCATACCAACACTTTGTCGGAGCTTTTTATCGAAAATAGCTACTGGCGTGACCACCTGTGCTTCTCCTGGGACTTCCGGACTCTCAAGGGCCGCGATGCAATCGTTAAATTTGTGACCGGAAGCTCCTCTGCTATCAAGTTCGAGATTGATCGCTCGTCCGCTTTTAAAGCACCGCATAATGGCCCTATTGATGCATATGGCGAGGTCCATGGCATTGAATTCTTTGTCATTGTTACTTCCAATGTTGGACACGGTCAGGGCGTTATCAGATTGGCCCAGCAGGGAACCGAGTGGAAGATATTCACCGTATTCACATCACTGGAGGGGTTGACTGGCCATAGCGAAGCTGTCAACAGCAGCAGACCTGCTGGTGTGCAGCACGGGGGCCAAGTAGGAAGGACGAACTGGAAAGAGCGTCGCATTATAGACGAAAATTTCGAGGAAAAGCAGCCCTCCGTATTGGTGGTTGGTAAGTAGTTGCCTACCTTGCAAAATATCATGTACACAAATTCGACTAACAGTGACCAAAGGGGCTGGTCAAGGAGGTCTCACCATCGCAGCACGCCTGAAGATGCTCAACATCGATACATTGGTCATTGACCACGAAGATCGAATTGGAGACAGCTGGCGCCACAGATATCACCAGCTCGTCCTCCACGACCCAGTCTGGTTCGATCACATGCCTTACATTCCATTCCCTCCCACTTGGCCGATTTTCACGCCAAAAGACAAGCTGGCTGATTTTTTCGAGTCCTACGTCAAACTCCTGGAGCTTAATGTCTGGACTCGGACTGAGTTGAAGTCGTCTTCCTGGGATGACACTCAGAGAGAATGGACCGTCGTGCTTGAGCGGAAAAAGGAAGACGGCACCACCGAGACTCGCACGCTACACCCACACCATGTTATACAGGCGACTGGGCACTCGGGCAAAAAGAACGCCCCTACCTTCAAAGGAACGGAGAATTTCAAGGGCGATCGCATCTGCCACAGCTCCGAATTCCCCGGTGCAAGCACAAAGTCAGCTGGCAAGAAAGCTATCGTGATCGGGTCCTGCAACTCCGGACACGACATCGCCCAAGATTTCTTCGAAAAAGGATACCAAGTAACAATGGTTCAGCGGAGCTCTACCTGTGTTGTCTCTTCCGAATCCATAACAGACATCAGCCTGAAAGGCCTGTATGAAGAAAACGGACCCCCGACCGAGGAGGCGGACCTGTACCTGTGGAGCATCCCCCTTGAACTATTCAAAACCCAACAGATCAAGGTTACGAGAGCCATGAACCAGAACGACGAAAAAGATTATCGAGGGCCTGGAGAAAGCAGGGTTCAAGGTTGACCGTGGACCCATGGACTGTGGTCTTCTGACAAAGTACCTACAGCGCGGAGGTGGCTATTATATTGACATGGGCGCGAGTCAGCTTATCATTGACGGAAAGATCAAGGTAAAACAGGGACAAGAAATCAGCGAGGTCTTGCCCCACGGTCTTCGATTCGCAGATTGATCGGAGCTGGAGGGTGATGAGATTGTTTTTGCGACAGGTTATCAGAATATGAGGACGCAGGCAAGGCTCATCTTTGGCGATGAGGTTGCTGATCGTGTTGGCGATGTCTGGGGCCTGGACGCGGAAGGGGAGATGCGTACAATCTGGCGCAGGAGTGGTCATCCCGGGTTTTGGTTTATGGGCGGAAATCTTGCGCTCTGTAGGTACTATTCTCGGCTGCTGGCGTTACAGATCAAGGCGCTGGAGGTGGGTGCTGCGAAGTATTAGATGGTTTTCCAAATTGCAACGAGTTAGGTGGACATGAATAAATCGAATATCTGTCAAAGCAAATGTTATACTTCGCCAACTGAATAAACTTGAGATCAAGGATGGCTTCTAGGAACCAAAGAGCGTGAGCGTGAGTTTTCTTTTTTTAAAATGTCGGAAAAGAGCCCGTCATTAATTTGATTAAAAATATAGTGACGGCTCTTTGAACTGTTTGATTGAGCTATTTATCCCAGTTGCTGCGGATCTAACGTGCTCGCATCCACAAAGTCAGGTATATCCCAGAAATTCAAATCCTCGAATCCCAAAGTTGGTATCTGTCAGGCAATTAGTAGATTTTAAATAGTGTTCTATTCAACTTACCATAAAGTCAGAGTTCAGGCTCGACGCAATGACACTCTTAGGCGTCCAAACATTGGGCCCATCAGCAGACGTCAGCAAGTCGCTTTCTTTCTCAGAAACCTGGCATTGATCGAGGTATCTCAGGAGTAATATTCGACAAGTCCGCATACTTTCCATAATCGCCTTTCTGATGTGAGTCCATGTTGCTTGTTCCCGCGACGGACCGCGGTGATCTGGGCAAGAATCCCACTGAGTAAACCATGACGTTTCATGCTCGGTATGCCTGCTTCCAAGCTTTGGCAGAGTTGATCTTTGATTTTCTCAAGAGCCTTGATAGGCAAGGCACAAGAGGCTTCAGCTATTGGTTCGACTGGAACAAGAACAGTGGCCGAGGGATATTGCGCGACTTCTTCTTCAAGCTGGGTAATGAGTTCCAGACCAATTGTAATTATAACATCAAGCGACAGGTGGCCTTTGAAGAGGCCTGCGCCGGACAGACAGAGGCGTTGGAAATCTTGGTATGCTATGTGGTCGCCGCCTGGGGATGCTTCGGGGCTTTCGGCGTATGAGGCGATGGAGAGAGCAGAGTCGAAGCTAAGTTTTCGAGACAGGTAGAATCTGGGGTCTTTGATGGCTTGTATAGCGAATGGGCGGTATATATGGAGCAGAAAGCGGTGGAGAAGACTGTCCATAAGTCGGTGGTGGAAAGGAGTCGGTCTGAAACTGCTTTTGGCGGGGCGGGAGAAGTAGTTATGGAAAGCAGCCGCCATTTCTTTACAAGACGCGGCAATTTCGCTGCCCAGATGTAATGTAGGCTCGTAACACTGTCTATGAGTGGGCTGATTAATGATCCGAGCGATGCGTAGTCGCGCCGGGAAGGACTGAGAAAGGAGAATCTGGAGCGATGAATGTGTGTACCAGTCTTTAGGCTGCGAGGGCGGGAGTACAGTCGTAGCTTGGTCAAAGTCCTCGTCATCCAGATTAGAGGGTGGATCAGTATCAAAATCATCTAAGCTGAAAAGCGGTGGCATGGATGTATCGATCGAGAGCTGCACATTGATCTCGAGTACTGTGGCCCAAATACGGCGTCTCATCTCAGCGTCGAAAACGGACAAGGCCGAGAAATTTCGGGGGTCCCGGTGAAGACCTTGATTGACTGCAAGACGAAGCAAGCTCCCAGCCGAGTTCCAAGTTGTCTCCTTGTCTATGGCATATCCCAAGCGACAGAGAAGCAGTAGACAGTGAACCTGTAAGCCTTCCAAATTCCCAGCATCTTTCTCCGAGGGACCTGAAAGCCACCAATGTGCGGCATATACCCAGCGCCGTACCGGAATACCTAGCTCGTTTGACGGGCCCGGCTTACAGTAGAAGATAGAACCGATGGCGAGGATCAACAGAAGCTTCATCTGAAAACCAGTGGAGACTGACTGAGAATCTTTCCAAAACCGCTCATAGTCTCCGAAGAAGGTCGGAACATGTAGCACTCGATAGATTAAGCCCAATGTCCGTAGATAGTGTTGTATGAGCTTGTCGCAAAGCTCCCTTGGTGGCAAGTCGCTCAATAGACCCTGGGCTGGATTGACGAGCCGCGGAGCCTGTCGGGCTTTGATTGACCGCCGTATCGATCGGATCTCTTTCAGCGAACTACTAACTTCATCCTGGTTCTCGTCCACGTAACTGGCTTTGCTGCGTAATTGCCTCAGAAGCCGTAACTATACTGAGTCAACAAGCGGAACGTGTCGAGCACATGTAAGAAAGATTCACCTGCTGGAACAAAAGTGCCCAATGGGTTGTACCAAATAGCTTCGTTCGATCGCCCGTATCTTTTTTCAGACGAGGTGCAAGTGGAGCAATGGATGTCTGTGGCATCTCCGACCTCTGCGCCTTCGCCTCGGCCAATTGCTTCTCCAAATCGGCAATGTGATCATCGAGCTTGCTGACATTGGATGATGAGCCCGTTCCATCAGACCCTCGTGACCGCTGAATCCGAGTCGCATGTTCATGGCCCGCTTCCTCCAAGGTCTGCACGCGATTCTGAAGATGCAGAACAGTAGCTTCCAGATGAGTGATGCGAGCCCCATCTGTGGTGCTGCCGCTTGGTCCAGTAACGCTCCGCACTGCAGATGGCGGTGACTCGTGCTCACTGAGCCTTGACGCGTCAATTCTAGCATTCAAGGCTGCTTTTCCTTCGTAGACGTATTCACATTCTAAAGATGGCTGGGACTTCATGCATGGGCCGCACGGCATTTCCCGGTCGCATCTGACTTTGCGGCGGCGGCACTGTTCGCATGACAGTGCAGGTCGGCGACGTTTGCGTGGTATTGATAATGAATTCTCATTGTCTGGCATTTCGAAACAGTCGACTTCTGGACAATGAGGAATTGTAGGGTTCTTTAGTTGAAAGCCTAAGTGATTGTGAGTGTCGCTGATTCGGGCAAATTCCGGGATTTTGCCGGGGCTTTATCACCGCTTTGAATGCCTCTCAGACACCTCTGACTCGACCGAAACCTGGAGATAAATGGACTGATCAGGTAGTTTTGGAGCTTATGATGCATCATATCTGCCGTCTAGATTGGTGCCACGCAATTGAGCATATACAAATATTTGATTGCTAGCCAACACCCTCCAAATGGAAACATTTCATCGAACGAATTTTCTCATATTGAGGCTATTCTTCCTTCCCCATTATTTGCTCTTACCTAAGTCAGCGGTAGCCAGGTACCCGACGTGAGGTGAGACTATTACGAGAAGAGGGCCATTTGGAGGGTATGACGAGCCAAAAATAGAAAGAAATAAAAGTTCTGTTTCGGGAATAAGCTTGTCTATGCCCGAGCCAAATGGCCTCTGGAAATCTGACCGCTGACCTCGGCTGCCCCGTCTGAAAGTCAACGTGTATCAATTTTACAGTATTGTGTTGCTTTCATCCCCATTTTGAGGCGTTCCTCTGCTGGCTGCTTTGGAAATTCATTACTAACCTCTTCTTGTTGTACTTATGAGGCCCTCAGATGCCGCTAAGCCGCCAGCGGTACGGCCCCACAACCCCACCGTTTCCCAGGCATGTTCATCACTAAAGTAGGTAGAGCTGCTCTAAGTGGACACAGCCAAGCCTTCCATTGGGATTGAAATCAGTCTACGGTCTTCCAAAGTATAATTTTATTCTCTATAAAGCAGCCTTAAAAAATTTGCCATACTATCATTGCGGATCAGAATTTGATTTTGGCTTTCACAGGTGGCCTTCACAGGTGACCAGGACAGATAACCTCATACACATGTCTCACCTTTAATCGTGCAATAAGTAGCTCCACTATTCATCCGCACGAAATTACCAGAGGACGGGGATAGAAGGGTCACGACTGATTGATTCATGTATTTGACCTTCTAGCTTTAAAAGAGTTCCTTCAAGGACTAATTTAACCACCCTTCCTGATACCCAACCCATACGCCCAGCGTAAGAGTGATCGTATATAACCAACATTCCAGCGCCTCACTTGAATCCCTCTCATTGGAATCCAAAGGCCCCATCAAATCATAACACACCCGCAACCCGTCCAGAATAGAAGTCTTGCGAACAATGATTTCAATTCCACTCTTCGTCATGGTCGCAATACGACTCTTCCTCTTTGCTTGTCGATCAATCAATAGAAGCACAAATTGTTCCGCGTCCACCGAACCAGCCGGTGCATTCTCTTTACTCCGCTTTTCCCACTGCAGAACCATCCTGCCTGGATCCGCGGGGTCTGTTTTCTCATTCTTGATTGTGAATCGGTAACTCGGCGTCGATGCGCTGGCTCCTATTGTCCCTGCACTGGCCTGCCAGCTACACCGCGCATCGCGGAAATATATATGTGAAGCTGTATCCTCCTGACACATAGCCGTGACGATATCCTTTGCCGCGGTGATGTTCCTGGACTCCAGGTCCGAAGAAGAATTCGAAGGATCCTTCTGTCCAGTTGAACTGGTCATGTAGGACTCATCTCTGGTCGCGTAGATATCACCAGATCTCAATTTGAATCTTTGATGAAAGTCGCGCGTCAATTTGGACTTGCAAAATGGTGGCTGCCATATTTCGAGGACTGGCACTGGTCTGTGATTCGGCACGAGTTGTTGAATTTGCAATAGGAGTTTTGGAGCGAGTCGTAGGGATGATTTTGGTGCTGGGCGTGCGATCTGGAAATTCGCTTGGATTTTGGTCCGTGTGGATTGTGAAGGTCTAGATTTTCATGAGATGCTGGCTGGTGTATTTTCTTTGGGGTAATTGCGTACCGCTCTTCGCTTGCCGTGTCACTTTCGTAGACGACTGATGAGGAACTCATAATGGGCTAGGAACGCTTGACGATTATATTTCCTTCGACCTGGAAGAATAAGAAAAGACAACTTTTTTTTTCGTGTCTCTTTTTCACCGACTTGATGCCGAGGCCGTCTATATAAATAGTTAGTGAGTTCTTGGCTCGACCTACTACGGAGCCGTATTCGTATCAATTGAAAATATGAGTGCACGAACCATGTGGGGGCGAGGGTTCAGGGGTCTTTCACACCGATTTGAGGCAGTGACTTTTTTTTTTTCACCTACCGCGGTCATGCTAATGTGTTCCAGTTGTTTGATGAATACGGCACATATGTCGCGATTGGCTCTTGTAGAACCTTGCGAGACCCCGCGACGCCAGGCAGCGATCGCACGATCGTATCCGTATTGAGGCAGCATTGCGATGCCGAAATTTAGTGTCATCTCACCCCGAGGGGCTTGGGGCCCGCACTTGAGGACTGAAAGATGCTTAGATAGGTGCTATCGCGCGGTCAGAAAATTTAAATCGTGTCCTGGACATTGCAACTGACAGCTGAGGCCCTCTTTGGGAGTGTTGGTCTGAGCCTTGTAGGGCGTGGAGCAGGTCAATTGGCAGGAGAAAGGCCGATCAGCCGCGGTAGGAATTCACAGCCTCAACCCCGATCCTTGGGGCAGAATTTCCAGACCATGACCTGGTCAGCCACAAAAGTGACTGCTAGGACAACAGAAATGATCATCAGATGCTTAGCTCAAATTAGAAATGTTGAGTAAATACATCCATGAAACATCACGCATCCTTCGTGCCCCCGCAGTCTCCATGGTCAAGGCTGCGACGTTTCCATCCATGTTCCAGACCCAGAATTCGACCGGTAAATACACCCTTAACCGTGAGGACCTGAACAGTGAACCACATCACTAGTAGAATCAGCAACAGCGCAGTTGACATAACGGCGAAAGCCGGCGACCCCATGATCTTTCCAAATTCCACCGCTGCATTGGTGAAGACGCCCTGCTTACAATTAGCCTTACGCCCTATGGAACTATTTGAAGGATGGCACAAACGGACCCAAGGGAAGATCAGCGACCACGCAGCCATGGTGAATCGTGTTTTGCGCCACCCGCCCGGCTGGGCGCTCAGGGTATGACATATGCTGATGATGGCGAAGCACCACCAAAAGATCCCATAGCCCCAAGTGAGCAGCCCCAAAAACTGGCTCGTATAGCCGATCGGGGCGGCTGCAGCCGCTGTTAAGAAGGTTCCCCGATCGTATGCGGCGAAACTGCCTTGTATGACCGCTTGGCCCAGTATTTGTAGCGCGAAGGCACCTTGGCCAAATGGCCCGCAGACGATCATATCCTGGTACACGTTGTCTGCGGTCGGGGTGAAACGGTCAAAATGCTGCAACAGGATGAGTGTATCGAACCCGGCAGCCAGTGAAAGACCCGCACCAATCTGGAGGTACGATATGATGATGACGGGCACCTGAAGACGTGGGCTGATGTGGTCATAGCCACAGAGCACACCTCCACTAGCGGCCGTTGTCAAGGCTGCGATGAACGGGAGCAGAATGGTTGGAGGGAGGTGCGATATCCCTGGGGGTTGCAGCTTCAGCTGGACGTATGGAATGCCCAGACAAGCAACGATCGCGAGGAAGGACTGGATCCACCAGAGGACAAAGAACGCGAGGCTCGCGCGGCTGCCATACTGGAGCACCGCGAGCTGAATGATGGAATCATAAGCGATAGGGATGCACGCTAGGCATGATATCTCGATGATGTTTACCCGCAGCTGGTTGCGGACGTGTGCCGGGTATACTAATATGCGTAGCGTGTAGAGGATCAGACAAAGGGCAAAGAGGACGATGGTGTATATCCAGGCGATTTTGGCGATGGTCCTCAGACCGTTGAATTGATAGTCCAGTCGGTGGAGAAGGATACAAATGATTCCAGTTCCTTGGGGAATCAGGAACCAGTTGGAGGAAAAGTTCCACAGCGCGATCGAGAGAGGCCGCTCCGGTCGCTGCAGTGGGCCCCCATCATTCGGCATCTTTGAATCAACTCATCTGGCGTCGATCTCTCCGAGTAGACTCCGGCCTTGTTCCTGAAATGAGTCGTCTCGTCCAAGTTGGGTTGCAAGATCGTGCCTTGACGTCATTACCGGCGTTGACAAGCCGTTTTAAAGCGAAGTCAATTGGGAGGTCCAATGAATGCCTTGGATGTTCTTCTATCAGATATGATATGGAAATGAACGGTTTTGACTCAACACGAGTTCGCAGCCTTTAAGCAATGAGCAAGTGGTCGCGGACTGAGACACTCGGGGATCACATTAACACGAGCTTGATTTGTATTTCTTGCATCTCTGATCGAGTCAATGAAGAGTTGCACTCTCATCGAAGATATAAATCCCCACAAATTCACTCCTTGTATATCTGGTCATGAATCAATTCAAATTTAACAATGTAAATGCACGCTGGCATGGGAAGGACCTCAAGGCCCGATTCCCAGTTTTCCTCCAATAATGTACCCAGTGCGTTCCTCGCCCGAGCATGCACCCAATCCCAAATCCAATCCCATTCTTCATTCTAATCCTAAAATCATGCGCCGTAAATTGTCGTTGTGGTTGTCGTAAAAGGGTTCGTAGAGGTGAGGGTATCGATATTAGACTCGGGGCGAGTGGGGTGAAGGGTGGGCATAGGCCAGCGCTTCCTCTGATGTAACTAATCTAGATTAGCTGCGATCTGATCGAGTGGCCCTGTGATCCTACATCGAGACTCGAGGTCGACCCGACCGCCCATCGATTCGTGTCGGAGGTGGGTGTAGTTTCGTGCGCGGACTTGCCGCATGTATTGGTGCTGCTCGTGGTTTGGGCTGAAGCGGGATTCATTGGCGGGGTTGTAGTGGATGAAAAGTGCTGCGCCCAGAGCGGTGACGGCGAGACAACCGACGAGGACGATTACAATGATGGCGGAGTTGCTGATAGCCATGGTGTTGATTTCTTGAACGAGGGACTTGATGTTTAGAGATGAATCGAGGTTGTGGTTAATGCATCGCGGGGATGGATGAGTCCATCCGCAGTGGCAGTAAAGCGTGAGCGAGAGAGCGAGATGCGACGGCAAGGAAGAGGGAAAAGTCCGAGAAAACCAAGGGTACGGATGCAGGTGCTAGATAAAGAGAAGAGATCCCAGGCTTACGCCAGCCTCGGGGGCGATGCCTCATATCTCGCAATCTGATCTGTGTCTCGTTGCAGTCGCGATTGGCCACTGCATTTACGGAACCCCGAGCCGAGTGGACAATCGCTTGGACTTGGACCGATCTACTCTTGCAATTCTCTACAGTCGCTGATCGTGTAGATCTGTTCGGTGTGTTCTCTTCAAGTATCTTTGGGTTCCCACCAGATTCTTTCAATCTTCCATGAGAACAGTGCATTTGGCCATCAAAGAGCATGGCCGGCTTAAAAATAGCACACTGACGTATCGAGTCTCCAGCTCAAAGCTTGTCACGGGGGTTCCAAGCCGAATCGGGTGGAGTGGACAATTGCGCTGCCTAACGTGGACCAGTTTCAACTCACAACGATCCCCTCATCGACGCTGGGATTTCCAGGGTATAGATGGAACAATTTTGGGATTTTGGGACGAATCCCTCGTGAGAATAATTGGACATCAATATCGGAAGCAGATGTCTGGAAATGAGGTCCCAGAAAGAACCAAGGGGTGGAGCATCCGTGGACCTCGAGGGGAAAGAGGTCAGAATCAACATGCGGGGGACCGGAGTACTTCTGCGGAACCCGGCACCGGCACCCCAGCCATCATTAATTCCAGCCTGTTCAAGATTGCCAGTTGACGTGGTGAAAGGCTTTTCTAATTGCATCTCCTAAGAATAATCTAATCTTTCGAAATCCCTGATCTCGTATCCTGTATCCATTCTACAACTCATATACGTTTCAGTGTTCTACTGTGCTCCTAGTGAATACACCCCGATAAGAAAGCCTCGGAGTGGGACGGGAGAATCACGAACCAATCATCCGGCGCAACGACCATTCAATATCGACTCTCAACGGTCGCGTTGCTTGAGGATTGCCTGTTCGTCAATCACCGTCGACTCGCACATAATCGGCTCCAAGTTGATGTTTGTATTTAATCTTGCTAACTCAGCGCAAATTTGACTCTTTAATGAATGACTCAACTCTCCACGCGCGCCCTACTTTTCTAGATCACGTTTCAGAAGAAGGACCAACATAACTCATTGAGGCTCATGACGAAGGCATCATATTCAGGGAGTACTGACCTCACTTGTCTCTGTAACAAGTCATCCGCTTTCATCTTTACCAATTCCCACTCATCCCTGGAATCGAAGGCCTTTTGTTCCAGGAAGTGGCCCACCAGCGCGGTAGCAAGTATGTCAAGCCATTCCTTGGGAAGCTCTGCATGATTTTTTCTCTTCATTTTGCAAAAACCATCAACATTGGAGCGAATCGTGTCCGAATCAAGGCCCAAGATCTGAAGCAGCTCATCGCTGAACTGCCAGTAGCCAACAAAGGCTTGAAGAATGATGAATTTCTGCAAGGGCGTCTGGGTTGCGAACGTCGATGAATGTATGCTTGTGTGGTCATCGCTAACGTCATCGTCATCCTGAATATCCTCTTGATCGCTGGAAGCCGCGCAGCAGAATTGTGCAGCACCTCGGGCTGTTTTGTAGGACACGGCCATAGACCTGGAGCCAGATGGCCCCACTGATGGGCTGCTCGAGCCAGCTGGGCTGAGCCCTGGAGAGGTTGAGTCGGGCCCCAGCATCGCCTGAATATCCTTGTCACTGGGCTCAGGGAGACTTTGATCAAAGCTCACAAAGAAATCAGAGACCGGAGGTGCTACCGGGTCAAATGCGGCAGTTCCGGCATTACAAGGTGTCGCGCAAATGAATCCCATATCCTCATCAGATTCGGGCTCTTCCACACCTGATCCCATGTCATAAATCTGTACGACCTCAGCCTCAGAAGTATTCTCTTCATGATCAGGATTCACAGTTGGTCTCCTCACCTGACTGGCCATCTTTCGCTTGCCAGGGGCAGAGCGGACCCTGGTGCCCTCATGGCTGGGAATATTTTCAATGTCATTTAAATCGATTTCGTATCCCGCGAGATCATCGTCGAGTACGACCACGAATGAACAATGTTTTCCTGCAATTTGGTAGCGGACTCCAGGGCGTTCACATTCTTGCCGGACCACTTCGTTCATCCGGCTTCCGCTTTGGTCCATGATTGGCTCGCCTGGGGCGTCCTTTGCGTAGTGAATCCAGCCACGGGACTCCTCGAGTTCGGTCATTGATTTTTTTAAGTGGCGAGTTGATGAAGCGTCTCGCCCTTGCCGATGCCCTGGATGGGAATTTCAAGCTCCACGGGTCCATGTTTGCTTTCGGCACGAAGCGTGATCGCTTCGCGGAAAGATGTCGAATCATGTGAGAAGAGGACATAGAAATTGGAAGCCGATGAAGGGGAATAAAGCCGGAAGATCGGTAGGCGCTTGCAAGATGTGGGTAATTGAGAGTTTGGAAGTGGTTGGCGCAGATCGACAACGTCTTTCTTTTCTTTGTGCTCTTGGTTGGAGAACGAGATCGGTTCTGCGGCAGGCTCTGCCTATACCATTTAGCCATCTGGCCATTCTACATTCACATATTCCTCATCAAGCCCGGGTATCTTCATGTCCAGCCTGCTTTTGGACAGCCGGGGCATGAGGGCGCCCTTCAACATGCGGATGACCGTTTTGTTCAGATCTTCGTTCTTGATGACTGTCTGGGAGAACCCTTTGCCTGCTCGAGAAATGCCGTTTACGAGAGCATGCAAGACGCTGTTGCCAATGCCAAGGGTAGAAAAACGCGTTGAATTTTCCTGGTTCTCTTTGTTGACAAAGTCGAAGATTGTGCTTTGGTCCCAGATATCTCCGTCGGTGAGGACCAGTGCCTCGAGAACCTTGTCCTTGTAGCGATTCTTCACAGCTGCCTGGAGAGCTCCCAGGATCTCTGTGACGCCCATGTCGGCGTTGATTTTTCTTGTATGTCTGACAGCTTTCGCCAGGCTCTCCTCGCTGCTCACCTTCCTACGAGGCCACAGGGATTTGTGGGAAGATCCGAAGGAGACAATGTTGAAAGGCACGCCGAGCGGCACTGATTTGAGGAACAGCTCTGAGACGGACCGGGAAGTGGGAATCTTCCCACTCATACTTCCACTCCGATCGATGAAAAAGACGATCTCGGACGCGTCTGACGGTAGGCTGAACTTGGGTACCAGGGTTATCATGAGTGCTTGCTAATTCGGTAAGGTAGGATGCGTTTCGAGAAACGCGAAGGGAAGGTCATGATTGTCAGCATTCACAGTGAGGACGAAGTCCTCGCGGATGGTTACATTCTCGCGAAGCTTGACTGCTGCGTAGCAGGATTCAAAGGTCGACTTTGACGTGTGAGAGGCTCGGCCTAGATCGACTTGGATTGGATGACTAGGCGATCGAATATTGCGAATGTGAGAACCCTTTCCACGATAATGTCCACCCTGATCTCTGTCTTCAGCAGGACACCTCCGGGCGGATCAGGCTCGCCGGTCCCAGCCCCATAACGGGGTGCGATGCTAACAGGAACCATGTATCGAATTCCATCAACCTGGGCATCTTGAATCAACTCTTGAACGAGAGTAATTTCATGACAACAGTCTCGCCAGCAAGCACATTTCCCAGGCGTGTCGAGAAAACATCTGCTGCATTTTGTGATTGATCGAGAATAGCAGCGGTCTTACCCTTGGACTTTGCTTCCTGGTAGATATGATTTGCCTTCTCCTTTGATCCCACCACGCCTTTCACCACTCTATCACCCACGTGACAATTCAAGCCAACGATACTGGGGTTTTCGTAGAGTGGGAATGAATAGAAGACTTCGAGGATGGCCTCTGTCGAAGATGGGTTGACAAAAGTCCGAGTGATGACCGTCCGTGAATTAGTCGCGAGGATAGTTGCATGCACATCAAGGCCAATCTGAGGCATGAATTTACGGTCATAAAAAGATTGGCCCTATCCAGAAGGACGGTCATAAGCAGCCGTGTGTCATGGCGAGTGGCAGAATATTGGGAGAAGGTAGAGCGAATAGGGGAAAGGCTCAATATTGATGTTCACTTTCCAGGCCACGAAGCAGCAAATGTGAATAAGAACACGCGAGGCTGAAAGCCCCTGGTGGACAAACATGGAACGTGCTATCCTGATTTGCGGCTTAAACGATTGGCACTGACTCATTCGATCTACACTAGGCCGACCCCTCACATAACTTGATTCGGTAGATCGTACGACCTCCCCATGATAATTGTACTTAGCGGAGAAAACACGTTGTCTAAATGGCTTCAACAATGAGTTCGTCGGTCTTGGCTCTCCAATGCCCCACGGAGCTCTTTCAAGGGGGTCTGATTGGACTAGTCTGCTAAATCAGGGTCTGCGGGGATCTCGAATTGTTTGATAAGGATGATGATAAAACAATTCGACGTGAGGGAAAGATGGTTGCGCCTAAAACCTGCATCGCCTTTCACTTTGGAAAGGTTGATTTGTGTCCCCTTTGCAGACAGTACCTGGTACCCCGGGTTGACACCTACGCGTCCATAGTCCATAGTCCATGGACTTTGACAATCTGTGACATTATTCAGCTCTCACTTTAGCACTTGAAAAGATTCCAAACGTTTCGGCGCGAAAAGCCTCACGTTTGTAGGCTTTGTCTCTTTGACAACTCTCGCAGAATACTTTCCATCGGAAAATTCTACACCCTAGCAAGCATTCCAAGGTTGCTAATCCATACAAAGTGTCACTTCCACGCGAAGCTTAACCACGAATCATTTGGTTTACACTCACTGGACATGGCTCAGCCATCCACAAGTGCTTTGGAGCAACCTCTGAGTGACTCTTTTCGTCACCTTGGTTCAATCACCAAGCTTCGGAGCGAGTGGGAGTTTATCAAATGGTCCCGTGAATTGAACGACGCTTTCGATCTGATCAATGGTAACTTCTGGGAAATTCTTTGTGGGGACCGGCCCATGCCAGCCGAGCCCGAGTACGCCGTGACCTCCAGCGAGGATGTTCGCCGCTACATTGCTGATCGAGACCGAATCCCGGTCAAGAGAGTGACGCAGGAAGAACTCAAATCAACTATCCAGGACCATATCCGGGAGAACGTGCGAATCCGCGAAAGATACGAGTCAACTATGGAACTCTGGAAGGATCAAAACTGGCGAGCCCTCTCACTGCTGAAGTCCACAATTGACTGCAAGCCGCAGCAATGCATATCCGGAATCTGGAGAGTCCGCGAAGCCTACCTTAAGCTTCTATCTAATTACGGCTCTAGCTGGCAGAATGCCGTTCTGAAATGGTCCAAGTGGACCGCGGTTCGATTCGAACAGGATATGACTCCTAAGTACTTCGTGATGACCTTCCACAATGCTCTCCAAGAGCTTCTCCTGGTTATTGACCCGGCCATCGTTCCATCAATTGTCCAGTACATACAATTTGTCGACTCTATGCGTTACCATGGACGTGCCCATAAATTTCTCGCAACTGTGAGGCCAGATGGCGATCCCGCCAATCTGATGAAGACCACATATGAACATTTCCTTGCTTGTGGGCCATACAAGCCATAGCGAAATGTGACGACCCGTTTTGGCAACTTTCTGCGCGCAGGGTGGGAGGCTGTCAAATCACTGGGGAGCAGAGCACAAAAGGGGGGCTAATGATAGTGGTGTCAAGACAGGGACCGTGAAAGGAAGCAGGTTATGAAACAGCAAACGAGTCGGTGGAAGAGTCAGATTTCAAGGAATCCACCCACTTTACATCGCAGCTTCGTGATGAAGAGAAAGAATCTCATTCAATTCCGATATTTCCATAACTAATAGCTCAGCATTGTTTGCTAAGTTCCATTATCCTAAAAATGCTCGTGAAGAACTTCAGACCGCTCGATGCTTCGCTAAATTGACAGACTAAGTCTTGATTCTCGGTGACCGGACCATGCAATACAGCTACAACTCCGTCAGTGAATGAAAAACGTATCTTATCGTGAGTGACTTACCTTGCAAACATCTCCGCCGTCCACACACTCAATTTCTTTGGCCAACTCGAACCCCATCTTCTCATAGATCAGAACATTGGGGTACCCCTTTGAACTCTCGAGGTAACATGGCATTTTCTTCTCATCTGCCTTGTCCATAACAACTTCCATAAGTCGCTTTCCAACCCCCATGCCGCGAACAGCAGAGCTGACGCAAAGAACATTGCAGAAGTAGTAGCCGCGCGGGTCCTTCCAGAGTTCCTTGTGTGTCTCTCGCTGAACCTCTTTATAAATCCAATACCGTGAGGCATTCAATCCACCACGGCCCCAGAATAGTATATTGTTCATGAGTTGTCGAAAGGATAGGAGCCAATCCTGCGCCCACACAGACCAGGTCTGAGGCACGGAAGCCTGCCGGGGCGAACACCACCAGCTAACCCCGACAATGCGACCCGCTTGCAATTTCAATTCGCGATCGTCCTTGACTTCGCTGGCGGACTGGCTGACCCGGGCAACAAACAGGGGATCGTTGCAGTTGATCGCATATCGGAAGTGTGATGCGAGGGAAGCTGCATTTCGCTCGATGTTGAACTATCGACCACAGTCATTTCTTATTCTCTCTCGTTGTGTTTCGGGCATGGGTGTTGCTTTTGTGAATGGCATCTCGTACCTTTGAAGGTTCGTTGAATACCCATTTGAAGTAAGGATCATCGGAGAAGGCTCTTTGCAAGCAGTCTACAGCACCGGGGATATCGGCCTCGGCCAGTGGAACAATTTCGATTGACATGGTACGTGCCTTGCCACTACAGTCCCCAGTCAAGTGGACTTAACGGACGGGTTTTAGATATCGAAAGTTTTCGATTATTGTTTCTACTGGCTCTGCGCAAAGGCTGGGACAGCGATATGGTATAGACGTGCGTGTGGAGCCTTAGTGGATAAAGAGAAAAAACCGCCATCTAAGGAGTATTGGAGTGGTGCAGATCCACTGGTGGTGATGAGAATAGGAGAGAGAAGGAGTAGTCTAGGGAATACTGGTGAGCCAGTCAGGGTGGAGGAACACAGTCTTGGGATTGAAAGTTGAAAGTTGAAGGTTGAAGGTTGAAGGTTGAAGGTTGAAGGTTGAAGGTTGAAGGTTGAAGGTTGAAGGTTGAAGGTTGAAGGTTGAAGGTTGAAGGTTGAAGGTTTGGTTGAAGTCATTCAAAGGAGCAGGGGCTGATATAGCTGTCCTCAGTCCGTTGCGTTTCGCTATCAGACCTTATCTCGTGCACTAGAGACCGACACCTCGCTTACCTGTCTAGGAAGCTCCACCCGGCATAGAGCGCCAGTCCAGCGCACTCACGTCGTACAGCGTCCCTCTTTGCGTGTGAGACTCTGAGCTACCTATTATGAGCGTGAGAGTTCACTTGAATAAGTTTGAAAAGAGAACCTTAGGGATTGCGAAAAATGAAACTACTCGACAACCTTGAGCCGATCACTCTATCTTTGCAAACGCGGGGGTCGGTTACATCGGACTACTGACGGTGAGAGGAGGCTAGTCACTATCTGGTAGGTCTATGCGGGAAACAATGCGTATTGGCTCACGCGAGCCAAAGCGGGTCTCCGTCTCCGTCCCATAGTGGGTCGTTGACCGGGTTTGATATTCTGCTTGTTGAGATGTTAGCTAAATAAAAGTCGATGTCGATCGAAAATGAAGCTTAATGGGATATTTGATGCTGGTTGTCCACATAGTGCGTAGTTTATTTCTATTTTTGCTGGTTATCTGATCTGCTGGTGTTCCAGCTAGTCGCGGATCGCTCACTCTATCTACGCAGCGGTGTCCGGGAAAACCATTATCAGTTTCTTCCCGATAGGTCTCAGCCTAGTCTTGAGAAGAGCATTTGCCTCTAGGTCTTCAGGCCGCTATATTCTAATATAGAGATATTATTAATTTAACCTTAAAATTAAACTGACCTAACAAGCATTGCGCTCGTATCTTCAAAGACCAAAAGATGGGCGGGAGCATCGTCATGATCGCGTCAATGACTGGCCAGATCGCAAATCGCGTACATTGCAACCTTAAGGACGTGTTGAGAAGTCGACTTTTGACCGAACATCCAGGGATTAACCTGCACCGCCTACAATTCATCGAAGGCTGCTGTCCAGATGTGCCGATCTGTTGCGCAGGAGTGGGGCCAGTATAACATCCGCATCAATACCCTCTCTGCTGGAGTAGAAGCCCTTTCTAACCAGATATCACTGATTCGTAAGGCTGACAATGCATATACAGTATATACGCACTGCAATGACCGACGGCTTGCTGCAAGAAAAACCAGATCTCGAGGAGACTTGGATGCGTGGTGCCTTGCTTGGCCGCCTGGGTGCGCCTGAGGACTTCAAGGCGCCCACTGTATTCATGCTCGCCGATGGCTCAGCTTGGATGACTGGTGTCGATCTTCGTGTAGATGGTGGTCACTGTGCCTCAGCATAGATTGAATTGCCTCTGATGAATGAGACATGGCACGCTAACGGTACTATAGATTGGTTTTGATTTCAATTATTTCTAGAACTCAAGAAGCAACATTTTTGATATTTCAACATTCTGTTGCTTTTGTCTCATATTTTATTCGATTCTTCAATCTGCATGATATGTGATAGACTGGCTCGAAATTAATCTCGGATACTTCAGTGGAATGGATGATGGAGGGTCACAGGGCCAATCTATGTTCAGGCCCATTTACCAAGAAGCCCCATCAACACAAGGCCGGTCACCAAAGACAATCCCCCAGTCAACACTTTACTTAGACTAGCATTTAGCATCTCGCCACCTTCAATGACCCAGTCTCGAGCCCACATGTCAACCACACCAACCCAGACGAGAATTCCAGCAGACAACGCGTCCAAAGTGCCCAAGGCCACCAAAGTACTTTTCTCATTCCCATTGAACGTATGCAGCACGCCAAGTCCAATTGCCATTCCGATCGGCGTTATCAAGGCAAATGTGCCCGCCATGATTGCTTTGGAAGGGAAAATGGCACCGGGAAGTGTTGCGATCCGAGCCCCCAGAGCCAGACCTTCGAAGAATTGGTGGAAAACAATCACCACCAATAGAGTTTTGTAGAAAGAGTCACCGGCAACTACTAGCGTGAGTCCGATGAGAATGCTGTGGAAAAGCACACCAGCCTCCATGACCAGTACGGAAAACTTGGTGTCAGGCCTTGTGGGGTCGAACGAGGCACCGTGCGAATGCCCAAGGTGAGCTAACGTGGAATGAGAAGGCACCGAATCTTTCGGAAGAGCTTGATTGGGCTCCACTGTGCCTCCCTTGCTACTAACAATCCGGTGACCAACGAACTCGAACAAGAAGGCAAGGAAAATGCCGGCCATGACAATAGCGGAAGTTGTAGCTTCATAGTCAAGCTCGCCCATGCATTCGTTCGTGAACATGAGATTAGCATGCGTATATAACTAGAATTTGTGAGTTCCGAATGTGTGAGGCTTGGAGTGATCCCGACTTACATGGACAAAGGCAGTCGCGATGATAATGCCAGTTCCGAACTGCTTTATGACGGTTGAGAAAACGGCATTGACGTTTGCGAATGGAAGCTTCAAAAGCAGAATTGGCGCAAATACACCAATTGCGCTTGTCACGAGGACCACAAAGAGTGTTCCGATTCGAAGAGGCACGTCGTAGTCTCTAGTTTGGATGCTGCAGGACGCGTGGTTACTTTCTTCGGACTCTCCTGCGCTCACACAGTGCCTGAATGTAGTTTAGCGTATTGCGAATATCATTCAGGGTGCTTAAACCCACTCAACGCCGGCATGAAAGTGGCAGCTTTTCTCACTCGCTTCCTCGGATTCCTCATGGTCAGGGCTGTGCTCGCTTGATTCTTGATCGCTTGCTTCATGATCATGGCTATGCTCGTTTGCTTCATGCTCGCTCTCGGCATGCTCTGTTTCTTCTTCCACGATCAATGCCTCATTTCCATCTGTATCCATACAGTATCTGCCAATTGTCAGTCTTCAAAAATCTCAATCTTGCACTGTCTTTGAACTCACGATTCGCTTCCGTGTGAGTGGCAACCAGTATATTGGGCTGGGACTCCGCTCGTGGGTGTGGCTGTTGCTGAGACAGAGACTTCATGGCCGTCCCCGTCAATGCAGTAAATGTCCGATCCATGGGTATGGCAGCCAGTGATAGATGTTGCATCAGCAGTCGAGGTTGAGTTTGCTGCAAAAGCTGTGGCCGCACCGAGTGAGATGAGAAAGGGTTTTAAATAGTGCATATCGGATCAGTTGCAAAATTGACACCTCTAAGAGACAACAGGGAACAAAACTCGCAGAAAAATGAAATTGAGAGCTCTAATCACATTTGAGTGCTGCTTATAAAAGTTCACGGTTCGGTAGATAATTTGATTCCTACTGGAACTCTCCCCCAAGGTTCCCATCGCCAAGTAGAAAAGTTCCTCTCAGACCGCCGCCAAGTACATGGCCCGGGACCAGACGAGGGTTTGAGTAGTAAGTTCCCGCTGCCAGGAACTCGGTTCTATCAAGGTCCTCGTGTCCAAGCTTCTTGGCATGACTCCGCCGGGCTTGGGTCTTGGCATCAGAGGCCTTCGCACGGATCTTGAGCGGAGAATTCTCTTTTCCCTCCCAAGACACATGCACCCAAGGTACTTTTGTAAGTTGTTCAAAGTCCAGTGGTGGATCAGACGCACGCCATGTGGTGGCTCCGCCAAGGCCCGCAAATTTCACAGTAGGAGCACCGGCTACATAGAAGACATGATGACCGGAAGCATAGAAAAACCGGGTCCATGAGTAAGATTTGTGAAAAACAAATTTTCATCATTGGTCAAACGGTTTGGAAGGCTATATCATGTTCGTGCTGACCAGGTTCGGGGAGCCGGTGCCCTGGTTGAAGGATGAGGTCCTTGTCTATGCAGCCAAAATCCGTTCAGAGTTGGCCAATCCACGACACCACGCTTATCACAGAGCGTAAGTCATGGCTCGCGAGAAACTTTGGAGAAGAGCTAACTCGAGTTCATTTCAGGACGAGGATATGATTGAAAGTTAGTTCGTTTGTGCGCAATAATTCAATGACGTTCCTGCTTTTGCGTAGTCCTCATCCAGTATATATCTGATATCTGAAAAGCCGTCAGAATCGCGCCACTCTCAGTTTCAGCGATGCTTGTCTGTTGCCTCTCAGTACGTCGGCTGGCAGTGATGCAGGACTTGGCTAGGTAGAAGCTTCAAGACCTAGCGGCGGTGCGTCACTGGATAGCGTACATTTGACTCGTCTGATGTATTTGATATCTCTCACGTGCTATAGTGAGAAGAGTAACCCAGAGCTTGCTATGGACGGTAATCTACAGCATTTTGTCCCTTGTCTCGAGACCTGGGGTGTTATGCTTTGTCGATTCATTTTTGACGCTTTCTCCGTAATCTACCTTCGTCCTTCTGGTTACTCGCTGACATTGACCTGTCACAGAGTTATGACAAGCTTGGGAATGGGATTCCGCAGTATCCTTGTCATGCTTCATAGCTCGGGTCTCGGGGATATATCGCCCGGAAACGAAGAACATCATGCGTAGTCGGTCATGTGGAAGTATCCTGTACTCAATACTGACTCGGCTTTCTCGGTGCCCATGTGGCCGCTTAACAAATTTATCTGGCCCTGACCCGTAGTCAATTGTTCGGGCTAGCCTGATGGAGCTAAGTGGGATCATTCTCGTCTGAACAAAAAGTGTTTATTCAATCAGTGGCAGTTAAAATCGGCTATTGTAGAATTCTGGGAAAAATGATCAATGTAAGGGGTAAACATGTAAACAAGACACATATGCGGAATAACACCCTCTCCGGCATCCGGGGTGAATTTCCATGCTGACACCGCTTTTCAGTCACGCGACCACCCGGGATAGAGAAGCTGAAATGTTACTGTCAGAGAGGATGACTGAAGATGGAGTTGTGTGTAAGAGTGATGAATTAATGCTATGGGAGAAGAAGGCTAAGTAGGCTACAATCAGTTACAATGCCAGCGCCTCACTGCTTCAACGGCGATCATGCCGACTGAAAAATGATTAATTAAGCCACGACCCTCGATCATCTACCTCCATGGGCCTTGTAAGCTTTTCAAGGTCTTTGACAGATAAGTCTGTATTAATTGGTAATAATTATGAAACCAAGCAAACGGTTTTCCTGGTTCAGAGAAATTAAATTTCCGATCCCATAAAATTTCTCGTTCGAAAAACAATATATAGATGGACAAATACATCAAACATATATGCAATGACACTTCTCCGATCTTCTGAGGGCCTTGTGCTCATTATCATTTGAAAGGGCCTTTGCATGACTCATTGTATCTGAAAGGTCAAATAGCAGCTAATGTAGTCTCGGAAGTACGATGATAGATGATTGCCTGAACTTCAACCAGTTGACGGATGCTTGAGCGAAGACTGCCCTCTCATCGAACTAGGTAGCGGACACTTCTAACGTGACAACAACCCCCAGGTCTAAAGCGCACCCGATTGCCCAGTTATATCACTAAACACTATACATGATGGAACCTGAGTGGGTATCTCGATATTTCTAGGGGTATGATCTCGCACTTGGTGTGTGAAGCAGACGTCGACCATGTTCTATCGAATGGACCGAGTTTTCAGGGCGGATATATATACTGCCCAGAATGCTGTCAACGTACCTTGATTGCGCCAACACTTGAGCTCTTGTGTCTAATCAAGCTGACGGAAAGAATACACTCATAGAACGATGAGAAAACGAATACATGATTGATCATTCGACGGTCCAGCCCAATACAAAGCTTCAATATTTGTCGCAGATAAGGTTGTCGAGCCGTGGCTAAGATGTCCACCGGTGTTTCAAGTACACCTGAGGCACCCTCAACACTCTGAAACAGCATCTCAATTTTTGAGACCCCAACTTAAATCGAAACTCGACATGAATTTCATCTTCTAGTCTACGCTATAATGCTCTCGATCAAACTGTTACCTCCGCGCTCAGATTCAACTTTGGTGGCGTTGATTGTCCATTCTCGCTTTTGAAGACAGATAGACGAGTCATGAGCCACGTCGCGCAACGTACGCCCAACATGTTCATCCTCCGAAAGCAGGAACTCAACTTGGACCTATCAGTTTCATGATTTCTATGTCCGATGTCTCGAGTTTCAAGGCATTGTGAGTACCTGAGAGGAAAGATCATCCACGACCTTGAAGGGGGGAAACAGGGCACGGTCGGCAACCTTGTTTCCTAGGGATCCAACCTTTGGTTCCATCATTCCATCAACACACGGAACTGGAGAGTGGGATCGTCTCAATAATGGGGCAAAACTGCCCGACATGAATGCGGATTCGAAACCGAGATGGGAGGGGAACGCGATCGACTGCAAGGTATGCCTGGTATGCCATTCACCACCAATCATGGAGTTCCAATCTGCTGCAGGGGTCGTCAATCCTTTCTATACAGGGAATTCCAAGGAATGGCAACCAACGGTGGCACGAAAAAAAGCTAGCTAGGGATAAAAACAAAATGGTCAAACAGCAACCTTGCATCCCTGCGAAACGGCATTTCATTTCACAAGGGCCTTTACCCCCCCTAGTCCAGTGTTGGGTGTATTCATTCTAACAAAATCAAGATCAGCCAGAGCCGGAAAGAGAATCAACGAAACCCAAGAAGGCGCAAGTTCCTCCCGAGTGTTCCATTTGCTCCCAAGCCTTAGATACAAATACCCCAATGCGGCCATAAGGTTCTCTCATTGCGGTGTTGTTTTCGTCATTATCTGAGCCATGGGACTTTCACGCTCTTCTTGGGCTTGGAGTGCATTCCAGCTTGACACCACATTGTTTATGTACGGGGGTGTCCCTTCTGCCTGTGGTGTCCCAACCGTCACCATTCCACCCGAGGTCGACCTGCAACGCCCACCCAAGCAATCCAAGAGGAAGTCCAAGTCGACCGAACAAACCAAATCATCCAGACGCCAAACATTCAGAGACTCGCTGGCCTCCACCAGTGAGTTGAAGAGCTTACTTTCCGACGCCCTAGATCGAGGACGTCCTCCAAAGAGCTACCCTCTCCTGCCCGAAGAGGCCAAAGAGTCCAAACGTCAAAGGCTCAGAAGGTCGCTGTCCTCCACAACCGAGTTGCGGAGGTCAATTTACTCGTTCCTCTAGTTTGGGCAACCATGACCTCCCCCACCACTGCCACCTGCACAATGAGTTTGCATGGGCTCGGGGTGATCGGGGCCCAGGTGGCCGCATCGATCAAGAGCATTGATGAGAAGCCCTCATCACCAAAACTTCACTCCACTTCGTCCATTCAATCCACACCAACCATGCCCACGCCTTCTCTTCACAGCGACAGGCGCTCACAGGAGTTTGACCCGCACGTTGGGGCCAAACCATCGTCGCCATTCTACCGACATGGATCACCTACCTTGTCCTACGAGCAGATAATCTTCGAACCAAAGTCATCCACCCCTCGCACGCGCACTCATCTGAGGGATATTGAAAATGCGGGCCCTTATATCGCCCTACGGAATGATAGTCCGCGACGATCGAAACTATGGGAGCAGCAGAAGAACCCGCCTCGATCATGCATGAGTTCTTTGAGCACTCGTCAGCGGATGACACTCAAAATCATCGTCGCTGTGGTAACGGTGGGGAGCATGATCGCCATTGCTTTAGGAATAACTGCGGCTGTTGGAGGAGCTGCCTGGAGGAATAGTGCTAGGCAGAACGTCCTGGGAGGGTGATTTATGAACTGCCACAACCCAGTGGATTATCATTTGTGTTATTTAAGAAGGCCACATCGTCGACCATCCCTTCAAGCTGGAGACAGCTGGTTGTCTCCCGCAAGCGTTTCCTTGAAGTGAACGTGGCTCACGGGTTTGTAATACGGAGTTTTTGGGTGCAACGGCTTTGAGCCTGGTGTATTAGATGTGATCTCAGCAGTGGAGAGGGTGATTGACACAGCCAAACCACAATGTACAGTTAACGATCGCGTCTTGAGTATAACTGGAAGCACTTTTACAAATATAATGACGAATTGTACATTGCATAGCTCCACTCAGAGACGGGAAGCTAAAGTGAAGCGAGAGAAACTGGTGGAGCTGGAACAAAGAAGGACCGGCCACGTGACCACACCACCTACAAAAAGCGCCAAATTTTTCTCAGCCTGCCTTCTTTTCTTCTTCATCAAAAAAGCAACGGAGCCTGCCACGACCATCGTTCTGTCTTCGGACAATTTCCACGGCGATGTGTTGCCTTCGACCCTTCTGGGGTTGATCGGCTCTGGAGATTAATATCTCCCCGATAGGAAGTTCGTCTCCCGTTGTGTCTTCTTCAGTGAGGGCGATGGGAGGGGAATGTCGAAGACGGGATACATTCTCTTCTTATGACTGTTACGCAGTCATTGTAGTTCTGGCCTCGTGCCATTTGCTTGTAGATCTTAAGACATCCCGTCAATTGTGAAATTGTGCATATGCAATTACTGCATGGCATGTCGATGGTGAATTCTATTTCCCACGATTGAGGTCACAACCTTCAGGCCGTGCCGTGGCCATTTGTCGGGCAGAGTCTTCGTCTGAATGGTCAGTGATCTAAATGTTGATTGCTCCTGACATCACTCGGAATTTGTGCGCATGGCCAGACGTTGTCTCCGAGTAGAATTGTATCTCCTGGCGGATTTGGGCCATTTTGGAGCCCCTGTGAAGGCCAAGGTCAACAGTGAACGCCCCTGCCGTCATGACTGAATTGGCTAAGGGCCGTGGCGCACAAAGTCGATTGTTTTCGACGCATGGGGAGATGCTGGTTGGCCGCTGAACGCCTCCCTGATGAATACCGATCCCCTGTGGGCGCGACTCCATAACCCGTGGAATGTCGCAGCACCACGGTCAACATCAACATCGTCTGGAATTTGTTTACCTATCTCCTGATCAGGAGGGATTGCCCGGGTTCTTTAATGTTGTTTTCCATTCTCGCTGACATTCTGATGGAGGCATCTGCTCCTTCGCCTGCCCGTGAGGTCAAATTTCTGGCCGTAGTTGCGCATTCCTCCGTGCCAGCGGTGATGATGATCATGAATGTAACGCAGGTACTAAAGCTCTATAGACCTCCTCGCCAAGGTAAAAACTTTCTTTCTGCAGCGTTTTTGGGAGTATCTTCATCTAATTGTGCCATTCGTTTTGCTACACTCCCGGCATTGTTTACCGTCACTCATTTATCTTAACTACGGGCCGACGATTTCATCCACAGTAATTTTCAATCTTCACAGTCTTCACAATGAAGGGCTTCGTTGGTGGAATTCCCATTGCCCTGCTGGCAGTTGCTGCCCAGGCTATGGAGCACACCGTGAGTGGTACCGATGACTGATATTGACTTCCGGCTAACCTTCATGTTCAGGATAACGGTGTTCAGGGCCATCGTGTTGCGCCTCACACAGGAGGTACCGCTATGGGTGGTCCCTCTGGTGCTGATCACGATGGTGGCTTCACTCCCATGAGCCCCAACGTTCACACCCACACCGAGGTCAATGAGTACAGCAAGGACGACCACTCCATTAGGGTCAAGAACAAGGACGTCTTCCACCCACATGCTGCACCTATGCCCTACGGAGTCGCCATGGCTCCGGGTATGGGTCCCTTCTCCAAGGCCGGTGGCAAGCGCAGCTGGCCTCAGGGCGGCACTGCCATGGGTGGCCCCTCTGGCGACGACGAAGGACAGGTGTTTGACATGCCCATCACCGGTAACTTCTACACAAGCGTCGACGAAGAGTCCACGGATGACCACTCGATCAAGCTGCAGAACGAGAACGTCTGCGGTTCCCCAGCCCAGCCCCCGGTTTCTCACCCTCCTCCCGACTTTGTTCACGCTCCCCAGTCTGGCTCTGGTTTCGGTGAGGCCGCGGAAGGTGCTCCCAAGCATTACAATGTTCCAGCAGAGGCTTTCGAGAAGCGCTGGGGCTATGAGGGTGGCGGCACTGCTATGGGAGGACCCAGTGGTGGGGACGGTCCTTCTGACGGACCTGAGGACTTCCCATACCCTGTCCAGGCCGGTGGTACCGCTTTGGGCGGACCCTCTGGCGAGGATGATGGTATTAACTTTGACAACGGTATCCACGCCGACTTCCACACCAACGTGAAGGAGTACAGCCATGATGACCACTCTATCGACATCAAGCACACCGACATCTACCCGCCTCCTCCCTTCCCTCCCTTCGGTGCCCCCATCAAGCGGAGTTGGGTTTCCGAGCAGGGCGGCTGGGAACGCGAGAGCGGCGGTACTGCCATGGGTGGTCCCTCCGGCAATGATGGGGGTCAGGAGTTCAACATGCCCATCACTATCAACACTGAGACCTCTATCAAGGAGAGCTACGCGGATGACCACTCCATTGATATCAAGCACAAGGATGTCTACCCTTATCCTGCCGCCTTTCCGGAGTTCGGTGGCCCTGGGCCCGTGATCCCCGAAGGTGGTGAGTCTCACTTCAAGCGTGCCTACTCTCCCAGCGAGGACCGCACTGGTGGTGGCGGTGGTGGGGGCACTGCTGAGGGTGGTCCTTCCGGTGAGGACGATGGCATCAACTTCAGTGACCCTACCGATGTCAGTGTTGACTCCAACGTGAGCGAGCACCACGAGGACAACCACTCTATCAAGATCGATGACACCCATGTCCACCAGCCTCAGATGCCCTGGATGCCCTATCAAGGTTCTCCTGCTCCCAAGCATGAGCAATCACCTCCTGCTCCACAGCACGAGGAGTCCTCGGCCTGCACTCCTGAGATCCACAACATTGTCCAGACTGTCACCAAGACCGCCACTCAGGTCGTCCAGGAGACTGCCACCGTTACTGAGACTCCTAAGGATCACATTGTTGACCATGTTCAGACCATCCACGAGACTTACACTGTCACCGAGACACCTGCCGCTCAAGTTGTCGCGGAGACTCACACTGTCTACGTGACCCCCAGCGAGCACGTCGTGCACGTCACTGACACTGTCACTGCTCCCGCGCCGCACGTTGTCCAGGCCACTGTGACTGTCTATGTCTCTCCCAGTCATGTGGTTGAGACTGTCTGTCCCTCTCCTAGTCACATCAAGTCAGAGGCAGTGCCGTCGTCGCAGGGCGCAATGGTGACTCCCGTCTCCCAGGTCGTATCTCCCTCCACCATGCAGTCTGTCCCCGTCTCGGCAGCCCCCTCCTCTTCTTCCAAGGCCCAGGCGAGCTACAACTTCCACCCTCAGGCTCCTTCCAGCGATGCCTATTCCATGACCCCGGTCTCGGCAGCCCCCTCTCCTTCTTCCATGGCCCAGGCTCCTTCCAGCGATGCCTATTCCATGACCCCGGTCTCGGCAGCCCCCTCCTCTTCCTCCATGGCCCAAGAGAGCTACGACTTCCAGCCTCAGGCTCCTTCCAGCGATGCCTATTCCATGACCCCGGTCTCGGCAGCCCCCTCTCCTTCTTCCATGGCCCAGGCTCCTTCCAGCGATGCCTATTCCATGACTCCGGTCTCGGCAGCCCCCTCCTCTTCCTCCATGGCCCAACAGAGCTACGACCTCCAGCCTCAGGCTCCTTCCAGCGATGCCTATTCCATGACTCCGGTCTCGGCAGCCCCCTCCTCTTCCTCCATGGCCCAAGAGAGCTACGACTTCCAGCCTCAGGCTCCTTCCAGCGATGCCTATTCCATGACCCCGGTCTCGGCAGCCCCCTCCTCTTCTTCCATGGCCCAAGAGAGCTACGACTCCCAGTCTCAGGCTCCTACCAGCCACGTGTATTCCACGATTCCCGTCGATGTCCCCATGGCATCTGCCTCATCCGCCATGGCCACGGAGGCCATGCCCACCGGTGTTGACGCCATGCAAAGTTCCATGCCCTTTGCGTCCGCCACTCCTTCCCACGATGTCTATTTCACCGGCAATGCCGCTCGTCTGTCTGGTGGATTCATCTCCGCCGCTGCTGCCGTGATGGGTGTCCTTGCATTTATCCTGTAGAGCATTGTCGTGGCGCGACACAGTCCCGAAGAACCCCATCGTCAATCGTTACATGTCTTCGTTATTTTCACTTTATTTCTATCTCCGTACAAGTATGTTTCTTCTTCGCGCTGACCGCCTCTTAATGTTGAAAACGTTTCAATGAGGTGTCACGAGTACTTATATGAAATATGATTTGATTTCTTGCCCTCCCACTCCTCGCACAAAACACCTCAGCAAGTACTTCGAGGTCTAGGAACCAGTCATGCAAATTGCAGTGACTACCGTAATTGGCTGGTCGCACTGCCGGAGCAACTCAGCCGATATGGATTCCCGATCGGGCCATCCGAGTTAGGAGCCCCGGTTTCGTCATGTCCATCAACCTTGTTGGAATAGCAAACATGAATGTCACAGCCAAATTCACATTAACCTGATTAACCTTCGCCTCTTATGGGGATCATTTACTCCGTCGGTCCTCTATGCGGAAATCCACCCAGTCACCCTATCAGGGCAGACCTCGCGTGATATCATCCCTTCATCATCCGGACTGCCACGCTGACATCAGGACGAGACATGGATCAAATCTTGTATCTTCGAAATAGATTTAAAGCAAGTGGGAGTTCCGGGACTTCTCCACTGAATCAATTGAATCAAAGCCGCTCAATAAGACCCGTCTCAGAATTTGAACTTTTTCTCTTGAATATCTACAACCTACTTCACAAGTTCCAACTAAATCACCAAGATGGTCCGACAAGATCCCCACCAAGGAGGTAGCCTGTCCGATATGGCTCCCAGTGGTACTACTATCCCCAATGACGCCGGCAAAATGAATACCATTCCCTCCGTCCTCGCCCCGACCAACGCGCCGAACACTTTGGCTTCGACAACGATGGCATTGCCGAACCATCACGCGCCTTTGCCGCAGACAATGCCACTGACTTGCCGCGCTCAACCCGTGACGTCGGACAGACCGGGGAAGTCGTGACGGGAACCGGAAACACTATTCCTGCGTCCATCGAGTCCAAGCGGGCGTATATGGGGTCGAATATTCCTGGTGGAGACGGTGATACGAGGGATATCAAGCACCATAACCATAACCGGTCTGCGTTTGATCGGTATGCGAAGGAGGACGAGAATGCTGGGGAGTTTATTGGGGAGCATCAGGAGAGGAACGCCTGAATTTATCATGTCCTCGAGTATTGAGCATTGACGATTGGATCATTAGTATGACGATGAATCTATTGTCTTTGATCACGACAATGGCGAGCCAATTGGAATAGATTCGCTTGTGTAGATGTCTTTTGTCCTCATCATCATATATCGTAAATATCTAGTTCACGTATAGCTTGTAGGAGTGGATGGGCCAAGAAACCCCTGGTATACTTCTGCGAGAACATCGCGTTTCCTCTTGCGGTCCGCGATCTCGACCTCATCTTCTTCGGTGGGTTCTCCATCCGGTTCCCGAGATACCCAGGTACGAATGGTTCCATCACCGTGTGCAGAGAACATCTCTATGCCTTCCCCCGAGGCTCCATTGCCACGCCAGACTAGGTCATTAATCCGCGCTGCTCCAAGTGCGTTAGATCGACCTCGGGCTGACTGTGTCCCTAGAAGGCCTGGGACACGGAGACGCTTGATGAATTTGCCCTCTCGGAATTCGAACATGAAGATCTCGCCTCGGTCATCTTGTTCATTGAAATTTGGCCACAGGAGTGTTTCTTGGCTGGGGCCCATACAGCTCTTGGGAATCAGGAGAGGCGCTCGCTCTGCCAGGTGAGATGTTGCACTGTTGCGCACACGGGGTCCAAAATGGACTAAGGTGTTTGCACCCGTTGCAGAATCCCAGACCCTGATACGCGAGTCCTGTCCGGTGGTGACTATGTGACTTCCATTGGATGTCCATCGCACGCCAGTTACGGCACCGTTATGGGCGCGGGCATGACGGGAAAAGGCCGGACGGCATTCATATTTTTCTGGTACAGATCCGGAGTTCGGATCCACAAGTCCGACTGGATCATCCATGTCCAGTGTTGCTATCGCTGAGTTGTGACCGCCGCGTCGCACATCAAATATGATAACTCGATTGTCGACTGAACCCGATGCAAGTAGATAGGGTCTGTGCGGAGCCCAAGCTACTGATAGCACGGCGTCAGTATGTCCCGGTAAGCCCTGAGTAGAAAGTCCAGATCGTAGATCCACGAGCCGTACTGATTGCTCCGATGTGGCAACTGCAACAAGTAGAGTTGAGCCGGGCTGGGACGAGAAGGAGTGCGCGTACGGCGTGCAGTCAAGACTAAATGTATGCACCGGAGTTATTGCCGGAGATTGTAACGCGGAAAGCTTCAAGGTGCCATCATGGGAGGTCGAGAATATAGTTGATGGAACAGGATCAAATGGGTAGATCGAGAGCGAGGTGATCGCGTGTGTATGCGCATCAGTATGCGAGGATTTGCTAACTGTCGCACAGGATCGATGAAGATGTTCGAGCTCTGAGCCTCTACTTTCGAGGTCCCAAAGATGAATGGATGGGTCTGCGCCGCCGGAGATCATACTACACTGGTCAGACAAAGTGATATTATCGCCAAGGTCGGATATTGTACGTACTATCGACCTTCGAATTGATCAACCGCCAGGCATTTGACCCCAGACTTGTGCGCAAAAACTCCAGTCAAAGGGTCAAACTCCTGATCGAAAGCTGTCGCGTCATCTTGAGATCGAGCTGCCGCGCTGCCACTAGAGAAGCGAATGCCAGGTGCAGGCTCGAGATGGTGCACTAGCCGAGAGGTTTGAGCAACGTGAAATGCATTCGGTGTGACAGACCCGAGGGCTCTGTTGAGCAGATAGGAATTCATTCATCAGCTCTGTGATCGCAGAGCATGAACGCGGCGACGAGAGAGGTGACTTCATCGGATCAACGTTGTGCCGGCGCATTGGGAATTTATTTCTCGACACTTTCTCGACGAACTGTCTCTCACCAAGTTGGAAGATGACATCTAAGGCCTTTACGGAAGGCAAGTTCCTCGTGCCGCCTGATTTACGGCCACCACCACCGGGACTGAAGAGAAGGGAACTACCGCCGAGGTCGAGATCAAAATCGCAGTCAGCGCAACCAACGCAGCCCCCGACATCGCTCAATTCCGAGTCAAACAAGAGTGTGGCATTTGCGAGGTCAAAAAAGACTAAGGAACCAATAAAGTCCGCCAGATCAAAGAGGTCCATGAAAGGAAAGAAGTCAAAGCCACGACAGCAACCAGAACCAGAACAGCCAACGCCAGAGCAGCAACAGCAGCAACAACAGAAACAACAAGATGAGCCGAAATCGCCACCAGCGTTTCACCCGCATCCATTTCGACGAGAGACAATTCTTGAGTTGAGGCGAAACCCGCCGAGTTTGTCTGCACCGCCGGCCAAGGAAGCGTCAACGAAGACTCAAATCACTTTGCCCAAAATTAAACCTAAGAAAGTCAAAAGGCGCATGGCCACAATTTACGATGTGATTGCCCGTATGAGCCCTGTGCCATATCGTTAGACTATCCGCGCTAACTTCTCCAGGTCGTGTCGGTCCTCATGGATTCCTCAAGAAGGCGAGGGCCTCCAAATACCGGGATACAACATCGTCAACACAAAAATGCATCGCCCCGATGGATCACCTCTTCAAAAGACCGGTCCATTGGAACAACAAGGTCAAGGGAGAACCATACTTGAAAACAGACAAACTCCCCCCTGATAATCCCACGGACCGGAAGATGAAATATCCCAGGAACCGGTTCCCCGATAACGACCTTCTCACTGCGATGCACGCCTACGCCGCCGACAAATACATTTTGGGACACGAGCGAGGCCGAAAGAACCGGAATTTTGTCAGCTTTAACGAGTCGGCCCTACTTGCATTTGGTATCTTAATTGAAGAGCTGAGCAGATCCGCAGTCGGCCCCAGCGGAGATATTTCTATGCTTCGCGCTTCTGTGCCAGAAGCCGAGGAGAATAGGAAGATCGACCCACTTGAATGGTGGTGGCGAGGCAATAAACGTCGCAAGGACCAAAAGTTTGTTCGTGAAAACTACCGTGTTGAATACCATGGGAACCGGGTGCGCTTCGTTCGTACGCGAAAGAGAAAATCAAAGAGTCAGCCAGAGGCGGAAGTCAAGGACGATGGCACAGATGCAAAGACTGAGGAAACAGATGGTCAATCCGTCCAGGACGATCACAACACTCCCATTCCGCACAGATCAAGGCCTCTCAAGCGGCGCAGATCAACATCCAGGAGCCAATCTGTGTCTCGTTCTCGGGCTGGTTCTAAGAAGAGGAGACTTGAGCTGTCTTCTGAGTTTGTTGACGACAATGACTAACATGGGTACCCTGATCATATACCCCGCGAGCATAGCCATGGGTGCTCAATTTGAATTAGCATAGCATGATATAGCATAGCATGGCCTGGTCTGGCCTGTAATTAGCATAGATACCCTACAAATACATATGAATGCATGGTTTTTATTCGACCAAAGAAAATGAGTCAGCGGCTTAATCTAGCGCGAGTCGATAATCGAAGTGAGAGAAGTAAGAGTAACCTTACAAAGGGCGAGGTGCAGAGAGAGAGTGAGCACGCAGCCTGGACACCATCTAACCTCCCTTCCTCTCCACAATTCAATGCTTATCTCTCCCATGTTCTCCGAAAGGGGTAAGGTTGGTCAATAAGCTTCTACAAACTGAGCGGAATCGCAGGAACGCCTCAGTGGGCCAAGCTCCAAAGATCATGGTACGTGTTACTGAACTGCTAAGACGAGTGCACTGACGCGTCCAGGCGCCCAAACTAAGCAAAAGCGAAAAACAAGAGCGCATCCTGACCCACCTCCGCAGCACAGCCACATGTCACACCTTGAAGGATCTGGAAAAATCCCTGCCGAGCGTGGCCTCAATCCCCAGCATTCAAGTCAAGGAATACGTCCAGGCTCTAGTCGACGAGGATCAACTACGAGTCGAAAAGATCGGTAGCGGGAACTGGTACTGGTGCTTCGGAAGTGAAGAAAAGCATAAACGCCAGCGCCAGTTGGTCCGGTTGCAGACGGAGGTGGAGAAGGCTCGGAAATCTTACACCGATGCTGAGGCGGCACTCGCCGCTGAATCCACACGCCGCCAGCTGGAGGCCGACCCCGGCGACGAGTGGGAGCCACTGGCAGCGAAGAAGGCCGAGCTCGAGGCCGAACTTGTGGGGCTACGAGCCATGCAACAATCTGAGGGCAAGAGTGTACGGCAGCTAGAGCAGGAAACTGGAGAGTTCCGAGAGCAGGCAATGCAGTGGACCGATAACGTCTATATCCTGGAGGAATACATGCGCCGGTTAGCGGGCGGGGATCGGGAGATTGTCGCTGCAGTGCAGCGTGAGTGCTATGGAGACGAGTACGTGGATGGGGGTCTGCGCGAACTGTGACAGAAAGCTTAACAGTGATATGGAATAGTCCCATGGAATGACTCAAAAAAAGATGAGACACGGAGTAGTGATAGTCATAGCGGATGCCTCGAAATGGGCTTAGTTTGGCCCAAGAGAAGCTTGACTTGTCGCACGCGAATCGAAGGCCAGGCCTCCTTCGCCCAAAGTCGGGGCGATATTAGGCTTATCAAGTCTTTCCCCTCTCCTCTTCTACTCGACTCTACTCGTCTCGACTTTACTCTACAATCACTATCTGACGCTTTACGCCACCCTCACATTCCTCGCTACTTCTCGCCTTCGCCCTTTCTTGGCCTGCACCCTTCTAGACCCATATCCACGCGAGTACCTGGCGGGGGCCAACTCTGGACTCCCTCCATCCGGTACCCCCTCCCTGCGCTTCGGTGTCTCGAGAAACAATGTGGTCTGCTCGACCATAATACCCATTTCTCGCTGGTCTCTCGGCATTCCTCTCGTCTTATTCCCCGTGGCGTTTGGATTCGAACCGTGTCGATCCATCGATCTCCTCGCCCTCGGACTGGACGCGCCAGACGTGTCGCTCGATTGGACCTACTTGACGTAGACCCCTCTGCTTGGTCTTTTTTGTCCGAGCATCTCTTCCCCACTACTGCAGTTACTCTGGGGGGTCTCTCGTCTTGACTGTTGCGTCCGGTCGCCCTTCGCAATCCATCCCCCTTCCTTACGTCCACGCCGTCTTGTATAGATGCAGCAAACGGCGGCAGTGTGTCATGTCCTCCGATCTTCCTTCTAAGCCTACTCCCTCGCCGGTCGGTCGGAATCGCAACTCCTTCCTGTCTAAATTTCGCTCTCCCCTCGGTCACAGAAATCGAAGCATCACTGACTATTACATCGACCTCGACGATCCATGGCGCTCCTACTTCCCCGGTGACGTGATCAAAGGCACGGTTCTGGTGACCGTTGTCAAACCGGTGCGCATTACACATATGGTGGTTTGTCTCCATGGCTATGTCAAGGTGTTCAAGAACGCGGTTCCCACGGGGGAAGCCGCCCCCGACCTGGGGTTCCTTGGCCCGGGACGTGGCCGGCGAGGCGCGGAGTACATGGGCAATGGACTAGCCAGTCTCTTCGAAGATGAGGTTGTTCTTTGCGGTGACGGGCGTCTCAAGGAAGGAATTTACAAGTTCCGCTTCGAGATGGGCCTTCCTCCCTACGCGCTGCCTAGCAGCATTAATGTGCGCCGCTCCCCCCCCACTGACGCGGCGACTTCAGGTGTCTAACTAACTTACCATGATCTAGTTTGAACGAGGAACCGTCTCTTACTCCTTAACCTCCACTCTTACCCGACCGACCACTATCAACCCTACCCTCACATGCCGCCGACGAGTCAACCTATTAGAAAACATCGATATCGCCACTTTTCCTGCACCCAAAGCCCGTATCGTCACCCTCGAACCCATCTCAAAACGTTCCAAATCAAAAGCAAAAGCCAAATCTACAAGCTCCGACGCCACCGCAGCACCTGACACCTCCTCCATAGATACCCCAGTCAGCGGTGCTGCGCCTTCGGTGGATAATCGGCTACCACTGAGCCCATCTACGAGCAACGTCAGCTCGTCAAGTCGACCTAGTGAAAGCAGTCAGAGCTTTCAGATACATAGTGACCCCAGTTCTTCGACAAGTACCGGTGGACGTAACAGTGAAGGTCGCAGTGCGACTCCTTCGATCTCGGACAAAACCATCACCGCAAAGGCCGAGGTTCTGCGCGCAGGCGTGCTCCCGGGAGATACACTACCTATAATGGTCACCATAAACCATTGGCAAACAAGTGCGCAGCGCGCAAGGAATTATCATTACTCTATACCGACAGGGCCGCATTGATCTTCACCCCGCTATCCCAATCGGTCCCACCGCAAATGGGAAGAAACCAGTCTATGAAGACTGCTATCCGCGGTCGCGTACCGGTTTGGGAGGTTTGACTCTGGGAACGAGTCGTACCAGCAGCACGTTCCGCAAGGATTTGTCACAGACCTTTGCACCGCTGATCGTGGACCCAAATACTATGACTGCCGTTGTGAAAACATCTATTCGAGTCCCTGAGGACGCCTTCCCAACCATTACACGTGTGCCCGGCGCCATGATCAACTTCCGGTACTACGTGGAAGTTGTCGTTGATCTTCGGGGTAAAGTGTCATCCCCAGATCGTTTCATCCCGCGCTTCAACATGGTTTCCGGTGGCAGCACGTTCTCACCGAGCGGACAGATATTAAACCCGGCGGACGCAAATGGAAGTGCCATCACGGCCAATTGGGCCGGCAACATTCTTGATACCGATCAAGTTCGTCGAGAAAAGGGTGTCATTTCTGTGGCATTCGAAGTGGTTGTGGGCACTCGTGATTCACAACGAGGTCAAACAAACGGCGAGCGCTCAATGTCTGTTGAGCCCAAGTCAGGGGTGACCGAGAATCACCCGCCACCTTCGGTCATTGTGAATCCCGTGGATGGCGAGGAATGGCCCGAAGTGAGCCCGATGCCGAATACACACGGTGAAAACGGCGAGTACGGCGAATATGGCGAATACGGCGCCGAAGACTATAACTACGGAGATTATGGATTCCCCGATGATACCTGGTCCGAATACCCCGAAGAGTATACGCAGCCACTCCCGCCGATGGGTCCCATGTCAGCACACCCGGAAGTAGAAGAGCCGGTAGATGAAAAGACTCGGATACGACAGCATGAAGAGACTCTTCTGCCCAGTCAACCTCCAGGTGAAGACGAGGCGGGACAGTCCAATGCTGAAACTGAAGTCCCGACCGCCCCAGTTCTACCAGACGACCATCATCTCCAAGATTACGAGCATGTGCATTCACCAGGCATGAATGGAATCCCGCACGCCGTGCGATCTGCAGAATCATTACAGACCATCGTCGTGAATGGAAACGGTGCCGGGCCAAGCGAGCCTCCTGGCCCTAGCGAAGACAAGCAAGAACTGGAACGACAGCGGCTCATGTATGAGGCCAGCGCACCCAGCGCACCGCCTCCTGAAGAGCCCAACGACTCTGGTGAAGGACCTAGTGCGCCAACCTTCAACGAAGATGATCAATTGGTGGGCGGCACGGCGCACGCGGACGAGTCTCTACCTCGGTACCAGCGATAATATTTTGATTGTACATTTTTGCATGGAAAGATACCCGCATATTTACGAACTGGGGCGTTGGCATTCAAATGTATTATATCTACATCTATATCTATATCTATGTCCTTTTGAAGTCTCCAAATCACAACGTGTTGATATGACCAAATCTCGGCTTATCTCCAGGTCTTGGCATCCGCTTAGCGATAAACCTCCTCGCCCTTTAACCTCAGCCTTCCCCTTTCCCTTCCGTCCCCCATCCTCAAATATTCTTCGCCATGGCTCTTCTCAACGGGTCCTTCGCGACCTTCCTGATCGTATGCCGTGAGTTCTCCATTGACTTCCGCGCCGACCTAAATCTCCGGGCATCCCAGAACGCTTACCCCAGACCCACCACTAACACCACCCAGCAACATGCTTCTTCCTAGGCATCATCTTCTCTCTGTTCCCCTATGACTACCCGATCCTCTGGTCCACCGTCCCAACCCCGGAATCCCACTTCGACTACCTTGAAGCGCACCTCCGCTTCCTACATGCCTCCCCGCCGCTGATCCCGCGCATCCTCCACATTGTAATCTTCCTCGGCCTCGCAGGTCTGATCTCCAAGCTCTACCGTCCCTCCGAATCCAACATGCTCTTCGATGGCGCCTCCTCGTCCTCTACATGTGCGGCGTCACCGTCTACATCGCAAACATTGTCAAGGGCCTCCGTCTCGCCTCCGCCGGTCAGTATGGAAATGACCTCGTCGCGAACCCGGAGGATAAGGATCAGATTCTCGGACGCGAGGACTCGCTTAAGGTTCTCGCCGCTAGTAATACTATCCTGGCGCTTGTGCTTGTTGGTGTCTTGGTCCTGCAGGCTGGTCAGTGGTATGCTGAGCGGAAGGATGCGCAGGAGTTTGAGGATCTGGCCAGCGGGAAGAAGGAGGATGCGGAACCTGAGGCTGTTGCGTCCGGGTCGGCGAAGCCTGGTCGTCAGGGGAGTCAGCGGAAGAAGAGCAATTAAACTTGTTCTCTTGCTTTTCGCGAGGGGTCGTTTTGTTCGTTTTTGTTACTCTTACTATTCTTGTTGTTGTGGAAAACACCATTTCCATTCTACGACTGGTAAAATTGTTTCGCGAAATGACAGTCTGAGACCGTCTTCGATTTTGGATTCGGATTCGGATTCGAATTCTATGTACACAGGGTCCTATCTAGGCTCCTTATGAAAGAATTTCCTGTATGAAGTATGAAACATGAATTGAATATGCAGATGTGGATAAGTCATGGCTCCAGTTCGTATGGTCAATGATGGGGGATTCGTCAATTGATCTGAATCCGTGTCAGAGGATCAGGATCAGTGGGGTAAATGTGTCGAGCACCGCAGAAGGGGAATCATAAGGCAAATCGTGATAATGTGAGCCATGGCTAAGCGAATGAAAATGGACTCCGTGGGAGGTCGGGTGAGCGGGGACTCAGTGCTTTCGCAAAGAGATCTTCGCCGGATTCTGCGCTCGAGGTGCGTGCTAGAGAGCTCATGGAGGTCACCGAATTTATAGCGGCGAAACCGCTGGTCGTGCTAGTTTGTTGGAGGTCTTGAATGGACTCTGGTGGGTGCAGGGCGACGGGCTTGAGGTTCTCGAGGCCGGTGGGCTTAGTGCTGGAGCTTGGGGTCGGGATAGAAGTAGTCACTGGTGTTGGAAGAGAGCCTGCAGAGCGGTTGACGCCACTCCTGAATGAGCTGAAGGATGAGACTGCCACGTCGGGCGACTGTGGTGAGAGGAGGTGCGCTGAGTTTGGGTCTGAATCTGGAGCTGTCAATGATCCGGATAGTGACTTAAAAGCAGAAGATGACTCACTGTCGTTTGCGGACAATTCCTTCTCGCTTGTCTGCAGCTTCAACCCTCTCAGCTTGTCGGTCAATTTTCGGCCGCTCATGGGTGAAACTGGTGTGGCTGGGCCGGTTGGGTACATGGAGTTTGCAGTTGAGGATTCACGGCTGCTGTCAGCGGCGTGTGCGGTGACTCCAAAGTTCATCTCGATCCATTCCTTCTCCTGTACTGCCATTTGCACGGCGACTCCTTCCGCATTGTTAAGACATTCGTCGCGAATTTCATTGTCCAGAACGCGGAGGCGTTTCTTCGCCCAGATGGTGTGCAATACACCCTTCTTGCCGGCAGCACGACCTGTTGCGCCTAGCTCAGGTGGAAAGATAGCAGGCAATGGGTTCAATTGCAATGTATCGCGAGCCTGTGAAGACGACGTCGATGTATTTTCAGTTTCGATTGTGGGTCGCGGCTCGTACGAGAGTGTGACGACGGGGGGAATGGTGACGTGAGGCGGGAGTAGGAAGTAGAAGCGGCGCAAGCTGTCAGTCGGTCTATCATCTGCGGGAAGCACGGTAGTCTTGCCGGTCCATGAAACGTGCCAGGAACCCTCGGCAGCAGTTCGGCTCAGATCATCATCCTCCCACTCGATCATCAGGATCTTGGTCCCCTCATTACCCTTGCCAGCTTCGAATTCAAACCGAGCCAGCGCTGTAATGGAAAGACAGCTGCCAATGGGCCCGCGCGGGGTTTCCAGGTCGGCGAATTCGCTATCAGGTGTGAAGGTGGCCGGTGCTTGAGACATGGCTGTGCAGGCCGCAGAAAAAAACAGTCGAATTCTGGGGCGCACGGAACGCTGACTCGGGATCTCGGGACGGGCCTAAGGGGACGCACCACTCGACAGAACTGGGAGATCGGGACAGTTACGGGCCAAGTTTGGAGGGAGTGCGATCTGGAGAAGGGAGGTGAGTGGGCGGGTCGATCACGGGATTGAGAAGTGTTTCTAAGCGCCGCTTCAATAATGAAGCGTGATTCTAAACCTATTTTGGAAAACAACCCAGGGCGTTTCATATCTCAAGTCCTTTGGATTCGTCGGCTTGTGCATGAGAATGATCCAACCCATGTCCGCCGTGCCCCACCTCTAAATATAGACTAGGCGGGAGCTGATTCTTCTTCCTAACAGCCCACCTCTTTCAACTGAACATGTTCCATAGAGGTGATGCATTGATTGATATGCTGATGCGAATTTCAAGCTATACAGTACTAAGAGATTTAGCACTTCTTGAAGGCGTGCGTTCTGGTTCCAATGGGAATTTTAACCCCGCATCTCTTTGCTCAAATGGTCTATTTTTGGCAAATGCAGTGTGATCCGGGTGACATGCATGCATCCCTTCGCCTCCGATTACGCGAACGGAGGCTCCGACCAGAGTTTCAAGTCCATGTTCAAGAAACTGACACTTGACTTGCCCATTATTCTAGCTATCAAATAGAATAGAGATGGTTCTCTCCGATTTGGAGGTAGTTGTACATTTGTGCAAGTGGATTCTCTCGCAATGTAATAGGTACTCGCCAAGCTCATTGAGATATATTGAATTTGAGAATGAAGCTCGATCTATGAATTCTGGGGAAATTATGAAACACGTACCATAATTTTGAGTAATTTGATTCGCTAAAGCATTCGAGGTCCACAATAGATGGGCTGGAGTATATTGCTGAGGTAAATATACTTGATATACCTCTTCATGTAAAGCGAGCCAAATAATTCGGCCCAGGAATTATATCGTTGACGCCAGAGCGACGTTGACAGGGCAATGACCAGCACGAGTCTAATATGAGCAGTACTCAATTCGATTGTCACTAAATTGTGGATTATGTTCAGAAACTCAAGATAAATGGTAGCTTGGAGTAAATATGACATGCCCTTTGACAGAAGTATTCTTGGAAGAAACAAGTTTGGGCCTATCTAATACTCCCTACATGTGCACGAATGTCTATAGTAGCCTTGAACCACGGTCTATACATCATGCCTCAAGAATGAGAAAGAGCTGTGGAACTATGTTAAGCCTACCTAGGACATATTGGCGCCCGGAGACAACTTCAAGCTCGGGCGTGATCATGTTCGAACAATCACACTCACTATCAAGAGTACAGGATGCTCTGGCACGGCAAGCGCATTGCGAGTGAGCTATAATGCTTTATTTAGAATATCTAGAAAGAAATTCGACGAAAGCGAGGTTTGATTGGAGCAAGAGGGTAGGTAGGAAGTGATGTACGATACAGTATCATACACAACGCCTCGTCCCGAAAGGACACCTATGTTTCCGTACAGAACCTAGCTATGAAATGGCCTAGATTGGATATCATCGGCAGTAAAAAGAGCTAGAAAGTATATTGGGTGTGATGCAGCTGGGACAGGGTGTTCAGCTTCGCTGTTGTGGTGGAGTACACGGGCGGAGCGTGGCAAACATCAAGAGAAAGCATGGGATTGCAAAATGTTCCTGCGTCTTGCATGAGCTCATGATCTAAATTTGGCAGAGAGGAAGAGAAAGGGTTCTAATAATAGTGATTCAAAGGGAGAAGAGGAGGTGTGTCAGTGCGATCGACCCGGAACTGTTAGAAAAAACAGCATTGAGTGGCTGTGATTATATTAGGTCCGGCCGCGACGGAAATTCCTGGCCAATGAAGCGCATAGCCATCTATCCAGCATTGATATGTGACTCTGTATATTGTTTCCAGGGGTCTTGAACGGTCCTAGATGAGCTTGCATTAGTCTGGAAAGATCCGGGTCATGATATGTGACTGCGCGCGGGGCACGGCACGAAACCCTGCCAACGGAGCGGTTCTATTGGCTAGTTCGCATTTACTGACCCCTCGTCGAGATATTTTTGGATAGAATGCATATTGAGAATCATACCAATATGGGTCTTTTTGGCACAAGAGTATTCACAGGGGTTCTAGCGCTCGTAGTCTACGAAAGTGTTGCTATTATTTCCATCATTTTTGCCGCCGAATTCCCACAAGTCCCATGACCGTGGCCTTTCCAATCTGGCCCACCTGGGAGTACCCAGTCTATCTTTAGAGAAGAGAGTGGTCGTGATCTAGCTTGATGAAACATGGAGAGCCTTCAAAGAAGGTGTCTCGAAGGAAGACGCTCAATCATAGACATGCAAATTCCGGCTCTCAACTTGATAAGTGATCTTTAGTTGGCCCGTCACCAACGTTGTAGACCATGAACATGCATTTTTCACTTGTTTCTTGAAGAGGTGAGGTTCAGATTGGGATTTTGTTCCAAAAATAGTCCTTCACCACAGGTTCTACTGCAGGGGACCCTGATTGCCGGACGCTGATCTCATACCACAGTGATGGGATTCTCAAGTGCGACCGTGACCATGCCATTAATCTTTTTGGCCAACCCTATTTAAAAACCAGTTTGCTGGGCGTCTGAATTCGGGAAACGTCCGACAGACAGAAATTAAGTCTACAAGTGGAATTTTGAGCTGTGTCACTGAAGGGATCATACTGCTACATGGGCGAAGGTGGAAGGGCGAGCGGAGTGACGTCTCCACTAATGAACGGCACATGGCCTTTGTATGCGATCGTCGTGGCTAAATATGGAGCCTTCAGACCAGTTTCATCCCCCCTGCTGCAGCTCTTCTGACCGCTACTACTACTTTCCGTATCCGCGGAGTCCACATTATGCTCGAATTGCATGCTGGAACGTGAACGGTCTTGTGACGGTATGCTGTTGCATGCGCAGTGCCGGCGTCTAGAGACACAGAGGTCTCCGCTTGATTGAACTATTGATGGATCACAGCAAGATGTGGACTATTGATTCGTCGCCCACAGCAACTCAAGAGCCCCGTAAGTGGGTGGTTTGATTCTAGCCCAGGGATGTGGGTGACGATTGGCTCATTTCCGAGGATGCGAAATACAAAGAGCACAGAGCCGAAATATGGCCATCTCTGGATCCAAAAATAGCTTGCCCCTCCCTTGACGGTGCATGAGTTTGGCATCACGAGCAAATCCATACCTCGAACGAGATAGGGGGGCCCGAACACAGACTCCTCACCGCGTGATAGCCCCACCGATTCAAGCCAATCAGTCGACAATAAGTGCAAGTTCCTTAATCACAGCACACGCTAAGTAAGGTATGGAATAGCGCCGGCGCTTAAATGAGATTGCTGAGCGGGTCGTGAGATCGAGGCCACAAGACTGACCCGTTGATTGGGTCAAACCGGCTCTGTGGGGCTTCTTTCACTTTTCGGTCCCCTGCCGTGATTAGGCAATCGACTTGCTGCTTCATAGTTTTTGTTCCCATGAGGGGAAAGAAAAATTGAAAAATCAAAAACTTACTGTCTTCATTTGAATACGCGGCCGGGAATGGTATAGACACTATACGAGAACTTGTTGGGGATTTCGATGGTCATGATCGGTGTGCCTGTAACGCGTCGCCTGTTATCGTAATTTACGCCCCTCTAGTAAAACAGTTTTGAAAGTCTCGAAGTCTGATCGTTACCTAAATCACTGCCCTAACCTGACCCTGCTTGAATCAAAAACATGACTTGCCGATACTTGTCGAAATTGCGCGAGCAGAAATGGAATAGTCCTTTTCAATAGCATGGTAATGATATGATGCTTTGATGACCCATGGGGTTTCCTGCATTGATTCAAAGAAAGTATTCTAGTCGAAGCTTCAAGGTATCGGGCCTTCAACGAGCCCTGACTATAATTTTAACTTGCCACTTTGGCTTTGGCCCTGTGCACATGAACTCATGGTAAAGTGTTATACCTAGTGTCGTGTATATTTAACGACAAGTAGTACTGTCAAATGCCTTCGATGCTGTAAGTTTTGTCTTACTGGGTATTCTCCGATCATTTCGTCAGGCGCTGCCGTGTATTCGATTTATTACGCCCGAAATTTATTCCCCACCATACTCAAAGCTCGGACAGCGTCGGACTCTCTGCCAGGCCAGAACATGAAAAACAGAGCGGGGCGCAGTGCTCTATGAGGCGTCCGAATGATAATCAGCGTCTACAGGCGTCTGGTCTCAGATGTTAGCTCTTGGGTGGCTCACTAGCAACCTTGGAATTATGTGATCCTTCGGGTCAGCTTGTGTTATTATCGCGGCTCCATTACAGGGCTGTTTTTGGGGCCCAAGGACCCGGCTACGCTAAGTGGCTTGAACGGGCTAAAAGTCATGTGGTATTCGGGATGTACTGTTCATTTGTCGCTTCAATTCAGTGTCCCAAGACACTGGTATCTAAGTCCTACGAAATGGAGAACTTTGCGCTTACTTCCTCAAATTATGGAATCCCTTCCTCTTTCGGCATTGTTACCGTCTTCATAGCGCCCGGGGTATGGATATTTAGGCCCCATTACTCCGATAGGACATTAGCAAGCGCATTGCATCTCTAAACTCTTGGGTCAGCGGTACCAACGGCCTATCGAAAAAGAAATGGGGCCGACAGGAGGTCAAAGAACTCATTGTTCAATTGACTGAGCGCTTAGTAGCTTCTTATTGCTATTCGAGATTTCATAGCTGATATAGATCGAATCTATCTAATGTAGTGAGCGTATGGGAAGTGGCGGTTCGTGAGAATTCAAGCCGGCCCTATTTGAGCCTCTCAGAATAATTGAGTGCAGATGCATTAGTTTGATCGAAAGAAGACACCAGGATTCTCCTTGCGTCAAGGTTTTGTTGGTCTCTGTATATTAAAAGTTTCGTTTCCAACAACAATATGCGGCTTACACGTGGACAAGGCTCTAGTCCTTACCATCCGGCCGGGCTGGAAGAGCCTCTTTGGGGGTTCTATTCCTAGGATTGACTGCCCTTCCGCAACAAACCGCCAAGAGGGCACGGGTCTTACCAACAGTTCCCGTGAACGGTAATATACTAACCACAATTGCTTGGTGGCGTTGGGGCTCGGTCTACTGATCCGCGTCATGGGAGGTACTTTTGGCAAAAATCTATAGTAGCTCAGATTAAAAAGCTGCCCGAGCAAGGGCAAGAGCCACCCTCTAGAGCTGCAGAAAGCATTGGGGATGCGTCAAGTCTGTGTAATTTAGCTAGACTGTGATAAAGCCTACTGAATCAGTATAATCAAATTCATCACGTAATATTGAGGCTAAGGACGCACGAAAACTCCAGCTTCAGAGCGCTTTAGAGTAAAGACCTGAATTCCTTTTCTCCGCTACCAACAGTAAAGCAGAAAAAGCACTGGCCAAGACAAAAACCACGTCATTAACTCCATTCTCCTTCCAACTCGAGCCTCCCGAATTGCAAGAGACCCCGATTCAGCAAAAGAAAATATAAACCAATACCCCAAAACCACAATTGATCCAGATCGTGAAAAAAAAAGATGCCAATGAATCTAACAATGCTGTAAGCCCCTCGCACCCAAGCCAATCGTATCAATAGCCAAGTAGAGGAAAAGAGATGGAAATCAAGGTACAATATTGGTCACGGGCCGCAAAGTTGAAAGCAAGATGAAAAACGGGCCGTGCGTAAAGCTAAGAATCCCCACTTTCATTGGTCTTGCGTCTCTTTCCCCGAGGCGGAGGATCCAAATGCGTGCGCTTGTATGTCACCGTCCGGGTCACCACATGGCGTACCCGGACTGGCTTCCCACTACCGGCGCTCCTCGGTGTTTCAATTATTTTCCAATCTGATGGTGTGAATGGGGATCGAATTGTGCGTGCACTTGCTGGTGAGTCTGAAATAGGCGAATATATGCATGTTGGGGGGATACAAAGGCGCCGTAAGGGAATGGCGAGTCTGGCAGATTGTGGAGTGGCGGACTTGGGACTGGTCACTGTGGGCGGTGATGGTAGAAGAGCACCAGTGGTCTTCGGACCGTCGCTCGATGCGCTCGAAGGTACGGTTATTGGTGATGGGCGGCGCTTTTCGAAGTTGAAACGTTTGAATCCCGCACCAGGAGTGACAGGGCTGAAGGTCGGTGTGAGGGCTTCAAGGAACTTTGTGTAAGAGTCCGGAGGAGTCAGTCTTGCACTGCCACTGCTGGGACTCCCGTCTTCACGTTTGATGACCAGGTCAGACGTGGCAGAACTGGCGGTGATAGGAGAGCCATGAAGCTCGGAGGGGAACATGGTCGTGGTCTTCGGTGTTTTGAGAGGGTGGAGGAAAGGTTTGGGTGGCGCCATAGTGTTGACTCGAATAGCAACGGCAAGGTATATTAACCAGAGCGTAGACGTTAATCAAGCAAGAAATGAGAGAGCCTCGAAGATACTGAGGGACCAGAGTCAATGCGCAAGGCAACTGAAGGTGGGGTGTGAGTTGAGAGAGGAGAATTTGAGGGATGAGGTGTTATAAGAAAAGTCAAAACACAAGAAGACAGAAGTCCAGCGCTAGAAGTAGCTCTAGGAGTCCGAATCGTGGCGCGGGTTAAAGAGAGCGCAAGTTGGCGGAGCAGATTCGTGGACCCCCAAGTCAGATCTATATGGAGCAACAAGGCGACACAGCCGTCTCGTACGGAACGAATGGTAAAGATACCGTATCGACGTGCCAGACGGTAACGATACGTATCAGTGTAAAGGTGAGATTCGGACAAGGGGCTAAGGCCACATATGGTTAGCGTTGCGTTTGAACTTTCGGAGGATGTGTCTCCCACCTTTTTTGTGACCCGAGAGCTTTGTTACCCAAGTTGGAATACTTCAAAAGAAGGATAGGGCCCGATCAGCGTGAGAAAACCCGAGACCTTGCGTATCGTGGTGCGGCAACGGTGGTCGCCGAAACCTGATATTGAGTGAGCGAAGGCGTGGATTATCAGCCAGCTGAGAATCGTATGCCTTGGGTGGTCTGTGGGGGTGAAAGAGTGTTTGAGACTTCTCAGGGTTTTCTACAGTAGTTATAAACAGTCTGTTATCCTCCTACCCTAGCCATGTGGCTGTTGTCAGGAGTATGATCCGGCGATTAAAGAGGTCTTGTCGGGCGCCATCTGAGGCGAACCTTGCGATCTGATTCACTGGGAAGTCCTGTGAGACAACCGCCTTCCACCATGTGTTTCAACTTAAACCCAGTCCGTGATTGCCATTGCTTACTCAACCTCCCTGGTTCGCTCGTACCAAAGCGCGCGGTTCCTTATTAAAAATGCAGCGGCTCGCCCACGCCACTTTTGCAATGAAACGAAAACTACTTTAGCGACAGTTTCCTCAGGACACAAAACTGCCAAGAACAGGCAGACGCCCTCTTCGACTCCTTTACTTTGCATAGCTATGAGAGTTGCTAGGAATAGATGAACAATGGCTCTTGTCCAGTCAATGAACTATGAAGCAGGTGCAATCGAACAAAAGCGCCGTCACTCGACGCTTGTTCAATTATGCTGAGATGCGTGTGAGGAGAGCTTAGCTACTGCTTACCATCGAGAGCACTCAATAAGTCTCTTAACCTTCATTGTAACGGTTCATTTCTTTCGGCTTCATCTCGTTCGCAATAGGGATACTAATGTTTATAGAGAGATAGGAGCACAGGTGACTTTGAAGTCTACTTGCACAAGGCAACACAGGAGTCTGAGATGCTCGCCGTTCGATTGGAAACTACGGCGCTGGATCTTTACAGAAGAAGACGACTTTCCTCCCTGGACTCAAGCGCTCACGTCAAAAGTCTTGACCCCGTGCTCCGCGGGGATCCTACAGCTGCTCCCTGCATCAAGCTTCAAATATAAATCGAGCAAATGTATCTTTCCGTGCCCAGACTAAAGAAAAACGACGCATTGCCGAATCCTTTGTTTCAAATTATAAATCCAAGTCTATTATAGACTACTATGCTCATTGTCTACGCGCCAAGCCCCTATGAGCACACTTTCCGCACGAGGAAGCTATTTGTGGTCTTCATCTCCTCGAACAGAGACAACGAGATTTGGGGTATGCAATGAAACAAAAAGCGCCGAGCCCCTACGCGCTGCAGGAGTTTCCAAGTGGACTACCCGTATCCCTGGCAACTGACGCTACTCAACACCGCTGATAGATGTGCTAGTAGCATGTTTTGGTCTGTACCCATATCTAACCTTCTTGCATGCTGTGCTGAACAAATAGTTTTCACTTTTGCTCACCCACGAAAAACCAAATTATCCTTCGTTCCTCCCAGAGGAAATTCAATTATCTCCTATCCTTCATTATCTTTCTCCAGTTCCTACCCTATGACTCCAATTCCGAACATTTTTTCGAAGCCTACCCGTTCTTGATGATCCCTACTAGAAGGATCCTCGCGATTGTATTGGTGATTTTGATTTAGCGCGCCGGCCTCAACTCGTATCGGAGATGCAAGGTCAATTCCCAGTGTCCCAATCCCTTGGTCCTGAACACTTCCCTCATTCCTGTGATCAACCTCAATATATACCCCAATCGAAGCGAGATGCTCGTCGGGGCTCGAGATCTCCATCGTTGTGATTGAAGGAAAAGCAGCCGTAAGATCGTCGGGGTAAATGAAGGCATGTTGAGTGTCACTGATGGTCCCGAGAGAGACATCAGACGTCTCAGCAATTATAGCAGGTACGATATGGTCAAGGCCAGCTGTAGTCAAGCGAGTAGAAGTATCTATAGTCACAATGCTAAGCGATGAAGAAAGTTGACGAAGCGACTTTTGTCACCAGGAGAAGTTTTAATATGATCGACTTGCGATATTGGTCCGGATCGTATTCCAATCCACAAGCGGTGAGAGTGAGGAAGTTGACGCGGTTGGATGAGGTCCTGAATCATCCATGATGCCGGACCTCATTCATACGACATGTCACAGAGATGCTTCATCATACGAGCACTTGTCTGCGAAATTCTCAAATTAGACACATTGCTGATCGCACAGGTTACAATCAAGAAGTCTTCCACTTGGAAAGCTAACTATTTTACCTTGATGACACTCGAATATTTTTGCGGACAGAGTGGCTCAAATATTCTCTCCAGTTAGATCGCGCGAGACCCCAGCCGCGAGACCCTTCTCATCTTCTATCAGTTCTCTGTACGCTTTTTGTCCGAAACTACTTTCTGAGTATCTCCTATAAGACTCTATCTCGTCAACGAAGACTAGGCCTTACGTTGCTCCCAAGTATTAGTTGCTGGGTATCATTCAGTGCCTTGCTGATGCAACTTGTTCTCCCACCAAGCTTGAGGTTCCGGCCTTTTTCTGCTGCCTATGTAGCTTGCTCTCTCTTAGCCTGCTCTCTAATTTTACCTTGGGCCTTTCTTCAAGCAACTCGTATGCCAGGAGCCTGTATTCCTTCTCTTTGGACCTCATCGTGTACTCGAAGTTGCGTTGTGATCAGTTTTCCTAATAATTTGAGTAATTGCACTTAGTCTCCCGCACACTCACAATCTGGTGTTGATAAAATGATCATAGATGTCGAAAAGTTGAGATTAGGCAGCAATATAAAGTCTCGGTTTTACTATCTCTTCGTGGTGCTATGAGAACAATCTTGTCGACATGATGAGGCCCCAGCTTACATACATTTGACTGTGTAAGCACATTGATTGAAGGATGAGTGCGAGCGTCACCAATGCGGGCATGTGGCTGTAAGTGCGGAGAAGACTACGAGCCTTGGGAATATGGATTAAGTCTACCACTGAGAAAGAGCCCGATTCGAGGAAAGAAAGATTGGGGTATTGGTAATAGTATAAACTGGCGATAGCAAATTTCAACTGCATAGACCTGTAAGTCGCTTAGGCTCATCTGAGCAGTGGATGGTCTTATGATGTAAAGTTTGTGATCTCGTTAGAAATTAGAGAATTGAAATTTTCATGGATCTTTCTCTGTCAATTGCGACTCATAATGAAATTGGTATAATGCATAGAGCAGGGAGCCACTGGCCTGCCAAGTCAATCACAGCGCCGCTAAGTTACATACGCAAAATCAAGAGGTATTCCAATCAACTCCACAATCAACTGCACATCAAATATTGAATGCATAAAGGAACGCCTGCATTTCAAAGATAAATAAAGCCAGCTTTGAAAGGGGAGAGCATGGAATATAATTTAGATCAGCAAATATCGCCAGTCGTTGCGAGTCATGATCTCGCGCCAATGGGTGCTTTGCTTTTTAAGTGCTCTCATCCCGTTGGAACCAGGTCCGGAGGGAGAATCCTCTTGCTTGAAGGACTGCTGTTCACCCTCCGATGTCTCGTCGGACAGCCTCCACACCTCTTGGATTAAACGGTACATGCGACTGAAACTGCCGAAGTCACCAATTTCTCCGAGTGCGGCTGCTCGCTCTGCGAGAACAGTGCGGAACTCGCTGTCCGGTGTGGAAAAGCTGCCTGCTATGAGCAATGGCCAGACTAGCGAGCGATCAAAACCGTACGGGCCTGCCGGAATAAATTGTAAAGCGCTTGTGATGCTGGAGATGAGGGAGATAGCACTGTGCTGGCTGCGATCAAAGCCAGGGACAATGCTGCAAAGATAGAGGCGCGCTGCGAGGCGGAAGATGGCGCTCATGTTCTTGGTCAATTGCTCTGGTAGAATTGCTCCACTGCACGCGTAAGGGTGTGCTAAAGTTGGGTCTGCAGGCTCGGTGTATTCTAGCTGGGCACCAAGTGCGGACACATGGTGGCATACAGTAATGTCGTCAACACGGCCCTCGGCTTTCAAAGAGTCCAAGCAGGCGATTTCGGAAATGAGGTACATAATTCGATCATCGCATCCCATCAGCTCGCGCAGGCCAGTCGACGTCCCACTCAGGTGCTTAGTTCGATAGTTGTGTGCGAACTGCGGAGTCTTTCCAATCATTGTAGCGCCAAGGATATCGATCCATGCTGTCAAAGACATGCTGAATGGTGAGGCAGATGAAGAATTGACGCCGGGGCGGAAATAGACCCAGGAAGCTCTAGCCTGTTTACCAGATTTGACACTGCCTGAAAGTGGTCGTTCCACGGGATATCTGGGAGACAGTCATTGGGGGCACCAACAGAGCAGTGGAAGAATATCATGGCCAATGTCGCATCTAAGATCTGTTCATGATCGGTATCTTGATTCAGTGCTTGACAAAGTTGTGCGATAGCCTCATAACGATGTCGCATAATATCATGGTCAATTTGTTCATCAGTGAGGCCAACAGCAGACTTAAGGTGGATGGCAGCAACGCTCAAGCAGCAGTGAAGGTAAGACTTGTTTGTTTCAAGTGCGGTCAAAATAGTCTTCGCGCGAGCCAGGCCTTGCTGATGGACCTCCAAAATCGGAAAGATCATTCGTAGCACGTTCTCGATGAAATGATCCAGAAGAGGTCGATCATGCTCTTCAACGGGAATGATGGCAGTATGCATATAGGTTGCAGAAGTGTCAATGGGCTGTTGAGAAATGGAAGGGTCCAGGGGTCCATAGGGTCCACCTTGATTGAAGCAATCTTCTTGCAACCAGTCATCGTTGTGGAAAGTGGGCAGAGTATTGTGTAATTGTGGAGGGCCCATTGCGCTGAACGTCGAGACGGAAGAATCATGTCGAAAGGGAACATCGTTAACGAACGTTTGTCGCTCTGTCCGAACGTCAACTTCATAAGGAGCATACTGTTGAGCGTAGACCGCAGGAGGGTATCCGGGCGGTTGGATATGCGATGCGTACGGATCATAGACATCAGGCAGTGACGGTCGACTGAAGTCATATGTTCCTACCATCGGCGGCGATATAGATGGAGATCTATGGATGTGGTCTGTTTGTTCTGAGACAAATTCAGTGTCATTCACATTTTCGAACAATCGCTTAGAAAGGTGAGATTTACCCTGATTTGTTCCGCGTTTCTCCAGAGTTTTAGTCTGCTTGATCCTAATCTTTACACGCTCCTTCTGTTGGCGTCGCTGTTCTGCACTTGCCCACCACATTGGTCGTTTGTATTCGCATTTTAGACACAAGTTGGCGCATGCCTTGCAGGTGGGATGGCCTTCGTCGCACTTCTTCCGTCGTAAGCGACACGTAAAGCAGCCTAGAAAGGGGAATGTCAGAGCCAAAATTCCTCGGTAACATAGTACTCACAAGACATGAGAGAATTGAGCTTGCTAACCTGATCGCGAACGCTTGTGCAGCTTCCCATTCGCCTTATCCGATTCACCGTCAATTGCGACTGCCCTAGAGGTCCCGGTTGGCTTTGGTGCCGACGATGAAGAGTGTTTGGAGTGAGGCATTTCAATATTTGATGGCGGATATATGTTGATCGTAGCAGAGTACTGTCATAGAGCAGAACAACCTTGTATCGTCTAGGATCCGCCAGCGGTTTTCAATTCTGTCTTCTCGTTCGGAGGCGACCTGAGCCAAAAGGAGGGACGATGTTTTTTGTGCCCAATGTGGCTGTCTCTGGGCGATAGGCTAGAATCTAATACTCGGTCTTGGTGGTTAGGATGGGATGGACTGAGGCGTAATAGTTCATCGTGACAAGTCGGAAATTGAAGACTTTAAAGACTAATCTGCGATCTAACCTGCATCTGAGTATGCTTCTATTTTTTGACAAAGCTAGGCGAGCATTGGATGATCCAGGGCCGGGAGAGCATGCGAACATGGGTGGGGATCTGCAGCTGGGACAAATGGCACCAAACCTGGCCTAAATTTGGGATCATTTTGAGCAGGGATAAGTCCCTCGTTGGTTAGATTGCATAAGTGGATTCGATCGGCAACCATGTCCTCGCAATGCAAGAGTTCAGCAAACCGGGTGCGATGTGTGATTTCGCCAGGGGACCATCAGCCAGGGCATGCAGAGAAGATAGTTCAGCATAACGCTGATAGGCTTCTCACTTCTATCACAAGGTTTTAGCTACTTCCTATCACACGTCTGTGCGTAGTGCAGCGTCAGCTCCACTCCTTCCCGGCGATGGACCCGTGCCCCACACGTTGCTTCTGCGATTTAGGAATTTCTGGAACCTGATCTGGGGTCTTTCCGAGATTTCGAGTTTGCAATCCATGGGAATTGGCCCAGAACTACACCTTTGAAAGGCTGAGTTATCCTAGACCGCTACATGTCAAAGGTATGACCTTTAGCTACGGGCGAGATAGTTGGTCACGACATGTGACAACAAGCACATAAGGCGGGGGTTGGATCGTGACTCGGCGGCAGGTGGTGCATGCCAAGCTTCCACTTTCGAATCTCTATTGGACTACTCTTTTCCAGCCTTTAACGGTTCGGGCGGTGGGCCGAGCTCCGTTCTGTGCAGAAGTGACTCGATAGCCAACCATTCATTTGATACTCGGGCGAATTACACCCCCAGGACTTCGATCCCTAATTAGCAACAATTAACCGCTAAAATACGGGCTCACATGCACAGAGTATACCGGTAAGACTTCCAACCAAGTTCCCTAAATTAGGCCAGATTATCATTTCTTTGGTGGAATTTGCTATTAATAGTTCCTTCATACCATAATATCCACTAATAGCATGTAATGTGTGTCAATTGCTTCTGATCTAGATTGTCTTACGCTAAAGAGCTCTGTCTCTTTTTGGAATAATTCGGACATAATTAGCAACGTTTTGTCATCTACTGTGACTCGGAGAAGGGGGATTCATCTGTTACGGAACTAGCCAACTGTGAATCACATCACAGAGTTTGCAAGCCCGGTTATTGATTGTATTAGAACGACCTCAAGATCAATCCCGAGCTGACTTGTTTGCAATGCACCCCAAGCCGGCCCACGCGCCTCATGAATGAACTTCTGTTTTCTTCGTGTGATACTAATCCCCTTTGCTTTAACTCTTGGCTGCTCATAGCGTAATCAGTAAATGAATTGCATAGGGAATTTCGCCAGGCAGAGATTGGTAGTCTCTCAATTCTACCCTTTTGGTAGAGTTGCCCTCACCGTTCAGAGAATAATAACCAACTACATGAGTAAATTTATACACATAATTCTTGGATCTTCTGGGCATCCTCGTAGCAACCCGTTTATTCCGGGGATATTTGCGTGGCTATATTCACGGGACAAACGCCCCAAATTTGTAAGATGAGCATATGGTCAATACTATATACGCCGAGGATACTTGATAACGAATATTTTCGCTTCGCTAGTGGGAGCTTCCAGCTGAGAGTTGCAACCTTGGCTCAGAGTGTAAACCAGGATTTCTCTGCCAGGAAAATATCTATGTTTTGGAACTCGCCCGTGTATGATTACTTTCATCTCATTCAGTTTGAGCCATGGTCTAGATCGCTACTTGATTATTCAATCAGAAGTGATCGAGCCGTGGAATTTAATTGCATGTCACACATTAACAGTACGTGAGTAGTAGAGAGCCCAGGAGTGACTTGACGAGAAGTTCTAGAAGAGTGAAGTCCAAAGCACGTGTCGGTGCACATTTCCGTACGTGATTGATGTGGGCGGTGGCCAAGGTGGAATAGTTGGGTTGGGAAAGAGTGTGAGACCACAAAGAGGACCGAGGACGGAGCTGTCGTGATCAGTCAAATTTACAACGATATGGCGTCCACCGTGCGGGGCAGAGCACAATTCAAGGGACGGTGCATTCCAGAACTTCTGCCACACGCTAAAGGTTTTGATTTCAGTTAACAATGGCTCGCTGCTCTACATTACATTCTAAGGCACTAGATAATGTGTTCCAAGCCCTAGGAGGGAAGCGCATCATCAGTGGATCGAAGCGCTAAGCAATACAAATTTCTCTATTTCGGGAAACACTCAGACGCTTTTGCAACAACAAGAAATGTAGGCTAATGTCCGGATGCTACTAAAATTATCCTTAATTACTGTATGTTCGGGATTATGATGTAGAAATTTGTCCTCGTGTGTGATTGAATGTGGACGGCTGCCTTAGCGCCGTTGTGACAAGTAACATGCCAGCAATTGGCCTTGCTGCCCCAGCCGTCTAATGAAGGCGCCCAAAGTCAGACCATGAAAGCCTATCATCTTGTGCCGAGCTTCTATCACTGCAGTAGCGTAGTTCCTACCGGCCTCTCGCAGGTTTTCCTCACCCGCCATCTCGATTATTGTCGCTCATGGGTTAATTTTGGAGCCGTATTCCTAGTTTCGATTATTGTCCAACGGGAGGAACGAACCCCTTCTGAAACGGGCATGAGCTTCTCCAGACTAACCAATGATGATGGCTGTAGGAGACTGGGGAAGCTCGCCTCGCTTTTTCTCCAGCGGCCCCGGTCGCAAGTCACTTCATGCAACTGCATACTCAATTTGTCACATCCTTCCCACTGGTCGAAAGTACACTTCATGGTTATTTTTGAACGCGCGCTTTTTTTTGGCAAACCCGTTCTCACTCATCTCCCTTGTTGGGCCACGCTACATATATCCATATGCCGCCCGGCTCTAACCTTCATTCCAATATTACCTAACATTTCATACACTTTTCTCTATTACTGTACAACGACCACGGTGTTCCACATCTCATCATCCTAACTCTATACATAATCCGATCCAACATCTTGTTCATGAAGATCTCCCTCAGCGCCCCTCTCAAAATTTTTGCTTGTAGCCGACGTTGCTGGAGCTTCGGATCAGGTACTGAAGCAGTATTGTTTATCATTGAATTGCCTCAATAAGGAGCAGACTTCAAAATGGTATGCATGGAATATACCACTTCATGAAATATTATCTGACCTTTTTTACAGGCTAGCCAATACAATTACCGTTCTGAGTTTCAGTTCTTGAAGTCGAAGCACAGTGGGTCGTGGTCAAACTCAAGAGTCGTTCGACCATCCAGCCCACCTTCAGAGACAACAGAGATTCTAGACACAGACTTTGATTCCGAATCAGACGTCCCTTACGACTCTCCACGAGGAAGTGTAGGTTCAGTGCGGTGATTGTAGTCAACGTTGGAAGCTAAATATTCAATACAGTCTGGAACAGAGAGCGTCACAACCGCCTCTACACCGGATCAATGCGAGCTCAAGACCCCAGACTCAGCTGGCCTGAGTGGATTTCACTTCCATATCGATGAAAAGCCAATGCGTGGCCCAGAGGGACCATTTCTCTTCCAATCTCAAAAGAACCCCTACCGCCTTTCCGACGGATCTATGGACATCAAATCAACTGTTGAGATCGATTTGATCTTTGACGATGCCCCGGATAGCGCAACAACCCCTCTTTACTCATCCGCCTCCAAGTTGGGCCCTGACTACCGAAGGGATACTCCTGTTCCTCGCGTCGCAAACCCTAGCACACCTCTTCAATCGGTACCTGAGAACACGTCATCACAGCCAAACGAGGCGCTGGTCGCCAGTTGGACCCCACAAGACGTTGTTGCGTGGATGCAAAGCATGAGCATCGACGAGGGCATCATCGAGAAGTTTTTTATCAATGACATCTCCGGCTCCGTCCTTCTGGATCTGCAGCCCGATGACCTGAAAGAGCTCGACATTCAATCTTTCGGAAAGCGACACGGTGTGATGACTTCAATTCGCCAACTGCGCAACAGCATCTCTGGTGAATCCTTCGATTCGCAATTCTCAATCCCATCAGAGCCCGTCTCCCGCGAGCCGACCCCCGGATCGACCGCAGCTGAGGTTGGTGTCCGGAGTTGCAATGCCACTCCTGTCAACGAGAACGAGCCTTCCTCGTCTCCGTCAAAGGATTTCGATCAGTATCATCAGCCCCGCCGCCAAAGGCGCCAACGCCAACGAGTTGTTGGACCCAATGACTCAATCTCGATCGTAGGTATCGAGCAGGTTCTGCCTAAAATTCACAGGTGCTCCAAGGGCGAAGATTGCCGCAAATGGCAGAGACAACAGGTGAAGTTGTCGCAATACACCCAGGGTCTTCCTGTCGACTCTGTCGGCAGCCCAGTCATCGTGGCCGGCGACCCTGGAAATGCTGCGACCGCTCCTAACTTGGTCAAGTCGCCCAAATCGGATATAACGCCTTCCATCGTTGCATCCTCTGATGCTCTTGGCCCAAACCAGCAGCCCGCTGAGGTGCCCATTTCCGCGAAGACCCTTCAGGATGTTCGGCCACGAGATGCTCAGGAAAATGTTCGCCACTTCATCAAGCTCCAACGTCTCAGCCAACTCCAGCCAGTTGAGGACCCTTCTACTCCTCCCAGGGACACTTTCCCTTCTCCCGAGGCCGAATCACCCGGAAAGCTGGCCGAGAAGCTTCAAAAACTCCCTACCCTACAAATTCCCAACGAGCACCTTGTATCTGCAGGAAGCTCGAGGTTTTCTCCAAGCCTGTCCGGCCAGCGCACAGTTACTCCTTCGGCGATGCGACGACGACAGCCATTCCAGCAGCCACTTCAGGAACAAGTGGCCACCCCTTACGGCTCTCTGTTCTCTCCCTCTGACTACTATCGCCAAGATCCAAGTTACGGATACACCTCGCAGACACCCGCCTCCGAGGTTGATGTTCCTCTCACTGCAATTCCAATCGGGCCGATTGAGCGAGTGTTTTCCCAGTCAGTGCCACCAGATATGCGATTCGGGCACGAGGGACAAGGGGAGGTTGATACCATTGCTCGTCCTATCTCTACCAAAGTTGACAACTACCGACGCAAGCTTTCTACCAACGCAGCAGGAACTGCCCTGGGTCGCCTCGATGAGGGGCGGGCTATGTCTCCCATTGAGACCCCCGCGGACCTTGAGCGTACCCCACGCGCTGCGCACTGTCGCATCCACCCTTTCACACCCGCGGGTGAACTCTCCCGCGACATCATTCACAGCGGCTGGGTTAAGAAGCGCAAGACCAAGAATCTCGTTCGCCATGAGTGGACACCAAAATACTGTGCTCTGCGCAATACCCAGCGCGGCGATGAGCGCGGAACCGAGCTCGCTGTCTACACTGACCAGTCCCAAGCTGAAGGTGACTCCAAGGCCATTGAGTACATTGACGTTGATGACTACGCCGTTGCATGCTCTTCTCTCGCCTCAAACTCGAAGTTGACCGCCGCATTCAAGAAGACCGTCTTGAAGCGCAAGGACAACACCAGGGGAGACACTGCATTTGCTTTCTCGCTGATTCCCTCTCCTAATGGAACTTCAACCGTTGACCGCAAGACCGTGTTCCAGAACTCCAAGTCCCACCATTTCGCCGTCAATACGCGAGACGAGCGAATTGACTGGATGCGCGAGCTCATGCTCGCCCGAGCTCTCAGACGGGGCCGTGAGAGCGGCGCTTCTCTCAATGTGAACGGCAATGCTGTGTTCTAGAAGTCTCGATGTAGCTTCTTACAATCCTTTACTACGACTTTCCTATCACTATTTTGCATTTTATCTCTGGAAGATGCGATATACCCTGTCAACGCGTTTGATGTCTTCCCTCACTATGATTTTACGAATTTCTTTTCCGATGCAGCATTGTTGGCGAAGTTGGATTTTGCTTGCTTTGTTTTTGGCGTTGGCGTTGGCGCACGACCAGACCAGCCACAGGGCTCATACGGATGTCTGCGGCTTAGGCCGACTGAACTAGATATGGACCTCACGGTTCCAAGATATTGACAGCAAAAGTCTCATATAATATCAAATACGAGCTGGACCTCACCCATTACTATGACCTCATTATCCTTAAAACATGACTTAAGTGCCTAGTATCCAAGAAAGGTTCAATCATAATACGGCGGAAATGGCTTCAGGGTAGGCTCACTCCTTCATTTCGTTACAACCCGGACACCCCACCATCGTGAATCGTGCTTCCGAAAAATCCTGGTCATTGTGACCGCGAGTTCGTTGGGATATCTCAACTTCTGTGACCAATGTCACGCTCTCGTTTTTCTCCAGTGTTCTGGAGTGATCGGCTCTCTAATTGGTAGAGGCAATATGCATGGATTAGCATGGGCGGCTAAACGCCGGTGACTACTGGTGGAGCGCGCGGTCAGTGCTTTTAGCTACTCTAAGCGGGGTGATCACATTGCATGTGTACATGCATCATTTACCCCTCTCCTCCAAAGAAGGATCGTTTTCTATGTTGGTTTCAACGTGGACTAAGGCTAGCGCTACCTGTCTGATTACATGGTGCCATAGGCCACTTCTCCACTAGACTCTTATTTACGCGAGCAACGGTCGGTGAGTCTCGGAAGGAACGGCTGATCAGTTGCTGGAGCCCTGGTCCGTTGTCTGGGGAAGATTCGAACGCCTGGTTAGCCGCCCGGATGTCCTTCTTTGGGGCAGAAGGCGTGGAGGATTGGGTGTGAGCGATCAGCCCCCTGCACACACTGATTGTCCTCAAGCCGCGCACAAGGGTGACATTGCATAACATAGGGATTGCTGTTGTCAGTGATAAGGTCAAACCCGGATTTTTGGTTTATTGAGTCAGCAGTCGCCTGGTCTTGGTGCAATATCGACTCATGTCCCCTTTTGCTTCCTTCTTCGCCTCCTCACCACGTCGCCCACCCCTCATCCAGTCGTCGCATCAATGACTATAGTCATTTACCAACATGGTCAACGTGTCTGCAGTTCGTGAGAGCTTGGCCCAGGCCGCCCAGTCCACACGCGTGGCTATGCGCTGCCTCAACACTGGGCGAGACTCCCACGATGCTTCACTGCGGGCACTGTCGCTGCTTACGGATATGCTCGACCTCCTCTATTGCATCAAGGACGAGATATGCTGGGCCGAAGAAAAGTGGTTTGTCGCAGTCGGTCGGCTGCGCGATCTGAGTGAGTTGCTCTCGTGGTTCGGGTCGACCATGAGATCGATTGAGCTCTATTTTCAGCCGGGAGGTGTGAGCCCTTTCTACTTTAGGAAGCATCTCTTGGACAAGTCATACATTCCTCGCCTGGAACAATATAAGATCATGTTTCTGCTATCCATGCAGCCTGAGTCCGAGTAAGAACCCCACCTATCGATTGCTAGCTCTGTGCGGTGATTCGCGCTAATATATTCCAGGGAACGCGGATTGCTAGACAAGGAGATCAGAAGGAGCTTAAAAAGACACCGGGAGGTTGAGTCCGGTAAGCAATCCGCTCAAATTTGAACTGCTGGATAAATACCTTGCATGCTGATTGAAGTTCCTACTAGCGAACCTCGAAGTTGACCAGAAATTCGAAGAGGATACCCTGAATCTCACAAGTCGAGTATCCTCGAAACATTTTATAACGCTCGCCGACCTCTGCAATAGACGCCAGCAAGGAAGTTGTTCATGGATTTTTGAAAACTCAAACTTCAAACAATGGCTGTTTGGGAGCTCGCGAACCCTGTATTGTGTTGGGCCTCGTAAGTTTCTCTTCACACCTCAGGGTCATGTGGCAAATTCTGTTGCTAACGCTTTTCAGCTGGCGCGGGCAAAACATTCTTATCGTCAGTTCTTTGAAGATGGGCTCTTTGGGATTGTGCTGACTCTACTTAGATCTGCAATTATCGATTTCCTCCAGAAGACTTTCACCTCGCCAGATGTCGCGACGGTATTCGTCTTTTGCCAAGAAGAGGGCAGCAAAGAGCCTTCTTCGATAGATCTCATGAAGAACATTCTTGCACAGCTGGTATATCGCAAAAGAAGTCTTTCATCTGCTACGTCGGCCCTCTACTATTCGGAGTCCCTCCAGAGAGGAAGCGCTTCTCCGAAGGCGTATCAAAATGCTATCAGGGCAGAAGTCAATCGTTTTTCTAAGGTTCTTTTCGTTATCGATGGCTTGGACATGTATATGGACAAAGATCGCATTTCTGGGTCGGTTGCAGAAGCTACCACAGCAAGCTCAACTTCTGGTCACCCTCCGCGATATGGGTGGCATCAAGTCACTGGATGGTTCTGGATACGTGAGCGTCTTTGCCTCGGCCGATGACATCGGCATTTATACCCTTACTCGGGCACGTACGGATAATAGCCTCCGTCATATGATCGGTGTGGATGATCCAGATCTCAGACTCGAGGACGGGATAATACACTCCGTGGTAGACAAGTCTCATGGAATGTAAGTTTTGTTGAGGCCTTGTGCAAGACTTCCAAGCAGCTCACGCAAAATCTTAACATAGATTCCTCCTTGCAAAAATTCATCTCGATCTTTTATCTCAGTACAAAGATCGTAGCCTCCTTGAACGGGCCCTGGCTCATCTCCCAGAAAACTTGGGTGAGGCATACGGAGAGGCAATGAAGCAGGTCGTCAGCCAAAGTCCGAATGCGACACGTTACATCTACTGGGCGCTCTATGCATTCAGGCCGCTGACCATTTCTGAATTGCGAAGTGCGGTGGATGACGAGGGACTTGAGGAGACTTTAAAAACTATGTCTTTTGAACAGGCTTTGCATATCCAGAGTGGAGGTCTTTTGTTTGTTGACGCCTCGTCCGGGACTGTTCGTTTCGTCCATCGAACGGCAAAGGAATATCTGGACGGTTCAGCTTCCCGGGTCTTCTTTCCCGGAGCACAGAAGGATATCTCGGAGGCTTGTCTTTCTGCTATCAGTCTCGATGAGGTTGTAGACGAATGCTACAGCAACGACGGTGGCCCCTCCCGTGTATTGAAGAATGGATTCCTCGATTATGCAGCCACTTATTGGGGACTTCACGCTCGTGAGGTCGACCAAGAAGAACAGACTGTGCAAGTCTTGATCAAAACATTTCTCAACAAGCTGCTATGGCGGAGGCCACCGCTTGATTACCCCAGAGGGAAAGCAGAGGGTATGCCTGAAGAGCTCGGAATCGGTAAATATCCTAATGACTGGACTGGCCTCCATGTCCTTGCATTTTTTGGAGTTCCCGGCAAAGCTCTACGTCTTCTTGAACAAGGAGTACCCATCAATGGCCAGGAAAATGCTTTGGGTGTCACTCCTTTGCATTGCGCTGTGTATCAAGGCAACGAAGAAATGGTCGAGTTTTTACTCGAGTGCGGAGCTAACGGCAACGCGACAAATGCAGACGGTCAGACACCTTTACACATTGCAGCCAAGAGAGGTCATCGCAAATGCATGAAACTGCTTTTCGCCCAAAGGGTTGATCTACACATCGTTGATCACTCAGGTGCCCCGAGTTTGCATGCAGCTGTTGGGACGGCGACTGATGAATCCACCGTTCCACTTCTCGTCAAACAAAGACTAAACTTGAATTTCCAAAACCCGATCAATGGCAACACTGCACTTCACCTTGCAATCGCGTCTAGAAGACCAAGAATCATCTTGTTTCTGTTAGAGAAAAGCGCTTCCATCGATATTGCCAACAACGAAGGTTTGACTCCTCTCCAGATGGCAGCCAACATGGATAATTGTGAGGCAATATCATTACTTTTGCAGCATTGTGCTTCAGTTGAAGCTCGTTTCATCGCCGGTCCCACTGCACTTCAATACGCGGCTTGGAAAGGTCACTGGATTGCATTCGACCTTCTTCTCATCGGTGGAGCAGACATCAATGTTTGGAACAAGCAAGGCGAAACTCTGCTCCATGAACAAGCTCGACACAGTAAAAATACGTCTATTGTCACAAAACTCCTGAGATCAAGGGGGAAATATCGAGGCTCGTACCTCCCAGGGCTACACACCGCTTCAATGTGCTGCCATTAATGGAAATAAAACGATGTTCCAGTTATTACTCGACAGGGGAGCCAAGATTGATGTCGTGACAGCGAAAGGCGAGACAATTCTCCATATCACACCACCTACCAACCAAGATTGTCTCGAGATTCTGAAAACTGCCCTGGATGAAGGCCTTGATGCCAAGGCAACATCCAGCCAAGGCTGGACTCCGCTTCATCAAACCGTCTGGACGGGAACAGGTGCTCTTGACCTCGAGTCTGACAAAACGGCAGAGTACATCCAGCTTTTGTTGACTAATGGAGCATCAATCAACGACTGTTCAACTTCTGGGACCGTGGAAACTCCTCTTCATCTCGCGACTACGGCCCCTATCCCACGCCCTTCTCTCATCGAGTTTCTCATCAGAAATGGAGCAAATGTGAATACCACCAACGGCGAAGGCAAAACTGCCCTTCATCTTGCTGCTGAGCGCGGGCGGGAGCCGCTGTTTCGCACTCTACTTGACGCTGGTGCCGACCTGTCTCTCAAAATTCCCACTGACATCAAACCGTCGATGAGTGTGGATAGGGGGGATAAAGGTGACAAAAAGGATACCCCTATCACTGCATTGGATCTTGCAAAGCAGAATCCATTTGGGTCCCTGTGGTTTGATGAAAATGGCAAGCTGCGTCCTGTTCGTCAAAGAAGTGGACGAGATAGTGCCAATACTGTGTTTGAGGATATGGATTCAGACCTTGATGGATCAGGGTCGGGTTCTGGCTCAGCAAAGTCGGAAATAGGGGGATCTACCTTGGTAGGAAGCGAACCGCAATTTCTGGCTGAGCCTGAGCAGTATTATGTAGTGGTTTGAGGTCGAGGTCTCTATTTTTTTTTTTTCGTTCTCTTGTTCCATGCTCGTACATTGTGCATGACTTGACATTGTTCAATACCCATTTCCAGCAGGCTTTAATCATATTGATGAGCACTGGGAACTAGCGTTGGCATCAAGCGTATTCTGTCCATTTTTACGATCCCTCCTTAGGGGTTTCATAGTCATTTGGACTTTACCATTGGTTGTAGAGTTACTTTATACTGTGAAAATAGGAGGGTTTCTGTGATAGTTGCTTTAACCTTAGGGGGAGACTCAATTCAACTTAGCCCATCATCCGCACAACGACATAAGCCCACCCATCCCCGTAAGCTGAGCTCCTCACGACTTCTTCAATCGGAGCAGACATCGGAAGTACGGCCCCATGTAGCACAGGCTTAGCCAGGACTGGAGTCCTCCGACTAGGAAAGAGATTAGGGAGCAACGTATGTAGAACACCACCAATCGTTTGCAATTGCATTGTCGGACTCGTCCGAGAATTGATCGACTGACTTGACTGGATGCTTGATGTCGGTATTGAAGGAGGCAACGGAGACTGGACTACTTTCAACAAGCCAGACTCCTCGCCGGGTGGTAGTGGTAAGAATATGCGAATTGGAACGTTTCGGAATGGTTGTGATGGTGGTGGGAGGAGATTATTCGAGATACGCTGGAAGGATGGGAGATTGACTAACCCCAGGATACTTGTCAATCTGGAGATCCTTCTCTGGAGTACCCATATAACGTTGTCAGATTGAGTACTCACCTTCTTCGACAGACTTCCAGAGACCTGCAGAATCTTCCTTGGAAAGGCTCATGATGCCCTTTGCCGTGCCGTTTCTCAGGAAGTCGGCCTCTTTAACACTGTTGATGAAGGCATCATTCATGACCATGCCATCTGGATCAAGGCGGACAAGGTCCTCCAAGGGCCAGTCACTGAAATGCACTGTCAAACGCCATGGTAGTTGTGATCCCTCTCGAGGGTCAACACTGGACTTGGTGGCTGGATCAGCTCCAGCATATAGGTCGAAGAGGAGGCCGACGGGGTAGTGCCATTTCAGCGGAACGCCTTCAAATTCGAACCAGCCGTCATGGTGCTGAGAGCTGGGCTCTATCAAAAATGGAGAAAAGAATGCCCGTAACCTTTGGAGTAAAGAGGGAAGATATGATAAACGAGGGTATGAGATCTGCTAGGTGTCAGCAAAGGCGTTTGTAAGTTGACAAGTGACCTTACGAGGTATGGATCAGACTTGTCGTATGACCGGCTCTCTGAAGGTGCGAGAACGATCTCTAGCGGTATCTGTCCCGCCCAGACGCTTCTTTGCAGAGAAACAAGTGGTGTCTGGCTCTCCATGCTGGGCTATTTAGAACCTTTCAAATGCTTGAGCGTGCATGTTAGACTTCTGAGGTCTGGAACGGGAACATCAAACTCACAGACGGGCAACTTTCCTACTTTAAGCTGATATTGCGCTCAAGAAGTGGGCTGAGCATATCATGGACAGATAAGGCGTTCAGATCATCACAGCGCCACTGCAGAAGGCGTCAGGTTTTGCAAATACAGACAGTCACATCAGCCAGATAGCGAGCTCGGGTCTAACAGGCGGATTGATGCAGCAACAGAGCAGCAAGTTCATCGTGACGGATGCACGGCGTTGATGGTTGCACGTGATTGTACCTGAGCAGGGGTCGATTCCCCGCACGTCTATTTCACCATCATAGACAAGTCACTTCTCAGAAGAACTCCAACTGCTCGAACTCGCAATAGAGACGATTATGCACAAGCCTTTAACATTTCACTCCATCGGAATTGCAGTTCACCCAGCCAAGATTCCCTGTGATGCACTAACATTTTCAATGTCCAGCGCCAGCCTCTCGATCTCGTCTCTTTGCCGGTCGTCCATAACCTTCGTGAATTTTCTGGATTTCTACAAAGTTGCCTTCTTTGACGATCCTGGAGTAATGTGCCGAGGCGCAGCAAGAGTTGACTGATCACTTCACCGTCTTCAAACGCGATGGTTGTGCGCTGTTCATATTTCCCGCCCAGCTCCGGCGTCTGGAACCACTCGGTCTTGTCAACAAGTGCCCAGAGAATATTCCTGTCAAGCAAGTTGTAGTGAAACTCTTGCGGCAGTGCGTCGTCATCAACGAGTTGGACAGCAGCGACGTGAGCACGGGATATCTGCGCTCCAAGTGCGAAGAGCATTAGCTCTGCCTTCCATTCTCCATGTTTGAAGGCTGCCTCCGATATATCTATCGTCGTGCTCGCAATACCGCTCAAGACGGCCAGCTTCTCGGGGTGTCCCTTTTGCAACTTTGCGACCGCGTCAATGGTGCAGTGGGTCCCTGTCATTGACGCGTCCGACTTGATTCGAATATTGTTCGACTGCCACATCTATCCAAGCCCCTAGGTGAACTTTCCCAGGTATGGAGGCTCCTTGCCAGAGTTCTGGCCAAATGTCGACAAAGGGCCATCATATGGCTCCTCCAAGACATTTGAATGCCACGATACCCTCCCTCCTCGGCCATCAGAGCGGCAAAAAGTCCGTTGCGCGCCGCGAATCCGTGCTATGTTTGTTTCACATCGCTCCAGAGTTGACCTGACATTGAACGACATGCTCAGGTATACGCTATCCCGAGCGCGTCTTCAATGACGTCTTTGGGGAGATCAAGCAGCTTGCTGACTGCCGCGGTAGCTGCAGCGTGGCCGAATGTGGTTCCAGAGTGTCATTCTCCTGGGCAGTATATGTCCTCCATAGAGACGTAGTCCAACGCGAGTTTCTGTCTCGTAGCCAATAAATGTAGAAAGTAAGATGGAAGCTCCATCGAGTGGTGGTCAATCATTGCTCTTCTTGTAGCTGGCGGCCGCAAGTAGTGGAGGCAACAAGATGGAATTAGGATCTACTGGGCTAAAATATGCTAGCGATCGAGCTCGAATGACTGTATCATTGTGCTATAAAGAGTGTTGCTGACAAAAGACCTATTTTCCTCGCGAATATCACTCGGAATGAATTACGATTCGGTGCCTGCCAGATTTCGGGACAAGATATATTTCTCCACGGACCTACCTCACCGCACCCCCTTGCCGTACTATGTCCCTGCGACGCGATCGCAAAGATAGCATCTGCAACCTTTTCGATCCATGGTAATTGCGCCCCGATTGGCGCTTTGCATAAGCCATCCAAAATTGAGTACTGTGCACGAATACGGATACTGTTCGGGACGTCGTCTAGCCTCAGCCCGTGGATCCAGGAACAAAGGTCTTTGGTCACCCCGGGACTAGAGCTGAACTGCGGAGACATGGCGATATACAGCTCAGCAATGGATTGGTGATCGTCTTTATGCATGATAAGATTCCAATCCAAGTTTTGACGTGGCGTGGCACACTGACTCTACACGTTCGTCTAAGCAAATTCGGCCCGTGAGCGCATTGTGTTGGCCGGAAGCGGCCCGAAATACGAGAAACCAAGATACGAATGTGCCGAGTGGCGTTTACTTCACTGCACTAGAAATTTACAATATAGACAATCTGAATAGGCGATGAAACTCAACGTCGACTCTTGACGCCTCACCGGTGACGATTATAGACTGACTCGTAATGCATGGTCTCCACTTGGCGTCTGTGAAAGGTATTTAGCTTGGTTGAGGACAACCTGGCTTAGTCTGTGTGATCCGTTCAGCATGATTTATCTTCATCGAGATATTCCTCCAGTGTACGAGTTCCTCGATTATTCGTCTGAATTCGGGCCTCACAGCCAGAGGAGAACCAGGGATATATGCTGAACCCCAGACTCGCAGGGTCAAAGGTCATCGCTCTGAGGTCAAAGGCAGTCATTTAGCACCTTCCTTGTACGTGATTCAAGTCTATCCCCACAATGCTAGGCCAATGATAGCTGTGCAAAGTAAGAGACAACGTCGCAAAAAGATCCGCCTCACGTGACCGGAACCTGTGAATGAGTTCTGCCGCCTCGACTCGGCAAACTTCCGACCCCCACTCATGGTTAAGGGTTCTCCCCGTGGGCAACCTTCATGCATTCAGTAATCCGATTCTGTTGAACAAGATTCGCAGAGCTAGCCTGGGGTATGCAAACCGAGCGGGACTACGCTGTCCCCTAGCTGTGCCCCCCCACACTCGACATCCGCTCGAGCCGGGGACACAGGATGTCCCCAAAATGCATTAACTACACACTTGTGGCGAACGAGAGCTCTCACCGGGAAATCCCCATCCACTCTGGGTACCTGGGCGTTCTGCTTTGACGGCTAAACGAAAAGTCCTTGGTGACCATGAGAATGAATCCTCGTATGTGAGCTACAAGACAATAGCATTTCTTCAATGCAAGGACCAGGAACGCCCCTGTGTAATGGAATACCTGAAAGAGTGGAAATGTCTCGCTGGAAGGCTCTGAGACCTAGGAAGTCGGACGTTAGCTATATACTGGCGGCCATTCGTTGACCCCGGGTGAGAGTTCGAACGGGGAAAACGCTACCCCGGGCAAAAAGTTTCCAGTCCCACCCACGGGGAATCAGTAATCCTTCAAACCACTTGCCTCGACGTTGATCTGACCCCATACTGCCCCAGAGGATGGGGTTTTACGCGACATAGGTTGTGGGGATCGTGCATTAGGAGAGATTCCCACACACCCACACTCATTCTGGAGTCTGAGATTACTTAGGGCCTCCCGTCCCGTCTCAATCTACCTTTCTTCTTCATCTTATACCACGAAATTTTTTTCACGACCTTCCTCATCCTACCATTCTCTATAGCTGTGCCACATAGCAGCCATGGGTGGTATCCTTCACTTGGTCGAGGACCGGCCAACGCCAAGATCGGTCTACAATTGGAGGGTTTATGCCCTCGGTGTCATCGCTTCATGTGGCTCTAACATGATCGGGTACACAAGTGCCTTCATTGGTACTACAATCACCCTCACGTCGTTTAAGAAGGAGTTCGGTCTCGACCATATGTCCAAAAGTCAGCAAGACTTGATCAGTGAAAATGTCGTCTCCCTGTTTGTTGCCGGTGCCTTCTTCGGTGCTATTTTCACCTACGGCCTCGCTCACTGGGTTGGCCGCAAATACTGCCTGACCCTGGCTTCCGCCACCTTCATCCTCGGTTCCGGGTTGACATGTGGTGCCGACAGCAACACGGGTATTGGAATTCTCTACGCTGGACGTGTCTTGACTGGTCTAGGTACTGGTATCGCCTCTAACACCGTTCCTATCTACCTGGCCGAACTGGCACCGCCCGCTATTCGAGGCCGTCTCGTCGGTCTCTACGAGCTGGGCTGGCAGATTGGTGGCATGGTCGGCTTCTGGATCAACGTGAGTCATCACCCTCATGTTCGTCTCCGAGCTCTGCAGAATACTAACTTTGTTCAACAATAGTACGGTGTGGAGCAGACTTTGCCCGAGGACCATGAGCAGTGGCTCATTCCATTTGCCGTGCAGATTATTCCGGCCGGTCTGCTGTTCGTTGGCTCTCTGTGGATGCGCGAGTCCCCTCGCTGGCTCTTCCTTCACGACAAGCGCAAGCAGGCCATGAAGAACCTTTGCTGGATCCGCCAATTGGAGGCTTCCGATATCTACATTACTGAAGAGGTTGCTGCCATCGATCAGGCCCATGAGCACCAGAAGTCTACTGTCGGTCTTGGTTTCTGGCAACCCTTCAAGTCCCTTGCCGCTCGTCCTAACCTGATGTGGCGTCTCTTCCTTGGCTGCATGCTGTTCTTCTGGCAGAACGGATCTGGAATCAACGCCATCAATTACTACTCGCCTACTATTTTCACGGTTCGTAACTCCGCACATGGCCCCCTCGAGCCGAGCCCAATTTTTATTGAGTTCTAACACTTAGTTTGCAGAGTATCGGTGTGCAATCCGACACCCGCAACATCTTGACTGGTGTCTTCGGTGTGGTCAAGGCCGTCATGACGATCGTCTGGTTGCTGTTCCTGGTCGATCAACTCGGAAGACGGAAGCTTCTTTTGATCGGTGGTATCACTGGTTCTGTCTGCATGTGGGCCATCGGTGCATACATCTACATTGTGGACCCTACGCACAACCCTAGCGACCACCTCAACGGCGGTGGCATCGCCGCCATTTTCTTCTTCTATTTGTGGACTGCCGTCTACACGCCCACCTGGAACGGTACTCCATGGGTCATCAACTCGGTGCGTTTCACATGAATTGACTGTTCGAGACATGCACTAACAGGTAGCAGGAATTCTTCGAACCCAGCTTCCGTTTCTCTCGCCCAGGCCTTCACAACCGCCAGTAACTGGCTCTTCAACTTTCTCGTCTCCCGCTTCACCGAACAGATGTTCGAAGCCATGGGATATGGAGTGTACTTCTTCTTCGCTTCCTTGTCCTTCCTCGCCTTTTTCTTCGCATTCTTCCTCATCCCAGAGACCAGTGGTATCCCTCTTGAGAAGGTTGATCGTCTCTTCATGATCAAGCCGGTCTGGAGGGCCAACGAGAAGCTCAAGGCTGAGCTGCAGGCTGAAGAAGAGCAGTTCCGATTCGATGTCAAGGAAAACCCGGTTCACCAAGAGAACTTGAACCGTGATGAAGAGAGCACATAGACATAATTTTGGCGTTTTAGACTTGTGAATAGATGTATATATGAATGCGTGCATATACTGACGCACTTACGATTGAGCTTTCATCGTTATGATCATCAACTTTCCCTTTAGTTAAGGCCACGCGGCTTCCACATCCAGTAAAGCTTTCAAATCCGCGCGGATTGTCATCAAGGTGCCATCTTCACATATCACAGAGACAAATACAGTATACAGATATTTTAGCTATCATTTACCGCGTCAAATGCTGAAAGCTCAAGCCTCTTGGGTAGCCCCGCTCTGCTCAAACCTGACATACATCGTGATTGTCTGGTAAAGCTTGGCCCTCTTTTTCTCTTCTGCTTGAGTTGTCGATCCCTGCCGCTTTTTGCTCACTGAGTAAGGATGAGCACACTCCTAGGCACCCTCTTTCGAGGATTTCTGTTCCGTCATCCAGATACGCGCTATTCGTGCGTTAAGGTTAGACTTGTATCTATCTTATTGGAGTGCAGCCTGCGCAGCTCCACACTACACCTTTTTTACACATGTCACAAGAAGATCCCGCATCCCCCGCACTCGGGGGGGGGAGAAGGGTTTGCAAGTGCAAAAGGCCACCCAAACACTCAGTCGTGGCTTTTCTTCACGGCATTCTTAAAGCCTGACCCGAGCCTTGGCATTACTGGGGAATCATGGTGGTTAAAACGACAGCAAACTGTTCAGATCCCGCATATGCTTTCTCAACCCCCGACACTCTCTCGACGTGTTTCCAAGCATTTGCCTCGGCCGATTATTTTCATGATTATGGCACTTTTGAGGAATATAGCCCAGATTACTGGTACGATGGCATCAAAGTGAATCCAAAGAGTACATTTGGACTCGTCATTGAAGAATGCATCAAGCAATATTGTCTCCGACCCGATTCCGCCCTGAATGGATGCGGTTCCGATCATGAATTGTTGTCTACTCCTCCAGACGGGTTTTCAGCTTCAGGCTGTGCGTCCATCAATACCGCTATGAACCAAGACTTTTCTGGCCCCGGTGTAATTTTCACTATGTCCTTGGAGATTGTTTCTCAAAAAAAAGATACCCCTTCGCTGACCGCTAGTTATAGATGATGGTTGCCTACCTACTGCAGTCCCTTATCATTCTCTACGTCTGGCTGGTCACACGAGTCCTTCAAATGCTTCCTAGATGTATCCGCCGCATCTACCGTCGCAAGCGAGAACAACGAACAATACCCTCGGCATCAATGGAAGAGAAATTGACTAATCATGTATCGATCGTTCAGTCTGTCCTTGTCGACTTTCAGGAAGCCCAGTGCTTTTTTTATCATCTGCATTCAAGCCGCCATTCTTGTCGCTTTTGCTGGGGACCCTGCGATTCTCGGTGCTAGCAGCGTGGCACAACTACAACGTAACTATACAGAAGCCATCACGATTTCTGGGTCGGCAGTCATATCAGTGACGTTTGGCATGTGGCTTTTGCGCCGCTCCAACTTGGATTCGCTGTACATCTATCTGTGGTCCACGACTAGCATTGCTTTATCAGCAATTACAGTCTTCTCCAGAAGTGCTGAAACTCCAAACTTGTCTAGCATCAGCTGGCAAGTCGATCTTAGTCGCCTGGACAAATGTGGGCATCACCCTCCGCCACTTATTTACTGCTCCTACTCAAGCACTCCCGATGGCAACGTGGCTAATATTGAAAACCATATCGCACGTCAAACTTACATTGCACCCTTTGCAATTTTCTGCGTGCTTGCGATGCAGAAAGCGACGTCTTTCCTTCCACATAGACTCAGCCTTTTGGCGCTCTCTTCTCGCCTCCCACGTTCCATCCGGTCGATGATGTCCCCTCCAGCCATTTCAATTCTTACAATGGTCTGGAACCTTTTAGCGGAATTATATCTTCTTGGAATGACTATCTTCGTTCTAGTGATGTATCTGGCGAACATGATCAACCAAGCGGACTCGGATCATAATTACGCGACCACTTGGGCCTTTGGACAAATCATCGGAGCAACAATCTGGGCGCCAAACATAATCAAGTACATATACTGGTCTATATGTACGTGGATTATTTTTGCATCCCGCATGTTTCGCGAATCCCTAATGACAGACTATTCAGTTGGCACCGAGTCTTATTCTACGACTAGGCTTCCAAAAACTTTTCATATCGTCCAAGCGCCATCCAAGCCTAGTCCGTCAAGGGCATCGAATGAGCCTGACGAGGAACAGCACCTATCTTCCAATCTTCCATCCAACAGCGGGATAGAATTGCATGGACCTCAGTCTAGGGCAAATACATGGGGTCATGATATTCGACCCCGCCGTTCGATTTAATTATGCATTCTATGATATGCAGATATTTCCTCGATTTCGCCGACTTATTAAATGTGGGGTTGCAGTCATGTGAGATTTGTTTGTGTGATATTGATAATAATCAACCTCTTCGGTTAGTTAATGTCTAAGTACGTTTGCCAGCTGTGATGGCCATTTGCTCGAGGAACTTGAGGACTAGAGTGTATTACCTGTAGCATGCACTTTGCATGCAAATTGGTGGGATGTCAAGGCGTAGCCCAAGTACTGTTACTGACAGACTCTGAGAAATCCGAGAGAAGTTTCAGAATTCTATTGCTTCTTGAATGGCAATAGAAAAGAATGACTGAACACCGACTGAACTATCGGACCATCAACCTATGAATCAGAAGCCTCATAACCCAGTTCTCAGACCCAGTCTGCTTCTCAATACGACTTTGAGCGCTGTAAATATCTGATTCTGAGCTTTTCTAGCGTCTTCAGGGTGTAATCCATGCTGCCAGCGTGGCGCAATCAATCTAAAACGATCTTCTTGTGGGGCACGGACAACGATCCGGATGTCTTTCTCTCCTGGAGTATCCCGCGCAGTATCAGATCTGGTGGCTCAGAATCCCAGGCAAGAATAAGGGGAACGAGAATTTTCCTTCATCTAGATCCTCGCAGAATCCCTTTTCGCTCGTATACTGATGACAAGTTAGAATCTATAAGGCTTTTGTGTAGGCTGGGGCTCGTACTTCATTATTTATCATGTTCATGTAGTCCTCGCGGACTTAAAAGTCATTTTCCCTTACATTCAAAAATATAGGAGACAAGTGCGAGTCTCTCGGGCTTGCAGAGTGGTATGACTACCGATGCAAAGTGCCCATCGAATGGGTTACAGTTGCTCCAACGCTCAATTGGCCCAATGTATTTCCTCCAGTCATCGCGACAGCGAGAAGACCCTTCGTTGGCATTCTGCTCGTACTTGTGACGACGGAGGGCATAATTATGACAAAAGCCGTCTTTGTCGGGTGTCTGTCGGCTGACTGGATAAGAGATGCCATCGTCTTCCGATGAAGGAGCTTGGTGATTCATGGCTATGGATTATGGTTGATCGAATGGAGTATTTGCGATTTCCGACAGAGTAGAGTATATCCAGGCGCTCTCTATATCTACAACTAGCAGAAATGCTTTGACTTGAGCCATTACAGAGTGCAAATAAATATGACTTCATTTGTAGGTAGCTGATGTTCATGTTTGCCATTGCTCCACGTGTGGTGGGTCGGGTGGGCCTTGGATAGACGATCTTGCTGCACGAAGCCGTGGTTATGTGAATGCAATCTTGTTCAAAGGTCGGCTAGAAGCCATAAGATAGACCTGATATCAGATGTATCTCATCTGGTGAAGCTTATTTTTGTTCAACAATACTACAGTGCTGGTGACGTGGTGGTTGAGATGCCATCGGCGCGGATGTGAATCCTTTTTAGTTCAGATGCTCAGGACCCGAACATATTTTTCAAATCGCCAGATTTCCTGATGAGCATACCGACATCATAAGTTACTTGCTACCATATACAAAAGTTGTCGATTGGATCAAGGACAAGAAAAAGCCATACGCGCTGGTCCTTTCCGAGGTGGGATCTGCTATCGGTGGAAGCCCCGTCTCCTTCGGCGGTGGCTTTGGAGCTGCTATGTAGGCCGTTGACTTTCATCTTGCTTCCATCAGCCGCGGCGTCAAGAGAATATGTAAGACACGGGTCCGGGTTCTACCCACTCGTTCTGGCTCCCCAGTGTAGGCGAGTGGAAAAAGCCTGTCACTGTTAGCCGTATGCGGTCAGAGAAGGGGTCATTAGCTAGAGGCTTCGATCAGGGCGGTCATGGGGAGAATGTGAACTTGGGAGCAATGGAGCTACAAGGTTGACAATGGCAAAAGTCATTTCGTTCTGGTCTTCAAGAGGAAATACTCGGTGTTAGCCAGGGAAGCGCCAATGTAGTCCTATACGATACCGAGGCGGCAGTTGTCTAAGTAAATTTTATAATGCCAAGCTTTTGGTTTCATACGCTCGATTGAACGCCACACGATTACAATGCCGAGTTCTCATCTAAGGTTGAACTTCATCTCTCATAGTGAGATCATTTTTCGAAAAGTGGCTCCAACTATGTTGACAAGTTGGTGGATGTCAGGGTAGACATTCTCCTCAATCATGATGCGTCAGAATTGACCAGGGATTGATGGGCTGGTCTTTATGGGTATTGAAGCCCAATTTTTGGGTCTGCTTACTAGAGAAAATATTTGTTTAAGGATTGAGACGGATTTGGAGTCTGGAAATATGATCGTATTTACATTTGGATGATGACGCTAAGATGTGTATCAAGAGAAAAGAAAAAGAAAAAAGAATGCAAGAGCAATGTAAAAGCCCAGAATCACGCGTCATTCGAACAAGGCTGAATTTGTTCCACGGATTGACCTCCCGAAGGAATATGCTGATATGAGCGCGTTCTTCTTACCCGCAAGAAGCGCTGGATACCATGTACAATTCCAGCGGTACAGCACAATGTCAAGAGGATGATCATGCCTCCGCTCAGAACTTGGATGACCTCGTAGGCCTTGTAAACTGCGGCCGCGACGGTTTTCGTTTCGGCGTAGATTATTGCATTGCGGCCTTCAGAAGTTGAGCCCGCGCTGTCAGAATCGTCGCTTACTTCTGAGGTCGAGAACGTCGCTGGGTCATCTGGGATGGGTCCTGATGACGATCCCTCGAATCCAACTGCTTTCCAATTGGACGGTGTTCTCGTGCGCTGCACGGGGTGGTGCCGAGAACATTGCCGTGTTTGTCAATGACTTCGGCAGAGATCCAGTCCATATAACCCTTGCTCATGAACATTGTTTCGAAGCTGGTTTTGTTGACGGACCCGATGAAGGTATCCTCGCCGCGGTCGAATGCCCGAGCATAGAAGTTGTATCCGGCTACATCGGTTGCGCCGTTCCAGCTGATGTGGACGATGGTCGTCATATCTAGATCATTAGCACCATAGACGTAGCTGACCATGTCCGGGGGTGTGGTCGGTCTACCGATCCAGTCGAATTTGTATGACCGGTAGCTCGAGAACCGCTCCGATGCAAATTGCGCGTACATGAGTGTGTCGCCATTTGGTGCGTACTCGGCGTGGTACCCCCACTGACTCCATCCAACAAAGGTATTTCCGTTGGGAAGTGGTTGGACATTCCCACGAAGTCTGGTTAGACCTCTGTCCGGGCGTACGAGGCGCTTGATTACTCTAGCAGTCATCGGAGTCACGCTAGTGTCAAGTTGCACAAAAAGAGCAGAAGACAGCTCCTCCTCGTTCTCGTACTCATCCGACGCGTTGTTCATGAATGAGATGACGTGGTGTGTGCCATTCGACGAGACGAATTTGACATCGTGTTGCTTGGAGAACGTAAAGTCTTGATCGAAGTCGGTCGAGGCTGAATTGGTTCCACCCAGCCGCCACATGATATGGCCGTCTTGACCAGAAACCATATAGATGGTGCTTGCGAAGCGCATGGAAAGAATATAATCGCCATCCGCGTTCTTATCGACTGCGTTGATATGCACGTAGTCGTTTCCAGGCTCGCCTTGTGCGCCATCCCAGGGGTGAAACTTGACAGAGTCGGTCAGGGACAGATGATCGCCTGAGTCCCATTCAAAGAGAATTGTCGCAGACTCAATGTCTAGTTCCACAAATCCACCCGTAACGATCCAGCTCTCCTCTAAAGGTCGGCCAAAGTCGGCTAGACTCACAAGCTGCGGTCGGTATGTGCACGCCAGAGCGGTCTTGCCACCATCCAGGATATTAAATTCGTGCATGTTAAACGAGTTGAGATCGTTAGTCACGCCGACATGGTGTTCATATTCGTATTTGTTGTTCATTATGACGCCACTTCCGCGGTCCGAGTTGTCGAAGTCATGCTGAAGAATGAACGAAAGGTGTGGCTCGGCATCGATGTTCCAATTCGCTTTAAAATCGAAGACGTTGCGGTTCTCGGTGGTGGATGAGCCCGCCCAGACGAGCATCTACAGTGAAGTAGTGAGCTATCGCCGCGCATAAGGATTATCCCGGGGGAGATAGCATACACCATCGTTATCATATATATACGGTCCGACCTGGAACTGTTCGTATTTCTGGGTTGGATTCTCAGGTTCGACCTGGCCATAAGGCGCAACAAACCAGTAGCCAGGAAGTTGTTGTTCACGATCAACGTGAGTAATGTTGAACTTCAAGGCCCGCACCTCCGGAAGCTAGAACATGTTAGACCAAGCAAGACACAAATTCGAAATTAGACACACTCACGGTCACAAAGGAGAGGAGATCACTGTCCTGGCGCTGTGCGACCCCTCCATGCAAAAACAGGAACAGGGCGCCCAGAAACGCCCACATGGTGGTGTGAAAAGAATGACTAGAAGGGGAAAATTCTCATCTTCAGGAGAAAGGAAAATTAAGTGGAAGAGATCATCGCGTTTTCCTGTTTGGCGGGGGACTCCCCGAACAAACAGATCGCTGAGGAGCCATGGGGGGGTCCCTGACGCTCTTAAGGAGAGAGCGGTGCGAATATCAATTAGACTTTCATTGGATCGCCTTCAACTTGCACACGCGGATCGTACCCAGACCAAGCCGAATCGGGCAGACTTGCACGCGGCCGGACGCTTACTTTCTTGCCAAAGCGACGTAAGAAGCTAAGGTGGATTCTGCGTGGATTCTGCGTGGATTCTGCATTAATTCTGCAATCCCTGAGCATCTTCATGTCCGAGTGGATCAATCCTCTTCCACTCTTGGCGACTGCCCACGCGTCCGGTGGAGGCCTCTTCGAGAGACTTTCGAGCCCTGGTTGGATCTTGGATCAATGCCAAGGTCGGCTATTCTGACTTCGTATAGCCTCAAAAATCCAGCCCCTTTTTCACACGAACGCATCCACTCGTATCTCGTATACATTCGGGCGGTCTGATGGTAGTCCGCCTCTTTGTTCATTGACATGTTAGCTGTCGATGGCTTCATTTAATATCTTCTCGGGAGCCCCTTGCTTGATTCTAAGGCTCATTGCACACCCACCCAGGGCGTGCCCGATGGTGACTGTGTCTTCCCACTCAGTCATCACTTCCGCTGAGCTTGGCAGAATGCCACGGAGCCAGCATATCCTGGCTATCTATACTTGGCGAACTTCGACCGGCATCAAGGCTTGGTATGTACTGGCTGTTTCTAAGCCTTTATGCTACTGCACCGGTCTTTCGGCGCTTCAGCAACGCTAGCCTGGTCATGGGTCATTGTAAAGACACCCCCACGGTATCGCACTCGCGGCCTGCAGGGGGTTGAGGGTTGGTGACCTCGTCTCCAGCCTATAGCGTAAGTATACCCTGCACGCGCTCCACGGAATACTTCTGACTTGGGTTCCCGACACAAAATATGTTACGTGCTACCTCACATCCGTCTGCTAACTAGTCTCATTGGTACCTTTGTTCGGATGAGATTTGGTTGCCGACCGGGAGATTCGGAGCTACGGCGTCAACAGGTGGCTGACTCCATATCGGAGAATGAACTGATGGCGCATTCAGCAAAGAGACATCGGCATTTTCAAGCGACGTGTCTGTCTGAATAGCCCCAGTGGACCAGGGGAATAATCTCGCAAAGTAAAGAAACAATCACATGGGGTATCGAATCACTCCGGTTTGGGCGTCTCACTTCCGTCGTTCTTCCCTCGCTGCAAGATTTCCACGGCCATCACATAAGCATCGTTCTTTGCTTTGCATTGCGACGTCCCCCTGACCGCTTCCTTGTCCCATCCATGCGCACAGCCCTCCATTCGGCAAGATTTCACATATTTGCCGGCAGACTCGAGTTTGGTCGCGAGTTTCTCCCCCTCGATGGCAAAGGCGCACTGAGCAGCGGTGATGATCAAGATATTTCCGGGGAAATTGAGGGGGTCGGCGAATAACGGTGACATTCGAGGATCTTCTGGGTTGACCACGCCGGGATTGAAGCACTTGTGGCAAAGGCGTGAGAATCCCGGGAAGATCTTTCTCATGATCCAGTTCGATGGGTCGGCGATCGTTTTATCGGGGGTCTCTAGGGCCAGGTCAGTGGGCCCATAAAAGGACAAGACCGCACGGAAGACGTCTGGCCTGTCATTCTGGTTTTCCAGGGAGAATAGTCCAGATGATGAGGAGACTGCCAGCGCAATGTTTGCGCCAGAACTAAAGCCTGAGAGCGAAATACAGTCAATGTCGAACCGTTCTGGTTGCGACCGCACCCATTTCACGGCGTCCTCGGCGTCCTGGAAGGCTGCGGGGAAGGTATGTTCTGGGGCGAGGCGATATTGCACATCGATGACCGTGTAGTCGGTATGATCGACAATGTAGCGACAAAATTCATCGTCATTTCCGAACGTAGGAAGCACGAATCCGCTGCCACAAAAGTTCAACAAGACCGGGCTGGGCTTCTGCTTTTCCGTGGCAGGTTTGTAAATGTGGGCTTTGATGGATTGACCAGTCTCTCGGAGAGGTATCGACACCACTTCATCCGGCTTAGGATGCAGGTGAAGTCGAGGCCGGACAAGGCAGCGAAGGAACGCTGCGATCACTTTGTGTTGGACATATTGCAGCCGCATGACCGGGATGATCTGTGCAACGGCGAGCGAAGTCGCATGGGATCAGACAGCTCGGAGGTATCGGCGATAGCTGAGTAGTTCCAAGGTTTGTACGGTAGGTTCGAAACGCAGTTCGAGGGAGTGGCATCATGCCTGAGGATATAGGGTCCAATGACACAACATTCCTGCTGATCAGGTTTTGCGCTGACGATCATTCCGCCGCACGGCTACGTCATTGATGGCCATGTGAGGTGGGTGGCGCGATAATGAACAGTTGGGAGATTGCTGAGATGGGGGGGGGGGCGGGTTTATCTAGACATTCTGAAAAGTTCCCGTTGAGCCTCTTCGATCGATTTGATAGCAGGTATGCAAATAAACTTGGACAGTCAGGAATTAATCTAGTTTCAAAAGGTTGGTGGAGTGGCGGATCCACCGATGGCACCTGTCAAAGTCTGCCTTGGAATATGTCGTTGGAGAGTCTCGCCTCACATATATTAGTTCTTCAAAATTGGGTCCCTACTGGGGGTCTAAGGACATAAATGGGTGACATCGCAACCCTGAAGCTCGAATCCTGGTTTCTTCGAAGAACTCTTGGCAACTAGCCGACTGTAGTAAGGCGAGAGTAGCGCTGGTATGAGGCTGCACTAAGACCGTAGCGCATCTCTGTAAGAGAAAGTATACATATTTTAACTTTGAGAAATTTCCTTACTGAATCAATACGAAGGGACACACTCCGCAGTGTCCAAGGTTCCAGAGTTGAAGGAAATGAGGGGCATCGCAGGGCTGAGTTCCGTGTGGGGGCAGTCACCTTTTGTCATTGGCCGTCGGACCCCGGCATCGCATCGGGACCTGACGATTCACCGGTGCCTGATGACTGCGTTCATTGACTAGTTTTCAGCTCACTCATCTCATCTCATCTCATCTCATCTCATCTTCTCTGAATATCGGGGCGTCTGGGAACAAACCAAGACACCCCTCTGAGGCGCCAGCCATGTCGTTCTGGTTTCCCACGGATTTCGGAGACGCCTGGCAGAGAGGGCACGTCAACTTCAGAGCCGTATCCTTTTGTTCTCTCATCTTTGCGACCATCTCTTATGCTGTAGCGACTCAAGAAAATTTTGCGCTTGTGGTATTACCTCCCGATTTTTAAGCTTTTCCGATCCTTCCGGGCGGCTCACAATCTTCCAGTTCCTGATCCCAGCGCTATGGTCCCTGACAGACGGCGGTCTACGCTTCGCGGGTAAACAGCCCTGGCTGGCGATTACTATGCTCCTTGACTGCTGCTCAACATTATTTGTTGGGTCTTACGTCCCTGTCATGGTGTCGAACTGGATGTGGAGCGACAGTACTGCCCCTCTCTTGGTTGTGCTATTTCTCCTGCCGCCTTTGTATGTGCGCCCGGTCATTGTTATCTCGTTTCCAGTGCTAATACATCGAAGATATTGCCACGGTGCCATTTTTATCCGAACAAGTTTGCAATTCTTGGAAATGTCACGGGAACAGAGCAGGGGAGCTGTGAGTCTTGATTAACCACAGCTTTGACTTGATTGTGGGATATATGTTGCAACGGAACTTGCTTTCGCTTTCAAATTCTCTTTGATACCCAATTTTTGCCATCGCTTGCTCTGAATCACACCAGAAAAATATTTCTTTCTTGAAAGCAAATGAAGCACCGAAGGTTAGGTAGCATCTATGACAACCCAAGTTTGGGCAGCGAAACATTGTCAGCATCTCACCGGCGCATTCAAGAAATTTATTCTGATCATGGCATGGTGACTGCGTCAAAAGGCCTAGGCGACCAGCCTACCCTTGGTCACGTTGCAGGAGCCATGGGCTGACTTGCACGTTCGTTTCATCAATTTCTTGCCTGGCCGCGTACTTCCTTACGACCGTCTCGAAATTAGATCATTTTGCCCTTGACAGATCATCATTTTATCTAGGAATTATTTTTGAGCCAAGCTCATTCAGGGCTAGAAGACGCGAATGACCATCACCATTAATAATCTTCCCCCCCCCCTGCCCTTAGGTTGCCTCTTCGGGCCGTGACCCAACGTCGATCTCAAAGAGGCTCCCAGACCCCAAATCTAGGAACTCGGCAAGATATGATCTGTCAACTTTCTTTCTTAGCATCAAGCTAACGTTTCAAGCTAAAAACTACTTCCCCCAAACCTTGGAGCCTCGAGATCCACCTCCCAGCGGCCCGGGTCAGCATGAAAATAATGCCAGTTGCACAGCAGGGATTCGAGAGATTGGGTCAGCCACAAAGAAGAGGCGATCTGGTCTGCGCGGGAAAATAAGCCGACGTGCAATCGACGCGCCATCGCGATCGCACTGCGCCACAACCCTTGATTCACGCAATAGCAGAGCAGCCTCTCAATGCGTCTCAGCCCTGTCTGAATTGTGCGGGATATTGCGATTCATAATGTTCTATGTTGGGAAGGGGATGCCATCTCGTATTGCAAATGCTTTGTTCATTCCAGGGCCTTGCATGGCGACTGGGCCGGGGGTCGCCGGATTTAGGAGCGTTCGTTTCCAGCTTGGGATTTAGTCTATTTCATTTTGTTTTTCATATTTCAGTTCACTTTTGCATGAATGCGTTATTTTATCATTTGGTTATCGTAGATTCGGAATTCCCTGCTTCTCATACTTCAGGTCAGTCTCGGGGTAGATACTCGTTCCGGTAGTGATGGAATTCTGAAACTGCATGAGCCCTATTCTGGTTGATGCGATTGTGCGCAGCTATCGGGGAAGCATTATTTCTCCCGGATCGCGGTCTCGGTCTTGGTATCGTGGCGCGATGAACGCATGTTGTATGGGCAACGGGGTGCAGCGGCTCTTCGGTAGCAGTGCCGGGATGCTGTTGAAGCGCGTTTCAGACTGCGTCCCAATTTACCATTGGGGCAAACCGTTTAAGGGATGTGGATGATCATTACCTGAGATTGACGTGACGGCCCTGTGAACTTCTGGCGAGCTACCCCTGCGCACGATCATTTGAGATCGTTGCTCTTGGTGTGACAGGTGGATTGCGCTAAATTTTATTGAACGAGTTAATTATTACTCCGTGGAACAATAATCAGGGAGAGCTATCGTCTCCCATCTGCAAGGTGTGCCCTCTGGTCCAAATCCAGTGTCCAAAAATAGGGAAGCCAGGGTGTGAGAGAAAGAGACGTCACCTGGAATACCCCTCGCGAGCATCACCTCATCTAGAAAGAAAAAGACAAAAAAAGAAACCCCCCCCCCCCCCCAAAAAAAGGCCATCATCAGCTGAACGGATCAGCTTGCGGCCCCGTGTAAACCACTCCCCACTAGCGTCTCCAGAAGGATCGACGGTCGGCGCAGGCAGTGCCGAATAACGAATGACGAGCGGAGATAAGGTTGCTGGGATTCCACAGCTCGGGCCAGGCGTGTGCCTTGCATATCCTCGCGGTGGACCCGCAACGTCGTCAAACATTGCTCGCTAAGGAAGGCTGGAATGAGGTCTTCCCCCCCCCTGGGCACGCGTGGGAAAAGCAACCTTATTATCTGAAACGCCGGACCCATATGGCTTCTGTAGCTTTGTAGCTCCGCAGGCTCTCTAGCGCTGGTTTCTTGAACCGTTCTTGACCCAACGCGAGATTAGTCTTGCATACCTGGCTTAGCTCCGGCAAGTGGGGCCTTCCCAGTGGTTTGCGGATCGGTCGAGGCGCGGTCCGTATAGCCCAAGAATGAGATGTATTCTGAAATGGGTTTGTTGGGAAGTAGGATATCTTTTTCCGGTCGAATATTCGTGTTCAACATGACCCAACTGAGCCCCATGAGAGATGGATCAAAAGGAAATGTCTCGTAAACAATGCACCGGAAGTGCTTTAAGGTCAGTGTGGTAGCACGGCACATGAGATCTAGATGCCACCATAGCGGCGCGCTGGGGAAACTAAACTTGGGCTAGTGTCTACCACCTCCCGGGAGCTTATATTTGGACTCGTCATATGTATGGTTATTATGAAAGTACGAAGCACCCCAGCAACGAGATAGGAGGATATCCACGTGACCCCCTTTCTTCGGAGTTTGGGCCCTTGAACGACTCTGAAACAAAGGCGTTCGCGTGGACGATCTTCTGTTTCCTAATCCATCGAGGTCATAGCATTCCGGGCACCTGGACCTTAGGGCTATGCAGGATGATTCGTAAGGCTTGAGACGTGGCTGGTATGGGCTGGCAATGACATCTGCCTCTGTAGACGATAGGTGAATCCGATATCTTCACCGTCTGGCATTGAGTATCCTGAGATATGAAAGTGGAAGGGAAAAAAGAGAAAGCATGGGCTATCTTTCCGCGTGGCCGGGAGAATGCATAGGCTTCTTGCGTCTGCTTTGCCTGTACTTGAGTGGTGCGGGATCTCCATGTGATCTCCCACGTTGGTCCCACGACATTGTTTCAGCCCTTGGAAAGGGTTTCACGCCCACGCGAGATTCCGCTTGCAAAAGCGCACTTGCCGCCAAGCGTGAGATGGGGGTCCACAGTCTAGAACGCTCACTTTCCCAGATGACGTTCCCCTTCCATCCCTGCCCTTGTGCGATTTCTCACTGTAGATCCAACGTCCAACCCGCCTGAACCTGCATAGATGCATCCCCCTTGGCTCATTCCACGGTCTTTTTGCCGCATCTGGTTATTTCCCGCGCTGAAACATGTGGCTCGCCATGTGCCCTTGAGCCCTTGCACACAATTAATTCCAAAAAAAAAGGCCGGAGTCCATTTTCTGGCTCGGTCCTCTTCGGGGATCGTGATCCACTCGCGGTCCTTGACGCATCTGTACCTGCCTCCAGCCCCAGTCCCTTTGCAGAAAGCCAATAGTATCCCTCGGGTCGCCTGTTTTACATGGATTGGCGGGTATGTGTCTGTTTTTAAAACGGTTCGTTGGGGGTTAGCGGCCGAACCGAATTCCAGGCGCGGGAACTGGTTCATGCGGACTATGGCTTACCCTCGAGTCTGACGGCGGAATGGTGTCACCGGGTCTAGTGGAGTCGCTGCGAACTGAAGATCTTTTCCTCCATTCCTTTCTTCGCTTAGCTCCTAATCTTTCCATGTGGGCCACGATGCAAGCTCCTGTCGAGCTCGCGTGTGTCAGAGCATGCCTTGTTTCTTCCCCAGCAAATCCAAACATTCTTCTTGTATATATAGCTCGAAAGTCCCTGCTGTTTCATCTCGCATCAACATTCATTGTTTCATCCTCTCAAGCAACGTCGTCTCACATCATTAGCTTTTGTCTAGCCTCTGAAAGATTCGTTTGCAAGCCATTGCTTCTACCATTCGACCCCCAACATCAACATCTCAAGTCGCCAACACTTGACCAAGTCTACTCTGCAATCTCCTACAATGTCTATTCCAGAGCCATCATCTGCAAGGTACGCTAGCATTCCTTTTGAAGGTAATCGAGAACGTGCTAACATGATGTACCTAGCCAACAAAACGGTTCTACGCACAATGCTCTCAGTCAAATTAATGTCGCCCAAGTACCACGTACAATCGGCAGCAGTGTTGACCAATTCGCTCGGGCTCCCGCAGCAGATATTCCTTACTTCGCCGGTGCACGAATCGCGGAGAGGTCAACACACCTGCGAGGCCTCTCAAATCAGCTCAGCGCAATGGATCAAATCATGAACAAAAGGAATTGAAGGCAATTAACTGAGTCCGAAATTGTATAAAGAGAGCGATTATCATCTATGTACTAAATCTATCCTGTATCAAATATCAACCACCAACCACCTATGTGGACCTTCATCAAGGATGTCTTCACAGTAGTTTCGAGATGTATGACGCAACTTCCTCATACTTGGTGCTGGGGAATTCGTGGCCTGCTTCGTAAAACTTGAATGTCGCGTTCCCGCCAAGGACGGCAGTGGCGTCAGAGACAAGTTCGTCCTTGATGATGATCACGTCGGTATTGCCACATAGGATATGAACTTTATCGCTCGGAAGACCCGGCGCACCCTGATTGCCTGACGCGACACTGTTCTGGGCGCTCAAATACTCTCCCAGCCGCGCCCAAGTGCTCCACTGGCGCTGGCCTAAGATTGGACCGTGACGCATGCTCGACATGAACGCGTGTACGAAGCCCGAGTGGTGATTCACCTGCCATGCCACGGCAGATGGAATATTAATGTGCGGATATTCCCGTGAAAGAATCTGGATCTCGGCTGCGCTCTGCGAGGGAAGCTCCTCCGTGAGCGCGTCTGCGGCGTTGAATTTATGATTCTTGGGCTTAGGAGACACCAAAGGACCAGCTCGTAGGCGACGACCGACGAGATAACCCAGAAGGTTCTCCGGCATCAAGCCTCGTGAATAGAGAAGGCGACTCTGGAAACTGATCCGCGAGTCGCGAACCAGACCGGCAGGTGCAAGAAGCACTAAAGATGACAGCAGATGCGGGAAGAACGACGCGAAAGCAGCCGCAATACCACCACCGAGGGAGTAACCGACGAGACAGAACTTGCCCGATTCAGCCCCGGTCCAGGCAATGGGTGACGAAGTCAGAGCCAGCATGATCTGCGTCGCGAACAGCCGCTCATCCTGGGGAAGATCAGCCGGGCAGTCAGAGTATCCTCGTCCAAAGCTGGTTCATATATCATCAGCAAGTGTTCAACAGTATAATTAAACAGACGTGAGCAGAACATACAGATCAAAGAGCATCACTCGGCAACCCCGGTCCACTAGCGCATGGGCCACCCCACCGAGCGCGATACAGGGCGTAGTGATGCCATGCACCAGCAAAACCTTTGGACCATCCTCACGACCCCATTCATACACCCGGATTGAACCATACGGACTGGCGACATCGCGCGCACCAGGAAGCACGTCGTTGGGGAGGGGCAGTTTGCGGTTCTCCTCTTCCGAGAGGCCAGCCAAGAGTCGAGTGCGGGGTGAAGGGAGGATGGTCGCAGTGAGCTCGCCGCGACTGAGCAGCGATCGAAGCAGGAGACCAAGCGTAAAGGAGGCTCCAGTGACTGCCAACAGGGGCAGTTGCGTGCGCTGGTTGGCCCAGGAGTCCGTGAGGAAATCCACGGTTTGATGGTATAGGGCCATGGTTGCTCCCGTATGCCCGCTCAAAAGGAGTCAAGCGGTGATTAAGGATTAGATATATTAGAGATGGATGGAAGGAACAGAGGATGAATATCCTGTCGCCTAAGTTGTGAGTTGGAAGAAGAAAAGAGACCGAGGCCCAGCTGATAAGCTGATAAGCCCGCGTCGGAGGAGATCGTCGCCAGGTACCATTTTTGATTACAGCCCCTGATCAACGTCTTACAGGCAAAAGATGAAGGAATACAGTCTAACTGATATGGCAACGAGTTAGGGTTGAAGGAAGAAAAGCATTCGATGAACTGAACCAGGAATCAAATAGGCAGTCAACATACAGTTCTCGGGGTCGGATTAAACGCCGGGGTATACGAGGCCGGTGGGCCCTGGAACGTCCATTGGAGCCGGTTTGAAATAGTTTGGTTCACTGTCCCTTATTCGATGACGATTAATGAGATCTAATTAATTGTGATATTTTGAGATCCGTGAATTACTTTTGTGTGGTTCACCAATGACGTGTGCGTTGAAAGCCTGACATCACCAACCGCTGGAAAGAGCTTTTGACCTTCTTGACTGCACCCACGCAGATAATATGGCCATCGTGGAAAAGGCCAAAACCTCTTGTGCTGCCCTGTTTCACAGAAAGAAGGGCGAGAAATCTACGCAGCCCGCACCAAGTGCCCAAACTCGCGCTAACGCTTCTCCAATGAATTCGCCACACCCGCAAAAGCAAGATGATGATAGCGACAGAGACCCATACAGCGCTCTTAGCGAAGTATCAGATCGGGAGCCCATCGAGAGAATCTCTAGTGAGGGATTGCCGCGGCGTTCATCACTTGAAGAACGGATGACGAAAATTGCACATTTAACTCCCACGGACGATGGAGACATGTTTGAGGCTCTGAGTGAGGTGTCATCACCAGAGCCCTGCGAAAGGTTGTGCAGGTGACGAGCGAGCACCCTCACCAAGATTGTCATATTTGTTGTCTTCACAGGGCTTTGAACTCATTTCATAATCAATTTCCCAAGTATCCACGATCTGTCATTTTTCAAATTTATTCCGATTTCAGACCTTTCACCATTAGTTCGGGTCATGTTCGTTGCATAGAGCACTGCGAGAGGTCAACTCGTGTAATAGTAGCTTCGCCAAAAACTTGGACGATTCCTCAAAGCTAAGAGTCGATAAAGGACAACGGGATCTACGACCACATGATAGTCGACCTTGGTCTGCAATATGAGGAACATGTGTCAGCACGAATCTCTGAAAGGCAGAATGCGCCAGCCTACCCGCTGACCGAAGACACCGATGTGACTTCATTAAGCGACACAATGCCCACCAAGAGAGCATGTCGAGTACTTCGAGCGCACCTTGCTGACCTTGCTGTACGACATCATATCTGCGTATGGTCTGAAAGATCAGTGTCGCGCCACGAAGACTAGGAAGCCCAACTATCGGGAGCAAACTATTCAACACCGTCCAGCCCAAATGAAGAATGAGGCATGCTGATGTAGCGGGCTGTCTTAATATGGGGTTCTAAACAGAGGCTACCAGGTATGTTTTTCTGATTCGAAGCTGTCAGAGCATTGGGCATTGAGCCTGAGCAACGAACTAACTAGGGGGGAGGGGGGCATGCATGTCAATGCTCACAAAAAGCCTGTGCCGCTTTATATCAGGCTAATTACCGGGTCTTGTGGCTGTCTTGGCACCGTCAGTACAAGGGTTCTAACGTTGTCAGATCTGCGCTGCAAGTATGCATACTTCTATCATTGTGTGCATGTCGAGATTACTTTCGATGCCCTGATCGTAAAGTTTGGAAGCCTGAAGAGGTCTCAATGCAAACTCGTCATCCTGAAAATCTCGGCTTAGAACATAAACCTGGATTCTGCGCAGGCTCATTGAGAAAGACGGGCTCATCCCCGTGTCTCGGCATCGTGTGAAACCGTTCCGGTTAATCCGCGGATTAATTTAACGCAGTCACCTCTTGCAAGGGGCAAAGATTGACGACATGCTTCAACGGAATTCCTGTTGAGCCCTGAGGAGTTGCCCAATTTCCATGATTCCTCCGTAATGTGATTGAGCCCCAAGACTTCCTGAAATGGTCATCCTGAGTACCTTCTTCATCCCTAGACGCTTCACCTTTAACGTCCACGTATCAGAACTTAGGCCCAGAATACCTTGAGTGGGTTTCAAGAGGTATCTCATGGTGTCTGGGCTCATCATGACGGCCACGTGCGAAAACAGCGGAGTGCTATTCATCTTCTCGACCCAATTCATCCTTATGACTCAAATAAAATATCCTAGGAATCGTGATGAACATCAATCATTGAGAATCTAGCTCTGTCAACAAGTCTCAACCCCATTTCTGTCAAAGCGAAACTGTTCCGGTGCCTTGAGTCGCCCATTTTGAGTTGAACGTTTCGAATGAAGAAAACATCAAGACTAGCTTGTCTCTCATTGAAGGATATTTTGACCATCCAGTCCGTGAGGGTTGTCAAATCTTACTCAACAGGGGGTTAGTCGCCGATCTGAAACGTCTAACGCCACAAAGCCTTGCAGAACAACCCCCGCCCGCAGGAATCCAGCACCACCCTTAGCGTATTTCTTCGCTGAAAAAATGTAGGTTTCCGCAAAGATCTTACCCACCATCAAAGCCACGTCGCTCATCGAGCACATAGTGCCAGCTTGGCAACGCCCCCGCCATAGTCTGGCGACCTTCGATTACAGCCTCACATAACCAATGAAAGCCAACGGTCCTTTCTACGAGCTAACTTGTCATGAAGCGATCAATACGGAGACGACTCTGAAATAAATGTGGTCAGTTTTCATCTGGAATAGATTCAAAGTCGCGCTTTTGTTCACGAAAATGGGCCAGAAGAGCTTCCGATCCTTGGAACATTGAACATATTCGATGAGACCTAGCTGCTTGATCCCTTGACAGAATGAGGAACTTCTCAATTAACACCTGCTATACTGGCGACGATCTTTGCCGCCCGGATCCAGCACTGGCTCCACACCCAAATCAATGCTCAACACCGGCTATCACCCGATCTGGAAGTCCCCGTTGCTGAGATGAAGGGTCTTCCCTGGCTATTCATGCCAAATTGGTAACGGTCTCATGGTCCGACACGCTGTAATGTGGAGAGACAACTTGTTTGAATCCTTTGCAATACCAGAGGGCGTTCGATATAAAAGAGCGACCCGGACGGCCTCAACTTTCCTTTGCTCAGTATCTGCAGGCCAGAAGACCAACAACATTGCCTACTATTCCATCACTCGTTCTTTGAAGCATGTATCAACGTGCTCTTCTTTTCTCCGCCTTGATGGCGGCTGCGAATGCCCAGCAGGTTGGCACGCAGAAAACCGAGACTCACCCCCCTCTTACTTGGCAAAAGTGCACTTCCAGTAGCTGTACTGAACAATCTGGTGAGGTGACTATTGATCACAACTGGCGTTGGGTTCACAGCGTCGATGGCTACACCAACTGCTACACTGGCAATACGGTAAGTTGATTCTGTCCAATTGAAGACGACAGCACCACTCATACAATTGACAATCGCAGTGGGATGCGACGCTCTGTCCTGACGATGCGACTTGTGCCACCAACTGTGCTGTAGATGGCGCAGACTACGAAGGCACCTACGGCGTGACCACCGACTCCGATGCCCTCAAGCTGACCTTCGTCACTGGATCCAACGTCGGTTCTCGTCTGTACCTGATGGAGGATGAGAACACCTATCAGATGTTCAAGCTCCTCAACCAGGAATTCACCTTCGACGTAGATGTCTCCAATCTCGGGTGTGGCCTGAACGGTGCTCTGTACTTCGTCTCCATGGATGCTGACGGCGGTCTCTCCGAGTACGAGAACAACAAGGCTGGCGCCAAGTACGGTACTGGGTACTGTGATTCGCAGTGTCCTCGTGATCTGAAGTTCATCAATGGACAGGTGAGCTCAGTGTGCACATGAATCTGAAATGCGTGAACTGACAGTGAGAAAGGGTAACGTCGATGGCTGGGTGCCTTCAGAAACCGACAGCAACTCAGGCGTGGGCAACCACGGCTCCTGCTGCGCCGAGCTGGATGTCTGGGAGGCCAACAGCATTTCTACCGCGCTGACTCCTCACCCCTGCGATCAAGCCACTCAAACGATGTGCGAGGGCGATGCCTGCGGCGGCACCCTACTCGGCTGAGCGTTATGCCGGCACTTGCGACCCCGATGGCTGCGACTTCAACCCCTTCCGCATGGGTAATGAGAGCTTCTTCGGCCCAGGCAAGACCGTCGACACCAACTCCAAGATGACCGTTGTCACTCAGTTCATCACCAATGACGGCACCGACACTGGCACTCTCAGCGAGATCAAGCGTCTGTACGTTCAGAACGGAAAGGTCATCGCGAACTCCGCCTCGGATGTTAGTGGTGTAACTGGAAACTCCATCACTCCCGATTTCTGCACTGCCCAGAAGAAGGCTTTCGGCGATGATGACTTCTTCGCTAATCACGGCGGTTTCTCCGGTATGAGCACCGCCATGGAAAAGGGCATGGTCCTGGTCATGAGCTTGTGGGACGACCACTACTCCAACATGTTGTGGCTCGATGGCGACTACCCGACCGATGCCACTGCTTCGGACCCCGGGGTTGGTCGTGGTACCTGCGCTAAACCTTCTGGGGAGCCGAAGACCATCGAGTCGAGCGATGCCTCTTCCACTGTGATCTTCTCCAACATCAAGGTTGGCCCGATTGGATCGACCTACTCTTCATAGGAGGTCAATTTCGGTGATAATTTCGGAATCGCTGTAATCCATTCGATTATTGAAGGACCAAGCCAGCGACGTGAACAATTTGCAGTCAATGCTTCAAGAGATCAAGACGTGAAGACCGCAGAGTAACATTTGCTCTTTGTGTTTATTCGATAAGACCTTCGTTTTGCTCCAAGTGCCAGATTATCAATTCAATTTTATTTCTTCATGCTATGTTCATATTTTCATACCTCGATTAAGCGTAAAAAAAAGTAATTAAGGTCGGAGGCTCAATTGACATCATCGAACCAAAGGCGGAAGATTCTCGGGCCGCCCAAAAAAACGGCTCCCACCTGTAAAGCTCCGGACTTTGTTTGAGCGCTGCAATTGACCCTCAATTCCCTCGATCTCTATTGTAGAGCGGTCTTTAGACCACTCGTACTCAGCAATCATGTTTGACACGGTCTGCACCATCCCGCTGTCCTCGGACCTGTTCAGCCAGGCCCTCCACCCTAATGAACCCGTGGTGTCGGTCGGCCTCGCAACAGGCCATGTCCAAACCTTCCGACTCCCCGTGGAAGAGAGTGACAATGGTGACGATGCTGCGTCGAACTCTTCGCGTACTGGAAAGGGCCACATTGACACTATGTGGAGGACGCGGCGGCACAAGGGTAGCTGTCGTACTCTTGGCTTTGGCATTGACGGCGAGACACTGTACTCTGCGGGCACGGACGGCCTTGTGAAGATTGCGAATTCGGAGTCTGGTGTGGTGTCGAATAAGATTGTGATTCCGTTTGAGAAGGACGGGTATGAGCTATGTGACCCGCGTTTTACGACAATTGGCTGATTCCTTTTGCTGCAGATCTATTGATGCGCCGACTGTGATTCATGCGCTTTCTCCTCAGACTCTTCTCCTGCTACGGACTCAAGTGCGCTGCATTTGTACGATCTACGAATTCCTTATTCTAAGGTGTCGGCGCGCCCTGAGCAGTCGCACCATCCCCACGATGACTACGTCTCCTCTTTGACACCTCTGCCCGCCTCGGATACTAGTACTTCTGGTTTCAGCAAACAATGGGTTACCACGGGTGGTACAACTCTGGCCGTGACAGATCTGCGACGGGGTGTTATGGTGCGCAGCGAAGATCAGGCGGAAGAGTTGATCAGCTCGGCTTACATTGGAGGTCTTCCAAGCAGCGGTACCAGCCGTGGCGAGAAGGTAATCGTGGGCGGTGCCAGTGGTGTCCTGACACTGTGGGAAAAGGGCGCGTGGGATGATCAGGACGAGCGCATCTACGTCGCCCGCGATGCGGACGGCGGCGAATCTATCGAGACCATGGCGGTTGTGCCGGATGAGCTAGGCTATGGCAAGATGCTTGCGACCGGTCTCGGCAACGGTATGGTCAAATTGGTGCGCATTGGAGCCAACAAGGTTGCCTCAGAGGTGATGCACGACGAAACCGAGGGCGTCGTAGGCTTGGGCTTCGATGTTGAGGGCCGGATGGTCACTGGCGGTGGGCAAATCGTCAAGGTTTGGCATGAGGCTGCAGGCGCGGGCGCTGGAAGTGGCATGGGTGGAAAACATATGCTTGGAGACAGCGATGACAGTGATGATGACTCGGATAGCGAACAAGAGAAGGAGAAGCCGAAGAAAGAGGACAGGAACGAGCGCAAGAAGCGGAAGAAGGCTAGTCGCAAGGACGGTGGACAGCATGTCATGGCCTTCGCCGACATGGACTGAGCCATATGTGCAGGATTTTATCGATACCCACGACTGCAAACCATCCACATCAATATCAACAGAAACATTAGATTTCCACGACGTTTCCTTTCAGTGATCCCACGTAATGTTGAAATCACATCCGAGGCCAGGCAAATCTATATCCGCGGATGCTTATTCATGCTGAACTAAGACGCTGATCCCGGAGGTTTTCCGCGCTCACCCTTGAAGTCTGCCACGATATGCTCGATCTCATTGGCACTGGATGTGGGCAGTGGCGGATATCGTCTCTGAACAAATAGACCCACGCCTGGTCTGACATTATAGTCTATGATTATGGTCGACAATTGAAAATATCGGAACCAAGCTCACTCGAACTGCCGACCCCACAGCCCCACGGCTGCCCATGACGTTCGGATCAACTGTGGGGGATACTTAATGACCTTGGGTCCCCGTAAGCATTGACAACTTAGAGAGAAAATGGACGCCTTCGAGTACAACCCCAATCCCGGCCGTGTCGTCTTCGGCAGCGGCACCCTGCAGCGGCTCCCCGATGAGATTACCCGTTTGCAAGTCAAAGCTCCTTTGGTATTGTCAACTCCGCAGCAGGTTGGCCAGGCTGAGAGCGTGAAGGATGTGCTGAAGGGACAGATCGCTGGCATCTTTAGCGAAGCTACCATGCACACCCCTACTCACATCACAGACAAGGCTCTCGAGTATGCGAAGGCACAGGGTGCCGACTCGGTCATCTCTATCGGCGGTGGAAGCACCATCGGTCTGGGCAAGGCTATTAGCATTCGCACGGGACTGCCTCATATCTGCATTCCGACCACCTATGCTGGCAGTGAAATGACCCCCATCTTGGGTGAGACGGCGGATGGCTTAAAGAAGACGCGCTCTGACCCAAAAATCCTACCCGGGACGGTGATCTACGATGTGGACCTGACAATGACTCTGCCTGCGGCTATGAGTGCTACGAGTGGTGTCAATGCCATTGCTCATGCTGGTATGTTTGTCGAGAACCATCTCTGAGGTAACAAACAGCTAATGCGCAGTTTCACAGTGGAGGCTTTGTACGCCCGTAACACCAATCCCATCATCAACATGATGGCTATCGAGGGCACTCGAGCTCTCGCCTCTGCTCTTCCTGAGATTGTTGAGAACCCTTCCTCGCAATCAGCCCGATCTCGTGCGCTCTACGGCGCCTGGCTCTGCGGAACCTGCCTGGGTAGTGTAGGCATGTCTATTCACCACAAGTTGTGCCACACTCTTGGTGGCAGCTTCAATCTGCCTCACGCAGAGACTCACACTGCCGTACTCCCCCATGCCATTTCATATAATGCTCCAAGTATTCCTGAGGCTATGAAGCAGCTCGCGGATGTGCTTCCAGAGAGCAACGGTGATGCTATTCACGGCCTGAACGTTCTGCTGACCAAGCTGAAGGTCAAACGTGACCTCAAGGCGTTTGGCATGAAAGAAGAAGACGTGGACAAGGCCGCAGATATTGCTGTTTCCAATGCATACTGGAACCCGCGTGCTATTGAGCGCACGCCGATTCGCGAACTGATCCGCCGTGTTTGGGCGGGTGAGCCTGCACGCGCCGATCTGTAGATATACACGATGCAGCGCAGAGCAAATACAATAAATTGATCCAAATTCAGAGCAATATGATTTTTTTTTTCTCTCAGAATAAAAAGCCTATATCAAAGAAGTGGTGGCATTTTGGGCAGCTGTCAATGGGCTGATCCGCAATTTTTGATATCGCGGCGGGGGAAGTGGGGGATTGCCATTTTTTCTCCAAATTTTTTTCTTAGAGCATCCCACTTCCAATTATTTCGCACACCCCTCCACAACATCAAAATGGCTTCAGAAATGGAGGCAGCCCCCGTGCTGTCGACGCCTGATGCTCGCATTCTTGAAGAAACTACGCCTGTGGCCACCTCCGATGCGACACAACCGCTCCCCGACGAGGAACTCTCCATCACCTATGATATTGAGCGCACCCTGAAAGAGATCCGCCAGGCGCGGTACAAGCGCATCGCCCTCCAGTTTCCCGATGACATGCTTCCCGATGCTCCTCGAGTCTTCCAATTACTGAGCCGTGGGCTTCAATCGGACGAATACACCGCGGCAAGTGGTACATCTCCAACGCAGCCAGATGGTGGCGGGGCTGATGCGGAAGGCAACCTTGCCCGGGATGTGTCTCAATTATCAGTGGAAGAGACGGAGCAGTGGTCTCCGAAGTTGTATATCCTGGCGGACACCTCGTATGGCCTTTGCTGTGTCGACGAAGTAGCCGCAGAGCATGTGGATGCAGATGTCGTGGTCCATTACGGAAGATCGTGTCTTTCTCCGACGGCGCGATTGCCCGTCATCTACGTTTTTACCAACAAGCCCCTGCCTGTTAATCCTCTCATCCAGGCTTTCAAGGCGACCTACCCGGACCCGACCACCAAAGTTATCATCGCGGCCGACGTCACCTACTCCGAGCATGTTCAGACGGTATACAGACGTTTGGTGGAGGACGGATACACCGAGTTATTTGCCACGGAAATCGTGCATGAGCCTTCATCGGCCATTCCGAACCGCACAGTGCCAGAGTCCGTTAGTGAATTGCCTGGGACATTGTCGGAATGGCAGCTGTTCCATATCTCCGATCCCCCAACCGCCCTGCTCTTGACCCTTGCTTCGCGAGTTGCCGCCATTCACATTTACCCCACGAATCGCCCAAGCAACGACAATGTCAAGCCTCTGCCGGCCTCCACTGCGGCTGCATTACGCCGGCGCTATGCTATTCTCACATCCCTGACTACGGTGCCCATCTGGGGCATTCTGATTAACACCCTTAGTGTGAAGAACTATCTGCACATCGTGAACCACGTGAAGGAACAGATCGCTGCGGCAGGCAAGAAAAGTTACATGTTCGTGGTGGGTAAGCTCAACGCAGCCAAAGTCGCCAACTTCAGTGAAATTGGTGGCTGGGTTGTCATTGGTTGCTGGGAGAGCTCGCTGGTGGATAGCAGGGACTTCTGGAAGCCTGTCATCACCCCGTTCGAACTGGAGATGGCTCTGAAGGGCGATGCCGAGCGGGTGTGGACTGGCTCATGGCAGAGTGACTTCCAGGCCGTCCTTGACAAGCCTGCCGAGGAAGCGACAGCTCAAGACGGCGCCAATGCAGACGGAGACGAGGGAGAGGATGATTTATCGGAACCCGAGAGTGCACCGCCCGAATTTGACCTGCGTACTGGTCGTTACGTCTCTCATTCCCGGCCGATGCGTGATCCCGCACCCCGCGCTTCTGCTCAGATCGACGGATCGAATGGCCCATCCGCCGCTAGGGCTCTGGCAAGACGGGCGAAGGGTGAGTTGGCGATGATCGGCGGCACGGTGTCCCCAGGGGCAGAGTACCTGCGGTCCCAGCGGACATGGAAGGGGTTGGGCAGCGATTTCGATATCCGATATGATGAGGAGGACCCGGACAGCACTCTGGTCAAGGAAGGGCGCAAGGGCATTGCGAGGGGGTACACGGTTGGCGAGGGTAACAAACACTAGAGTACAATGGATGTATATAGCGCGAAACACTTATTGCAGGAGGAACAGATAGTAAGGACCGGGGTATTCCTATCACATGATGATGCTCTGACGGGCGCGACCGGCACTCAAATTGTTTCGACTTTGTTTTTTTTTTTAGGACGGGACCTTCTTTGCTTTTCCCATCGCGTACTCCAAGGACGCTCAGGAGGCTCATCCCCACTCTCGAACCCCTCTTCCCTAGAGATTGTCCTTGTTCTCCCTCCTTCGGATACCCGATCCGCCCTTACGATCCACACCCACACCTTATCGTTCATCCTGAGGGCACTTCACGACCGTTGGCCTTGCATGGTGGCTTGGAAATGTGATTGTCTCCTCTTCTTATCATGTGCCGCACCTTATTACTGCCTGCCCGCGACTTCGCGTCCTCTTTTGACCTAAACGAGAAGAGACGAGGGAGAGTAGAGAGATCCAGAACGGTACCTTAGCTTTCCCGGGTGCGGAAGCAAAGTCCACCACAACACAATGGCCACAGATCTCGATATCGCTGCACAGGCCCCTCAGCAGCTCGTGGAGAATGCCCTGCAACAATTCGTCGTCCCTGCGGAACGCCCGCTATCGCTCTTCGAGCGCGTGATCACCACCAATGCGCCCATCTTGGAGTCACTACTTCTCCAGATTCCGACCGACACTATAATCAAGCTATACCATACGTCCCATTACCTCCGCACGTTCCTACGCTCATATCCGACCGCATGGAAGACACTCTCCTTCCGCCTGCTTTTCCCATCGGGCACACTACCAACAACGCGAATCATCACTCCGGGCACGTCCGACCTGGAAACACATCGCCAGTCAAGACCATATGCCTTGGATCAACTGTTGATGAACGTGGTGATCCCGTTCAGTGGATGCTTGAAGAGTCTGGAGCTCGATAACACCGCTGTCTCGGGACAGATTCTCATTTCAACTGTGTTGCATGCGCGTCGGGAAACGTTGGAGCACCTGTCTGTCCGCGGTTGTAAGAATGTCTCTCTCAAGTACCACATCATCCCGTATCTGACTATGTTCGGGTTGCAATATGATGTGGACATGGAGACGAATATAGGAAGCTCGCCCGCAACTAAACGACTCGCTCTGAAGAGTCTATATGCTTACCGGTGTCGACATCACCGTCGACGGCCTTATCTTTCTGCTTCGCTTTTGCGCAAGGACTCTGATTCTGAACCCACGCATGAGCTGGTCAATCTTTGCCACAAATTAGGTATCTGGACTGACACTGCGTGGTGCACTACGCCTGCCGGTAGATGCTATCGAAGGCGCGGGTATGTCTCTATGAGAGTTCCCCAAGGCTCACCTGAAGTTTGGGTTGTATTCGATCGACTCTGGAGATGCAAGAACTGGATCGGCGCAGTCGATGAAAAAGCCGAGCGGCCGATCGTGCGCGATGGGAAGCTCTGGGAAAATTGCGACACTGGGAGCTATGGCGAAGCAATAGGCACAGGTGAGGGACCTGACCTAGGCGAGGGAAGATGACCCCTGCGCATCTTCGTCGGAGCCATACACAATTCATCCAGAATATAAAATGCGATAACTGCTTTGACGAAATATCAGAGCGGTGTGAACAGTGTAGCATTCTGATGCACTGTGTGGGATGCCGACGAACTCTTTGTGCTAGCTGTGCCTACGAGCGACCATACCTTCATCGTGGAAATTCTGCTGTATCGACAAGTGCTGAAACGCCACCCGCGCATGACCCTTTATGGTGGGCACCGGGAGCAACTATGTCTCCTAGTTCTATGCAGGATCCAATCGCAAATCCTTTGGACAACGCCCCGCTCCAAGGAGCAGCACCCACGTCACATCCAGCCCTTAATTTCCACTGGTGCTGCACGGAGCCGATCTTCTCTGGGGGAGGTGGTATCAGCATCGGCACGCCCAGTCGAGATGTTGATCAAGTACGCGCCGTACCTTTGCCCCGAGGCCAAGGATGGGAGGACCTCGAGTACACTGTCAGCGAGTGGAGTAAATCCTTCCCAAAATACGCCTATGGCGATCCCAGCCAGCCTGACTACTCCCTGGAGACCGGACATCTCGCGATGATGAAGTGGTTACTAGGACCGCCCAATCGGCAGGTCTCACCCTGCCCACGCAATCTTTGCCAGGAGTGCTACGACTCGCCCCAGTGGAAGGTTCACTGCAAAAGCTGTTCTAAACCTCTCTGCATCGAACACGACCTCCGCGGTCTCCGCTTACGCATCTGTGGCTATCGTGACCTTGCATTCGAGAAGATGACCATCCAAACCCGAGCGGTCAACATTTCATCATCTGATGCCGCCATCACTCAGCTTCCCGGCTATGAGCTCCCGTTCCGAACCCAGCGCCAGGATTCGGCCAACAGCAGCTTCATCGACGATCCACCGGGTGATACTGTGGCAGAGGACAATTTTTCCGAGCCACTGAACGGCGACCATTCGACGCAGTCATTGTTCCCTCGCGATACCACTCGGTCCCTCTCTACACCACCTTCCAATCACTCGGGATCGTCATCGCCATCATCAGCCTCGTTTGAATCAACTTTTGAAGTGCCACGTTGGCAGGGATGCCAATCCTTCTATTGCCCTCAATATCGTGCCGTCGGTGATCAGCGGCAACGGTGCCCAAGCCACCTCCGGGAATGCAAGGCCTGTGCTGTCTATGTCTGCTCCGAATGTGTGGCGGCGAATCCGCCCTGCAAGTGCTCGTACTGTGAGGAGAATTACTTGTGCCCCAACTGCATGAAGGCCCGTGCTCGTGACGGAACTTGTCGCCGTCGCGAAGAAGAGAAGGCCCGGAGAGAGCGAAAGTGGAAGAAGGACATGCAGGTGCTAGAAGGCATCCTCGAGCTCAAGGTAGCCAATGAAATGGCCGAGTTCGCAGGTCAATTCTTTGAGTTTGTCGAGCAGGGCTCCTCTCCAACTCCGGCTCCTGTCGTCAGCACCAGCGCCCTCATCGACCTCATCAATATCCATGAGGACAACGAGGCGGGCATTCCCGACAGCCCACGGCCGAACGACCTGATGAATTTCCAGTCTCCATTATTCCTCGGAGCTAATCATGTCGGTCCAGTTTACGACTCGGAGTAGACTCCGGTCTCTTACCCGGTCCACCGCAACCACCATCTTGAATTTCCATACCTCGGTTCTTTTAGCGATCATCACATACCACATACCACGGCGCCCGGAATCTCTTGAGTCCTTTTTTTATTTACCCGGTTCTTTTTGTCCGACGCAATATATGCATTAGGGGCAGCCCAAAACCAATACCAATACCAGTATCATTACCGATACCTGGAGGCGTTTCAGCACGGCGCATCTACGGATTCTTTCTTCTCACCCCCTTCATCTCCCTTCTTCCAATCCGGCCTGCGCCTGCAGACCAGGCATGTCCGTCTTTGGGCGCCTTCGGTCCGTTTCTCTCGGGGTTACATTCCATTTTTTTTTTGTAAACCCGCCTGACGACGTGGCTGGCCAATATGCAGGCACCGACCAGTGCTATGACTCTTTCTTTCCTCTCCAACGTGAACCGATTGTCCTGGCTTGGTACTAGACCGCCGGTGTCTGATTGGCATCTATCATGACATCCATCTTCTTCCCAGAAACCAAATATATAGCCCCATTTCCTAACCTTCAAATGCTTCCATTGTTGTAGATCTTTTTTGAGTATCTTGAGTCCATCCTTGAGGAAACCCTGAGAGTCGTTCCTAGATCAGATATTTCAATCCTTTGCATATGCACCGTAGCGCCTAGTCACCTTTGCTGATATCCTTGCTGAGGCTGATCCATATTCAGGCCCGCTATTGCAGACGAAACCACACCTGCACGGTACTTTCGTCTACCTTGCACCTCAAAACCGACATTTAGACAAACAGACAAAAGTCCAAAGATATTCGGCCATACCCGCGTACAGACACGGTCTTGTGATAGCACGGAGCCGATTTCCTGTTTTGATCCCCCCTCCATAGGACCGAGCGGCTGATGCAGAGATTAGCCTTCGTCTCGCTTGGGTTGTTCCGTGGGATTGTCGGAGTGGATGAATACTGGGGGTGGACGATCCGGCGGTCAATGGTTGACGATGGAGCACTAGGGCAGAGTGGAGATCCGGGTGGAAGGGAATCCGGTGACCTTTGCAATAAGTACGGGGTTAGACTGTTTTTGGGGGCGATGTGGGCTGATGTGGGCTGATGTATGAGTCCAAAGTACGAGGTTTGGGGTACCTTTGCGTCAATGATGCATTAATCGAAGGTGTCTGTGTGTTGCCCGGGGATTCGAGTAGTTACGTTCCTATTCGTGGTGGGTGACTTCATGAAAGTTGGATTTGGGGGGGAAGGGGGGGGGGAAGATGATACTGATTCGGTTAAAGGTCAACATCGGGGAATCGGAGAAATTCCTCTATACTTTCCAGATATTTAGGCTCTATAATAGAGCCCGGGTGTTTTAGATATTACCCTGGCGTCATTTATCAGAATAAGAAAAGGGTTGGAAGGTGGATCTGTGAAATTGTAAATATGTAAATTAGTGTAGAGGGTAGTCATGTCTATAGTCAACAGAGCTAGCATCTCTGTACCTTGATTTACGCCGAACTATGGCCTGACTCATCGATGTAGACCGGGCGTCACATTCAGCAGGCATCAAATTTGCCCCCTCCACCGGGTCCAAGCGAAGATCAAACTGATAAGCGATGAACACGATTTCAAGGAACGTTGACGAATGCGAATACCGCGCTGAACGCGGCGAACATGATGGTCAAGTGGCCGAGGCTGTGCATCGGATCATCTGGAACGATGCGGTCAAGAGTCAACGGCCATGCGGTTGACCTCCACGTGGGAACCTGCGACCTTCCGCCCTCTTTGTCGGTCAACCCATGCAATGACGACCCATTACGTGCCCTAAGCCCCGATCGCTGATCGCTCAGATCGAAACCCAACCCGCTTCCCCGGGACATGGCCCCCCCCCCGATTTAGGCGTCAGCCGAAGGACTATCAGATCGGATGGCGCGGATGAACCAAGAAACTCCTCCCCGATTTGGTACAGATCCGTCAGGGCGGTGCCCCTGGCGGCGTTTCCCATTGGACTTTCATCAGCTCGGACCGGCGGCCGGGTAGATATGGTCGGATATCTTACCAGATGGGTCTGTGATGTTTAGTGTATCTAGGAGGGGGGGCTCGAGCTAAGCCGGGTGTGGAGTCGGAATGTAGGTGCCAGTTCCCAGCTTTGAACCCTGTCAGGTGGAGGACCAATGGGAGAAACAGGATATTTTCCAATGTCTGTATAGGTCGGGACAATCCCGGCCTTCCAGAGAAGGCTAGACGGACCGCATCCCGCGACGCAGTTAGGGCGAATCTAGGGAGAGTCGGTGAACGCGTTGTGCGGATGTGGCTCGTGATCGGAGCAAACATTGCTAGATGGGATTTTTTGTTTTTCTTTTTTTTTTTCATTTTTTCTTGTTTCTATTTTATTTTATTTCTTTTAGGTGTCTCGTTTCTTGATTTGCGTTAATTCGATTTAATACATTTTTGGTAGTACTCTCCTTTGGGAATCTCCATGCTTCCAAAGATTCATATAAAGGGGCCTTGAACGCCCGTCAATAAGCCACACAAGCACCACTACTCCATCTTGCAATCTTGTACTCGATCTCCAAACTTGGTCCATTTCGAAGCCTGACTGAACATTTACTACACCATAACCACGCAACCAGACTACTATCACGATGGATCAAATTAAGCCCAAGCAGGCTGAGCCTCCGAAGCCTGTCCCCAAGCCGCTCAGCATCGTGGAGAGCTACCAGCGTCAATGGGACCAGCTCATGGAAGATACCAATAGGCAAATCGACAAGATCCGCCGTAAGTGATGACCCGGACCTCTCTGAGATGCAAGGAAGTTGTTGACAGGCTGCAGAGGAAGAACAAGCCCGAAACTCTAAACATTCCACTCGAGGATAACGGGGATGCGAAACACTTGACCGTTCAAGTTCATTAGCACTCTCGGAGTTGGTCTTTCTTCTTGTCTATTCTTTACTTTTGATTTTCGCCTGGTCGACTTTCGACTTTCAGTTCATATGCATTCTCTGGAGCGGTGGAATGGGAGGAATCGAGCAAATAGGGACACATACACACACATCCGCTACGGAGTTTGAGTGGTGGATTTACAGGGGTCCAGTGGCATTGCGCGACCAGCGATGGTCTTTCTTTTTCTTTTTTTTTTGGCTATACTTTTGTCATTTAGTCATCTTCCGGCAACAATGGTGTCATCCTTTTCTAGAATCTAACTCTTTTCCGTGCGGCTTGCATATCCGAGACTATCCCTGGACGATCTTCTCCAGCTAGATTTTTTTTCGAATAGGAGCCTTGTGTTTGCTTCTTTACATTCCAGTAGCTGTGCATGGCTTAGTTGGGCCAAGACATGTAGCTGAGGGTAGTTTGTGTGTTTGCCATGGACAGCTGTGTTCAGGGCTTGTCGCATGTCGTTTGCTGAGGCGCAGCTGTGCCCAACGGTTTTCAGCTGCTTGCAAAATGCACAATGCACAATGCACAATGCACAATGCCATAGTTGCCGAGCGGTGTGTCGCATGCCTTTTACAAACTTGTATGCGCGTCTGGTCGCGTTCGCCCTGCAGACCAGTTTGACAGCATTCCTTACCATTGATCAGTCAAGCCATTTCGGGTGGCGCCGGTCTGACTCTTTTACCACCCCCCTTTTTCAGTGCTTGGACTCTGGATAGCTCACACCGAAGATCTGTCATAGCGGATTCCGGGTCGACTTCCGGCCCACGCAAGGGAGGAATAACGCGTATAGCGCGGATATGGAGACCTGTCTCTTTCCCGGTTCGACAGCAGGTTCCCCTGGGACAAAAAAAAACAAGAACAAGGACCCACTGTGCAACGTCAAGTATGCAGTGAGCATCTGAAAGGAAAAGAATTATTACAGCCGGTCGATCAGTGTTCGAATGCGACAGCTATAAGGAAAACAGTCCGAGGCCGGCCAATCAGGGCAGGTCCAGCCGCATTTCCACCCCCACCACTTTCTCTCCCGCTTCGACCTCAATAACCCGTCTATCAACCATGTCTGCACCCGAGCCCGAGAATCTGTCGCCGGCCGAACTGGCCGAGCGTGAGCTCCAGGAGAAGAGCGAAAGGCTCGTGAAGAGGCGGAGCAAGCTCAGCTACCCTACAAATGGACCCAAACTATCCGTGACGTGGACGTCTCCGCGCCCATTCCGGCCAACATTAAGGGCCGCGATATGCAAGTGACTTTGACCAAGACCAAGCTCAAGATCGCCATCAAGGGTCAAGAGCCCATCATTGAGGTGCGTGCCAATTCTCCTGCAGGCGGAGACCGCTAACTCCCCTTCTGCGCAGGGCGACTTCCCTCACCCGATTGTCGTGGACGAATCGTCATGGACCCTCGAAACCACTCCCAGGCCGCCGGGTAAAGAAGTCAATCTGCACCTTGATAAGGCCAACAAGATGGAGTGGTGGCCGCATGTCGTCACGACCGCCCCGAAGATCGACGTCACCAAGATTCAGCCCGAGAATTCGAGCCTGAGTGACCTGGACGGCGAGACCCGTGCCATGGTTGAGAAGATGATGTACGATCAGCGCCAGAAGGAAACGGGCGGTATGACTAGCGACGAGCAGAAGAAGATGGAGCTTTTGGAGAAGTTCAAGGCGGAGCACCCAGGTATGTGTCATTGGGCTTGCAGTGGCTTGCAAGTCGCTGGCAAATTTGCGGATTTCTGTTCCGTGTCTGGAATGTGTGGCTGACTGAGGACGACAGAGATGGATTTCTCCAACGCGCAGGTCGGCTAAATCTACACCTGCATGGCGGTGTCGTGATGGATTCTTTTGGAGAGTGGATGAAAGTATGAATTATGTTGCATCGAGGGCTAAATCCCGCACGAATGATGAATTGCATATGGGTGATCTTCAACCGAGATCCGACCAGCACACAATCGTTTTGTTTTTTTTTCCCCACACTGATTAAACATCACTTCCCGTCCTTGTAGATCGACCTAAAGCAAAATACTCCACACGGTCAGAATAACTTGCAATTCTTCCCCCCCCATTGGGACGAATACGAGATCTTGCCTGATCAGGACTAGCGTCACGTATCTTTTTGAGGCCAAGTCGATCGTGGATGCAGCCATCGCCAAACATCTCCCATGTACGCCCAATGGAACGCCTGAATGGTTCGAGTATCGAGTATACGAAGTTCAATGTTAATTCGGCAATTCGATTCCGCTTCTGCGCCCCCCCTTCTGCGCCCTTTCCATGCAGCCCATGACAAAAGTCAAGACCGTAGATCCCGGGGTTTTCATATACATCATCCATGAAGCCTGCGGACAAACTATACTGCATCCCGGGGGGGAAATCGCGACTAAATTGACCTCGGGCAGAATACCGATTCCTCAAATACCTCGAGTCTCCACCTGTAACATGTGGATCCTGAGAACTCAACAAATCTGCGATTGTCAGAAGAATCTCCTCACCGGCCCATCTGGATTCATGCAAGGACAGGGTATTATTCCCGCATCGCCAAGACAAATCACAAATGCCGACGCAAGGTGCGGAAGAACCACTCGATCGGGTCCTTCGTGCCAAGGAAGCTCATCCGAGATCTTGGTCGCGATGCGCCATCTGCAAGTAGGACTGAGTTTTAAGGTCGCTCCGATCTATCTCAGAATGTGACCTGTATACTCATCGATCGAGTGCGATGAAGCAAAGCCACAATTGTCTCCGCTGTGGGGAACTGCCGGTGTCCCGTGTTTCTTCCCGGATCCGAAGGATCTCGTCAGCGCCACTAAACTTGCTGCCAGGTTTGTTGGAGTCGAGTCGGGATTTGAGTCTCGATTGATTCCTGTTTTGAGTCCCGATCGATGCTGTTGGTGGCAAAATAGTTGAAGATGAGTTGCTACGTCCAACGAGTGAGGCGATGACCTTCTGATCATCTGGCGAATTGAATCCCCGACAGAGGGTCATTTGTGTCTTCGAGGCGTTGCATCAGTTTCATCGTTCTCATTCTGGCTAGAACATTGGTTTGTGACAAACTAATGTGTGTGTCATGATATGGATTGTGACCCAGCTTGCCGTTAAGGCAAGAAGTGTATCGTTCATGGATGATAGCTGGATATTCTACACTCCCCGGACTGAGACACCATTGCCCAAGCATACCATCCTCCGCGGAGCAATGTCCCAGAATCACCACATCCTCCCAAACGACAGCGACTACTGCCTCGCTGAAGCCAATCCTTGCCAAGAACCAGTCGAGTGATATTCAGACGAGGTATTGAGCAAGGATAGAGGACTATGATGACTCAATATAACTCAAGTTGATTAATTTCCCAGCACAACGATGTAAGTATTCGGAGAGAGACGTGCCAGGCCAGACTACGGAGAAGTATGGGATTGATATGATTCTGTGCTGAGCTGGATTATGCTCTAGTCAGATCAGTACTAAACACGTAGTGAAATGGGGACGGCTCAATGGCTGTCTGGCGATGCAGACTGGACAACACACACACACACACACACTGCCTGTCTGGTGTAGAGGACGCTGGATGAGGCCGTACTGATGCCCTGATGCGGCAGTACGGAATAACCTTAATAACCTTAATACTGCATCATGAATAGAAGGAATGGGGTGAATCTGAATGAATTGGGTAGATGACTTGTCTATCTCCAACTCTGTCTTGAAGATGCACTATGCACTGCAGACATTGGATCATGCCTGAGGCCACACATGTGCTATTATGTCACCGGTTCTCCCACTAAAGTAAATACATTCCCTCTCAATCGCTCTTATTTTTAGGTACCTCTACTGACGTCGTGCTCGAACTTGCAGATCATCTCTCAATAATAAAAGGCAATAGGAATGGTCGAGATCCCTCCACACCCCGCAAAGCTAGTTCCGTGGGGGTAGTGGACTTTGTTTTGGTTCGATGACTGTCACTTTTCGTGTTTGTCGTCGTGTTTTAGTCACAAAGTCTCCGGAACCCAGCGTTGTCCGTGGATAGCCGACCCGGGATTCTAATCCCCCGGTCTGGCCTCACCGAGCACAATCCGAGTATAGCACTCCGGATTTACCGAGGTTTGACTTGGGTTACTTGCAAACACTAAGCGAAATTTTTTTTTTTTTGAAAAGCGGCAGTAGACGAGGTCATCAAGAGCCTCGCGGCGATTTCCATGCAAGTGAATCTACTTACAACGACTGGCCTTGTCCAGTCATGCTATTTTATATTCTATAGTAGCCACCAAGAGGCCATATGCTAGTCGAAATATCAAAATCATTTATAGAATAGTCGTTGAAACGAGAAGCTTTCTCGTCGTTATTTTGGCCAAAGTTAGGTGGCGTTGTTGGCACAGGTCCAGGTGGCGCTGGACGAACTGTCGTGGATCGACTTGCCCGACACATACAGACCCAGTCCGCACTGCACATTTTCGTTAGCATATAGTTTTGACCATGCGAGGTTGAATCAAACATACAATAGCACAGGCGATTCCCAGAATCACCAGGTTGACGATCGTGAGGACTATTTTCTTCCACGACTCGGTCCACCGTCCCTTGTTCATAACCAGCCACATGATGGCTGGGAGGCCGTAGCTGAACCAACTTCCAAAGAGGGAGCTCTGTAAAACCGCGTTAGCAGTGTTTGGCACTGGCCTTGGAGAAACGCAGAAACATACAATCAAACTCAGCAAGTCGTTGAACACGGGAATCGACTCGGCAATCACCCAGGCAATCACCCAGATACCCAAGCTGATGGCCACCCAAGTGCCTGTGGCCAACAAGGTTCGCTGATGCATGTGGTGGGAACGCTCGCCACGGAAGATTCGAACGTAGATGTACTTGGATGCGACGTGGCCGAAAACGACACCGGCAACAATGACCTCGTAGGGTATTAGAATTGGATTTTAAGCATTGACTGTAAAGAAGTGGACATACCGTGGGAATGGCCAGACCGTAGGCAACCTTCTTCATCAAAGGTCCAGCAGATGACAGAGCAGGTGAAGCCACATCGGGGCCGGCATAGCAGTAAATGACCATCGCTGTCACGATGTACAGGGTCGTGTCAACAAACTGCAGCATGGCCAGGGACTTGGGAAATTGCTTCGTGTCCTCCATCTCCGACATGAAACCGAAGAAAGCCACATGAGCGATGAAAGCAAAAACGATGTTGGTGACAGCGAGGAAAGCATCGACAAAGCTCGGCGAAGTCGTAATGTCGTTCTCAACGTAATCGGGAGCCTGAACCCCAATGGAGATCATGGTGGTGATGGTGGCAATCAAGATACTGCAGGCGGAGACGGTGGACATGATAAACAGCTTGCTCGATGTCCGGGGGAGGGCGCAAACGCAGCTGACAATCAAGCCAACGACACCGAAGACGATGGTGCATGTGCCGTGGTCTGTGATGGTGTTGAACAATACGCTGAATGTGAGAATATGACTGGCCATCAAGAAAATGATGAATAGCAGCTGGCCGAAGAAGAACAGCTCTCTACCGAATGGGCCCATGAGCAGCTCTCCGGCGTCACCCATACTATGCACCTGGGGGTATTTTTGCTTGAATTGACCCATGATATATCCAGTATACCATGAGATAGCTGACAGTCCGAGGATGAGGATAAGGGATCTGGTTCATGATCAGCCCTTGTTATCTTGACGCGGATACAAAGCAGTCCTTACGGGACGATTCCAAGAGTCGCCACGGCTGATGGAAGAGATAGAATGCCCAGCGAGATATTTTCAGCCACCATGACTAGATGGAAGATTTAGTTAGACATTCAGTGTTTGACTGACGTCCATGGAAGTCCTTACGCATTCCAGCTTGCCTGCAAATTCGTCAACACCGCGTAAGAAGAGGAAGTATACAAGTTCTCGAGGACTCATTTACTGGGTTCAGAACGAGAATACTTACCACCACTTCATCACACGATACTTCACTTCTCCAGTTTCTTCATTTCCAAAGGGGTCGTCCTCATGCAACCTTTTCTGATCGTATTTTTCCGCGTCGATCTGATCGTCGTAAACATCGGGTTCCTGCACGATCGCGGGACAATCTGGGGCGCTCATGGTGATCTAGTATGGGAAGGAGAAGAGAGGCACAAGCGTCCGGGGTGAGAGACAAGGAAGAAAAAGGTCCAGGAGCTCGTGAGACGTAAAGTGCCCGGAGATGAAGGCATATTGACCCATTTTTTCCAGTCTTGGCGCGTGGCGATGAACATACCCTAGGGTAAACTGGATCAATCCCCACAATAATCTCTGATAACGTTAATTCCACTCTACACCGGGCAATACAAGATGGGAATAGCGGATACTTCGAAGCGAACCAAAAAAAGAGACTAGTGAGTTCTCGAAGTCGTGCCGAAATAGGCGTGTATATACCTGAGCCTCGCAGAGTAACCATTCTCATATAAGCGAAAATAACATTTCTTCATGTCTGTAAGGTTTTCACTACGAACACCGCCTTCTACATGTGAACTGGGTTTGTTGCGCCCGGTTCGAGGCAGCCAACCCCACGCGCGGTCTACCTCCCGGCCCGGCGCCACCCCAACCGGGCCGGCAACTTACCCCCCGGGGCCCCGAGTCGCGGGTAGATTCGAGAAAATTGAGACAATTCAATCAATCATCGCTCTATCTGGGGAGTTATTACCTCTAGGTGTGGGCCGGGAGTCGGGCAATCTTGAAATGCTATCGAGTCAACATGGGATCCATCGAGCAGATGATTGTACTGGGTGACAGAAACCAATTTTATACCTCTCCTGGCCTTCTCCTTCATCTTGGCCAGCATTGTATGTAACTCCTCTGAAGTTTCCGTTACGTTATATTTTGAATTGTTGTTCTTGACAGGCCGGGGCCCCGGAATCAGCAGGGAATTACGGTGATCACCAGTGGTTTATATTTGTCAAACATCCGGTGGACGGGTTTGATAAGGCTGCGTGTACCTCTGACGGACATCTTTAGGGAGCGACTGGTCAGCCTTACCCCTCAGTGCGAGCTAAAGGCCGACTAGATGCTTAAAAAGTAGGCTGTTTTACCCCAGCCGTGACACGAAGGCGTGGAAAGCGGGAGTATGTAAATGATGATTATAAACTGAGAACGGAACGTTCTCCCATCTTTACCTGGGGGAACTGTGGGTATTGTGTAAAATGGATTGAAAACCTCATTAAAAATCTTGGTGACATCAATTGTTTCAGTCCCAAGGTGTTGAACGACAGCCTTGCTGCGGAAAGTGGTCCCGAGCCACTCGGGTGAAAGAGGCTCTTGGTCCACTTGGTCCACTTGCTGGAATCCTCTTCAACCCAACGGCAGATCTGTTTATCGCGCTAAGATGACTCGTACGGCCATTTCACCGGGATAGATCGGTCTGATCTAATCTGATCTTACGATTAGGCACGACTCGTTCCGATCTCGGTCATCACGATTATTGAATCGATTGCAGGTTGTGCCCTTATAATCTTAGCCGTTGTCAGCACTTGAGAATTATATAGCTCGGCTCTATTCCCGATGCAGTCTCTGAGCTTAAGGACTGATGACCGGACTGGAGAGCGCGGATTCAACGTGATAAGCAGACACCAATTAGGATAACAAGAGCCCGCATCTTACATAGATCGATCCTAGGCCTCCTATCCATTTGCATTTATCTCGCTGTGAAATGGTTTGTCAGATACCGATACCAAGGGAGTAGCAAGTGAGGGAGCAACATCTAAGAACCAGATGATGGGCCCGAGTAATTTGAAATCAACACTGACAGCAGCTAAAGGTGGCCGCTTATTGATACCAGTGACATCTACATGCGACAGACCCCGAGTACAGAAGGATGTCAAGGTTACACTTCTTCATACGTAAGAAGATGCAATGCTTGGTGGCTTTGCATAGATCTCCACATCTGTCAGAGTCCGAGATTTTCAAAAACGACTTATACACAGTCACTTCCGGTCATCTCCAAGACTAGAGTCTAGTCTCCTTGATTAAGGGATGGAAAGCCATGTTGAAGACAGTGGATATGTGGTTGAGTCTTCACTTTCAAGTGATACGGTTCGGAGGCACTGGAGAGGTGAATTTTCGTTTCTGGCATTCGGTGCATCGGTATCATGATTCGTATATACCTGCGCCCCAAAACCCAGGAAAAATCCGCTTCGCCCTTTACGCCATATATGTCCCTTAGAAAACAACGTCGGTCCTAAGTCTCGAAATCGCGAAAGTGCGCCTGAGCGATGACAGGGAGGAGGAGGCGAGAACCTGGCACGATGATGATTTTAGGCGATGTCTTGGTGCTTTAGAGAACTAAGTGGAAATACACTAAGATCTAGCATGAAATAGAGATCTTGGGACGCTGAATTGTTCTAATATCTCGACAATGCTGGTATAAACATTCCACGCTATACCTAATCCCAATACTTAATAAGTCCGTCCAACGCACCAGTGACCACTTTGCTAGTTTCCTGGGGATGCCAATCCAGGCAGGTAACGGCGCCACCATCTTTGCCGGCCGCGGGAAGCTTATGGTACATTTTACCCGTCTTCCAATCCCAGAAGCAAGCGTAACCACCGCTGTCACCAGACGCGATGAATTGACCGTCGGGTGAGATCTTAATGTCAATACCGTATCCGGCAACGTTGTGTCCCCGGAAGCTTTTCTTACGATTCTGGCGGAACTTGTCGGTAGCTCCGTAGACGACAATCTGATTGTCGCCGGACTGGAACGCTACGTATTTGCCGTTGGGATGAGGCGTGGCGCGGGTAAGGGCAAACATGTAGGGCTCAGCAATAAACTTGATCGGTACCGGAATGCCGTACTCCCACGCACGTAGGGACTTGTCGTCGGAGGTTGTGATGAAGCGGCGATTGTCGTCGACGAAGGTAATGGTGTTGACGGCTGCCAAGTGGTGGTCGTATTCTTGGACGACTTCGCTGGTTCGTGTATCGAACTGGACGATCTTCTTGTCGGACATGCCAGCAAGGAACTCGTGAGAGTGCTCAGGACTGGGATTGAACCGCACGACATGGGGGGTCTTGCCGGTCGAGAACCGTCCCAAGCATTTACCGTACTCGGTGTCCCAAAGCTTGATCTGGCGATCGAACGAGCCGGTAAGGAAAGTCTTCCCCGAAGGATCGAAGTCTGTGTCTGTGATAGCCTTGGAGTGGCCGGAGAAAGTCCGCAACAGCTCGCGGGAATGATATGCGTCCCAGATCTTGGCCTTGCCATCGGCAGCTGATGAGAGCAGCAAGTGACCGGATCCAGGGAAGAAACGAAGAGAGGTGATGGCCTTGGTGTGAGACTTCCACGTATGAATGAGTTTCTTTGGCACGTAATTCTTGACACTGCCAGGTTCCTTATGCAGGTCGATGTCCAAGTCCTGCGGCACATGCATGTATGTCCGGCCCATGTAGTCGAATTGCTCGGAGCCGTGGAACTCAGTCGTCTCATTCTTGGAGGTATCGCCCTGGTATTCGGTAGCCTCTTTGCTCATGGCTGGCATGGGCGCGGCTGGGGCCAGGGTTTCGTCTTCCTCAACCCACTCCTCATCACTCGCCAGCTGGCGATCCTCATCATCGCCGACCTCGATTTCATCATACTGTTGTGTGTTCGTGTATTTCGCCCAAGGTCCAAGGTACGCGCCATCTCCTTCGACAATGCTTGAGTCACCCTTCTTCTGTCTCTTCTGTCGCCACGCTGCAGACGCCTCCTTGGAAGGTTTCATTTGCACAACATCACGGCCACCGAATTGCGCGGCCTTCTCAATATCTCCGACGAACTCATCTGGCTTGGTCGGGTTGCGTGTGTAGCCCAAGCTTTGGAACGTGCGGTGCTGCGCAGCAAACGTCGACTCGCTAATGGCAGCCTCCTCGGCGAAACCAGTCGGAACGTTCTTCCTTTTGACTCCATTTCCTGGACCGGCGGGCTTGAAAGGATTCACAGGCCCTTGAGACGGGCGCATCAAATCATCGTAGGTGGCGTTGTAGGTCAGGGCCTGGGAGGAGGTATTGGTGAGGGTCATCTGCATATGCGCGTGGTCCTGTAAAATTGTTAGTCTTATCTGAGCATCTCGGAGATGTCGCAATCGCCTCTTGGAGCTTCAAAGTGTGCGATCGAGAGTAGGGGACCAAACCTCTGTATTGACTTCTGGGGCCGCAACTACTGTGGTTGCGGTAGCGATCTGGTGCTTGGGCACCCCGGCGTCATCATCGCTGGAGTCATAGCTAACGCCTAGTAAAGACGCCATGATGAATGTAAGAGAGATCAGGAAGCAATGCCCACCACAACTGAGTTAGTCGAGTGGAGACCGCAGATGCAAAGGCGGATCAATTTTACGGGCGGCGACAAAGTCCCAAAGCGAAGGAACCAAACGCCGCGGAACAGCTTCAGGATTGGGTCATCGTTGACGACAGTACACAATGTTACATTTCGGCCAACGTATTTCACAGTTGGAGAGTCTACGCTGGCGGGAAATATTTGGGTATCGTACGCTCGTTGTTGCCAAACCGCAAAGAGGTATGTACAGCTCGCAGGCCGAAAGACATGGAAAGATCAACACAAGAAGGACAAAATATAAGGCAAAAGTAGACCGTGGTAGAACCTTGAAAGACTCCCGATCGGTGCCAGAACCATACACAGCAACGCACATAATCTCTATTACTCTCCAACCCCGAGCCACCCATCTATCTCAAGACTGAACGAGGAGAATTCACGCACATCATTCATTAGTCCTCCAAGACAGCTCGAACGACATCATACCACGTTATATGACACGGCGGCTGCCTGGGTAGGTCGTCGTAGCCACAGGCACGGCCCATGAGACAAGAAATCCAGCACCGGAGAGTGTCCTGCCGAAAACAATCTCTTGAGCTAATTGGGAGGGCCATGGCGCATCGCATATTCGGTCTTGTTGCGAAGTCAATGGCCTTCATCGCGGATCAGAGCGACGATCATGCTGTAAAGGTAGAAGAAGAACATCAGGAGGTGGAAGCCCAGCTTGATGAAGGATTCCTATCGCACGAGTCATGTCAGTTCCAGACGAACAAAGGTGGCAAATATTGCGGGCAACAGATAGCTCATACCTTCTTGTGCACGTTCAACTTGCGGAAAATCTCAGTCGCATCCAGCAAGTGCTGGTTTTCGTAGATCCTGTGATCCTTTGATTAGCCTCGTCCTGCACGAGTTGCGGGAGCTCTTGCAGAGCTTTACCAACAGCACGTACTTCTTGGCGTTGAAAGCCAAAAGAGGTAGGTTGAGAACAATAGCGACCCAGTAGCCATTGATGACGAACAGGAAGGTCAGGAAAGCGTGGACGGCGGCTTCGGGGATGATGTAGGCGTTGAGGCGGTTGCAAAGGTCGATGGGGTTGATGTAGTCACTGTAAAAGGACAGACGCAGGTCAGCAAAGTCCCAGCGAGAACCGAGGAAGCTTTCTGTGAGCGCTGAAAGCGCAAAGGCAGAGCTACTCACCATTCCAAGTCGCTGTACATGATGGTGAAGAACACCTGAAGGAAGAGGTTGACGGCGTTGATCAACACCGCCAACAGGTAGAGCCACGCTTCTCCGGACATGATGGGCACGTTCGAGTCCGCGAATATTCTGGGAGGACTATGATTGAATGGTGAGCGAGGTCGCAACAAGAGGGGGTGTAGGTCGGCGATGTCGGGGAGTGCGGATCGCAGAGTTTGGAATTGGAGATGGGTACTTGTAAGGGGATTAAAGGAAGACGGAGGGAAACACGAGAAGCAAAGGCGAACGGAGTGACGGGAGCTCACTCACAAATCAGGAACAAGGTAATCGGTGGAGAAGAAGATGAGAAATGAGGAGGCGGAGCTGCGAAAGTGCGATGAAAGGTGCGGGCGGTGGGACTTGCTAGTCACGGCCTAGCGCCCCAGCTCACCGAGGGGCTGGTGATAGTATTTTGGCAATAATTTCCTATGAGTGTTATGAAAAGAGCTTATAATTATTAGCTAGGACTCAGAGATCTGTCAACTAATACAAAAGGCCAAGTCGACTAGACCGGGCGCCTGGAGTCTCGATGCGCCCCGAAGGATGACGTCGCTGACATGTTCGGCTTTCCGCTTGGGCTCTCGATGTTTTCTTACTCGATCGACTATTTCAGATCAATAGTTCGAGATTACGTAGAATAATGCCGGAAGAATCAAGGCAGAGTTAGTGATGACTTCTTAATCAAGTACAGGTATCACGCTGTAATCCAAAGCATACATAGCATAGTCTACCTACCAGATATGTACAAGCGGTTCCTGCACTATGAGTACAGGACAGTCTCTCCAATGCTCTAAGCAACATCTCCAAAATCTAAAGCAACCTAACAGCACAAAACAGTCAAAAAGGAGCTTACAATCATAAATGGCTTATCGCTTCTCCACAAGCAGGAAATGCATCGATGCGTAGGCAATGAGGATGAAGGCCCCTGAGATCACGGCCAACCCGGCGACGTCGAACCAGTAGGCTTGCGTATCGAAGCCAAAGGCACTTAAAATGGAGGCACCGGGTACTTCGATATCCAGACCATACTTGTGGTCAATCAGGGTAAGGAAGGTTACCTCGTTGACGATGAGGGCTTCAAAGCCGTAATGGAAGATTGATAGCTGATGGAAAATTAGCAAGAAGCTCACGACCAGGAATGAAACAGAGACATACACTTTGTAGCCACAGTGCTGATTGAGGGATGGCATCGTGGTTCAGCAAAAGACCGGCAAAGAGTAAGCTGAAGAGCATCACCAAGCTACCGATCAGATTGGCAACACCGGGATCGCGGAACACGATGCCGATGAACAAACAAATATTGGCAGCTGCCAGATTGAAAAGCACCAGAACCAGCAGGAATCGGAGAAATTCAGGCCATGCAGGGATCAAACCAGTCATCGGGTAAACAATGATACCCATAATGATGGGCGGAAGGAGGCGCAGCGGCACAATGTCAAACATGACCTTGGATGCAAAGTATGTGACAGGGTGGTAGTACCCGTTGGCACGCTCACGAACAAACAAGAGTCGCTCCGTGGAGAAGACCGTCAGACTTGTCAGGGTGCTAAAGCCAAACAACGCCAAGATAAAGAAGAACAGACCGAGACGGTTCTGGAAACCCTTGATGTCATCGGTCAGGCCGTAGAAAAGATACCCAGACAGTACAGCAAGGAGGATGGCGATCGCATAGTGAGTAAGCATCAGCATAGGGTTACGGTACAGATTGCGCCAAGTGCGTTGCGACAAGATGATGAACTGGCGGGCTAGACTGACGCGAGCATAACTTATCGGAGGCGCCGTAGAAGTTCCAGACACGAGATGAGAATTGCCTGATCCATTGGCAACTTGCGCGGACTGAATAGCTGATACGACCTCGTCGTGAACAGATTGACACACGTCAGAGTCGGCGTAGCTCGCCACCAGAATGTCAAGGTCGGTCTGCCCGGGTGCTGGAGGTGGTAGCTGATCCGGATCATCAAGTATTTGCGGAGGAACGTGGCCCGGTCGACGTGACAAACGCATCCATTGCTGATTATCATTGGCCGCATCCAGAGTCGCATCCTCCTCATCTGTCTTCGGAGTGAAGGGGCGATCCTCCTTGCGACGCGAGTACAGCTGGCGGTCTTGCTGCTGCTTCAGAGACACTCGGCGCTTGCTCTTCGGCCTACGTGTCTGCTCCGCAGCGCTGCTGGAGTTGTCCTCGAAGCTGACATTCGATACACTTGCGACGGACTTGACGGCCATGAGGCTACTCGATGCAGTCTTGGGTGGACCACTGCGTTCGTCCACAGACGACTCGATTTCATCTGTATACGAGTGAGTGGCACTGGCATGCATTGTAAGGTCGACAAGGTAATCCGCAATGTTGAACCCCGGTGGGCATGAATACCCGATCTTGTCAAAGTACTGCTGGCATGTCGAGAAAGGCCCAGAGTAGACAGTACGTCCACCCGCGAGAAGGATCAAACGATCAAAAAGAGCCACAATATTGGAGCGCGGCTGATGAATGGTGAAAATGACGGTACGGTTGTATGTTTTGGCCAAGGTGACCAGGCATTCCACGACATTAAATGCGTTGTAGGCATCCTATGATTTGTCAACTAGAATGAACAAAGAGTGCTGGGTGCGTGTGTCTTACCAATCCACTGGTGGGCTCGTCCAAGAACAGGATGCTGGGACTGGTGACCAGCTCGCAAGCAATACCAACCCGGCGTTTCTCACCACCAGAGATGCCACGGCCCTTGCCCTCTTCAGAGCCAATCAGTTGATCCTTGATGTGATAGATTCCAAGCTGTCTTTCCACATCCAGAACCCTTTGCTCTTTGGCTCCTCGGCTCATATCCCGAGGCAGTCTCAGCAAGGCACTGGTCAAGATGGTTTCGTGCACCGTCAAGGTCGGTAACATTGTGTCCTCTTGATCGACAAAGCCGACGATAGTTCTGAAATCATTATCGTCCACTTTCTCGCCATTCACATAGAAATTACCGTGAACAGCGCCGCGCTTGTTTTTGCGCGCCAATATGTCCAGGAACGTGGTCTTTCCGGCGCCTGACGCGCCCATGATGGCGGTAATTTGACCCGGTGCAGAGGCGCCTTGGATACCGGACAAGATCTCCTTCCCATTCAAGTGGTAAGACACATCCTCCCAGTAGAGGGCCGCGGGCCGGTGCTCTGCCAAAAGCTTGGCACTTTCGTCGTCCGAGTCATCCGACAGAGACAGAAGGCTGTAACCACGACGAGTAGCGCGACGGGTCAGATACCAGACAATCAGGATTGCTGCGACTACGAAAAGCCCACAACCAGCAATTACACCTGCGATGAGCGGGGTGTTGATCTTCTTGACAGGGCGCTCATAGCCAGGTAGGTTGGTCTTGTAGAGACACTCTCCGGAGTCGCAGGAGAGGAGAATGCTCGGGTCACCGAACACTCCACTGATCAGCTTGTTCATCTCGGGCTCAGAGAACACACTCTTGGTGCCTTCTGCGGTCGCTTTCGTTATGAAAGTAGCTGGTCCCTTGATGACTTGAGCAAGGAAGTCCTTCAAGTTGATCGAGCCATTTTCGCCACAAAGGAAGCGGTTGTCAATGCAACTACACTGGACATTGTCACACCTGTAGCTGGTCGTATTCTTGTCGTAATCGGTCTCCGTACTCCAATCGCAAGTATCCAGGCCACAGTAGAAAGACTCCTTCTGGTCCACCCAGAATTGAAAGTTGCAGGAGTTATCTGCGGCGTCGCAGGAGAATGTCACCTGAGGCTTTCGGCCACCCAGCATATCCAAGATGGGCTTGTTGATCACATCACACATCTGAAAGTTCTGGTTGACCGTGACGCCTTGTTTGTAGCATGCGCCATCTTTCCCTTCGGGCATCATGGCATCGCAAGCGCTATCGGTCTGGCAGACATTACAGTTGATACCGCCCCAGCCATCCTTACACTTGCAGGTTGCGCCATCGCGCACCGCGCGGTTCTCTCCATCGGCCAGCGAACCGCAAACGGGCTCTGAGCAATCATCTCCGCCGAAGCCAGCTGGGCAGGAACATTTCCCGTTGTACTTGTTGCAGGGCGCAAAGTGGGTACAGTTATAGCTGTCGAGCTGACAGTTGAAGCACGGCGGGCAACTGGGAGGCCTGTCATCGAAGATGGAAGAAGATTGGGGAATGATACTGCCGTCGGAAATTTCGCTCCATGCTACCGTGGCGAATGAGGCGGGGATCAGGGCGAGGAGGGACAGGAGAACGGTCGTCAACCGCATGTTGAGCAGAGGTGGGTAGCGCCCAGGCACAGCAGAGAGCCGGCGAGGTAGAATGTAAATCGCCGAGAGGATATTAGGACCGGCAGATCATCTGCGTAATGCGAATGGAGTTGGTATTAGGTGTTGAAGGTTAGAGGAGATGCCTCGGAGTTCTGGGAAGTGGAGAGGCGGAGGTGGAGTCGGATTGATGACGCGGGCGGAGAAGCTGTTCAGGCACCGGTTTCAAGGTTCGCTTTAACAGCATTTCAACCCCCATTTCAAACCCAGCCCCCTTGGCCAACTACCACAAACTCACCCTTACGCGCGTAAACACATATCTTCCAAAAGTTTCAATTATTAGAGCTCTCTCTACCGAGTCCAGGTAGGGAGCTAGGAAGACAAAAATTGGATCACAAACCTCCCATTCGAAGCGACCAAGGCACGATTTCCATTTTGTGATCAAGTACTTGGCGCACATTCTACATCGAACAACTTGGAAAGTTTTCCTTCCCTAATTCCGAGACTCGCCTTCAAGGTGCTTAACAAGGCCAGACTTCGCGCACTGATCTCAGCTTAGAGGTGACACCAATCGATACCTTCAAATTCGGGCTCAGATATTCAGCAACACTCATTTTCCATTGTGCTCATATAATGTTGTCAACTCGGCCATACTCACGTGTGTAGAGTATGATGTCGGCATGGATATTCTAGTCCCCATTGGAATAGGGTTTAGGGCACACAGCTTTCTGTATTTATTGGATATTTTAGTCATTCAAGCAATGCACCTGTTTCTAAGCCTTTAGCCTGACAATTGAGCGTGTGCCACCGTGGTTAAGATCCGAAACGGAAAGAATAACATAAGATAGTGGACCGGCCCATCACCTGACCAGACCCGTAACTGCGCCTTTGATAACCGATATCTCGATAATGCAATTAGTTTTCCGATGGTTCATTCTCAGTGCCAAGTATTTTCGGCCATACTCGTCCTTGCTTCTCCGTAGGACGTCGCTTCTCTGTAGACTTTTGGAGATCGGACATTTTGTCGACATTTGAGGATAGTAGTGAGAGGCTGCTCACTGCGAGAAGGTCTCCGATGTTGGTGCTTCCACTTGGAGCAAGCCCACCACATTCTTCAAATTTTTGTAGGAGCTTGTCGATTATTTCCGCCTGGCCACTCATGTGTAGGAAGGTTCCAATACAAGCGTGGATTGCGAGGAGTCTAGGATCTGGAAGTTCCCAGTTTCCTTTGTGAACTCTGAATTTGACAACACGACTTCTAGGTAACGCTTTTAACGGGATTGTGGCGGCTTCTGGAAAGGTCTTGATTCGATATTGGTGCGCAATGCCTGTTGCTTCAAAAATGAGGCTGAATTCTCCGAATAACCTGTGAATTTGGGCGTCTAGCATTAGGATGTTCTTTTCCGAATTGATCTGTTCTGAGGTAAAGGACATAGTGGAAAGAACGGGAAAGTAGCGCCTTAGGTTGACCCAGATCGTTGCATGTCTGTCCACTGCCTCCCCGTCCTTGATCTGAAAGGATCCCAGTGCAAATGGAATAATGTGGGCCGCTTCAAGAAAGGTCGTTTCTGCGTTTTTTGGATGGGCGTGGTTGCAACTGTACGCCCCTGTTGCAAGACATTTATTGCCATCCCTTTCTAGGCAGCGGTGCCGGATTTGCAACTGAGAGCTTCTTGTGATGGGCTCAATGTTCAGGCTCTTTAGATTCTCGATTGACTCTTCGACGCCAGTGCGTGGAGAAGAAATGATTTCAGTAGGTGTTTTGCCACCCTGTGCTTTCATAGGAATTAATAAACCAGTTCTGATGCTTTGAACCAGTTGTCGAAGCTTCTCATTGTTTGCACACCCTGAGATATCCTCCGCCAGATTTTTTTTTCCGTCAGAGGGAAGAATTCCGAGGAAGTGACGGAGGAAGTCTTTTGTCTGGTCCGTGGATTCAAGTGGTATGTAATCATTCAGCCTTCGATCCAGCTCCTAGCTTGTACATGAGTATCGATAAAATAGAAGACACAGAAGGATTCACCTTCTTTGAGGGTGGAGACATTCTCCCGACTACCCAACTTGTGGTGAGCTTGGGGTTATTCTGGAGGGCAATGAAAGCAACGGGGCTGAGAATCAGCTGTGACAGTTAAGAAGTGGATTAATGATAGACGACAAGGGGATGGTTGATGAATGAGGGCGATTGGTTGAGGGAGAACTAGGTGGGGGACCGAGAAGCTAGGCGTTATGTCACTTCTCACCGCTTTCCCTATTCAAACTGGATCGAGGCTAAGTAAAGATAAATGTCCACGCTTAAAGTGCACTACGTGGTATATCATGAGGAAGGGTTAGTCAAAAAATGAGACGAAATTAATCGGCATGCAGCACAAAACCTTATTCAACTAATGGAGCACATATAGGGAAATTCCTAAATAGTGAAGTATCCTATTGACTTTATGTCGGCCAAAACACTTAGTTGGTCATCGAGTGGCCAGTGTTTGCAAGGGGTTATCTTGATGAATTGGCAAAACCCGAAATACTTTTCCTGTCGGGATCTCCCAGCTGACAAGCATCTTTTGGACCAACTCCCTGCAGGAGTATATTCAAGAGGCAGGAAACCTGGCCCGATAAGGCCCCTCCGGGGCCTTGTTATTTGAAGAAGGCCGCAAGGATACGCAATTCAAGCTCCGCGGCCATATAACTGAAATCAGCGAAATAGAATATTGTTAACATCGACCTTCGCCTGATCTGGTTGCTGTTGGAGTTGAACTTGCTTATCCCGGGGAATTGAATGCACCGGTATTGGCTCCTTTTATCACTTGGGAGAACAGTCTCGATCTACGAAAGGTGGGAAAGTTGACAATCGAGGCCCCGCAGCAGTTTAAAGCATAGAATTTCATGAGATGCAGCCAGTGCAGCCAGACTACTTCTACTGATCCAGCTGGACACTGTATCTGATGTCCTCTTCTATACGCCGCCAAATGGCCTGCTTTCCCCTCTGATGTCCATTAGAAGTCCTCTAATAATGGGAGTCAAGTATTTGAGCTTCGGAAGCCCGTCATTTGCGATCTAGGTACATGCCTAGCAATCTGCAGCACCCGAAGCGTTGTGAAATCCATGATTATAGGGCTTGTTCGCCGACATGGACCACCTGGACTTGCGAAATATCTTCAACTGTCTTTTCTGAAGTCATCTTTTCGTCAAACGCTGTGAGAGCTTCTCCGTGAGACATGTCGCGCTCGAATAGAGCGCCAACCTTAGTGGCTTCATTATCCTTGAAAACCCAAGGAGATCGACCCTGGGAGAAGAGGAAGTCCATCTCTTCTAAGGTTTTTCCAGCAGACTCCTAAATCATAGTCGCGGTCAGTCATTTGGTAAAACCTAAAAATAGCTGAGAACTGGCTTACCGGGTAAAATAGGTAAACAGTTATGGCGATAATCACACAAATTGCCATGAAGATCATGTACAACTCCCAACTATAGAATGATCAGTACGTGAAAGTTACTTCTGGGCAAACTTTGAGCCTGGCACAAACGAAGGGTTCTCTTACCTGATCTTTGCCATCGCAGTGGGTATATACAAGGCAAACCAAAAGTTCTGACGTAAGAAGCCTCAGTTTGAAACCCAGGAGGAAGTAACGGAGCGATCAAAGATGCTTACCACAAACCAATTTGTTGCAGATGTGATCGATGTTCCTTTACCTCGCATGTTCATGGCAAAAACCTCAGTAGGATAAACCCAGGCCACACAGCCCCAAGTCAATGCGAACCAGAAAACATAGATGTACACAAACGCGATCGCGGCATGAGAAGCACTCGCTTGGGCGAAATGGAAGTTGGTTTTCTGTGTGAGCGCATCGTACACTGGGTTACCTATGAAGCTGTCAATTTTGATCAATTTTTTAAATGACCGGGTTTCACTCACCCATGGTCTTCATTATGACTCCGATGAGCATCATTGAGACGGCCATTCCTAATGCGCCAATTATCATTGGTCTGCGCCGACCCCAAGAATCAATGTACCACATGTTGATCCAAGTGATGACATTTAGAATCACCCCCTGAATTCCATTTGCAAGTAGAGACGCCTGGGTGCCGGCAATACCCGCTTGTTGAAATAAAAACACTGCGTAGTACATGATCCTGCCTCGGTTTAGATGAGAATAGTCCACGCAAAACCAAAGGAATCTTAGTAGGGCATAAAAATTGGCTGACTTACACGTTAATGCCAGTGACTTGTTGCCAGAATTGCTGTTTTTCAGGGCCAAGGTGTTAGACAATATCATAGTGGGTGTGTCCACAAACAAACTCACAACACCAATTCCAATCCACATTCTCCGAGCATGGTTTCCAAAAAGTAACGAGATATATGATGGTGACAGATGCTCTTTCTCATACTTGATCTTGGCCACAATCTCCGCAAGCTCCGCCTGAACGTACAAGTCAGAGGTGTTGCCGTTAGCGTGCAGTTTGGCCAGAACTTTGCCCGCTTCCTCCTGGCGGTCGTGTGCTACCAACCATCGAGGTGATTCGGGCAAAAAATACATCGTGACGTGAAGTGCAATGGTGGCCTAGTGAAATTTGATCAGAACGGCAACAAACTATCTCTTGAATCATACGGAGCCCTTACAACCATCTGCAAGCCGAGTGGAAGTCTCCACGATACCGAACCTTTGAGAAAGTGGCTCGCGTATTGTATCCAAAAGGCGAGCAAGATACCTAAATTGATGGAGCACTGCTGCATGGAGATGATACGCCCTCGGATTCTTTCTACTTGTCAGTTTTTCTTTCTTCCCTTGGGGCTGAGCGGCGGCATACTCTCTTGGTGCAATCTCACTTTGGTAAAGCGGAACCTACAATCTTCAGTCAAGGTTCCAATTTTTCTTTCCATCATTTTTTGCATGGACTTTACCATCATTGCCAGACATCCATTACCGAGGCCATTAATGACGCGCCCTGCCACCAGAGCTGGCAAACCATTCGCGGCACATGCAATCGCGCATCCGATCGTGAAAAGCGCCGATCCGAGAAGAATTGTCTTCTTACGGCCCAGTCGATCTGCCAAGAATGCTCCCGTCAACAGAGAGCCTGCAAATGCTCCTGCCTGGATCGACGCGGTAATTCCTCCTTGTTGGAAATTATCGGGATGGTTGAAGTACTCGAGAAATTGCGGCATCGCCAAAATTCCACCTAGAGGATGATCATCAATGTTAAACGTGGAATGCGACACGCAAAACTATCTTGGAGCAGGTCGGATCTTACTCGTAGACCCAGTGTCCTAAATCGATCATTGTCAGTCTCAATCGTGACTGGCTTGGAACTCACAAGGGAGCTTACATAGCCAAACGCAAGACCGCCCGTGCAAGGGGCCAGGCCGTAGAGGTAGATTAACTGAGCAAATTCAGTATGACTGCTTCGAAATTGAAAAGGTTCGAGTACGACTTTACCTTGGACGGCATGCTGGCAGTAGCAATAGGTAGAATTGTTCTTACCGGTACCAACCGTCAAAGTATTTCGAATTAAACGAGCTCGCACGAGTCGAGAGGTTAGTGGAGGGAAAGGAATGCTATGCGATTTACGCACTCCATTTATATTCGTGCTGGTTGTGATAAGGAGACAACTCCTACTTGGAGCCTTGGAACATAGCAAGCATGAATTATCCGACGGATTCATTGAACTTAAAATGTTCACTCATCCGAGCCCGTGATCAGGACTAATGTCCCGACGGATCAACAAACACAGTGTCCCTTTCCCCGCATTCCCATGGTCACGAATCAGACTGCGGCTGGGTGAAGCTTCCCTTCCCCAGTTTCAGCGAGTGTGGAGAAAAGCTCACAGACGCACACAAATGTTTCTGGGATGACAGACTACTGGATTACAACGACTGAAGCACGTGTGCATGGATGGGGAGTGTAGGAACACTGATTCATGCCATTATGCTAGGCCCCCCGCGAGGCCGTCAACCGAAATGACAGGCAAGCTTGACGGCGCGACTCATCGCACGTCGGGCTGGACTTTATTGCCCCAGTACGCCAGAGGAACTCACTTCCGCTCTTTGCACTGGACGATGTGGTCGGGTGCCCTGTCTTGCGTAACATTTCTCTAATACATGTACAAATTTGTATGTTTAGGGATTTTGTTTTCAGAATTCAAAGCCTTAATCTTGTCGCCTTCATTCATTAGTTCTGCTCCCTTTTTTTTTTTTTAAGAAATCAATAACAACAGCAAGAAATTGCCTCGTAAATCCATGTGTAATGAAGCGGCAATGAATTCTGCCGGGGCACACGATAGTCAGCTGTCACACTCCACAGGGGCTCATTAGGCCAAAATGGACGTTGAACAGACCTCGTCAGGGAAATTTTCAATTCAAATGCTCGCGACCGGAATATTTCTATGGCTCATATTTCATCCATCCAAAGTGGATCAAACAAAAACATGCATTATGAAGCTAGGCATTCAGATATGTGTTACATACACTTTAGCTGGAGAGAGCTTCCGCAGCTTGCCTTTACATGCCGTTCATTCGTAAGGCTGTGAATACGAAGGAACACCCTAAAGGCTAGTACCGGGAGACACATCGAGTCAATTGACTAGAGATACCCAGTAAGACCGCTGCCAAGAGCGTTGCTTGGTCGGGAGCCTAGGCATGTAACTAGCATCGTATCGATTTACCATCCAAGACATCGGGGGGGAGCTTGAGCACGGACTCAATCAGAGAGAACCTAAAGCACGAAATGTCACTTTATCTACGAGGTATACTCTTCTGCCTTGAAAGCTAACGGAAGATAAGTTTCTCCACAAAAAACTAGTAGAGATCAATTCATTATAATGAACAAGCTTTTCTATTCCTCGGAAAATTTCAACTTCGTTAATATATTTCAAAAGCAAAAGATAATTATCCGATGATTTTATATAAATTCTACCCTTGGCCCTCGCTTTTCAGACACAATTTTACCTTTGCTCACCCACGGAGCAAGAAACTGATATTGTCAAGCTTATTCACAGTCTGAGTTTGAAACCACCACTTTTACCTTGCCCGTCATGTTGCATGCCTTATATACATGCCTCACTGGTCTACTGTGCGTGGGCTCCACGTTGGCTCAAACTACCTTCGGCACGTCTCAGAAACAAGTCTGGATTCCACCAGCTACAGAGTACACACTTTACGATTACTCTGGCAGCGGTGTCCTGACATCGATGTGGTTCGGCGGAAGTTGGACAGATTGGGATCAAACTCTGATCAATGTCTATGTCGATGGAGAAAGCAGCCCTAGTATCTCCTTTGAACTATATCTCGGGCACGGCATTGGTTTCGGTGACGAGACTGCCCCCTGGGGAACAGCTCGCATCGGTCTAACGAGTACACCTTCGGGCATATACAACACGTATCGAATTCCTTTTGGGTCCCAAATCGTGGTTACGGTGCAAATGCCGTCCTCGGTGACATCGAACCAAGCCTTCTGGTGGATCCTTCGAGGGGAAACAGACTATCCCATTACGTTTAACGGATATACACTGCCATCCACAGCCCGCTTACAACTTCAGAAACAAAACAACCTTCTCGTTCAACCACTCGATCTCTTCACGATGGCAGAAGTCAGCGGCAAAGGAATGCTCTATCAGGTGACAATGGCCGCCAATAGCAGCAGCTTCAGTTTCTTAGAAGGCCAGTTCCGCGCGTACATTGATGGTGCAACAACCCCGATGTATCTCTCGTCCGGCACGGAAGATTACTTCCTTGGATCTTACTATTTCAATGACGGGATGTACCATCTCCCGGTCGCGGGTTGCACGCACTACGTTGATAATGAAGCGTTTTCGGGTTACCGATTCCATGAGGAAGACCCGGTATTTTTCAGCACGGGCCTGACACTACAAGGTCGCTGCGGGGAAGAAGCGGACGATTATGTGTTTGGGCCTTCACCTCCTGACGCCACTACCTTCACCACTTATGTCTGGATATACACTTGGTAGGAGGCTGGAGCACTTGGGTTCGCACCGCTTGAAGTTGCAAAGGGCCTTGTTCTTCCTATAGACCCGAATTCACCCGCACTCTCATGCCGGAAGACTGATCTGGTAGTACATATTTGCCCAAATTTCGTTCTTCGTGATCGACCCCCACCTTTTCCCACGAGGGTACAAGATCTCACACTTTTGTAGTAGCACTAGGTCATGCCAATGAAACTCAGTGGTTAAATAGCTGGTTTCCCAGAACTAGTTAGTTAGTGCATGTCGCGGCTCGCTTACGGTTAGCGGCTTGCTTCCCAACCGAACACTAAACAGTCGGCGCGAAGACCACAGTTGCAGTAGATTACGAGAACCGATTAAACCTCAGAACAGATGAGTTTTTCTTTCTCCCAGTCTTAATGCGCTGCGCTTCATCTAGAATGAAAAAGGTCAACTAGGAGACAGCTGAAACTCAGAAGTCCGGACTTGGCGCTCTAGGGGCGCAATGGGAAAGAAAACTTATGTGTCTTGGGGGTAATATGTTCGAAACCCACTTTAAAGACTAGATTCTGGTGAACGAATTGCCGTTAAAGGGGTAAAACCGTGCCACAAGTGACGTGGACCTGGTGGTGTGGCGGTTGAGTGAAACTCGGTTTCTCAGAGAATTAGTCCCCTCGAGGATCTTTCTTTCTACAACGTCTTTTTCTAAATAATGAAAACCTTCCCCACCTCTACGAAATCAGGACGCCTTCTGTGTCTTCCTCGTATTGAGAGCTCCTTTGTCAGACGGATCCACCTGAGGAGTATCTCTACGCCACAGTGGAGGCATCATTCATGGGGAGGGTTCGCTTCCCCCGCATGCCACTATCCCTGACCTGTCGTCACCAGTACGTGACTACCGCAAACCATCGTCGCTGCCTCTCAACTCTCTCCTCTATATAATTCCTATTTCACTTTCATGTTTCCGGTTCTGCTACAAGCTAGAATCTCTCTTCATCACACAACGCATTATCAAGACTGACCACATTCTCACGCAAATCAGATTATCAACTACAGTTAGAGCACCTGGATTCCTCATTTTCCGAATGAGACCAAATGGCCTCCTCAATACCGGCTTCTCAGAGCGAGCACACCAAAAAGCTCTTTCCACCTCGTACGAAGCGAGCATGTGATCAATGTAGATCAGCACGGGCTCGATGTGATGGCAATAATCCGTGGTATGCACGCCCTCGCTCATCCCGCTTGGTGCCTATTTTGAACGGTGCTCTTTTTTTATATCTCGATTTTTTTCAATATTGAACTTCGGAGGCTTACTTGATGTCACATAGCACTCGATGTCAAGGTACGATGAAAGTATTCGGGTGAAGTTAATTATCAACGATTCCTCAAATAGCTGCTAAGTTACTGCCGACGAACCCTGAGGGCGTTGGTCGAACAGACTACTATCGCTCCTGTACGTACGAACGCAAACAAAGATCCCGAGGCCGGCCTCCTGGAAGGGCTTCTAGACAACGGCCGCGCGAGCTTGTTGCCCCTGAGCTTGCAGAAGTAACGCAGCCAGGAGCTTCTGATCCACCTCTTGCGTCTATCCAGCAAGACGTCTCTCGGGTCTCATCAGGCGCATCAACTATCGAGCCAGATTCTCAGAATGCTATGCAGAGTAGTGCCGCCTGGGTGAGTGAATCGTTCGTGGCAGCTTCGCTACCCTCAAGTCTCCCAACAAATCCATTCAGTCAGATGGCCGAAGTTGTGGAGATTTGCCCAGAAAATGCCACCTTCGGTCGTTCTCAACCTTGGGATTCTCCCCTGAATTTTCCTGATTTCCTCGTGCGTCAAGATTCAACGGCCCAGTCCTCGATCTGTGAGGCAGACGGAAGCGTTTCTCTTAAGTCAGCCCGAGAGGACTCAGTGAACGGATACGTTGAATTATCGGATGGCTCAGTAGGATCTTCCAGAGAGTCATGTTTGGTATATCCCTACACTATCCTGCGACCAATACTACCTCATGTGAGCCATGTCATATCGCCATATGAGGCGTCCGACTTGCTTGATTATTTCTTCAACGACCAAGGCCTCACAAGTTTCCAGACCCGCTCTCCATATAATTTGGCTACCATTTTCCGCAAAGAATCAATCCTGCGACTTAAAGAGCCTCGCCCAACCTCCGCCGCGCTACTTGCGGCGATCCTCTTTGTGGCTGCTCAAACTTGCGACGAAAAAGTCTTTCACAATCGCAACTTTCTTAGGGCGAGAATATGTGATGAGTTACTTGCAATCACCATACAACTTCTTGGTGATGCGGCGCCCGAGGTGAATTCTATGAGGCTTTACAATTCCTCAGGGACTGTTCGATGCGCTTCGAACTTGGAATTTCCGGATGCTGCTCACTCTGGTACAGCCACCTGGCGCTCAGCCTCGACCTCGCGCCACAAGGGTAACAACGATCGTATAAATGGCGACTTCAACCTAGATCATGTCGTTACTTGCATTCTCTGCGGAATAGTACTCTCTGGCAGTGACCTCAAATTCGAATGCTTGATGTGGTTCGAGAAGGCGAGAATGATGGCCTTGATCCTTGACCTGAACCGAGAGAAGGACGACCAACTTCCAGTACAGCAGGGTGCATCGTTGACTCGGCGGAAAGTGATTTCACGCGAGGAACGAAAGGAAGAGCGAAGAAGAACATGGTGGTTACTCTACGCAATGGATCGACATCTAGCTTTGTGTTACAACGTGCCGCCCCAAATTTTGGATACCAAGTGTCAAATTTATCAACCCTTGGAGGATGAAAAGTGGCAAAACCTGGAACTCCACCTCAGTGATGCTCAATCTCCACGGCGCCCATTTGGTCCTCCATCTGAAATTAGCGGGATGGGTTTCTTTGGGTTTTTCCTACCGTGCATGGTAGTTCTGGGCGATATCGTCGAACTCCATCATCTCCGGCTCAATCCTCGCTATTCCTCCTTTGAATCCGAATCATTTGAGAAAATTGTGGAGAGTGCGTTACAACAGCTAGTGAGGTCCCTGTCCTGTCTTTCTGCTGGTAATCAAGCTCTCGATGCCACAGAAGCTTCTTCGGCGCTACTGCACAAGCACAGCGATTCCAACGCAATCCAAGTCGTCACATCATACAGCACATTTCTAGTCAATGTGCTGGCTATTCTGACCTATGGTGAATGGGATGCCATCACCATGTTGCAACCAAATTCATCGAAGCTGCATGGCGCTCGTTTGGCCCAGCTTTCCCATTACACTAGCCTCACTTCTCAGGCGATGGAAGAAATTCTCGAGTGTGACCCTGAACTGACATTTATGCCATACCTACTTGGGATTTACATTCTTCAGGCTGGATTTGCTGTTCTCGCAGTCGCTGAGAGAACCGACAATCCTGCAGGCAGTGCAATTTACAATGGTCTCGAAACATTCATTCGGGCCCATGAGTCGTGTATTGTGACGCTTGATACGAAATATCAGGTTAGTTTAAGGTCGATCATCTTGCTTCTGTTGCCCTTTCCACTACTCTGCTGCATGTCTTGAAGCTGATTGAAGCCAGAGAAATTTCCGCAAAGTCTTTACGAGGCACACTGAATATCCTGAAAGGGATTGGTACTCTGCACCTAGCAGAATACCAGGCGCGAAGGCAAGAAATTTTGTCTTTGCACCGTTGGAATCTGGATGGAAATGGTCTGCTTATATAGTTTGAAGTGCTGGGGTATGGCGCTTTCAACTCTTCTCCTTCCTTGGTCATCTTCCTTGGCGAGGTTCAAAATGGTTTGCTTGTTGCCTATCGCCATTCGGGCTTCCGAGGAAGAGCTCTTCCATAAGTGGAATCGCTCATTCTCAGATAGGGCATTACTTGGACTTGCACAAATTGCTTCATGAAGCGAGGACGAAGAGCATCGCCAAAACGCTAGATCTAGCGTATAACGTTTGAATAAGATGTAAGGAAACATGAGACGAAACCTGATTCACCCCTTGTCACCCGTGTAAGCGGAATCTAACTAAAAACATGTTTTCAATGACCTTGATGGCTTCATGTAGCTTGCAAGTTTGAAAGCTCTACTCGTCCGCCATTTCTTAAGGTCAAGCTCGTCGGTCTTTGCAAGTAGTATTTACGCTTGGATCCATGTGCTTTGGCTCATTGGAGTCACCCGAAAAACGCTATCTCATTACATATTCAGGTTTCACAGGTTCACACTTAAAGATGAAATCAAATTGAGATAGCGGGTCATGCTTGGAATCATTTCTGCCCCGAAAATTATATTTGAGTCTTTGAAAGTAGGATCAGCAAGCCTTCTGCCGTGAGCCTCTGCGCACCAAGAGGCAGCATTCAGTAGTTAGCATATTTCCGGATGTCGAATAGAAAGTCAAAATTTATCCTTGTGAAATTATCCGCGCATATTAAAGTACGGCTAATTTTTACCTTGAATAATCAATTTGAGCCTCGGGGCACAGGCAAACGTAACGCAATAAACCTGAGAAATCAAGCTTGGAATGGGACCCTAAAAACTAAAAGAACCTTAGAAAGCAACAGCAAGCCACCTTTGCTTTGATTATATTGTCTTCCATTAACATGTCCGATATGCCTATCATAGATTACATGTACCGTAGTGCGCAGTTTTTGTGGGGACCTCGGCTACGCATTTCAATAATATTCCCGGGGAGTCGAAAATATTCCGAACAATACCCGGTTCCATCGTGATATTGCTCTTGTTAGAGCATGTGTGGTGATAGTATATATCTGAAATTATATCCCGAACCTACGGAGGCAGTCCCTTTCTTCACATTATCTACCTTCAATCTTTGGTTGCTTCTTTGTTCGCAATAGTACCACTCCTGCTTTTCCTTGCTCCAACCACTCCAGTCACTCAATATGGCCGAAGAGAAGACCTGTGAACTTTCAAATGTCATTCCGCCTTTGGTCCTGGGAGGAGGCGGATTCAACGATCAGATCAATCCAGATCCCCGGAGCTTGCCTGTCCGATCCATCATCAAAGCAGCTTTTGAGCTTGGAATTCGCGCTTTTGACACGTCTCCTTATTATGGTCCGTCGGAAGAGCTTATTGGAGATGCACTCTCGCAACCTGACATCACTAAGAAGTACTCTCGTAGCGAGTATACACTGATGACTAAAGTCGGGCGAATCAGCGAAACGGAATTTGATTATTCGCCGACTTGGGTCGAATATTCAGTCCGGAGATCTTTGCAGAGATTGCAGACTTCATACCTCGATGTCGTTTTCTGTCACGATGTTGAATTCGTTACCGAGGGCGAGGTCATAGGTGCTCTAGAAGTGCTTTACAAACTAGTCGCGCAAGGATTGATCCGTTATGTGGGCATCTCAGGCTATCGACTTGATATTCTTGTCATGCTATGCAGGGCAGCTCGCCTGTGTTATGGTCGTCCACTAGATATAGTTCAGTGCTGGGCACAGTTGACCCTGCAAAATACTCGTCTGCTATCGGATGATGAAGGTCTACAAGCTTTGCGGAATGAGGGCGTATCCTGCATTTGCAACTCTAGTCCCTTGGCGATCGGTCTTCTTCGCTCGGGCGGTGTACCGCAGGGCTCGCAGGGGAGATTTCCACCCTGCTCCCACCGAGCTTCGAGCTCTGGCACAGCAGGCGGCCCAGTGGGTGGAAGCTCAAGGGGAGAGCCTCTCCGCGCTGTCGTTGCGCTTCTCCATCTCACAAGCTTTGCTTGCCTCCTCAACCAACTTTCGAGTGAGCACCATTACCGGAGTCAGCTCTATACACGAGCTCAAAGAGAATGTTGCAGCAGCCAGACAGGTGTTTGGACATGAGGAAGCTCTGTCCAATTCTGGGTTGCAAAGATTGAATTCTCCTTTTGCCTTTACATTACCTCAAAGTCTTCAACTAAGGCAAGACCAGCCTCTATATGATGGCGTCCAAAAGATCTTCAGTCGATGGTGGGGGTACTCTTTCTAGGTACGAGAGAGAGGTAGAATGGGTCTGAATGACAACAGTCTTGCCCTCAGGAGATACTTCATCTTGAAGTATGCTTCTCTGATATCTGGAGACTCGTGTCGATGGATGATGGGATGATTATCGAATCTTACTTTTTGTATCTATGTGGTGATTCAAGACGAACTTTTATCAACCTGTTGTAATTCTACCCCACAACCCTAGTTCTTACGGCACGTATAAGTAGGTAAAATTCTCGTCAGTTTACAGTGCCCTGTTACCTCCCTTCCATCATACTTGTTGTGAGCATATAATGCAATGGTGCATAACAGGCCGGTGCGCGAGCCCAGTGCCCTAGCTGAATGTTCGTATTTGAATAAAGTGTTTCAAATTCTGCAAATTGATCTTGCTAGTTTCACAGCACAGATGGGTGCCTAGTCGGAGCCCACCGGAGAATCGAAATGTACTCAATCGACGTGAAACACCTCATCAAGGTCTTTCCACCATCCCGGTCCATCTGCACTGCCTGTGGCACCGAAAATCAAACTTTCCTTTGTGAAGATTAGAATCGATACAATGCGATCTTTCTCCCCTCTAGAAAGTAGGAAAGACTGCCATACCTGCATTGCGTCTGTCATATTCCACCACTCTCTCACCTTCGAGTTTGCCTTCATCTTAGCCATGTCTAGTTTGAAGTCTTCCCCAACGTACTCAAACACTGCGAATAGTGTACGGTCGTTATCAAAGAAGATGGAGTCTAGTTCAGAGTTGAGAAACCGGATCAAATCAGCATGTGCTGGGTATTACAATCTGCCACCGTACTGCTAGATTCGCTTGGCCAAAATAGTTCAATTTCTTCGACTTACAATTGCGTAAGTTACAATCGTATATTTGCTGTAACACCTCGGGCCATACTTTGGCGTGACATTCCTTATATGCCTCGATAGCCGCAGGCCGAAGATGGATGATTTGTGCGACGCGGCGAGGCCTCTGCATTGTTGGTAGACTTTCTGGACTGTTCAAATCTTCCAAGTTATTTTTGGCCAAAGTTGCTGATCGTCTTAAATTGGTGTGTAATTTGACACACTTTCTGATTGTCAAAAGCGACACGTCGTCAGCCGCACATTTGATTCGATAATTTTGTCCATTTCCTTGGATTTGGAAACTTCATTAATATAGCCACTAGAAAATATCCGACGGCTAATTTACCGTGACTGAGTTGTCCACGCTAGGTTCCATGCCTTGACGCATCGAGTTTGTTGACGTATTGGGGCGGTCAAAAGTTTGAGTGGGGTCAGGATTCCATGTTCTTGCGGACCACTGGGGTTCGTCATTCGTAAACACCACCAAATATGGCGGGGTTGGTCCACTGAAATGACAATCATCAAAAGTGGAATTTACGCATTATCAAATTGAAATGGAATGTTGCTGACGTTCCGCTATGCGGGTTGAGCAAAAGGTCCAGTATCACAGGGAGCTGGGCCTCATATATTTATGTATAGATCATGTCGTTCTGTTCGAAAGAAATATATACCATTCATAATCCAGGCGCTCCACTCAAATGAAGATATTCAATCTCTTAGATGAAATCTCTGAGATGACATGGTTGGGACGTTGAAGGAAATGCAATGTTGGGGATGTGCAGTGCATATGCCCAATCAGGCTTTTTTTCTTCATGCAAATGCCAACCTCCGACATCCAAATCTTCATGAAATCCGTCCCCGCACCTCTCAAATCTAAACTTCTATCCTATACTTTCCATGGAATCTTCTACTCCACTCGATGCGGGGACCGCACGTGACGTGGGGTTTCCGCAAATCGTTCTGGAGCGACAGACGATCATGGACCTTTGTGCCCTCTACAGGCTCTCTTGTCGACCAGGATGACCAGCTGACCCTTGCCAATTACAAAGATTACCAATTCAACAATATTGAGCCCAGAGCCAGCTACTATGGTGAAAATTGAGACCTTTGCGGTGGAACAGGTACGTCCCCGCGTTTTCGCATGATTTCGCATGAGTCAAGCAGCCCCCTTGATCCCTGGCTAGTCGCAAGAGAAAAGCACGATCTTATGAGAATCTAGTGGATGGACAAGTACGAGCTCACCGCCAAGTACAATACCGCCGAGACCTGCGCCGCGTCCATTTCCATCGACGACCTTCGAGAACTATCCGAAGACAAGACCACGGATCCCTTGGGCCAGCTTCAGTCCACCAAGCTTACCTATGGTGCAATTCGTGGCTCCGATAATCTTCGACAGACTTTGGCCAACCTATATTCTGCGAAGGCTCCTAGTCCTCTGCCAAAGGACAATATCTTGATTGCAGCGGGAGCTATCCAGGCCAACTTCTTGGCGTTGTATACCCTGTGCGGACCGGGAGATCATGTTATCTGCCACTACCCCACTTACCAACAGCTTTATTCCGTGCCCGCCTCTTTGGGCGCGGAGGTCAGTCTCTGGAAGTCCAAGGAGTCCAATGGCTGGCAGCTGGATATTGAGGAGCTCAAGGGAATGATTCGCCCGAACACCAAATTAGTTATTATCAAGTGGGTTGAAGTACATTTGGAGTCGCAACTGAGCTTTTCTAACCATATTTTTGCTGCAGTAACCCTCAGAACCCTACCGGAGCCATCATCCCTCGCGACACACTTCAAGAACTAGTCGACCTTGCCCGCGAATCCTCCCTTACGCTCTTCGCCGACGAAGTATACAGACCTCTCTTCCACAATATCAGCCCTGCGGACCCTCAATTCCCTCCATCCCTCCTATCCTTCTGCTACGAGAACACCGTAGTAACAGGGTCGATATCCAAGGCATACAGCTTGGCCGGCCTTCGCGTAGGCTGGATCGCAACCCGGAGCAAGTCGTTCCTCGAAGAATGCGCTAGCTCCCGTGATTACACTACTATTTCCGTCGGTCAGATCGACGACGCCATTGCCAGCTTTGCTTTGGCGCCTGAATGCATTCACAATTTGTTGAAGCGGAATATTGAACTGGCGCGAACTAATCTTGCGATTTTGGAGAAGTTCATTGAAGCACACCGCTGGGCCTGTGAATGGGTGAAGCCGCGGGCTGGCACAACAGCCTTTATTCGTTTTACGAAAATGGGGAAGCCAATTGATGATGTTGCTTTCTGCGAGATGCTTCATGAGCGCACGGGGGTGATGCTTGTCCCAGGCAGCTTGTGCTTTGGAGGCGGAGAAGAGTTTCCAGGCTACGTTCGTATTGGATACGTTTGTGAAACCGAGGTACTTGAGAAGGGGTTGGAAGCCTTGCAGATCTTCATGGAGGATGAGTACGAGGATGTTCCATCGCGAAAGAAGGCCAAGGTACCGCAATAGTGACGGCACAAAGTATGAGGCAGGAACTCAGGATGTGAGGAATTCTATTTGTTACCAGCCTTATATTAGAATCTAGATTAACAAAAACCCTCCAAGGTCATGTGCGCGGCAATCCTAAAGGTTCCAGATAAGATGTCCAGTAATCATCACAGCAGAGGCTATCTAGTGACCCATGGACCAAAAAGCCAGAGAAGATTTCGAGTAAACTTGCTCTACAAGGATGTGCGACATCATGAGGTAATCATGATCTGCCGCTTCATCGAGGTCCTCGATCGGGAGCGATCTTAAATTCCACTCAGTAAATCAGGTTCAGGTCACGTCATTAACCGACGAGGTCGGAGCTCTATAAGAAAATCCACGAGCCAGTCTTTCCAGAACCACACTCTCATATTCAACCTGCAAAGCCTACAAATAATGCCCAATCATCGAATTTGCCTGCGGGCTCTCAAGACTCAGCCCAGCCGCTCATTGTCTTCCCCGTCCTGTCGCGTGAGACTCAACCCGCTCCGAACAAACCTAGCGACCACGCGCCTTCCATACTCGACCACTGGCTACGGCGATGGTGAGGGCGACCCTCGTGGCCAGGATCCAACCTCTCAAGGTGTGAATCAACGAAGTCGTGAGTTGGAGCATCCTGGACCAGAGCAAGTGAAGCAGAAGGACTCGAGTCAGTCAAATCAATCAGAGCACGAAGCTCAAGGGAAGACTCAGGAGAAGAAAGAGCGTGCCGATGAATCAGCGAAAGCAAATTCTCAGAAAGCTAGAAGTCATGTCAAATAAAGTGTGAACATTAAGTGCAATTGAGGATTATGTTATCTCCCATTTTTAATTCATTGTACAATTTGAACTATGCACTGAGCATCTTCAAGAACCGATCGCCCAAAGCATTTGCCGCCAAAGGATTACCACCTGTAAGCAATTCCCGGTGAAGAGTTGTGCCTCCCATCTTCTCTGAAGCACCTTCGACCATGACTGCTCCCTGATCCCTCAATGCCGACTCGACTTTCTCAACCTCTCCTCCCAATAAAGTCTCCATGAATTTCTCCTCGGCGTCACTCCAAGACGTTATCTCGTACCCTTTGTAGACGAATGAACCATCACCCGCCTTCATCGTGCTCAGCAGGGCATAAGGCCCATGGCAGATAGCAGCAGTTGGCTTGTTCTCTTTATTGAAGAATCGCAGAATCTTGCCCAGGTTCGGATCATCGCCCAAATCCGCCAGTGGTGCATGTCCTCCAGGAATGAAGACTCCAGCAAAGGTCGCTAATTCGTCCTCGTCAAAGGAACTGAAAGGTCGCGGGTGGTCGAACCCATTGGTCTTCTTCATTTTCTCAATAAGCTCCTTCTCGCGTCGACGCTCGTAGAAATTGCCGGCGTATGCGATCAGGTACTCGCTGCTGGGGTCTGAGGTGGGCTCGTTTCCTTTGGGCGAGGCAAAGGTAACTTCATGCCCGGCGTCTAGGATCTTTTGCAATGGCTTTGCCAGCTCTTGGAGGAAGAATCCCGAGGGCTGGTCGACAACTTTGCCAGCATCTGGTCCGCTGGTCTTTTTCAGAGGGAAGGAATTGGCATCGCTCAGGATGATGAGGACTTTTTTGGACGGCATTGTAAGTATGTATTTGGAACTGAAAGTGTTTTAACAGAATGAGCTTGATAGATGAGCGGTAGTATTATATACCGCATTCGGCCCAATGAACTGAATTGAACCCCGTTTCTGCGGCCCGTTTACTTACCAAAACGTGACGCCCGGATGACGTACCAAATCCAACACCACTTCTTGCTATCGCAATTCAGTGGCAAAAGAGTCATATCCCAGCTCTGTTCTGGAAGTTGTAGACTTGGACACCTCGTAGTGATAATTTCTTAGCGTTCGGCGGTGCATCACGTCATTAACAGCCACGCGACCAGTGGCTACAGAAGAGGCACAAAATAAAATCAAGAAAGCCATAGTTTCGCCTTAACTTGCTTGAAATTCGAAGATCTACGTTATTTTCATAAGCTTGGAACCTGACATGGTATGCGCATCGTCATCAGGCCTGGTGCCTTTATTTATCCCTTGGGGCTCCCATCCCGTCATATACATTCCACCCTCGCATCTTCCCCCTATCTGTGTCTCCAACGCAAGAACTACGCGTCGCGACCTTTGATTAGTGCTCAATAACACCAAATTTCATTTTCGAATACCCGGACTGCCCACGCGCAAAAATGTCGTCAATCATCACTTCCATCAAGGATCTCATCACCTCAATCTTCGAGGTCATCTTCTCTTCGTTCAAGGGCGTATTCGATGGAGTATATGGGATCATCCATGCTTTCTTCGGCTTCTTCATCGATATCATTAAGATGGCCCTGAATACTGTGAAGGGTACGCTGGAAGCAGCGGGTGGAGTTGGCAAGTTTATCGCTAGTGAGTACTTCTTTCTAACATACTGATAACGACATGATAATAACGGTTTTCTGAAGGCAACTTACTCGTCATCGTGGTTATCGGTATCGGAGCTTATGGGTACTTGGACTATCAGCGGCGCCAAGGGCGTACTGTGAAGGTTGGAAGCAAGAAACTGAACTAGGTTATGAATTGTATTTAGTCTGCGGCGATCCCATCAAATGATTGTTAATATGTTCACAAATTATCAAATTTGAAGTCACTAAAAGGTATCCTGTCCAAAACTTGTCTAAATATACATCATGAAACTCTATCAGTCTTGACCATCGTTTTCCATCACGAAGCCAAGATTATTTATCATCCGGGGAAAGTGGGATGACTATGTCGAGGCCAATTGTAGCAAGATGGCGCTTATCTAGTCTCGTTTTTGGGACCCTCTGATGCACGTTCTGAACCTTAACGACCTAGCACATTGGAGAGGCCTTAGCTTCTAGGCTCCCCTTAACATAACAATCCACATAGACCACCTCAACGCTGAACGAGGAAACAATTATGTGGTACTTGCAGTACAGGGAGTTAGGCATAATCATAAAAACTACTTTGCCAGACTGCCAGAAATGTAAAGGTAAAGGCATAATCGTGGCTAGATGCATTAAACACGAAAAGTGTTGCCACGCGGAGAGAATGGATTGCTCCGAGCCGAGGCTCACCGTGAGTCCCACCTCATTCCACCTTTCCCTCTTGCGCGGCCTTTTCCAGGACATTTACGACACGGGTCCTCGCAATTTCCCTTTCCCATTCATTGATCGGATCTGCCGGACCGCCGGATTTCAAAGAAGAGCTTCTCCTTCACCCTTCCTCTCTTTTATTTTTGGCCGCAAACGGGAGTGTTGCTGCCTCATTGTCCAACCTCGCAGTTATAACCGCGTCCCTTGATTGCGCATCAGCATCTGAAAGCTTGCTAGCCACGATGCCACTACCATTGACTAGTGGGTACTTTCAGACTACTACAGAGAAATGAACGCTAATCTACCACGTCTAGATATTCCTTTAAAGGTCGGGCTTCCAGCTGTCGCGGCAGCAGCGGCCTACCTAAACGCGCGATGGTCCGTCTTCTACGATGTCGGCCTCATCAAATCCCTCGTCAAGATGTCCCTCCGCTCCCGAGCCGCCGAACGTCATGATCGCTTAAATCTCTTCTACGTCCTCGAAGACTTTGCTCTGTCTCCCGCGACCGCTGACCAGGAATTTATTGTGTACAATGGTCGCTCATGGACCTTTCACCAGACCTATACCATGGCTCTCCGTTACGGAGCATGGTTCAAGAACGTCCATAGTGTTGGTCGGAAGGATATTGTGGCTATCGACTTCATGAACTCGGCAACTTTTCTCTTCCTGACGCTCGGCTTATGGAGCATTGGTGCTGTTCCTGCGTACATTAATTATAATCTGGCGGGCAAGCCTCTCGCACATTCTGTGCGGACATCGACTGCGAAACTGCTCATTGTGGACGAAGAGATTCGCAACTGCTTCCCTCCCGAACAACTGAAGACATTTGCTTCTCCGGACTTCCGCAATGGCAAGGGCTCTGTCAATGTCTTGTTCTTTACTCCAGATATAGAAGCCCAGATTCTTCAAATGGATCCCGTGAGAGAGGACGATGCGGTTCGCGGCAGTCTCCTCCCGCGCGATATGGCTATCTTGATCTACACAAGTGGTACGACTGGTCTGCCGAAACCCGCAATCGTGAGCTGGAAGAAGTGCTGGAGTGGTGGTTTATTCATCGGGAACTGGCTGGATATTCTTCACTCGGACCGCTTCTTCACGGTAAGATCTTCAAAATCGATCGTCACCTTTTCCTCTCTAATATGTTCCAGTGCATGCCTCTTTACCACTCATCTGCATCTGTCCTGGGATTCGTGACATGCTTGCTGAACGGGGCAACCATGATCGTGGGTCGTAAATTCTCTGCACGAAATTTCATGAAGGAGGCGCGTGACAATGATGCAACGATCATTCAGTATGTGGGTGAAACCCTTCGATACATCCTGGGCGTGTCGCCCGAGATCGATCCTGTCACTGGGGAGAACCTGGACAAGAAGCACAAGATCCGAATTGCGTTTGGAAACGGACTCCGCCCAGATATCTGGAACCGCTTCAAAGACCGTTTCGACATCACCACCATTGCCGAGTTCTATGCTGCCACCGAGGGAACCTCAGGCCAATGGAACAAGTCGTCAAATGACTTCTCTGCAGGTGCAATTGGCCGCAATGGAGCACTCGGCAATCTCATCATTGGACGTGGAACTGCGATTGTCGATGTTGATCATGAAACACAGGAGCCGTGGCGGGATCCGGCAACTGGCCTTTGCAAGAAGGTTCCTCGAGGTGATCCCGGTGAGCTCTTGTTTGCCATCGACGCCTCGGACCCCAGTGCCAATTTTCAAGGTTACTTCCAGAACGACAAGGCGACGGAGAGTAAGATCGTGCGCGACGTTCTCAAGAAGGGCGATGCCTACTTCCGCACCGGTGACATGATCCGCTGGGATAAGGATGGTCTCTGGTTCTTCTCGGACCGACTCGGTGACACTTTCCGCTGGAAGAGTGAAAATGTGTCTACCAGTGAGGTCGCCGAGGTTCTTGGTGCCCATCCCGAAGTGCACGAAGCGAATGTTTATGGAGTGGCTCTGCCCAATCACGATGGCCGCGCTGGATGCGCAGCTATTGTATTCAATCAGCAAATTTCCAGTGGCGCTTCCTCGGGTTCCGTACTGGAGCCCTCGCAGGCCATTCTCGACAGTCTCGCGGCGCATACCCTAAAGAACCTGCCGCGTTTCGCAGCTCCCTTGTTCCTGCGTGTGATGCCGCAGATGCAATCCACTGGTAACAATAAGCAACAGAAGCATGTCCTTCGCACTGAAGGCGTGGATGTCGCACGGGTTTCAAAGCATGACCGGCTATACTGGCTTCAGGGCGATACTTATGTGCCGTTTGAACAAAAGGATTGGAACCGCCTGAATGGCGGCCAGGTCAGACTTTGAGTGACTGTATTGGCCCTTTTTTCCTGTCATCTTTGTTCCTCTTTCTTGTTTCACTCAGCGCGTCCCCCACATCCACCCCTTATTTTTAAGATACCCCCACTGTCCTTGAAGAATGACACAATGGAAAGTTTCTCGGTTACCTAGCTATAATGAATGTTACTTGACAATCCATATAGCTACTGCCTTCACGTAGAAGCATAATCAAATGGAAAAAGTGAAAGGAAGACCTAAATCTATATCATCATCTTACTTATCGAGAAGTAAATTGCAGATTTATCAAAAAAAAAACAATTCCGAGCATAAGTCACTTTCATTAAAAGTACATCCTCTCTCTATTTTCTCTTTAAAAACAGCCGAAGAGCAATCGACATGTAGAGTACCTTATTTGCATCAACGCAATAATCCCTATTACGATAACCAAGGCAAAAAACAACGCACAACCAATAACGAAAATTGGGATATTACCAACTGATCCACCCATCCAACTAAGACATCAACGAACCACGTCGTACCGCATCGAATCACGTCCACGATTTGACAGCTCCCGAGAACTATCTACAGAGCGAAAGCAATGGCACCAGCGAACATGCCAGCAGCGACAATGGGGTTCACGACGTTGGCGACACCAGCACCGGTGGAAGCGGTAGGAGCTGCGGACGTTCCGTTAGCGGTCATGCTTGTAGAAGATCCGCTAATGGTACTAGTACCGCTAGCGGTGGTGCTAGATGCAGTGGTGCTCATACCAGAAGTTCCGGTGGAGGTGCCGGTGGAGGTTCCGGTAGAGGTGGTGGTGGTGGTCATGGTACCGGTGGTCGAGCCCATGGTAGAGGTAGAAGTAGAGGTGGAGGTGGAAGTGAAAGTGCTGCTGCTGGAAGAGCTGGCGGAGCCAGTCACATTGAACTGGTCGGACTGAGCGAGGATGCCGGTGTTCTGGGTCGAGCTGGATTGCAGGTCGATCTGGTAGCCGTGGCTGTTTTGGTCAAGTTAGACAATGTATGGTCTTGAGGCTTTGGATTTGTGGAGACATACCCGGCAGCAGCATCGAGGCTGTCGACGGTGTAGGAATCGGAAGAGGTCTTTACGTCGGAGGCGAGCTTCTTGTTGACGGGAGGGTAGACGGCATTGTTGACAAGGTAAATGTTGAAGCTCGAGGCATCGGTGCTGTTGTGTTTTTTTTTAGTCGGCTTCAACATGCATGTGTTGGGCTGCAAGATGACATACTCAACAGAAGTCCACTTTACAACCAGAGAGCTGGAGGCGCTGACGACTGCGCCTTCCTCGGGCTCTGTCACCTTCAGAGCTGCAAAGTATCAGTATCAAATTTGCTTTATCATAGAACTGGAAAAGTGGTTACCTCCAACAGATAGGGCCAGAGGCACCACGGAAAGGGCAAGCGAGAGACGCATAGTGAATCACAGGATTTGGAACGAGTGTAATGTAGAGAGTATTGAACGAGAGACTTTTTAGATCTTAGAACCTAGGAATGTCTTCACAAAAAAAGCTTGGAAGGGGAAAAGGTAACGGGTTTAGGGCGAGTTGTGGCATTAAGTAGATACAAGAGAACCGCGGCATACAATACGAACCACAAGGCTGAAAATAGATTCAGATGCGGACCAGCACGTTTGCTATGCAGGATGTCAGAAAGTGTGAATTAGGGCACTGCGGTGAAAGATTTCTTCCTGAATTACTTCTTTGGGATTGTGATGTCTCTAGTCGATATGGAGCTGGGAAAAGCTACCATGGTCTTGGGCAGAATTGTCAAGCTAGTTTCATTACCAGTGCCACTTGGATTCACATTTGTAACACTTATCCCAAGTATAGCTCAGCAGCGTAGAGGATCCCTTCGCAGACCTGAACTCTGGAATCATCCGACGCCCCGGTGGCAGATCTCTTTCAGGCTACACCGATTGGGCCGATAAAGACCCTGGCCAAGCTAAGTCACTAGACATCTTGGCATCAAAAGGCGCTAGTCTTGAATGTAGAAGCGGCCTGTAGTCCCACGATAAGCCTCTAGCTCAAGCCACTCTCGTCTTTTACCCGGTTTTTTGCAAAAGTGCAAAATTACAAAATAGGTGATTTGCACTTGATCGTCCTTTGGATTACTAGCACCTTCATCGACAGGCACAGACCTCAGATGACTCGCAGTCGTGGATCCCTGTCTGATACGAGAACTCTTTACGAACCTGCCAAGACTCGTGGATAAGGAAAAATCGGCACCAATGAGACATCCCGATCCGAAGCACGAGAGACCCGGGCAATATCTTTTGTTTCAGTCTGGTAAACTCAATACCCAGGGACCGAGACATGATGCCGAAATTCTCTATACGCTTTGGATGATTCCATTCACCTCGACTGTACACGCCGCAGATGCAGTCCCAGCATAGCATAGCATAGCATAGCATAGCATACAAACGCTCTTGGTATATCTGGAAGATCACCCGAGTGCCGATGTACGGGCCAAGCGGTCTGCGTGGATACGCGAGGTCATGGCGCAATCGATCGGTCAGCCACCGAGTCTTCCTAGGTTTTCATGGCTTGCGGTAATGTTACAAGAAGAATAGATTTCCTACTCTTTTGATGGTAAAAAAAAAAAGGAAAAAGAGAACAAGGAAAGAACTTTGACAAGCTTGGCATGCATTCCCATACGGAACTCGGCTTCGAAGGCAATTGGGAAAGACATCATTAGTAATTGAAATCGACGAGGAGAGGGAAGCGAGAGTGGATCTATCACGCCGATTATGAGACATCCATGGGCGCAGACGGGGATGGACGGAGGTGTCCACTCGGTGTCTTCGGGTGTCTCAGACCTGGGCCGGGACTCCCGCATCGAGCCCTTGCGTCTCGGTATCTGCAAATTACTGACCGGTGAGGAATTTTCACCTGTTTTCCCGATGTGAGACGGACAGGTTGATTTTTCTTTTCTTTTCCTTTTTTATTTTTTCCTCTCAATACGAGCTCGTTCTAGAGACGGAACTAATTTGGCGAGTAACTTAATGAAACGCCTTTGTACGCGGTACTCGCGGATGCTTACGTAGGTACCTTCAGTGAACCTCGCCCACCCCGGGGTTTGCCGTCCGTTTTCCAACATGTCCACGGTGTTCAGCTGTCGTCCTATACTAGTAATCGTAAATGTTTATGTTGCTGTGGCCCAAAGTCAGCTTGAGCTCACCAACCACTTTGAGGAGGGGGGGAGGTTTTCCACATACAAGTCCCTTTGGAGGTTATCTTGCTCGACGGCGACCGCGCTAACCCATACACTAACACTCACGGCCTTGACGGGGAAATTACCATAGCCCCTTTTATCGATATGAACAGCGGTGTCATGATACCCCAGGATATCAACCCACTCTGTACTCGCATACTGTCGACCAATAAACATGCGCTTCTTGCTAGGGCCACCACTGCTGAGAACACACGCGAGTCCGGGGTGATAGGCATTGCCGTAGCGGACGAACCCTATAACTCGGTCAGAGATGATTTATGCGGAGAAAAGGGGTGATAAGGGAGACGGACCAATGCAATTTGCTTGGTCAAAGTAATCTTCCTGTTCGCCATATGCGTATCGCCTCCGTGCTTGGCTCAGGATGGGGAGCTTCCCATCACACGCTGGTGTCATTGGCACCTCGACATTGGCTCGGATCCCGTATACGTCTCCGTAGAAAATACAAGGTTGACCCCCTTTTCGAAGGAGGATCAGTGCATAGGCGAGGAGTTTGAATGATGAGGCGACGGGGGTCTGATGCATCATTAGCTTGGTCCAATCTACAAAGTAACCACTCAAGGGTCACACAAGCACGTTCCGCTTACCTCCAGCATTTGCCCTACTTGCTGTCACACAAGTTAGTAAGTTGGCGCAATAGCCAAAGTCACAGTGACTTGGATCAGCCTCCGCCTCGAGAGCTTACCGTATCATGGTTGGCAACAAATGTCTGGAACACGTCAGCCTTCGTCAGTCAAATTTCAGCTGGTCGGGGAAACTTACTACGGCGTTATCTGGCGTGGTCTGTACCAATGTACCATCGAAAATCCCGCGGAGGTCTGGACTCCGAGTATGCGAAAGTTCAGAAAACTTAATCAACAGAGGCACATCGTATGCCAAAGTCTGGTAGTCCACCTTTTCCAGGTAGTCGTGAATAGCCGATAAATCTCCCGTCCAGTATTCGCTCAGCACCACAAAGTTCGGGTTGGCGGTCTTCCTGACGTGCTCGACAAATGCTTTTTGAAATCGCATCGAGAAGTGCTTGGCGGCATCCAGTCTCATCCCGCTGAGAGAAAGGGAGTTCGTGATCCAGGTTCCCCAATATAATAAATCCTCGCGAACATCTGGGTGGGAATGGTCAAGATCAGCGAACATCAGGTAATCGTAATTGCCAATCTCGTCAGAAACATCTGGTGCCCAATCCTTGTTGGGCCCCAGGATTTTGTAAATCTGTTGCTTTTTACCCTTGTCATCCCAGTCGACGCCACTGAAATGTTGCCAGTGGTACTTCATGGCACTGTACATTTCCCCGCGGCCGGGGAAATCGAAGCCTGTCCAGCCATGGATCTCCAAAAGTTTCGAGATCTCTTTGTTTCGTTCTGTCAGATTCGCTTTAGTAGAGTCCAGACGACCAAACAGGTGCGGAACGAAACATACGCTTCGGGTCCACTGCCACCGCATTGAATGATTCCGAATATTCTGCTCCGGCCTTGTGGTTGAGCACAGCGTCCCAAATCACACCAATCCCCAGATCATGTGCTTGGCGTATCAACTCTTCGAGTTCCTTGCGAGTGCCCCACTTGGTCGAGATGGCTCCCTGTTGATCGAACTCCCCAAGATCAAATAGATCATAAATGTCATACCCATTGCCACGAGGGTCCATGCCCTTGCAGCCTGGGGGAATCCAGATCTGATCCACGCCAATAGATTTCCATTCTGGCAATGCAGCTTTCAAACGAAGCCAATGGCGATGATCGGCAGGTACATGCCATTCAAACGCTTGCAAGATTAATTTATTATCTGGGGCTGTCCATGATGGTAGCTGATCAAGATTTTGTGCTGCTTCTGAACAAGATAGCCCAATGTTAGCGGATGGAAAGTGGAGCGGTCTGTTCTTGGGAACACACCTTCTCTCTTTGCCAGAATCTGTCTTTCCCGCCGGCGGGATCCACTGAAACATGAGAAGAACGACACCATGTTGATATGGTGATTAAGGCACGGAAAACATGCCTCGAAAAGGGGAGTAACATGCTCGAATACCCCGAACTTCAGGTAAGCGGCAAAACGACACCGCTTCCAATACTCCCTAGTTGCGTTGACAATGGACTCTAGTGTACCCATGGACCCGACTGTTCCTGGCCCAGCGTGAGTGAGACTTGACCTGTGGGGCGCGCAAACTTCCAACTTTTCTATTTTCAAGGTACCGTAAATTACGATACCTTGCCCTGGTTCTGTATAGGAACAATCGGACGCTGATTCGGGGAAGATTTGGCTAAGCACTTTAGATGATCCATTTCAAAAGACAGTCGACGATCAATGCTTGTATGTGATCGTGGGCAATTTTCGCCCCCAAAATAAAATTATAAGCCAAAAAACTCCATCGCAATCAGGTCATCATGTGCAGACATCCCATCTCAAGAAAATGACAGGATCGAAGACGGCGCATGCGCGACCGTGAAAGGGTGGATAAATATCGTACATCAAGGGATATATATAAACAGAGAATTGAATCGTGAACGCCCTCCCAATACTTCTCCAATGGATTTCAATATCTCCAATGGGTTTTGAAAAAAAGAAAAAAAAGACAAATATTATTCTCCGCGCACTCAGAACATCATCATCAGGCCTGTCGTGATTGCCAGCACGAGAGCGACACATGCGACGCGACCGGGGTTTCCACTGCCAACGACTCCAAGCGAAGTGGAAGTCGTGCCCGTCCTGATAGCCACCAGAGTGACGTTGGCTGCTGACCAGCCACAAAGACCACTACCTTCCATGTATTGGGTCGGATAGAAGACCCGTGGCTCACCCTTATCCATATCGACGGTGAGTTCTCCCTGGTTGTCGAGCGTGTAGTTATTGCATGTCAAGATTTCAGTCACCTCCGTGCCGGCATTGTAGCTGAACGGCAAGGTAAGCCTGTATGCACCGCCTTGTGAGCCTTGATTGTTGAGGAGTGTCATGACTTGGAGGCCCTCGGTGCCCTTGACGAAAGCGATCTCACTGCTGCCCACGAAGACCGATCGCGACTCAGTCGTCACGTATTGATTATCGAGTTTGTTCGCGTGTTTACGAATCGTGTTGAGTTTTTTGATATGTTGATAAAGCACAGCGTCGGTATTATAATTGGAAAGCCATATGGCTTGACGGTTCTCTGGGGTGCCGGACCCCTTGAGATGCTGCTCCTGACCCTCATAAATCATGGGGACGCCGTCAAAAAGAATGGTAAAGGCAAGGATGTTTTTGGCAAGCTGGACGTTGCATGTTAGTCATTGGACGGTCGGGTGATGGGTTGGCAGGTTGACCTACCGAGATATCGTCGTCGAAACTAGCGATGCGTTCGACATCATGGTTCTCAGAGAAGGAGACGAGAGATGTCACATCTGGACAGGCAGCCTTCATCTGTTCTACCGTCAACGCGAGCTCGCTAATGTTTCCGTTCGTGAAGGCAGTCAACATTGCATAGTAGACGGGATAGTTTGGCATGCTCCCAATGTAATTCTCTTGGTAGTTGCAGATGATGTCGACTTCTGATTGAAGAACTTCCCCAGTCATGAATGCATTGCTCGAGTCGACGAAGTTTTTCAAGAAGCCGGGACTGACGTGCTTGGCCGCATCGATACGAAGCCCGTCGACGGAATAAGTCTTCATGACGTCCGCAGCCCAGTCGATCAGAGTCTTTTGTACGACCTCGTGCTCAGTGTACAAATCGGGAAGAGCGACATAATTGTCTCCAGTTTGACAAAGTTGCGCGTTGGTAAAGTTTTCCCAATTGCTGATCTTACAGTACGGATGGAAGTAATCAGCATTGTTGAAGGGGTTGAAGATTGAATAGTCGATGTTGGTAGCCGGTTTGCTTCCATTGGTCATGTAGGCCATGTTGTTGATGACCGTATCCATCAGCAGGTACATTCCTCGCTCATGAACAGCATCAGTCAGATCGAGTAAGTCTTGTTTCGTACCGAACTTCGGGTTGAGCTGATATAGATCCAGTGGCCAGTACCCATGGTAGGCCTCACCGTAGTAAACGTGACCGGAGAGGTTCTCGATGATGGGAGATATCATCACAGCGTCGAACCCCATGCCTTGAATATAGTCAAGGTGATTGATTGTACCTCTCCATGTTCCGCCGCAATAAAGGCCTGCAGTGGTGTTGCATGGGTAAGTCGTTGAGCCGTCTGTGCGTGCGAAACGATCTGTCATGGTTTGATAGACAATTCTTGATTTCCATTCATCCGTAGTTGCAGCCAAAGCCGAACGGAAAAGGCTCAAAGACAGAAAGAGCTGTGTCCAACGGCATAGATTCCGTGGTGATAACATTTTGGCGCATGAAAGGCGCGTGCCAGGCTGAGAAAGTCGGAAAGGGATAGAACAGGCGCGAAATTGAGCCCGAAGGCGAGGGCAAGGGAATGATAGTGATTGAGTATAAACGAATGAGCCAAGTAATGAGTGAATCTAGGCTAGAAAGAGGTGATAAACGAGTGCGGGGGGTTCAGGCAAAGAGAGAGTAGAGGGAATCCATCCCATCCCAGACGATTAGAACCAAAGTCGTGGTGAAGAAATGGGGAAGAGCCTGTGCAAGGGGAAAACCTCAGCCCCGCGCCTTGGTAGTGCTTCCATATCGCACTAGTTCGAGGCTAGCGCTCGACCGGACTATGCAATTTTCCCGCTTTCTGTGTCTGTGTGTGTGTATGTGTGTGACCTGGGCAATGAGATAACGTAGAGCTAATCCAGAGTTGGTTCATCCTTCGAGTCATGACGATATCTCGATAAGAGAGTAGGGGCGACAAAAGTCGATGGATCTTTTGCGTAGGATTATCTAAGGGTAGATAGGTAGCCTACAGCTGAACTGGAAATTTTTCAAGGCCTAGGCGTTAGTGCCCAAGGTGTGTGTGAACAGTTCCTGGTGGACTGCTAGGGTTGAAGAACAGTGGATAAACGCGGGAAAATAGGCTGGGTCTAGTGTGATCTAATATGCTTTTAGGACAGAATGCATTGCGGATTTCTGACTTGGAGACTCGCTCGGAGTTGGCAATGTACACTTTACTTTCTGCGACAGAAGCCTTCTCGAATGTCTGAACTGAGACCCTCCTGAACCCCATCTCAGCAATATTGCGTGGGGGGTTTCCACGCGGCCACCCGACCAGTCCCAGAATTAACCGAAAAACTGTTCTATTTCCTACAATCTGGGCGGTACCTGCTTTCCCAATTCAAAAGGAGAAATTGTCCGAGACAACTTGGCTCGCTGGCAGGGGTGTCGTGGGGAGAGGTCTCGCTCTCATTTCCACATCTCACCCAACCAGAGACAGCACACTAAATATAGGGCCCGGATGCCCGAGTACCTCTGCCCTGATTCTACGCTGTCAGACAGTACTGTACGGAGAACGGAGTTCCTGAATACCAGGTCAGTTGGGGCTCGGTGACAATTCCGAGACATTGGTACGTACCCGCAAGCGCGACTGTTTAGTCAACAACACAGTATCAACCAGAATTACATCATGTCCGATCCACGGGTCCGATCTTGGCGTGATTCAGATCCTGAGAAAAAAATGGAAATCACTCCAGGCAATTCTACACGAGAAACCACGTCTTTATACGAGAAATGGCCATAATGGAGAGATTTAGTTCGTTGTGAGAATAGCAAATGAGCACCTGCAGTAGGCATGATAAGAGGGTGTGATTAGGGTGACGTGGTTATCAAGGCCAATAAAAAGCCCACGACGAGCGAGGATCCCAGTCAGCACCATGACCGGGTGGCTTTGGACCGCTGGCAGTTCCGCTCATTTGAGTCCAATGGATCGACGTGGGCGGCTTGTTCCGGCCTCGTGGCGTTCAGGGTCCGACTGTTGGGATGTGTGTCGCAGATCCACATAGGTCGAGCAAATGCCATTCCAGATTGATCCGAGTGACCTGTCGGGGCAATCTACGCCGTCGCCTGGTGTAAAGTGTGTGTGTAGAGGGCGGTGGGAAATGCTCCGATCTGACCAGCCCGTGTGGCCTGCGTGGTATGTACGCCGCATGCTTCAATCACATCCAATATTGGCGGCAGATAAGCGGTTGGTGTAGCGCCCGACATGATCAGCACACCAGCCCCGTAGGTTCAATGGGTGCACTCCCCCATTTTGACGAAGCTACGCAATGGCGAGAAAATATGATATGATAAGGTGGATTGTCAGGACCGTGATCTGGGAATCGTGCCTGAACCGATCATTGGCTCTACAGGGACAGGACCGGTAGCCTTCGAAAGATACACTATCATGACTGAGCCATATTTTCAAGCTTCAGACAAAGGGGCAACGGTCTTGCATTTTGAAACGTGAGTTGAAAAATACGACCTCAACAAAAGCAAAATTACCACGAACAGCCAATCGGCCGAGGTGCGGGATCCACCCTGGCAACTGCAGCCGAAGATTGCAGAGGGTCACGGCCCGTATTTTTCGCTATCGGTAAAACCCTACTCATGGGCCCGGTTCGATCCATCTGGTTTATTTAGTACTGGTAGAGTGCCGGTGAACACGAGGCGCTCCGAGCGTCTCACCGCGTGCATTCCGAACTTTATTCCACGCGGATCCATTGACTAAGGAGGCTGAGGAGGCTGAGAAGGCTGAAAAAGTGGTGAGCTGGCCTTTTTGCTAGTTACCCAGTCATCATTGACTGTATGTGGTCGTTGGAGGTCTATGTAGTGCGGAGGGAAGAGGTAGGGACCGGTGTTTCTAATGTGTTACTCGAAACGGATGCATTGCCTTAACCAACTATGTCTCTTGAAGCGAAACATGGACGGAGCCCATGGACCTGTCCACCGAAGTAACGGGGCCATCTGCGGGTGGGCTTCTACTGGTGCCCTGCAGGGCTTCTGAGTCTTTACTTAGATCCGCAAGTGCCTGTTATGTGGCTTCCTATGGATACGAGACCGCTGGCTCCGCCCTTTTCGGTGTATCCCCGTGGGACTCACCCTTGGACAGGCGGTGGGTTCCTGGCTCTGCGAGTTATCCAATGCACGTAAGATTAGTGGTTTTTCAGCTTTGTATTCGACTGCGAAAAAAAAATCCTGTTACCCCAATCATTCCGAATCTAGACAGAGCTCACGGCGTTAGCCGGACTACGGTCAGGTTCCTGCCAGTCTTAGCGTGCTCGTTCGCATCTACGCCAAGTTCTATAACCAGAGCCAGCCCTCTTAGCCTGTCTCAATTCGCCTAGCGATACTAAGTTCATCCGACATTTATTTTTGTGCATGCCTCAAAAGCCGAGGCCACTAATTTGCCTTCGTCTCAGCCTCGTTCGTTTACCTTATGGTGATGTGACTTACCTTTCTCTTCCCTTTTCTCATCTCTCCTCTTATCTCCCCTCTTGTCTCAACACCTGGCGTTGTCCTTGACTTCTGTCCTTGATGCGCTGTCCAATCGTTTACTGAAAGATATTGGGTACCTGGATCGCCGTCATCCAGATAAGCCCCCGCATTTTCTGGTTTTTTTTTTTGCGGGTTCCTGAAGCAAAGCGCAATATTCACTGCTGCTGTTTTCTGGGGTAATTCGATCTTTTCTCCTCTTAACCATCCTGGTAGCAGGACTGTCAGAGGTTGTCGAGGATCGCACCTATATATCACCTGATCTATCATGAGGTGGTCGACATACAGCGGGTTGGCGGCGCTCTTCGCCGCCACCGCAGCATGCTGGCCTTACGATGAGAAGTTTCTTGAATACAATCTGAACACAAACAAGGACGCAACCGACCCCGCGGAATATTCGGGAGAATGGCCAGGTCATACCGGAAGCTATTTTGCTTCCCCAGACAACTGGCGCTTCCCCTTCTATACTCTTATGATCGATCGCTTCGTCAATGGCGACCCGACCAACGATAATATCAATGGCACATTATTCGAGCACGATCTGAACTCAAATCAAATGCGCCATGGCGGTGATGTGGCAGGTCTAGTTGACACATTGGACTACCTTCAAGGCATGGGTATCAAGGTTAGTCTTCTTTCACGCGCGTTGGAAATCCGGTTCTCACTAGTATCCAGGGTCTCTATCTCGCCGGTACCTCTCTGATGAACCAGCCTTGGGGCTTTGATGGCTATTCTGCCTTGGATACAACATTGTTGGATCAACACTATGGCACCATTCAGATTTGGCGGGATGCGATTACGGAGATCCACAAGCGTGGCATGTATGTCGTCTTCGACAACACGATAGCTACGTAAGGCTACTCCTTTTTTAAGCCCATGATTATCAATCGCTAATCGAAAATGTCTAGTATGGGTGACTTGATCGGTTTCGAAGGACATCTCAACAGCACGACGCCATTTTCCGAAAAGGAATACAAGGTTCAGTGGAAAAGCGACCGTCACTACGTCGATTTCGATATCGGAAACACTTACAATGCTAGTTGTGATTACCCTCGCTTCTGGTACGAGAACGGCTACCCGGTCAATCAGTCTTTGACTGCAGGCCTTGTTGGTTGCTACGACAGTGATTTCGATCAGTACGGTGACATTGAAGCTTTCGGTGTGTACCCTGATTGGAAGCGTGAGCTCGCCAAGTTCGCCTCCGTGCAGGACCGTCTTCGTGAATGGCATCCAGTCGTGCGAAACAGATTGATTCGTCACTCCTGCATGATCATTGCTTCCTTGGATATCGACGGTTTCCGATACGATAAGGCTACTCAATCAACCGTGGATGCGCTCGGAGACATGTCTTCCGCCTACCGTGAATGCGCTCGCGCTGTGGGCAAGGAGAACTTCTTCATTGCGGGTGAAATCACGGGTGGTAACACTTTTGGATCTATCTATCTTGGCCGTGGCAGACAGCCCAACCAGTTTCCTCCCGATGCCGTCACCGCCATGAAGCTGACCAACGAGTCCGATTCCCAGTACTTCCTTCGTGATGTTGGCCAGGAAGCAATCGACGGTGCCGCCTTCCATTACTCCACGTACCGTGCCCTGACCCGGTTCCTGGGCATGGATGGTCAGCTTTCCGCCGGTTACGACGTACCTGTTGACTGGGTCGATGCTTGGAATGAAATGCTGCAGACGAATGACCTGGTCAACGCGAATACTGGAAAGTTTGACCCCCGACACATGTATGGCGCTACCAACCAGGATGTTTTCCGTTGGCCGGCCATCCAGTATGGTGTTGAACGTCAGCTGCTTGGATCCTATATCACTACGTTGCTTCTTCCTGGAATTCCCCTTGTTCTCTGGGGCGAAGAGCAGGCCTTTTACGTCCTGGACGCGACTGCAGAGAATTATATCTATGGTCGTCAATCGATGTCTGCTGCTACCGCTTGGCAAATGCACGGTTGTTTCGCCTTGAATTCATCTCAATACTACCATTGGCCCGTCGAGAACGCTCGCAATGGCTGTCACGACCCGACAGTATCCTACGATCACCGCGATCCTTCTCACCCAGTGCGCAACATCATGAAGCACATGTTTCAACTGCGCGAACAGTTCCCTGTTTTGAACGATGGCTACACCATTCAGAGGCTGTCGAACTCCACCGAAAACGTATACTACCCGGGTTCAGCCGACGTCCCCACCGAGACTGGCATGTGGTCTGTTGTCCGCAATGTCAACATCGATGTGCAAGATCTGGGCTCTGACTCTGCCAACCAACCCGTTTGGTTGGTCTACCAGAACACAAATCGAACAATTGATTACACATTCGACTGCACCTCCAAGGACACCTCCATCGCCCTGATATCTCCATTCGATGCAGGAACAAAGGTCAAGAATCTCTTCCATCCTCATGACGAGTTCACGTTGGAGACTAGCGCCCTGAAGCTTGGATTGAACGGATCTTCCGAATACAATGGTTGCTACCCCAAAATGTCTCTTGGTGCCTACGAATTCCGTGCCTACGTCCCCATAGAGCAGTTCAAATCACCCAGGCCCATGCTCACTGCGTTTAGCCCCGGTCACGATGCTCCTATCCGCTCCACCGTGGCACCTGACCAGTCGGAAGACGTGCACATTGAGTTGTATTTCTCACAAGAGATGGATTGCGATTCTATCACCAGCGGCATCTATCTGAACTCGTCGACGGAAGCTGGCCAGACGGCGAAACTTGATACGAAAACAGCCAAATGCAAGACAATTCCTGCCACGAATACCACGTACACTGGCCAAATCCCAAGCGTTTACATGTGGGCTGCGAACTTGACCGGCGTTTACAACGGTGTTCACCGGTTGACTCTAAACAACGCGACCAATATCAATGGAACTGCGTCCACTGAAGCGGTCGACCACCTCCTGTTCCGCATTGGTCAGATTGATAACCCCATGGTTTTCCCCACTGCCAACTACTCTTCTAGTTTGCTTCACAAGGAACCGGGCAACGAGACTCTTTTTATTCAGCACCACGCTGCTGGCGCCGATATGTACCGCTATTCCACCAACTGGGGCACGACCTTCTCTGAGTGGATGACCTACAAGGGTGGTAACAATACTATTGAGACGCTTCCTTGGTCCGGTACGAAGAAGCAAGCTTGGGATGGTGACCATGTGCGCGTTGAGTACTGGAGTCGCTGGACTGGAAGCAGTGACTATGTCCAACAAGGTGATACCAACTGGAAATCTGGAGTTACTCGTCGCTTCCCTCATGCTTTCTTCAACGGACCTTACAACGAGTATGGCTATGACAGTGGACTCGACAATACAATCAGGCTCGACGAAGACAGTGGATACTGGAAGTACCATTTCACATCTGAATGGCCCGCTGTTGGACAGCTCAACATTTGGGGTGTCAACCCCGATGGCACACCCGATCAGAGTTGGGTACTTGGTGATGCAGATGGAGACAGTATCTTAGATCGTATGCCTCCTTCATCTCTCACAAGTACAGTCATCAACATCACCAAATCTCCACCCTCGCCGTACGTGGCCTGGGAGCTCTACATCAACGATGCTACCCAGCGCTACGATCTGTTTCCCGTTGGTTCTCAACACTCGCAGATTGTCATGTTCATCCTCTTTTGGCTTATTCCCGGTATCACGGGTGCAGCCTGTGTGTGGATCTTCATGAAGTCCTTCTACAAGGTCAAGTTCAATGAGAACGGTGCCACTGAAAAGTCTCGTTCTCTGTTGACTCCGATGGTGTTCTTGAAAAAGCTGAAGCCCTCGCGCTCTACCGAGAAAAGCGATTATGTCAATCCCCTCATGCGTCTCGCGAACAAGTCCGGTTTCATGCAGAGCACCACTGCCCTCGCTGGAGCTGCAGGAAATGGGAAGCGTCGTATGGTCCTCATCGCCACCATGGAGTACGATATCGAGGACTGGGCTATCAAGATCAAAATTGGTGGTCTTGGTGTCATGGCTCAGCTCATGGGTAAGACGCTTGGCCACCAGGACTTGATCTGGGTCGTTCCTTGCGTTGGTGGTGTCGACTACCCTGTCGATCAACCAGCAGATCCCATGACTGTGACCATTCTGGGCAGCGAATACCAAGTCCAGGTTCAGTACCACGTCTTGAAGAACATCACCTACGTTCTACTCGATGCTCCTGTTTTCCGCCAGCAATCGAAATCCGAACCTTACCCGCCACGCATGGATGACTTGGACAGCGCGGTCTACTATTCTGCCTGGAATCAGTGCATTGCTCAGGCAATCAAGCGCTTCCCTATTGACCTCTACCACATTAACGATTATCACGGATCCGTCGCTCCTCTTTATCTCCTGCCGGAGACTATTCCTGCTTGTCTTTCTCTTCACAACGCTGAGTTCCAGGGTCTTTGGCCAATGCGCACTCAGAAAGAACGTCGCGAGGTCTGCGAGGTTTTCAATCTCGATGAAGATATTGCGCGTCGCTACGTCCAGTTCGGTGAGGTCTTTAACTTGCTCCACGCAGGTGCGAGCTACCTTCGCGTTCAGCAACAAGGTTTCGGTGCTGTTGGTGTGTCCAAGAAGTACGGCAAGCGTTCTTACGCTCGTTATCCTATCTTCTGGGGTCTGCGCAAGGTCGGTAACCTGCCTAACCCCGATCCTTCTGATGTCGGAGAATGGACGAAGCAACCTATCAAGGATGAGGATATTACCGTGGACCCCGATTACGAGGCTGGTCGTGGCGAGCTCAAGCGACAGGCTCAGGAGTGGGCAGGTCTTGAGCAAAACCCTGATGCCGATCTTCTGGTGTTCGTCGGTCGCTGGTCGATGCAGAAGGGCGTCGATCTCATTGCTGATGCTCTTCCCGCTGTTCTTGAGGCTCGCCCCAACGTGCAAGTCATTTGTATTGGCCCCGTCATTGATCTCTACGGAAAGTTCGCCGCTCTCAAGCTTGGTCGTATGATGGAAGTCTACCCTGGCCGTGTCTTCTCCAAGCCCGAGTTCACTGCTCTCCCTCCATTCATTTTCTCTGGTGCTGAATTCGCCCTGATCCCCTCTCGTGATGAGCCTTTCGGTCTTGTTGCAGTGGAGTTCGGTCGAAAAGGTGCCCTTGGTATCGGTGCTCGTGTTGGTGGTCTTGGTCAGATGCCCGGTTGGTGGTATAACGTGGAATCGACCTCGACTAAGCATCTGCTGGTCCAATTTAAGTTGGCTATCGAGGCTGCGCTTAACTCCAAGGTTGAAACCCGTGCTATGATGCGCGCCAGATCCGCGAAGCAACGCTTCCCTGTCGCTCAGTGGGTTGAGGATCTCGAGATCCTCCAATCTACTGCCATAGAGGTCCACAACAAGGAGGTTGCAAAGGGTCACGGTCGTCCTCTCACTTCATCTGGTCTACCTGGTTCGGGAACTAGCACGCCCACTGGAGCTTTCAGATCACAGCAACCTATGGCTCTTGGCCCTTTGTCCCCACCTTCCAACGCCACCTTCCCTCATTCCAGAGATAGCAGCTACTCGAGCTTCAATCAGATCAGCGATCTGGGTGGAAACAAGAGAGCAAATGTCTATAGCCGTGATATCAGCCCTTCAGAGACCGAAAAGCCCAAGTCCAGCCTCAGTCGTTCCCTCTCTCTGGGTGTTCGCTCAGGTCCCGGTCACCAGGCTCGTCGTGGCCGTCGCAACATGCCAGAGGGCGATCTTTCGGAGGCCGAGAACGAAGACAGCAGTGACGAAGACAGAGCTCACAGCATCTATGGGGATGATGAGTACACACTTACTCCCGCCGAGGTCGAAGAGGGCCGTCGCGCGCAAGCTGCTCAAAGCCAGAGACAGGTCTCTGGATTACACTCCCCCACTCGTCGCATGAGTCAGGAGTCTACACATGCCAGATTCCTTGCTCCTCCTATGAGCCCTGGCACGCCCCCCAGCTGGAGCCGACCAGCTTCTACTCTCTCCTCAGCCCTTCGCTCAGTCTAACCGATTCAGTAACGCATCTGTCCTCTCTCTTGACTCCGTTGTTGGAAACAAGAAGGATTTCAAGCTACAAAAGGTCGATCCATTCTTCACTGATGGCACGGGTGAATACTACCACAACTTCGAAGAGAAGTTGCAGGGTTTGAATGGCTCTAACTCGGAAAGTGAGCTCTGCATTGAAGAATTCCTGGTCAAGAGTGAGCAGGAGTGGTTCGATCGCTTCCGCAACGCCAAACTTGGTCGTGGTAGCCACAACCCCAGGTCCCCAACACCCTCAATTTTCCGTTCAAAGCATAGTGCATCGCCCGCTGGCGAGTATGAAGAAGGCCTCTCTCACATTGCTTTCACTGAGAGCAATGACAGTGAAGATGACGAGTTCCTTCTTGGAAAGGATTATGTCCCTCCCACCGGTCTCAGAAAGTGGATGCAGATCAAGATCGGTGACTGGCCTGTCTATTCAATCTTCCTGGCTTTGGGTCAAATCATTGCCGCCAATTCATACCAGATCACATTACTTACCGGCGAAGTTGGTGAAACCGCGGAGAAGCTCTATGGTATCGCTACTACCTATGCCATTACCTCTGTACTTTGGTGGATGTGTTACCGCTACTTCAAGTCTGTCGTCTGTCTCTCAGCTCCCTGGTTCCTCTATGGTCTGGCATTCCTCCTGATTGGTTCCGCTCATTGGGATGGCAACACCTTCAACCGGGGATGGATCCAGAATATTGGATCTGGATGTTATGCCGCCGCTTCTTCGAGTGGGTCTATCTTCTTCGCCTCCAACTTCGGTGATGAAGGTGGTGCCCCTGTCGAAACTTGGATCTTCCGTGCCTGCGTTATTCAAGGTGTTCAACAGGCTTATGTTATCGCTCTCTGGTACTGGGGTTCGACCCTGACCAAGGCTAACAGCCAAGGCCTGCTGAACTCTGACACAGCCATCTCAAACACTTGGAAGATGTCGGCTATTTGTTATCCGATCGCGATCTTCATCTGGGGTATTGGTCTGCTGCTGCTCTTTGGTCTGCCCAAGTACTACCGCCAGAAGCCTGGCAAGGTGCCTTCCTTCTACAAGTCTCTGTTCCGCAGAAAAATTGTCCTTTGGAACTTTGTCGCCGTCATCTTGCAGAATTTCTTCCTCAGTGCTCCCTACGGTCGCAACTGGAGTTGTAAGTCCCCCCTGCCCGTCAAGCATAGTCTCAATATCCTAAAAGCTAACTTGCTTTCTTTTCAGTCCTGTGGACCACATCTCACGCCACCGCCTGGGAGATCGTCATCCTGTGCATTGTCTTCTTTGGCATCGTGTGGTGTGTCTTCCTTTTCATCATCAGCAAGTTTTCCAAGCGCCACAGTTGGTTCCTTCCTGTTTTCGCCTGTGGTTTGGGTGCACCTCGCTTCATTCAGATCTGGTGGGCTGTCTCTGGCATCGGCTACCACCTGCCTTGGGTGGCAGGCGGGTACACGGGAGCAGCCCTCGCTTCCCGCAGTCTTTGGCTGTGGCTCGGAGTGTTAGACTCCATCCAGGGTCTTGGATTCGGTGTTATCCTTCTGCAAACCTTGACACGTGTGCATATGTGCTTTGCACTCATTGCATCACAAGTGCTTGGATCCATCGCGACTATTTGCGCACGAGCTTTTGGCCCTAATGCTACAGGCCCTGGGCCAGTCAGTCCAGATATGACCAAGGGAGCTGGGGAGTTGGCGAACGCCTGGTTCTGGGTCGCTTTGCTGTGCCAGATCCTTATATGTGCTGGATTCTTGCTGTTCTTCCGGAAAGAGCAGCTTTCCAAGCCTTAAGCACGACTCAACGTGCTCCTCCTCCTTCCATTCCAAGGCCATGTTCGGTCTTGTGATACAACACCCACACATTCACACACCCACAAACTCACACATAATCCTGCATATTTGATATGATTCGCATTTACACTCCTTCCATCTTGCGCATTTGTCTTGTTTCTCTTACTTTTTGGTCGGTGGTGTGGCGTTCCCGGATATACCGATAACTGATTGATGTGTCCATCATCGAACTGTATATACATACTGCCTCTGTACTCTGCTTATAAGTTACCCCCCTGACTTTTTTTTCATGCTGGTGTCCGATGATACTTTGATGTATATGATATCACAAGAGTGGACGCGCCCACTTTCATGTTTCTCACCCTCCTTAGACATAATATTTACAACAATATGTTCGATACAAGTTTATTTTCTTATTGAACTGTAGCATATTAAAGTGCATGGATTTGACTGTGCAATTGCCTTGAAAGCCTTAGTCGAATTAATTGGAAGGAGTAGTCAAACGATCAAGTCGCAGACAGAACCTCAGGATGACCACGTGTGGCTGACAACCGCGCGAAGCGCAGTTAACGGAGATAACATGGAGTCGGGGTTCCGCTCCACGCTTCAATGTTCAGATCTCCTCATTCACCCCCGCCTTGAGTGGACTCTTCTAAACCGGTCAGAGCCATACATCTGCGCTGTAACCAACCTGAAGCATTTTCGAGATTTTCCATGTCCGACCCTAGTCCCACTTCTGATCTTACTGGTCAACCGTTTGCGAGAAATTCGGCCGCGGCACCAAAGAAGAGAACCCGAGTGCAATTTTCGTGCACAGCATGCAGAGTCCGAAAGTAGGTCCTTTCCGTCAAATTCTACTATTTTTCTTTTGTCTCGGTGCTGATTCCCTGCAGGCTCAAATGTTGTCGCACGTTCCCCTGCACGAACTGTAAGAAGCGTGGCGACGCAGAGTCATGTACCTTTGTTGGTCGTGGACCACGAGGGAAAGCTCAACATGGGCGCTCGAGCCCGACCCTCGTGCAAGATCGCTTGCAACATTTGGAGAACCTGGTCATGTCGCTGGCCAAGCAGCAGAAACCTGGCGATTCAGTGGCCGATTTCAGCGCTGCTCCGCCTGCAAATAGTGTGGGCTACGACACGCCGCCTTCGCTGCCTGCGGATGATGGCGAAAGCAAGACGTCACCCCGTGATCCCGGCACACTTGTTGTGAACGGCGAGGGTACGAACTATATTGACAGCGCAAATTGGCGCGCCATTCTCGAGGAGGTTTGTATTGATCCATGTTTTCTTGATAATATGAGCTGACGGAATACAAGATCAATGGAGTTAAGGAATATATTGAAGATCATGCAGAAGACTCTGACGACGACGGACTTGAAGAAGATCCATACAGCGATAATTCCCCAGCTCTATTACTTGGAATTGGGAGATCTTTAAGCAAGGAAGAGTTGATAGTCGACATCCCACCGCGGTCGACGGTTGACCGACTTGTCTCTCGCTTCTTCAAGACCTCGGAGCCATCCATCGTGGCAATCCATGTACCGACTTTCCAGAGAGAGTACGAGCAGTTCTGGGCAAATCCGCAGGGCATGTCTTATACATGGATCGCCTTGCTATATTCAATCATGGCCTTGTCCGTATCTTTGTACCACCGAAACGATGAACCTTCGCCTCTCCATACGATCGACTCGATGACTGCTTGGAACATCTTCCGGAGGAGAGCAGCTCAGTGTTTGACACAAGCCAACTACTTAAAACCCGGACAACACAAGGTTGAAGCGCTGTTCATGTACTCATTGTCTGAATTTTATCGCAACCAGGATGCCCAAATGGGAGTCTCGTACCTCTTTGGTATCACGATCAGACTTGCCATGCGTATGGGATACCATCGCGACCCAAGCCATTTTCCGGACCTTTCTGCCAAGGACGGTGAAATGCGTCGCCGCTCATGGGCTCTTCTCACCCAGCTCGACACTTTGATCTCGTTCCAGGTCGGTCTACCACGGACCATCCAACCCTGGCTTTCTGATACCAGACTACCATCGAATTTGTTTGACACAGATTTCGACGAGAACACGGCTGTATTGCCACAGAGTCGACCTGACGAAGAACGAACACCTTCCTCGTACACATGTGCCAAAGCCCGCATCCAGTACGTGTTTGGACAGATTTCTGACTTGGCATACTCGCGGGAGCCGGTGTCCTATGATGAGATTCTGGAGATTGAGCGTCGTCTTGACGAATCGCATAACATGCTACCTTCATTCTTCCGATTACGCCCGATCGGCCAATGCATTGCAGATCCGTCAGAATTGGTGATGCGTCGGTACACCTTGGAGATGCTCTACCAGAAAGCACGAATCGTGTTGCATCGTCCGTACATTGGCGAGAGGCAAAAGCATGATCATTCGCGATCGATTTGTTTGACAGCAGCCAAAGAAATTCTTCGCCATCATGCCGATATTTGGAATGAGTCTTTGCCCGGTGGTCAACTTCACGCCGAGCGCTTCTTATTGAATTCTTTCCAGAACACTGACTTCATGCTTTCTTCTATGATTCTCTGCTTGGAGCTTTCGCATGATAATGAGCGTGGACACAATGCCCATTTGAGTCGCCAAGAGCGGAACGATATCTTGGCCCTGTTGGAGACGACTCGGAAGATTTTTGAAGAGACTCGGCGTCGGTCCGTCGATACACAACGAGCCTTCGCCGCGTTGAGTCTCATGCTCGGTCGAGTCAAGGGTAATCCTCCAAATCTCTCATCTAGGAGCGAAAGCCAAGGTATTCTGATGGAAGGTATGTCTGGATTCGTCCCCCTTGCCAGCGCCGCTAATCAAGGTGTCAGATCACTCACCCTTCCAACTATTCACAATTCCAATTGAACAGCAACAGTACCTGGATTATACATCCAATGGCGAGATACCGGTTGCACTCTCCAACACTGACGATGCACTACATTATCCTTCTCTGGACGTGATCGAGGAAATGCTCAACGCCCCTGCTCACTTAGACTGGCGCTTGTATGACAGTCGAGTGTCTGGCCTTGAAGAAACCAACCAGGACACCTTTTGGTTTTCAGCCACTCCTCCTGTGCCCCTTGAGGGTGGTTTCACGTATCCTCCTAGTGGAAACTTATGACCTTTCACAATATAATGATAGTCCTACTTGAAATGACACACATCTTGGCTGGCCACAATTGCACAGAAATAGTATGTAAAAGCCATCGTGAATTTTAAAAATCAGTATTCCTTCTACATCGACATCGCAGAACGCGGAGTCTCGGCAGATCCCGCGCCAACTTTTTCCCAGGGTTCCGCGCCATCTTCAATTACTTGATCTCCGAATAAGCTCACACTCGCCATTCCCTCGTCTCTCCCTTCTCCAATGCGCCCAGCCTGCAGTCTGCGACAAGCCAGTCGCTCAAGTCGCACCCTCCTGCGCTCCCAAGGCCCTACGCCACTCCGAACCTCTCGGACAATCACCACAGCCCAATGCCCGCGCCATGCGATAACACCACAATGCGCACCATATATACCTCGCCGTGCCTTTAGCCTGCCTTCGCTCTCCTCCTTCATTCCCTCGCCTAAAGGCAACAGCGACCCTAAGCGCGTCCTCACAGCCACACGCACCCTCCCGTTCTCGCCCGCTCTCCTCTTCAAAGTTATCTCCTCGGTCGAATCCTACTCGCAATTCCTCCCTTTCCTCACAGCCTCAACGGTCACAGCCCGCGATCCAAATTCAGGTTATCCGACCCAAGCCTTTCTGACGGTCGGCTACGGTCCTCTCAGCGAGACTTTCACTTCGCGCGTAGACTGTGATTCCGCAAAAGGCGTCGTCGAGGCGCGCAGCGGTGCCAAGTATGCACAAAAGACCGAGGCAGCGAAGAGCGGGTTGGGTGGATTCTTTTCCTGGTGCAAACGAGGGGATCTTCGAGTATCTTGATACGAAGTGGAAATTGACACCATTGACGGGCGATAAGATGGGTGGGCCGCAGACAAAGGTTGATTTGGAGGTGCGGTTTGAGTTTAAGAACCAGATGCACGCTGCTATGATGAGTGCTGTGGAGGGGCAGATGGCTAATGTGATGATTGAGGCATTCGAGAAGCGCATTCGGGAGACGCATATTCAAGGTCAATAGAGAAACATTATAGACATGGATTGTATACTAGTGGAATTTGGGCTGGGCACGTATATATAAACACGATTTACATAGACCATCCCTTGTCATTTACGGAAGCATTGAGCGTGAATTGCGAGATTCATTTCTATAGAGTCTGCTGTACAGGATAGATTGAGGAATGGGTAAGGGAAATTGAACATGATATATAATACAGATTACCAAGGCTTTTGACGCTCAAAGCATGCTCAGGCTGCGATTCCGGTTGGCCGAGGTACGCGCACCCTTGACTGAGCTGACGGCGTTGTAGTTGTCAAACACAACGTCCCAGTTGATCCGATCCCACCAGCGCTCCAGGTATTCTTCCTTGCCGGCAATACCGTAGTCCATCATCCAGGCGTGCTCCCAGGTGTTAACGCACAGAATGGGCTGCACGTCAATGGCGCCGGGGGCCAGGTTCTTCTGGTTCTGGGCGTGGGCTCCCATGGCACCGGCGAACTGGTTGCCGAGAGGCGCGTCGGGGGAGTGGGTGGCCATGTCGACGGGTTGCCGCCGGGAGTAGGCAGCCGGGTAGGGCGAGCCGGCGTTGTAGGTGCAGAAGATCTGCATCAAACCCTCGCGCTCGAGGTTCTTGGCAAGCCAGACGAAACCAGGGCCGAACATGGCGTTGGCGGTAGCCAGGAAATCCAGCTTGAGGGATTCGACGGAGGAACAGGTGTCGACGATGTCCTTGGCGAACTTTTCGGGGATCTTGGTGGAGGTGGGGGACTGCGAAGCGGTCAGGAATTATCGCATGAAACATGATCGCGAGCAACTCACGATGCAGTTGAAGAAGAAGTGGTTGTTGTGGGCCATGGAGGCGTAGTTGAAGACCGAGGCCATCTCCGGGCGCTTGGAGTATTTGACCAGCAACTCTCCGGGTTTGGCGTCCGCATCGGGGGTGTCTATAGAAAACAATCATGAGACTTTTCTTCATCCTTGTATCAATTGAGGAAATCGCAAGCTCATGGCCCTGAGAATCCCGCAGGGCAGATGGACCGACCTTGTGTCAACAGGTTGAGCTTGTCCACGAGGAGGGTCTGGTATTGGGTCCAGGAGAAGTCGAAAGCCTCAGGCGACATGAACTCAGGCACACCATTCTCCTTGTAGTAGGCATCGTGCTGCAATTGGGGAATACGGTGGAGGCCACGGACATGGGAGCGAATGGCGGAGATTGGAGTCTGGAGCACCACGCGATCAGCACGGGACAGGAGATCAAAATTAAGCAAGACTCACTTGGAAAGAAGCCGCGCGCAAAGCGCTCGGCCGGGCGAGACGACTGAACATTGTGTGAGGATAACGAAGTGGAACGACTATCGCAGCTCCAAAGCGCGAAGAAATTCGATCCCCGAACTGCGATGTTATATAAGCAGGTGTTGGGCCAATCAGGCGCCCAGCATCTACTTCCATCAATCTTACGCGCCGGGCTTCAAACCATCTGCACCTCTCGTCTTCCGCAGAAGCAAGTCATGTTTCTGCAACAGGTTCTCTTAGCGCCCGTCTCCGTGGCACCATGTTCACAATGCTGAAACCCGGGCCCAGCCTGGCGCGTGCCCGAAATAGAACCCATGTATTCACTCCTTGAATGGGCTATTCATTGTCCTGGCTACCTTGGGCTTGGGTTTCAGGCTCCATCCACCGACCCTGTCTATTCAATATGTCTGTTCCAGTCTCCAAATGTTTCTTTCTTCCTAACTTCCTCCCTCCATTCAAGAATTTTTCTTATCTGTCACTGTTTACCCACCCCGACTTGGACTAAGAATCGGCCTAGAGCCACCCGCAACGTCTGATTGTTTGACCATATTCATCTGGATTCTCCGGGGAAACGACAGACGAAGTACCATCTTCCACCGTCATGACGAGAGAGACGGTGGGTATCGTTCAAGGGCGATGGTCTATTCTGCTGGTCTTGACGCTCATGGCCACCATCCCAACGAGTCATGCTTTTGGCTCTTTCGAACTGCTTCCGCGAAGCTCAGACTCCTGCCCGACCTCATACAACTCCTGTGGAGGAAATCTACCGAAAGACTTCTGCTGCTCGTCGTCTTCAACCTGCATCAGTCTAGACGATGCCACTTCCGCCATCTGCTGCCCATCCGGAGCAAGCTGTGACTACATCTCCCCCATCGTCTGTGACGTTCAACAACAAAACACAGCAATCTACCCAAAGAACTCTGTCAAGACGAGCCGGCTTAAAGATAGTCTTCCCACGTGTGGAGATGCTTGCTGCCCATTTGGCTACACCTGCCAAGGGAATAGCATCTGTGCTCTGGACAAAGCGACCTCGAGCACTGGCACATCCACATCCACATCCACCATGACCTCGAGCACCCCAACCAGCACCTTATCAACAGCTGAAACAGCCATTGCTGGTGCGGCATTCACACCCGTCCCCTCATCTTCCGTCTCCGCCTCCAACGAACATGCCGACAGCGGAACCCTTGCCTCCTCATGCCCATCCTTCCCAAGCAAAGCAGTAGCGGCAGGCTTTTTCCCAGGCGCAATTTTCGGCGCCGTCCTCGCCCTCATCATATTCACTTGCCTTCGTCGCCGCGCCAAAAACAAGGAACAGCAGGAGGTCCCCTGGGAACCCAAGCTAAAAGCCTGGTCCCAACGGTCCTCAACCGGCGGAGTCGTAGGAATCTCCCGTCCAATCCTTTCAGAGGATTACGGTCGTTCTGATTTCCTCCTCCATCCCTCACCTGCAAGACGCAGTTACCTCAGTTCACGATCGACGAAATCAAGACTCCACCGGACAGGAAGTCGAGTACGAAGTCTTTTCCACAATGGAACGCCACGACTAAATAAAGATATTCCACCAGTTCCCCCTTGTCCTGTCACTCCACCCAGGCAGCGTCAGTCTAGTACCGAGAGTATCAAAATTTATTCGCCGCCGGGTGCATTTGCACAGTCGCGCAAGTTTCTAGGGCCGGAGCCCTATCCGCTTACCCTTGCACGGCCAGATACCACGTTTACCGATTTGATGCAGGTGGTTGGGTTCAATGATCCTAAAGGAAAGCCGTCTTACAAGGTGACCGTTGAGGAAGAGAAAGAAGATAATGGAAAACTTCAGGGTAAAAGAGGTTAATTTTGTCGATCCGGTGATGGGTATGGAAATTCTTTGTACATTAACGAAGAGCCGAAGCTATCTTGAAGAGAATTTAAAATTTCTTGTATTATCGTTTATATATACAGATCGCAACTAGGCCGCGGCAATGTCGCGGCAAGCCTTCAAGTTGGTCGAGAATTGGTTATATCCCGCTCGTACAGGATAAAATATATGGTCGTGGTAGCCTCATGCTCGCATGTGTATGGACAGCGACCCACAAGCCAACATATAGATCGGTCATTCCATCGTGTGTGAAGAACAGGCCAGATTAATGAATCTGTAGATATGCATTCAATTTCTTTTTCAACCCTGCCAAAACGATCGGTTTCGCCAGATAATCATTCATCCCTGATTCCAGACACTTCTCTCGATCGCCCTGGATTGCCGAAGCTGTGAGAGCAATAATCAGGATATGCCTCACAGCATCCATCGGATCACTGCGCAGACGACGTGTGGCAACATATCCGTCCATGACAGGCATTTGGACATCCATCAGGACCATGTGGTACGGTTGCTCCGCACGAGCTTGCTTCTGGATACCCTCCACGGCCTCAAGACCGTTATTGTAGGCATCTACCTGGACAAATCCTAGCTTCTTAAGGAATTGCACCGTGATTTTCTGATTGATCAAGTTATCTTCCGCGATGCAGACGCGGAGGTCGGAGAGGGGGACATGAGACACATCAAGGCAAGCCGGGGCTGCTTCATTGGAGAGGTCTCCAGAGCTGTCCAGAAGTGTGTTTGGAGTAGCAGTCCCTGATCCGCCGGGTGTGACCTTCGGCACGGTAATCGAGAAAGAGACAGTCGTGCCAACGTTTTCGGCGCTCTTGAGCTCGATGGTGCCCCCCATCAGATCTACCAGGGATTTGCAGATACTGAGGCCTAAACCACTGCCGCCGAATCGGCGCGCGGTGCTGGCATCAGCCTGCGTAAAGGGCTTGAAAAGGTGCTGTACGAGCCGAGGTGGGATGCCAATACCCGTGTCTGTCACCCAGAAAGAAAGACGAACAGAATCCTCAGTCTCATCGTCTGCCCTGGATCCTATTGTAATGGATCCTGTCTTTGTGAATTTCAGGCTGTTACTGACTAGGTTGCCCAGAATCTGCTTCATTCGCACGGGATCCCCAAAGACATGGGTTGAGGGTGGGCTGACATCTTGTATCATGCGGACATTGTCGGATCCCTGCTTGTTCCCAAAGCCAGTCGGCATTGAGCGAGCGACTTCTCTGACCATTTTTTCGACATCAAAGGAGATGATATGCAACTGCACCTTGTTCGCTTCAATTTTGGAGAAGTCGAGGATGTCATTGATCACGGTGAGCAGGAGGTTCGCCGACATGCGGATCGAATCAGCCATGTCCAATTGCTGCTCCGATAGTGGGCTGGTGAGCAATAGCTCCGAGTTCCCAATAACCCCATTGAGTGGCGTTCGAAGCTCGTGGGATATATTGGCCAAAAAGATGCTTTTAGCCTTGACGGCCTCTTCGGCAAGCTGGGCATGACGCAGAGCCTCCGATGTAGCGATGTTCGCCTTTTGTTCGGCCTCCATCGCTTCCGCCAATGCCTTTTTCTGGACATCTACCATAGATTGGTTGATGGTGGACACCCGTTCCACTTCCCGGAGAGTCAGTGCATTGGAATAGCTAATTCCAAGTTGGACGACGAGCAACTGTAGAACGACGCGATTGCGATACGAGAAAGCGTTGGGTGGTCCCTCCAGGTACAGAACCGCGATGGGCTCATTCTCTTCACCACCGTAAGAGATGGGTAACGCCACGACTGATTTGTTGACGGCATTCTGACCCGCCCATGCTTCACTCACGTAGCTGAATCGCGGATCTTGCAAGACATCCGGCAAATACGCCGCCTCGCGAAAGCGCACGCAATAATTCACAATACTTTCCGCGACAAGATGGGAGCGTTCAACCAGTGTCGGAGGATCATGTACTTTTATGTTACCAGTTGCGTCGCCACTGGCTGCCACAGCCCACCCAAGGTTCAGGTCCTCCTTGGTGATAATGGCCGCCATGGTAGCAACGCCATGGCAGCTCTGCATGATGATTTTGCACATCGTCCGAAGTAGGTCATCGACCTTTAGAACGCTAGATATCACCTGGGAGCCTTCGAGGATGGTGGTGAGATCTAGGATGTGAAGGACACGCTCTGCCGCGGGTCCTCCGGTACTTGATATCTCGTCATTCCCAACATCAGACACCCGAGGGCCAATCCGTGTCGTGATGTCGTCTGATTCGGTTTGAGTAGCGATCTCCCGTACCGTTGCCGTTGTCTGCTGCTCCTGACCATGGGAATGCAGAATGTGATCAGCCACCCCCGTCGCCCCAATTCGTCGGTAGAGTCTAACTGCCTCCTTCAGAGCCAGTGTGCCTAATCGTGAAGATCTCTCACGCATCAGATATTCAGCTAACAAATGTTGGCTAAGGGCCTCTTCGAAAGCAAACCCATGCATCGAAGCGTGGTCTATTGCCTCTTCATAGAAACGAAGAGCGGCGGTCTGATCCTGCTCCATCTCGGCGATCTGTGCGCCCAGAAGTTTCGTCCATGCCAGATAATTCACGTCTGTGATGACCTGCCACTGTTCAATCTTGCGCTTGAAATATCGCAACATCCTTGCCATGCTTATCATCTCCTCCTCAAAAGACGCCTCAAACGATCGCCCACCGATATCGGACGCCAATTGGGGGGAAGATGCACGGTATGCGGCACTGAGTTGTTGCTGCTTCCGGATCCACATACTTCCTGCTAAAGAAAGGGAATGAAAGAACATGAGAAATCGCGCGTTCCGTGCGGACCATATCGCGTTGATTTTTTTGAGACACGAATTTCCCAATAATATCGCTCGCTCGTAGTGGCCGTACAGAAATAGCGGTGCGATTTCCATGCTCTCATAAAGCATCAGTGGCCGGTCCCTGTTTTTGATAGTTCTGACCAGCCAAGATTTATATGCGGCAGAACTGTGTTCATCGTCACTCATCACCCTAAAAGGATCATGTGTATACGTTTTGCCTTGCAAAGCACGACTGAGCTGGCAAATTGTGATGAGGATGGTACCGCCAGCAGTGTCCGTTTGCCAGCTGGGAATGTCTTGACAACTGTAGATGCAGAAGGTCTCCAGCTCGGCCAGGTCTTCGGAAGCGAAAAACTTCATGGTAGCCAGAAAACCGAAGTTCAATATGGTGGCTATACGGTCACCCGCACGGATAGAGAAATCCACCGCTTCTTCCAATTGGGACATTGAAGATTGAACATGCTGTTGAAGATGGCCGATAAAGGTGGAGTATAGAGCCATGCCACGACCTATAGTAAGTGGATCTTTGGATTGTTCAATCAGTGCCAAGGCAAGGTCCCCACAATGTTTCGCGAAGGCAATTGCGTTGCCTCGAGTAATTGCTATCACAGCTAACTGCATGAGTCCCATGCCCGCCTGGGGGAAAGGACCGCGCGAGAGATAGGTGTCAACCATGACAAGCGTCATTTGGTAAAAGGTTAGCGTATCTGACCAGAAACCCGCGCTAGTGGCCTCGAGAAGAACCGCCCCAGCAGCAGCCAAGGCTGGATGCTCAGGAAGAGCCGTTGCGACAATAGCTTCAGGTTGTACGGCAGAAACCGCCTCGCATAGCCGTTGAAGCTCTTTGTCGCATTTAAGAAAAGTGGGATCGACGTCAATCGTAATGTCTAAAGCCATGAGGCATTCACTCAGGGCATGGAAAGCACCAGTCGAGTTACCTAACTGTGCAAGCATGCGAGATCGCAAGATCCAGGAGGGAGCTTGATCCACTGGGCTTCGAGCATTCGAGATTATAGCTTGCAGCAAGCGAGCAGCTTCCTCATGCCGCCCTTGGTACAAGTAGCATTCAGCAGCGGACGTGAACAGTTGCAAGGTCTCGCTGTAGCTCACATCCACGGTGTCGTCGTTCCATATGTCCTCTTGAAGAAGGGTTATGCAGCTTGCATATGAGTTCATAGCGGTCGAGCGTAATCCAGTCTCACTTGCAGCATTCGCATACTCGAACAGGAAATTTCTGAAAGGCCTTCTTACTGCAAGAGAGTTCTTGATCATTGGTGCTGATTCAATAACGGCCGATGCCAACATACTTCGATATTTGTCGTCATGGGAATGATACTGAAATAGCACTTGTGCCTTTATCAAGTTCACATGGTCCTTGTCTCTTTTGTGAAATGATGCTGCGATATGCATGTAATGGCTGTATGTGAAGGAGAAAAGATCATGATCCTCCGTAGGTACGATAATGTAGGCTTGAATGATTGCCTGTAGACCTTGCATCATTTCTCGCTCAGACAGAGTAGATCCGGAAGCCACCTGATCATTGTTGAGAAGCCTCTGGACTAACTGAAACGAGAATGTCATGCCTAAAACGGAAGCCCAGGCCAAGATGGACTTGCAAACAGGCGAAAGGCTGCTCAGACGCCTGGCTAAGAAATCATCGAAGGCAGCGTCGTTGTAGCTGTCCACTTTGAAATACTCCGAGATGCGGCTTAGATCAAAAGACCAGAGCCCTTCCTGGAAATCATAGCAGATGAATCCATGTTCGTGACAATCATTCAACACTTCACGGATGTAGAAGGGGTTTCCATTAGTCCTTGATTGAATGAAAGCCCCCAGAGGCCAGATTACAGGGACAGACAAAGACAAAGTGTTCGCCACATATTGCATTACACAGTCTTCATTGAGCGGTGTGAGTGAGATGGCGGTAAGACCTACGTCTCTTCCTGCCAGAACCCCTACAATAGTAAGCATGATGGGTCATAATAAGAAGGACTGCAATGGTAGAACGGTCAATTTGGAGAAATGCTGCGGGTGATTTACCTTCATTGTAAGAGAAGTTAAGTATACGCTTAATCATTTCCGAGGAAGCATTTTCGGGCCGGTAGGCCATTATCACCACCATCCTGATTCGAGCCGACACCATATGGGCAATGAATTCCAAGGATTCTTCATCTGCCGCGTGGACATCGTCCAGACAAAGACATACCAGTTTGTATCGCGTAAAGACCCGCAGGATATTCAGTAAGGTACGCACAAGAGGCAAAGACTTCGTGGAGGATCCGGTCCGAAGAAATTCCTGAGAACTCTCCGTTCCAGCATTCTCTGGGGAGGACCCTGGTGGGACGATGAGAGGGTCGTTTGAGCAAACTTGTTCAACACTTGTTCCGACAGGTCAGGACCCGAACCGAGGAGGAATTTGGGTAGGCCTAAAATCTTGTGCAGAGTGTTCCAAGTGGGTCCAATATGATTTCGCAACATCGGCAGGAAACTAGGCTCATTCATGTTCTCCGAGAATGCCTGGTGAAACAAACTTGAAAACAAGTGTAGAATCGGACGCATACGCTCGTTGTCCCCGACGTCGAATCGAGAGCCGGCAAAGAAGCCCCTTCGTCGGGCTTCAATCTGAACCGATGAGATCAGCCGAGATTTGCCCAAACCAGGCCCCCCCTCAATGCTGATAACCTCGCATAAACCTTTCGGCGTTGCTATGCCGTGTGCAGTCGCCCTTCCCGCATTTTCACTTGATCGGGAGCTCCCCTCGCCATTGGCGCTGTCAATTGAGGAGATTGACAGGCGCTTCTCCAATCCCTTCTTCTCTGCGAGGACCGGGTCGGACTCGCTTTCGTCGCTCGAGGCGTATAGCGAATCTTTGGGAGAACGTGTGCGGCCTGTATTTGCTGGATACGATTGGGTAAACCCGGCGGATGTCCCGCTCACAGAACCGGTCAGGCCGAGAGATCCATCGACCGCTTTGAGGGCTTCCTCTTCTCCGGGGGTATTGACTGGTGAGGGAAGGACGGTAAATGTTGCAAATTGGTCCTCCGGCAGAGACGACAAGTGAAGCCCTCTGCCTCCCTGATATAGTCTCAGAGTACGATCCAGGACCTCGACGATGGCATCCCGCTCGGCCGCCCGGCCCACCATTGTGCGTGGGAGCGCAAAGAATGGAGAAACATCCTTCCTGGCGAGTTCCAAGCCTTCCAAAACTGCCGCGTCTCCCGCTGCCAGCAAATCCCGTGCCTCCACAAGGTCATGACGCAAACCGCGGGCAGAGTTGTAGCGCTCCGAGACGTTTTTGGCCGTCGCTTTGGCGATAATCCGGGCAAAAACCTCTGGCACGTCGGGTCGCACTGTCGACACGGAAGGCAGCGCCTGTCCGAGCACCTCCTTGATGAGTCCCATGGGGGTCTTGCCTCCAGACGGGTCCTCACGGACGAGGGCGTTCCAAAACATGATGCCGAGGGAGTATATATCGGCGCGATTGTCGGCTTGGGTTGGCGTCTGCCTAGTTTGCTCGGAGCTCAAGTAGGAGATGTGCGCCGTGGCATCCTTCTTGTTCTCTAGAGCTGACCAGTGCGCGTTCTCTCGTCCGGTATCATAGAACTGAAGACCTGCCCCGAGATGGATCAAGCGCACGTGGCCGGTCTCTTGATTGAAGTGGAAGGCCTCCCCCCGAATCTGCCCATGGACAATCCGCTGGCTATGCAGCATTTGAATGCACTCCGCGGCGCCTATAGCGAAATCCAGGAATGTTGCCAACGGCATGAGCTCGTTCCCGTCCGATTGACGCAAGCTTTCACTGTTGGTCTCTTTTTGACTCGCAGCTTCCTCGGGGCGCATCTGATACCAGGTCGCGCCGCAATCGACGTAGCGCAGAAGATCATTAGGGCCGGGACTTTCATAGATGCAGACGAGAAGCGATGGCGTGTGCTCATCATCGAGATTGGATAAGCGTAGCATCTCCACGGGCTGCAGAAAATACTTGTGGTGAGGAGCGGCAACAGATGCCAGCATCTGATACTCTTCTTGCATTCTTTCTCCCTGGGCCAGAGTCTCACCAATGCGCGCCACCACTTCGATCGTTATCCCTGATCCTCTCCCCTGGTCCCCAACGTCGCCGTCCCTTCCAGGACCATACGGGGCAAAAGTTTCGCTCAAATTGCCGGGAGAGAAGGCGCTTCGGAGGCGAGCGGTGTCGGCATGACCCAAACGAACGGTACGGTCAAGGTGCCTAGTTCCAAAAACGTGCCTAAGAGACGCTTTAGCATACAATTTCCTTTTCATACAAGGACTAGGGCTCGGTTCGCGCACCACACGCCATAGCTGGAGCGGAATTGTCTCGTTTCATCCCAGGTATAAGCCACCAGGTGGTTCAATTTGTCCATCAGTCCAGTGAGAGGCTTCTGAGCCCGTTCATACCCAGAAAGGCCGGGGCGAATTGATTATCGGCCGGCAGGATCAACGGCCGCTGAATTCCATTTTCGTAGCTCCGAGATCTCCGGGAGGTTCGCTGTCAAGACGTCAAAAGGGAGCCAGCGCGTAATTGAGAGAAGCGGAGGCGGATGAATCCGTCCAAATTTGACATTCGCACGTGCAAGTATGCATTCTTGCCTATAGGGACGACAGAGCTAGAGGGGAATAAACTTGGAAGACGGCAGAACCATCATTTGGAAAACCGGTTTCGATTGTTCATTGTCCGTTATCAGTTATTCTTTTTCCTAGCGCCACCGAATGGCACGGGCATCTAATTAGAATAGTGATTCCCCACGAAATGATCGAGACAAAAGTACATAGCTCAGTCGCAATGTGATCAGATCTCTTGGCGTGGCTTACACGCCCTCTGATCCATGTCTGTCCCCGAGAGGAAGGGTCAATGGATAAATAAAAAGCCACTCGACCGAGACAGGGTTTCAACGGTGCGGCAAAGATCCACTCTGCCGTCTGCTTGTGACAGCCATTTTGAGTGGGGGAGATCAATGACTGCCGGTGATCGAATTGAATCTCGAACCGGCAAAGTCCTCGGTCTCCATCGGAAGGGCATCCGTCTTCTACAAATATCCAATCTCTAAAATCGGTCGCCTTGGTCATAGGTTTATCTTGGCCTCTAGTACCCCTTGACTATCTTCTTCTGCTAGGCCGAGCACGGTCGGCGCCACCCCCACAATGTCCGGAGAGACCAGGGCCACTCCGTAAGTCTTGTGAAACTTCTATGGTCTAATTCCTCCTGCTCGCGGTTGATGTTTTTCCTGCTGTTTCGTTTCTCTGTTCCCTCTACTCCGAGACCACAGTCTCAATGCACCCGCTTGGAGTCCGGTCCTCAGGTTATACTTTGATCCGGCTCCTGCGAACATGGCGCTATCGTCTTTCTAAATTCGTAACTGACTCCTGCGCCGTCTCCTAGTCTCCGTTTGGGGTCTATTGCACCCAACTTCCAGGCGGAAACCACTATCGGCCCCATCGACTTTCATAAGTGGGCAGGCAACGACTGGGTGATTCTCTTCTCCCACCCCGAGGACTACACTCCGGTCTGCACCACCGAGCTGGCTGCGCTGGCCAAACATGAACCCGAATTCACCAAGCGCCACGTTAAGCTGATTGGCCTCTCGGCCAACTCCATCGAGTCGCACGATGGCTGGATTAACGACATTTCCGAGATCGCGGGATGTCCCTTAACCTTTCCTGTCATCGGCGATAAGGATCGCCAGATTGCCTTAGCTTATGACATGTGAGTGGCTTCCGTTCGTTTCCCTTTGCGCGCCCACTCAGCCACTCCCGAAACTGACCCATCCATGCAACAGGTTGGATTATCAAGATACCACTAATGTGGATGCCAGAGGAATTGCCTACACCATCCGGTCCGTCTTCATCATCGATCCCAACAAGGTCATCCGTCTGATCCAGGCTTATCCCGCCTCCACGGGTCGTAACACGGCCGAACTACTCCGCGTGGTGGACTCTTTACTGGCTACCGACCAGCATGGAATCAATACCCCTGTCAACTGGCAGCCCGGTGACGATGTGGTCGTCCCTGCTAATATTGGTGATGAGGATGCCAAGGCTCGATTCCCGACTCTGCAAGAGGTCAAACCGTACCTGCGTTTCACCCCCTTGGCGAAAGAGAAGATTCTCCCTCGTTGGTAACGTCGGTTCAACTCCAGCATAGACCATAAGCTGGTGTGATGGCCGGCCTGATAAGAGCGACTGCAGTACTTTTCAATTTCTTCGATGTAAAAGCTCTTCAACTGAACGACTCAGATCAAATCACGCTAATGTATAATAGTTCATCGCTCCATAAATTGAACAAACCCATCATCGTAATGATTGTACTGGCCATCACCTCCAGACACTCCCGCCCACCCATGGTTACTCGTTTTCAGTCCTTATTTCTGCCCATTCAGCAAGGGAAGAGCATGACGAGGGGCAAAGGAGAAATCCCGTACACAGCGATCCTGAGGAGCGGGCCGCAGCGATCTGATCTCATAGTACGATCTAAGCCTCCACAGGCCGGAACCGGGCGTGCGCCCCCAACTCACTGATTCGCCTTGCGACTCGCTGCGAGGCGTCCCACATGGAATGCGGATCAGACCACTGTTAAGACTAAATAGCAGGGATCCAAGAGAACACCGTAGATAAGCACCTCATCGACTGTGAGCTCCAAGGACTTGTTTTACATGATAAGATGGACCAATAAGTGCAAGGGACGCCTAACACGTGTAAAGTAGAGGGAAACTGATGCTCGGAATTAAATACATGGGATTCTTTCTTGCAACCGCCCATTCCCCAATTTCTCCGCCTCTAGCCCGATCCCGATCGTCTCTTCCTCTTCTTCGCCAGGGCCAAACCTTGACAACTCACGTATCAGCCATAGCCATGGGAACCACCTGGTCGCAGTTCTTTCCCCCTGCACCCACCTTGACTGAAGCTAACCTGCCCAGCCAAAAAGGCAAGGTTTTCATCATCACGGGAGGATACTCGGGCGTGGGTCTAGCGCTGTGCAAGATTCTCTATCTGGCTGGAGGCAAGGTGTACCTCGCAGGGCGCTCCGAGGAGCAAGCCACGAATGCCATTACACAGATTCAAGCCTCAATACAGTCGTCAGATGGAACCCTTATCTTTCTGCCTCTGCACCTTGATGATCTAGCAAGTATCAAATCCGCAGTAGAGACCTACACTGCTGCGGAATCCAGATTAGACGTTCTGTTCAACAACGCCGGTGTGTCAAACCCACCCGCAGGCTCCGTCTCGGCACAGGGCCATGAACTCCAGTTGGCGACAAACTGTCTTGGACCACATCTTCTGACACAGTTACTTCTCCCGACTCTTCGGCGTACTGCCGAGAGCGAACCCCCCGCTTCTGTACGCGTAGTATGGACGGGGTCAATAGTGGTCGACATGGCTGCCTCGAAAGGTGGGGAGATTCTGGAGGAGCTTCTACGGAAAGACACAAAGCCCCAGCGCAATTATGAGCACACAAAAGTCGGCAACTGGTACCTCGCCCATGCATTGGACGCACAGGAAAGGCCCAGTGGAATCTTGAGTGTGGTCGTGAACCCGGGAAATCTCAAGACCGGCTTGACTCGTCATATGTCCTCGCTGGTGCCCTTGCTAGCGGCTCCCCTGCTGTATCCAGCGAAGATGGGTGCTTATAGTGAACTTTGGGCGGGGCTCTCTAATGAGCTGACGTTATCTGATGGGGGTAAATATATCTTGCCTTGGGGGCGTCTTCATCCCAAACCGAGACAGGATCTGTTACAGGCGATGAAAAGGAAAGCGGACGGTGGTACAGATGCTGCGGCCACTTTCGTACAGTATTGTGACGATCAAATTTTGGGATTCAAGTAGCCAGTAGACTACGGTACTTGTGATAGCAAGGCGGAACCTCTGAACTCGTTTGGGACTTGTTGACTGCGATATATACCTTCATCTATGCATTTGTGTACACCGGTCGATTGTCTTCAAGCTTTATCGCATGGCAAACCCCAAAATGAGTATATCCTAATTACGAATACCTTGAGGGCATCTTCTTAAGCTGCAGCCCATAATTCCGAGCTCATCTTTGTTATTCATTTCTACATAAGGGTGCAAGTACATTAGAAGCTATTTTACCACCACACGAGAACGTGCCATGGAAGCACGAGGTGATACATATGCCTAAGGTCGTGCCCCATCAACCGGACTGAGCCCGAAAGCCCTGCGACGGAGTATCGTCTGAAAAGGTATAGATATGAAGAAGTACGGCTCGTAATAAAATACAATAGAGAGAAGCAAATCTATGCTGCAGCGAGCCTCCGCGCTTTCCACCCTGCGACAATCCGCTTCAACTCTTTGATCAATCCAACAAACAGCGGGACTCCTATAGGTCCCAGGAGTGGCAAGTAGACGGCCACCTTGTGTTCATCTGGGAAGTATACTTGGCCGACCATGCTCTTCTCGAAGAAGCTACGCTCGGCCTCGGTCTCGGCAACCCTGGCGGTGGCAAGGGCAGCGCTGAAGCGACCACTTCGCAAGTGCGAGCAGGTACTAGAAAGATGGGAAAGCGTGGTCGAGACTGAAGAGGCGACAGTTGCGGGGATGGGAATGGAGGGGAGAGACTCAGTCAGGCGGGCAAGGGAGCCCATCGTCGAGGACGCGGAGAGAAGAAGGCTCGCGGCGCGGATGCGGATCAAGGTCTGAAGGCGGAGGGGAAGAGAGGCAGGGGTAGTAGGAGTGCCGAGGAGAGTCAGGAGTTGATGAGAGAAGGTCATGAAGGCAGGGCGAAGAGAATCCCGAGATAGATGAGCAGGGTTGGACCTCTTGTCTGCTGAGGACAAGGATGGGTTCAAGAGGAAGACGCCACCCCATTGAGGAACGATCCAGCTAGAGGCGCGATTTTCCTTGACCATCATTGGCGCCTGCGAGGGAGCGGGGACATAGAGAATGAAGTTCAGGGTGGGACCGTTTCCAATGCTGGGGTTCAGCGGCCACTCGGCAGCATTGACGAACGCACTCAAGTCCTCCTTCTTCAGGGTCCATGCAGCTTCGGCCTCGTCATAAATAGGCGGTGGGGCCATGGGTGAAAAAGTTGCGTACAGCTGGACCTGAGTATCGACAGTGAAGTTGCTAATGGGCGCAAACGCATGGAGAAGAGGAGACAAGTATTCCTCTACAGCAGCTTCGATATCCCACGATGAAGGCTCGGGGCCTGGGGTAAACAAAGAGAATGACAGGTGGTACGTATCGGCGTATTTCATCGCCCGGCGCAAGCGTCGACTGATACTCTCTGTGAACTGCGGGTTGACCAAATCCAGACCGTGGATCCCACCGGAAAGGATGTGTGCGATGGTAGCCTTTTCTTCGCCATACAATCTTTGTAACTCCTCCGCAATGAAGACCGAGAGGGGTGGGTTTGAAGACGAGGGAATAGGGACCTGACTCGGTGGGTAGAAAACATCAAGCTGCGTGGCATCCGCATGAAGTTCCGCCTTGGGGACAAGTAGGCCATCTTGCACAATCACACGGACGATCAATGCCGTGTCGGGGGCTTCCTCTCCATTACGGGCAACTTCTAAGCTATCCTCAGTCTGCTGTTCTGTGGATGTCGCGTTCGTCAACTTGAGGCGAAGATGGTGCGCGGCGAACTCATTTAGATCGTCCAAGGCATGCTGAGTCGTGCGAAGAAGGTGCTGAGATTCAGGTGATTGCATGTCCGGCGTCGCAACTTGGATCTCGAGGGGAAAGACGGGGCGGCATGTCTAGAAGAGTGAGAATCAGCCCTCTTTTAGTCAATTCAAGGAGACTAACCTTGCCGTCGGCCCAATCAACCATCTCCTGGATAGGCAAGTGTGCCCTGTAGATTGAAGTGGTCTTCCACCATATTGGGAATCCCAGGAAGATAATCACTGCCCAGAAAGTAGCGATGACCAGGAACCGCGTTGAGATGGCTTCTGGAGTCTCGGGCGGGATGCGCTGAGCGATGGGTGTGGATTCAGATGCAGTCGTAGCCTGTTGAGACGTAGAGTCTCCCTTGTTGCCCGTCATGATCTGAACATTGCTTTGGGCGCAGCTGGAGCCGGTGTGTTGACAGTGAAGTCGGAGAGAGGAAGGCGGAGAAGGGGGAGAATTGACCGTGGTGGAGTTACTCCACAAAGCACTACCATACACAACAGCTGTGACCACATTGCTGTTCTTGATGAATTCATTATAATCCTTTGAATTGCTTGATTAGTCTTAGCCTGTTAATCTATCCAGTTCATCTTACGAGCAATCCAAGAAATCTACAAATCAAGCCATAGGGCTCTACTTTCAGAAACGCCTGCAAGAGAGACGGAACAGCCGTACTCAATAGACTTGCAATTGACGTCGTAGAAATTTGGTATATTCTAGTTATATGGAAAAGTCTGAAAAAATGAAAAGCAAAGGGTATCATGACCAAAGTAACGCCGATCCAATGTAGCGGTCAACAAAGACCTTCGACGTGTTCCTAGTACTCCTTCTCGAAGATCTTTTGAATGGGTTTGGCAGCCTAGAATGGCAGAAATTAGCAAGAGTGTCTAGATTCCATGGAACAGAGGCAATAGGCACATACATCAATGAACTTCTCCAGGTCCTGATCTAGGCTAGCGAGGTCATCTTTTCGCTTCTTGTTTTCCATTATTAGGGCCTGTTTGCGCTTGAGAAGCTCCTGGCGCGCCTGCTCGAGCTTTTCACGCTCAGCATGTTCGTGGTTGATGCGTGCGATCATGAGTTCATGCTCGTTGGTGTCCTGGTGCTCGGGGAACTGCTCCAGGAACTCTTCGACGGGGATGAGAGGTAGCGACAAGTACTTGTGACTGTCAGAGAACACTCGGGTTAGTCAGGAGGTACAAGTACACGGCTAAGAACTTCACCTACTCATAAGCCTCGCAGGCGGCGATCTCTCCCGTCAAATGCTTCTGCTCATAGTAGAGATTTTGTAGCTGAAGGTGCAGTCGGTCAATTTCTTGACGAGCCTCGGCGGTGGCCTGCTTGGTGTCTCGCACGCGAAAGCAAGCGTCTCGATTTAGACCGCGCAGCTGGGCAAGTAGAGCATAGAGGACCTTCTGTTGCTTCGAGGCCGCCAAGGATAGATCGTGGAGGGTGGCGGGGTCAGTCGCGACAGGGTTTAGCAAGGAGAGCAGATGATGGCATTGGGCGAGGGTCTCAGCGCTTGTACCAAGCACGGGCTGCAGTGACTCGTCCGTGACGACCTCAGCGATAGTCATGGCGGGAATTCCAGAATTTCAAGAGTGGCGACACCTGAAAGAAGTTCCCGAGTTGGAGTGGAAGTGCAGTGACGGGGTTTGAAAAGTGGAGTTGGCAGGGCTGACTTCCAGCAATCAGCGACAAGCCGCGACCTTGAATTTACCCATGTGAACCAGCGACGCCCGATGGTTGGGATGATCGGCTCCTTCAACCTTTATCCTCTCCATTTTTACCCCTCGGAGACTTCAAGATCTTTTTACTCTTCAGTATCCCTCCTACAACGTCCTACCTTGCTGGTTCGGCCCTTTTCTCACTCTCTCCCGCTCTCTCTATCTCTCTCTCTCTCTTTCTCAACACTTTCCAATATCTTCAAGGCACCCGGACTCCCCCGGCCCGCAATTTTACCCAACAAATCCCGCACTGGTGGTCCTCTTGTCGATCGGGTAGTACTCCCGACTGCACGGCAATGGCCTGCTCTGCGACCTCAATGACTGTCGAATCGTATCCCGACACCGCCGTGTCCTCGTCTGCTGCCACTCCTGGCGAGGATACCGGTCTTCTGCGAGACCGGCGACGGAGACACTCCTATCATGCCCCACGAAGACTCTCCTGTGACTCTCAGGATGCCGAGTCTGTCTTCATCAGGGTGAGAATAAGTTTACCCCGTTAGTGCCATCATGATTTAACAAGGAACAGGTGGAACTATTCCTCGCCGAACTTGAGCGCCGAATGCACTGGATCGAACAGTACCGCAAATCTCACATGGATCAAATTGACGCTAGTATGAAGCGAGGATATGCCACCCTGGAAGCAGTGAGAGATCAGTGCTCTATCGCATCGGGTGAGCTGATGGGCAGCGGTAAAAAGCGTGCCAAGATCCTAGTCGAGACCCTGGAGGATCGATACAACGAGGCCCTGGTGACCAAGGAAACCCTGGAGCAAAAGGCCCAGGCCGGGGTTCGATTGATGGAATCGTTCCTATCCGAACTCGAGAACCGTGCCCATGCCGTTCGTGATCGTGGCATCTACGGGGCTTTGGATGATGGATGGAAGGCTATGGACTCGAAGTTGGTGCACGCTCGTGAAGTCGTGGACGAGGGGATTGAGCGTGCTCGTTCTACGTTGCGGGAGAACATCGACCAGGCAATCAAACTGGCCCGGGAACAGCGACTGATTACTTACTCTGATCTACCCGATCCCTGGCGCGTCAACCCTCATATCTTGAAGGGATACCGCTTCACTGAATCCAAGGTCGAGTGCGTTCATTCGGTCTTTGCCTTCTCGAACGAGATGGTCAATATCTGGTCCCATGTCATCGGACTCGTCATCGTCCTGGCAATCGCCTTCTACTTCTACCCGCTTCACACCAACTTTCACCTCAGCAGCAAAGCCGATATCATGATTGCGGCCGTCTTCTTCTTCGCCGCCTGCAAGTGCCTGGTCTGCAGTACCCTCTGGCACACCATGAACAGCATTGCCTCCCAGCCCTTGATGGAACGTTTCGCCTGCGTTGACTACACGGGAATTTCCCTCCTAGTAGCCGCCTCCATCGTGACAACCGAATACACCGCATTCTACTGCGAACCTGTCTCTCGCTGGACCTACATACTCCTCACCATGTCCCTCGGCATCGGCGGTATCATCCTTCCTTGGCACCCAACCTTCAACCGCCACGACATGGCGTGGGCTCGCGTCGCCTTCTTCGTAACTCTCGCTCTGACCGGCTTCGCCCCTCTCGCCCAGCTCTCCTACACCCGCAGCTTCGAGTGGTGCCTCTATTTCTATGCCCCCGTCATGAAGAGTATCATGGTCTACTTCGTCGGAGCCTGTGTTTACGCCTCCAAAGTCCCCGAGCGGTGGGCACCTGGTCTTTTTGATTACTTCGGCGGCAGCCACAATATTTGGCACTTGGCTGTCTTGGGCGGTATCCTCTTCCACTACTGCGCCATGCAGGATCTGTTTGCTGGTGCTTTTGTCCGCGCTCAGGGTGAATGTCCCAATTTGACTTCATGAGCTCTGCGAAAAGGTCAAAACCTGCATTTTGCATTTCTACTCATTTTGAGCTCATGATATCTGTTGGATAGATGATGTTTGAACGTCACAATTAGATCTGGACACTCCCCTTTTTACTGGTAGCTGTCGTGACCATAGATGAATATCTTTCATGCGCTGTTTTGGGCTTATCTTGTTGCATCGGTGGAGTTCTTTGTTTCGTGGATGTTCTTTTTTTCGATTGTCTCTCGTTGATCTAGACTCGGGAAGACTCGTTCTCGCTCCTTGTGGCTTTTTGGCTACTCGGTGTTGGGTTCTGCACAGTACTTGTTCTTGTATTTAGTTTTGGTCGCATGTATTGCATACGCGTTTCGGACTTCTGATGTTTCTGCTGGCTTTTGCTCTCTTGGTAGAGCTTGCCCGGTTTCAATATATCTCCTGCTTTATACACTGTCTTTTCCTTGCCAGAAGGGAGATGGACGTTTATTCATCAAAGGATTGATTTTGATTTTGAATCTTCGGCTTAAACAAAGCATCTATGGGAATATTCTATGCAAACATATATCGTCTTACTCGTAAGATCCATGCACGTATGACGCGGTAAACGCACTGAGTATAGTATCGGCGATGTGGCGTAGCTCTGCCGAAGTTTGGTGGTGTGACGATCCAAACACGAGCCGCATGTTCATCAGGAGCGCGATGAACCCAGAAGAAACCGTGATTCGTCAGAGAGCTGCCTCCATGGAAGATATGAGGACCATGGACAGAGGGAGGGGAGCATGCGGCTAGGCGAGAAGGAGGCTTCGCCTCTGTCCAGCAGGTGCCAGGTGTTAGCTGATCATGCGGGAAGCTGACCCGTTATTGGAGGATGCGATAGTCATCGGCTTCATTGAGCAGCTTCAATGCTGGCAGAGGAGACCTCCTGGCGCTTGCGGAAATGACCTTGCATCCAGCAGCGGTACATCTTTAGCTTGCTTGAGCGGTTGACCAGCAGTCGACGGTCCACGCCCATATGCACAACCTCGAAAGGCGCATCAGGTTCAGCAGGTAAGTCCTCCGCTGTTTTCTCGTCATCGACCTGCAGACCCTTCTCCGGAGTCCAGCGGCTCCACATCTGAATCAATTGATCCTTATCAAAGAAATACACGCGAGTCCCATCGCCGCGGACGTAGAAATTCTCACCCATGTAGCGACCCTTCTTGAAACGGACCTGGGCCAGATCGCCTCGGCCGTAGTCTCGGAACAGAACACGGCCACCGGGCTTCAGGACACGGTAGATATTGTGCAGAGCACGGTTCCACTGGACTGGATTCAATGCAGAGAAAATGAAAATGAGAATGACAACGTCGACGGAGCCTTCTGTCAAGCCTGGAGGTAAGTAGTCACCGTTCTCATCGGGCTCAGCAGCGACATCCCAGACGTCAGCAACCATGTATCTCTCATCATAGTGCTCACTCTCGCGCATCACCTTAACGGCGTACTTGGAGAAATCGCAGGCGTGCACCTTGAGGTTTTCGTTCTCGTTGTTCCTGATAAGCGGGAAAGCAGTGTTACCCGCGCCCGCGCCAACCTCAAGAACGACCTGCGGACCTGCATCTTTCTGTGTGACCTCAGCAAGGACGGGGAACTCTTGGCGCAGCCACTTGCGATCCTTGAAAAAGTTCTCTGTGTTGTTCTTGTAGAACAAGTTCCACCACTTGGCCGGGTCCTGGTTGAACCGGTTCTTGTCGAAGTCTGTCACGGGTGCAGCACGCTGCTTCTCATATTGACCCTCTGCGTAGGCTTTGAATTCGTCGTCAGGCTCGACGTGGTCCCAGGCGTTGAATTCGAAGACATCGTCGCCTTTTTCGAGGTAGCGGGATCCGAATTGGAAAGGATCGCTGCGCTTCAGGTTATTGGAAGGATCATGGGAGCGAGAAGGGTCGTTCATCGGAGGCTGCGCCCTTTGAGCGGCAGCACGGATCTCATCGTCGGGTGTCATTATGCTATGATTTGAGAATTGGACTCGAAAGAATGGCGGGGCCAAAGATAAAAAATTCCAGATCGGGTGGGGTGTGCCTGATTAGTCAGGCGATAGGGGACCCTATCGGCTTATCGATAAGGTCCCGGCGTGTGAGTAACTCCGACGCCCGGCCTTTGCATTGGGAACATGGATGCCTGCGGCAGCCTCAGTCTGTCAGTTCTCTTCCTCCGAATCTTCTTCTTTCTTTCTTTCCTCGAAATGTCGCTTCAATAGACTTCATCTCAGGAGTCTTTTTGTCAACCGCCCTGGTCGGGGGCTTATCAAGTCCCGCGGGGATCCGTCCACCTCATCTGCCGATCATCGAGATTTGGAGGCTCTGCAATCGGTTGACTTTGTGGACATGCACTGAAAGCTGTTGCTTTACTTTGAAAACTTATAAATCTGTTTCATTTTGAGAACTTCTTTAAATTCTATCATGTCCTTCCTCGCCGGGCTATGTGGGTGCTTCACCCGCAACGAAGCATCCCCGCGTTCCAACCCGGATATGCAAACCACCGACTCACAAGCTTTGACACGCCACGGTGTTCAAACAGGAAGCTTCATACTTTCTAACGAGGGCAACTTTGTTCGATCTGCCGGTCCTGGCGGACGAGGTGGGCACGGAAACGGGCCCAGTGACTCAGAGAATGGGGGTTATGCCAGCGTGGTCCCACTTCCACAATATACACCACGGCCGATGAGCATTAATGAGAAGACTCTAGAAACCAACATGCGTGATCCGCCGATGTCCTCCGGCATGCTCGGGTACGGCCATGACGAGAAGAGCCGCAACCTTTACGACGAAGAGGTCGCCTCCGACGCCTCATCGGCCATCTCATATCCTAGCAGCTATGGCAATACTTCCACTGCAACGCGTGAGACCCCTCCACCGCCCTATCCCCCCGACAGTCGGCTGTGTTGAGTCGCTCTCGATCCATATCCGTTTCGTCGGCGATGGGCATCACTCTCAACCAGCTGCCTATGGCTCGAGTGCATGGCTGGCAATCCGGTGGGCCACCATCTGAAGCTGATGATCGGTCAATTCGTCGTCATCGACGAGTCTCCTGGGAGAGTCGGTAACGTGAGCCTTACCCCATGGGCCCTCTATCTATACGCCGCACATCTCACCTACTCTTTGGCCATGGATGATATTCGAGCTGGCATCGTCTGTCACATCTGACTTGAATTTTGGGGTTGAACCCCTCCTGCATACGACGCGACGACCAAGTAATACTTGGATTTTATATGATTGGAATGATGGGATTTTGGAACCCTTAATTATTGGATTCATTGGATATACGGCATACGATATATTTTTTTACAGTAAAGCACATGCAGGGACAGTGCAACTTAATTGATATCTGTTCATTATTTTCAAGTACAGGTTGGATCGAAATCAGTTTCACCACTTGCACGGAGATTCTTTCTCGAACCCTCTTTCATTGGCAGGAGTATTACAAGTAATTTATAGATCGTTTATTACGTCATAGCATGTTTCAATACGATTCAACACTTGGAACTGAGCTACGCTTAAGACGGACTAGCGTGTTTTGAAATTGGGTTCGAGAAAGATTCCGTGCGAGCACGTGGTGAAACTGATCTCGATCCATCCTGTAGGCCCACTAGATTCAACTGACCTTGACAGTACAGCACGTCGTCTCGATAGTAGTAATAGGGAAGAAGGGGACCGTAGCTGTCAGTTCTCATTTCAATTAATGAGCCCCCACTTATAAGCTATTGGGTCTAAATCGGAAACACAATGTGAAGTCAACCATCAAGCACGCCGTGAGTAAAGACCTAGGCCTGTACTCACGAGCCATCAGTTTAACAAGTGTGATGCCATGGAAAAGGGTAGCGTGTCTCCGGCGCCGATTTCAAGCAGTAGATGAAGGCCATGTGAAGTGAGAAGTATAGAGGACCCGGTTTCGCAGTTTTCAGGGTTGACGGAACCTGATGCCTCAGCCTCAGCCTCATGCAGACTTGTCTCATAATAAAGCCGGCCTAGATCGTGTTCAGTCAGAAACCCCAATCGTACCTGCTCTTGCGTTGACAAGCGTCGACGCAACGGATGAGCCAACACAAGTTGACGGTTCAGGAGGGCGGGTGCGCGGCACGAGGAGAAAAAAAAGAGGAAGAAGAAGAAGAAGCAAAAGAGAGTAAACACAGGAGAATGGGGGACTCAGGCTGAGAGTAATTGTGCTTCCATGCCTAATCGGGATGCCCGGGTGAATATGGCAGTCCTCAGCTTCATGTGATACTAGGAAATTCAACTATCTGGGTCTATTAATATGTGTGACTTGGACAATCATTGACATATCTGGGAGATTAATTCCGGAAACATGAGCAGAGATTCATAATACATGTAAATATGAAGCAAACAGTAATAGTGCTCCTTTGCAGGTCTCTATGCGCTTCTCAAACAGTACGGTTGAACTAAGACAGGATTTTGACTCGGTTGGTAACTTACCGGGAAAAACGAGGCAACACCTTCGCCAAATTGTGTAGCGACCACTTAATAAGCGACACAGGGGGGGTATTTCCACATCAACACGGACAGTGCCCCAGCACCCGTAACCAAAGCTGAGGTCAGACCAATTCCAAGGACCTCACTCTGATGCTGAACCGCCTGCACAACTTCAGAGTATCTCTGGGTACTGAAGCTGACGCGAGAATATTGGGTCCTCCAGCCAAGGGAAGGAAGACAACGGTCGATGGTTTCCTCGATAGATTTCCGCAGCTTGTAAAGAGGTGACTTGACTCCCGCTCGCATCTCAAGGAAATTCTCTTTCGACAAGTCATTGATCGCGTGCGCATCGTCACAGCGGATGTCTGTGTATGCTTGGAAAGCCGTTTGGCGTCTGACGCTGCGGGTGTACACGCTGGTGTCGGGGTCGTAGACGCCGTGCTTGTCGAGCTGCTCGAAGAGAACTCGCACGTCTTCCAGACCGGCATTGAGGCCCTGGCCATAGAAGGGGAGAACGGCGTGGGCTGCGTCACCGAGAATTACAACGGTGGAACTGTAGTGGTGCGGCCGGCACTTGATACTGATTAATGGCAGATGAGGGTTCAGATTGAAAGATTCGTTCAAAGCCTCAGGGTCGATTAGTTCCGGACAGACACCGGGGAAATGCTCATCAAAGAATTCTTCTAGGTTCCGGGGCGCATTTTCCAGCGCTGTGTAGTTTGCTTCTGGAGCAAAGAGCGTGCATGTAAATGACTTGTCGGCCGAAGGCAGTGCAATGAACATAAACTCGCGCCCGGGCCAAATGTGGAGATGGTTGGGAGAGATGCGGAAGTCTCCTTGCTCTGAGGGTGGGATTCGGAACTCGCACCATAATGTGTCAATATACTCTTGCTGATAGTCGACGTGGGCAAACTTCATCATATGGAAGCGAGCAGCGGAGTGCGCACCATCGGCGCCAATCAGGTAGTCGTATGACACCTCGATCTCGGGCGATCGTCCAGCAACACCAAGAGAATCTGGCTGCGGCGTCTCACCTGGAATGCGACGCTCAAACCAAGCTTTGTTCGTACGGAAGTCCGCACCGGTCAATTTGTGGTTGAAGAAGAGCTTGACGTTGGGAGTGCGCTCAAGCTCGTCGAGTAGAGCATTATTGAGAGTCCCCCTATCAACTGCATTGATTGCCTGTAATGACACAGTCAGCCTTGCCAAGTATATGTCAAGCCCATGCGATATGCAACATGCAACATGCAGGTGTAAGTCCAATGCATACTCGGCCGTGTATGTCATAGGCCTGTGCGGCCTCCCACAGTTGGCCCCGATCTCGGCCATGTATCATCCGCCCGTACATGGGGATAGTCTCACGGAGTACATCATCGATCAAACTGGACCGGTGCGACTGCCGAATTGCAGTAATACCGCGCTCCGACAGAGCTAAGTTGATCGACTTGGTGAAGTTCAAAGGCACCGTCGCGGGATCGCGGAGATCTACGGATGCGCGAAAAAAGTTATTAGGCTTTCCCCGGAAAAATCTCACAAAACGCGATCAAAATGACAGGGGTAGCAGAGCAAGCGAAGAGTCAATTGCGTCTTCATGAGGCACAATTGACTGCATGTGAGCAATAGGGACCTTGCGGAATGTGGGTGTCATATATATTTGACTCAGTGGCGGAGCTCATCTCCCACCACTAGCGCATATATTTTCGCAGCCTTTGCGCAGATCTCATTCCCGTCCGCTACGCTCATCTTCCGAGCATGAATAGATGGAGCAAGCAACTGTAAACATACCTCCGCGCAACTCGTATACTTCGACTTCATCGCCTCGGCTGGCCGCATACAGCGCCGCCAGGGCCCCAACGGGTCCCGCACCCACCACGACGACCTTTTGGCGAGAAGAAGATGCCATGTCACAGTCTGAAGATGTCAATGGAGTTGAGAGACTAATTTTCCCAAACGCAATTCGGATAGACTCACCACTCACGTGCGGCGACCATCAACCCTTGCCCGAAACGGAAGAGCGCAGGGCGAGAATGCAGCTGACTCATCGTGATTGAAAATCAATTCCGGCCTTGCCGCCTTATCAACTTGTCGCCTCAGGCTCAAAACCCGCGCTAACCAAATACAGATTAGCGTGGTCGCGAGACCGCGGGGATGCAGTCTTTTTTCTTGATCAGGAATAATTAGCTGATCCCTCCCCCCAGCGCGTTCCTTTTGATAATACGCGTCCGGCATTTACGATGGCATCTGAATCTCCCCGCAAATGTATCGGAGTGGATTGCTCAAACAACGCGGGTACTCTGCAATGCCCGACCTGCCTCAAGGCAGGCACCGACAGTTTCTTCTGCTCGCAGGACTGTTTCAAGCGCAGTTGGGTAGGTACTCTTGGATGACCGAGGCAGGTCATGCCCCCTTGGAGCGGGAAAATTTCAAGGCTAATTTATAACAGGCTGAACACAAAACCATTCACAAGAAGAGTAACTTCCTCTCCAATCTGTTCCCTCCGAAGGTAGTTTCTGAACCTGATCCAGCAACCGGCAACTTCAACCCCTTCCCTTCTTTCCAATTCACGGGTAGCTTGCGACCTGTCTACCCGCTCTCACCGAAGCGCACTGTCCCCACCTCCATTCCCTACCCCGACTACGCCAAGAATGGTATTCCGATCTCCGAGCAGCGCCTCTTCGGCCAGCGCAGCATCAAGATCTTGAACAAAGAGGAGCAGGAGGGTATGCGTATCGTCTGCCGTCTGGCCCGTGAGGTTTTGGACATTGCCGGGCGCGCAGTGAAGCCTGGTGTGACGACCGACTACATCGATGAGGTGGTCCACAAGGCTTGTCTTGAACGTGATGTAAGAATGGGCTCGAATCTTTGTTGTTGAGACAACACCACTGACGACAGGATTTAGTCCTACCCTTCCCCGCTCAATTACATGCACTTCCCCAAATCCGTCTGCACGTCCGTCAACGAGACCATTTGCCACGGCATTCCCGATCAGCGCCCTCTGAAGGACGGAGACATTGTCAATATCGACGTGACCCTGTACCATAAGGGCTTCCACGGCGACATCAACGAGACTTACTACGTCGGAGACAAAGCGCTTGCCAATCCCGAGGCGGTTCGCGTGGTCGAAACCGCACGTGAATGTCTGGACAAGTCAATCGAGTTGGTAAAGCCCGGCATGCTGTTCCGCGATCCTGGCAATGTCATCGAGAAGCACGCCAAGTCCCGCGATTGCAGTGTTGTCAAAACTTACTGCGGCCACGGTATCAACCAGCTCTTCCACTGCACCCCCAATATTCCTCACTACGCCAAGAACAAGGCCGTCGGCACCGCTAAGCCCGGTATGTGCTTTACCATCGAGCCGATGATCAACACTGGTACCTACCGCGATCGCACATGGCCCGATGACTGGACCAGCACCACTGCGGATGGCTCTTTGTCAGCACAGTTCGAGCACACTTTGTTGGTGACTGAGGACGGTGTTGAGGTTCTTACTGCGCGTTTACCGGATTCGCCTGGCGGTCCCGTCCCGATGCCCGCGGCGAACGGGAATTGACCATATTCATGAAAACTTGCATACATAGTCAGATACCAGTTGACCTGATTAGAGCATAACTTACGGCATGTCAATGCCTTAATTTTTATAGACCATGGCTCACACTCGTAGTAGGAATTGCCAATCTGCAGACCTAAGTTCTTGATATGCCTACTCACATAGAGTTCTTAGTTCTTGCTCAACTTCAGCATAGTTAGGTCGATGCTCAGCTCGATTGGGCCAATATTCATGTGTCGTATATGGCAAGTGGCGGTGGGACAACTGTTGAATTATTATTGTGATTGAAAGGCTGCGGTGCTTGCAAAACCCTGGATATGTTCGAATGTTGGCCATCTGCCAAAAGCGTAGAGGAAATTCACGAAGTAACGAGTAGGTGTGTATTTCCGGCATTGAGGGGGTTATCATCATCTATTAGAGTCTACTGAACTATGTCGTGCAAGCTTTGGGTCGCCCATATGATGCGGCTCTTCCGCACCAGACGAGCACCTGTGGACGGACGGGTACACTGGCCACGGCCGAGATGTAATATACTAGATAAGCTCTTGACTGGTGGTAAGGTACTATAATACTCAATTTTCGCTGTTCTGCTACTCTTGATCACGACGAATTCGTGGAAAACAGAGTCCGCATGCCTCGAAGCCAATGTGGGGCTCAATGCATGCTTGTAAGCTCTATAGATTGGATTCTTTGAACTGCAAAGAAGCTCTGTCCTCGTCTGGGGGTACAGATGGATCCACTCTGGGGTTTCATTCAAAGGACCCAGAATACCCCAGAAAAGCTGTAGTCCTCAAAAAAAGCAGATTTATGGTGACCCCACAAACATCACCGGGATGAAGCTTTTTGCGGATGGTTCTACAGCCCCACGTCAGCCCCTCTTCCACAAGAGCACCACTTTTTGCAGCTTCGGGTCGATTCCCCTTTTCTTTTCATTGTCAGTTGTTCTGGAGCGAGGTCATATTTTGATCCCACATCTTTGGAACAGTCAATTGTTGCTCCGTTGATTATCCGTAGCGCCGGCTATATTTCACATCATGGCCAACCAACTTCATAGCGCGCCGCCTTTCCGGGCCGAGCACTTGGGCTCATTGCTGCGTCCTCAAAATCTGCTGGAGGTTCGGGCTAAGATCCGCGACACTGGTATTTCCGAAGAGGAGGCCGGTCTGCACGCCGTCGAAAAGGAGGCTGTCAAGGACGTCGTCCAGCTGCAGCGGGACCTGGGATTCAAGGCTATCTGCTCGGGCGAGTTCAACCGCACCCGTTTCTGGGGTCTGACGTGGGATGAGTTTGAGGGTAAGTCATAACACATCTTGCGCTTAATCATCGCTAAATAACGTTCAGGAACTATCCGTCTGGAGGATGCCGATGCATCCATGTTCCGCCTTTACCATCCCGACGTTGTGAGTCTGATCGAGCAGGACCGCAAGGTCATGCCCGGGGACTCAGTAATTGCTGGCTCTAAGCTCTCCTGGAGCCCTGAGAAGTGCGTCTCCAACCTTCACGAGCTGAAGCTCGTCCAGGATACCACCCCTAAGAGTGAGTGGGGTAACATCAAGCTGACCATGATCACGCCCGCTTGGTTCCACATGCGCTATAAGCAGGGCAAGGCTTACACGCCTGAGGCATATGCCAACGACGCCGAGTACTTCCAGGGTGTTGCCGAGGTGTACCAGGCCGAGCTGGACGCTCTGTACAAGGCTGGTCTCCGCAACGTCCAGTTCGACGACCCCGGCATGGCATACTTCTGCTCCAACGCCTTCCGCAAGGGCTGGGAAGAGGACAAAGACAACATCGGCAGCGTCGACGACCTCTTCGATGCGTATATCAAGCTGTACAACGACTGTTTGTCCAAGGTCCCCGCAGACCTGCATACCGGAATTCACTTGTGCCGCGGTAACTTCATCGGTGGCCGCCACTTCTCCGAAGGCTCCTACGATATCATCGCCAAGAAGCTGTTCGAGAACCTCAATGTTAACACATTCTACCTGGAGTACGATACTGAGCGTGCCGGCGGGTTCGAGCCCCTCAAGTTCCTGCCCAAGAACAAGAACGTCGTTGTTGGCGTTATCAGCACGAAGCTCCGCGAGCTAGAGGATAAGGAAGCCATGAAGGAGCGCATTTACAAGGCTGCTGACTTCGTAGCCTCAGGGAGCGGAGAGACCCGCGAAGAGGCGCTGAAGCGTGTTTGCGTCAGCCCCCAGTGTGGATTTAGCACCCACGAGAGCGGATACCCGTTAAGTTTGGAGGACCAGAAGAAGAAGCTGGGTCTTGTCCGCCAAATTGCGGACGAGATCTGGGGTGAGGCGTAGAGTGATGGCGGCCTCTTGATGTGACACGACAATGCAAGATTTTTCTGGAATTTCAACAGCGACGGGAAACTTTGATGTGACACGGTGGTTTGTATATAGGGGTTCAACAGATGTACTCAGCTGCATGGACAGCATGTATTCATGGAGAGATTGCAATGAGATGAAGTTATAAAAATTGGGAAATGGGGTCTGCCAAGGTCCCTGGAGCACTAAACTTCAATGAGAAAGAGGGGTTGGCATCGGTGACCCAGGCATGGTGTGAAAATATAAATCATGCGGAGGTATGTTGAGCATCTCAGAATACATTCTTCAATAATTTCACAGTGCTATTAAGTTCAAAGATTATCCGACAAGGTACCACAGCCAGGACATTACAGAGTTGATAACCCGCCCAGGGATCCCTTTCCCTCAAAGGTTGGGAACCAAGCGTTTGACACTCTGGTCTAGACAAAAGCAAACCATTTCTTGCTGTCTTGTTGGTCTTGTTATTCTTGTGGCTGCCCGAAAATTCTAGGCAGAGGTAGGCAGAATCGCGCTAGTTGATTTTGGAAACAAGGAGAGTACTCAATGAAGAGGCTCAAGCTCGACTTGGCGCGGTCATGTTTCGCGAGTCACAGGCTTTTAAGACAGGCCGATCCCGCGCTGTATTCTATTCACCATTCTCCTAAGACCAAGACATGTTCAACCTATTTGGAGAGGACCGGGCGCCAGAAAAGCCTCTGTCGTCCCTGTTGGCTGCCGTGGATGCCGAAGATGTGGACACGGTGCGCCAGTTAGTCCCCACAGCAGACCCTGGTGATCTCGCCGCGGCTCTGTGCCGATCCTGCGAGAAGGGCAAAGTCACTGTCGCCCATGTTCTGATAGAAACCGGGAGGTGTGATGTCAATGCCGCGGACGATGGCGTGACGCCTCTGTTTTCAGCTGCAAAGGCTGTCGAGCCCGCCATTGTTCGACTCCTCTTGAGACATGGCGCAGACGTCACCGTCAAATCCGGTATCAAGCGAGGAGAATTGACAAACCTTTCAAATTTGCCTATTCACGGCGCGGTGTGTGATCTGCGACACCTGCAACATGTGAAAGATCAGTCTTGCTTCGAGGAGGTACTCCAGCTGCTGTTGGACGCCGGGGCCGACATCAATTCGCAGGATACCAACGGCGAGACCGTGCTGCTTTATTGCTTGCACTGGGATTCGGAGCTCGTTTCATTTGTGTTGCGTGCGGGAGCAGATCCTAATATTCAGGATAAGAAAGGCTGCGTGCCTCTGCAATTCTTTCACTCGCCTCAAGATCATCCGGATCGATTCAAGCTCCTAATGGAGCATGGAGCTCGCTTGGACATCGGTGAAAAAGTCAACGGTGAAACGCCACTGCATGGCTTTGCGACCAAATGTCAGCTGGGAGATCTCTCCCTGTTCTTGCCATATGTATCGGACTGGCACATTACCGATACGATGGGAAATACACTGCTTCATACCGCCGTGAGGAGACACCGCCACGGGAGTCCCACCGTCGCGGCACTTTTGAGGCTCGGGCTGAACCCGAACCAGAAGAATCACGATGGTAAACAGCCTATCCATATGATCAGTGGCATTGGAGACAGTCTAGTGGAGATACTGGACGTCCTCTGCGCGGCTGGTGCAGACCTTGAGGCCAGGGATCACTCTGGACGCACGCTACTCACAAACTCTATGTCTGGATATGCCAGTATCAGCTCTCGCGAGTTGATACCACTTCTAATCAGTCGCGGAGCTGATATCAATTCCCGGGACTTCAAGGGAGATGGCATGCTTACCTATTTGATCGAGCCTCACAAATTCCACTCTCAGCATCTGGACATCTTGTTGAAACTTGGGGTTGATCCCAATCTGGAGAACTATGCAGGAGACACCTTTTTACACCAATTGGCAGTCAGTTTCGCTACAGTCCAAGATGACTCCTGTTACTTGGCCATGTTAAAGCTCTTGAAGATTGGCCTTTCCCCAGCCCATCCTAACTTCCAGGGCCGGACGCCACTGCATGCTCTTTGCAGTCAGACCTCGGAGTTTCATTTTATCGCTGCTCCAGAAGAAGGCAAGTGCGCTATTGACCTGCTGCTTGATGCAGGCTTCACTACCGCCTTAAATACTCCTGACAATCAGGGTATCCGACCTATCCACCTAGCTGCCACGACCTCTGATATCCTGGTCAGCAAGTTCATTGCCAGAGGAGCTGATACTGCCGCAACTACGAAAGATGGCCGAAACTTGCTACATATCGCGTCCACCGCTCGCCAAAGCAACATTGTAGGACTGCTGTTAGATCACTACACATCGTTGAATATGCTGTCATTGGTCAACGCACAGTCGGAAGACGGCCGGAGCCCCCTTCATGTGGCATGTTCCTCTGGAAGGGTGGAAACTGTGAATCTGCTTCTTGCTCATGGAGCGGATGCCCAACTCCGAGACCAACACAAGAAAACTGCGATGGACTCAAGCTCTAGCTTCATACTCGAGGATCGACTCTGGAAAGACGCTTATGGCCAGGAGAATCTATTCCGTCTCCTATCGGCAGCGGGCGTCCTCGCAGATGATGATCGACGGCCACGAATGCATGATACCAAGTCGGGTAAACAAAGCGAGAACCCCAAGAAGTTGGGATGGAAGGGAGAGATAACCTCCGAAGCTTCGAGTCTCGGCACTCGTGCCATTGTGCGGGCGCTGGCGCTACATGGTGGGCTTTTGGAAAAGACGGGATACGGGATTGGTCCAATGTGGCACGCGACAGAGGCTGGCGATGAGGAGATGGCCGTCGAGTTAGCCCGTATATCCGAAGAGATGGGTATCAAGCTCGAGGATTATCGCTCCTTCGACACTCAACGCTTGCTGTTGCGCTCGCAGCACCTTCCAGGTCTATTCAAGGAAGAATTTGACAGCCCTATTGATATGGACAATGAAGTGCTTTCAGCGGTCTTAGCCGGTCATCCCGAGGAGCTTGCTCAAACTCTGGAAGGTAATGCCGAGATTGTGAGAGATGGCTCTGCCATGCCGGGTATCTTGGTCACACTCGCTCGATGGGGATACTCTGAGCTCTTTGAAAGAATCGGGAGAATCATGCCCGAAAATGGCTGGATCGATGGTGGAAGCAGGGATTACAACGGCGAGCTAATCCCGAACTTGCTGGCTGCCGCTCAGCGAGAGCTCCCTAACCTAGACATGATCAAGTTGATCGTCGAGAAATTCCATGCAAATGTCAATATTGTTTTCAAGGACGGCATGGTGACCAAACCAAAGGTCTACTACCAATCCGCAATGGCTACCAGAAGAGGATACCAAGCCGGTGATACGATCCTTCATCACCTGGCCCAAGGCACTCATTGGTGGCATGCAAAAGCTATTCAGTACTTGCTCCAAAAAGGCGCTGATCCTAATGCCCGCAACGCCCAGGGCAAGACACCGTTGTGCAAAGCTATTGACATCTCCGAGAGCCTTCAACAACTGGAAATTGTGAAATGCCTGCTTGAGGGCGGTGCTGATCCAAACCTCACTGCCAACTGTGGCTTCTCGCCGCTTGCCATGTCTGCCTATAGCACCCAGTTATCTAACCTCCTGATCGAGCACGGTGCCTATCCGTCCCAGAACCACCCTATGGAGCTTTTCGTGGCGTTGTACTCCTTCAACTCTGAAGTCGTCTCAAAACTCCTTGCCACGGGCTTGGACGTGAACAACACGACCCTATCTGACGCCCAGCCACATTGGCATACCCACCGATTGCAGAAAGTCCCTCAAATCAAAACTCTTGTTCTACGGCCAATTCACTACATCGCTATGTTTCCCTTTAACGAGTCAAACAGCCGCGCCAACGCTATCCGCATGATCAAGTGCCTGCTCGCCCACGGCGCTGACCCATTCCTACCCTGCGACACGGACCAGTTAATCTTGCACGATCTTTTCACCGAAGGGGGCATCATCCAGCCCTGGCTTGAATTGCCGGACCTTGACCTTGAGCGGCAGGATCCTAAAGGCCAGACACTCATTCTGGCGGCCGCAAGGTGCCAGACTGGCACACATTCGTATGGGTGCAAAGTATCCATGTTCCCATTTTACGGCGGTAGTATTGAATCGCTGCAGTGGGGGGGAGGGCGATATTACGCGTGCGATGGCACTTTATGAGAAGGGGGCTGATCTGACGGTCGTTGATCACCAAGATAATACTGTCTTTCATCTTTTAGCGGCTTCGAGGCCTTCTAATAAGTTTGCGGAGGGGGAATTCCGGAGGACAGTGAAGTTGTTTATGAAGAAGGTTCCTGAATTAGTGGAGAAGAGGAACCTTGAGGGGAAGACGGCTCTCGCCATTGCGGAGGAACAGGGGATTGAGTGGGCGAAGGATTTGTTTGGAAATTTTCAACAAAGATAGAATTTCCAGAACAATCTGATCTCTTCACTTTGATGCTAAAATTACCCAGAATACCTTGTTTTGTCATATACGCTCCTGTTGCTAAAAGCTCCTTTCACCACCTCGGGGATGCTAGAAATGTTGCGGGGCTAAAGATCGGAAGAACTCCGAACGATCATCACTCATGCAAGGACTTGGCCAAGTGGGGAAACGGCAGGGCAGATATAGCTCATTGGGAGAAAGGGAAAGATTCCCCTGGGCATGCATCATTGAAGAGTCTTGGTGATTTTGTGCTTCCCCAAGTCCCCCGTTCCCAGAGACTCCAAATAAAAGATTCCTTGCCCCTTGACGAATCTTGGCTCCTACTATACTCACGGCTGTCTATTTGAATCTAAGTAGAGCGAGAAACGCATCCCTTGATCAAAATGCCTCTTAAGACTCTTGCGCTTGCGACTGTCATGGCTCTAGGACATTCATTCATCCCGCTAGTCGACAGTAGCAGCTTGCCTGCGCAGGCTCAAGTGATCGACCAAAGAGCTTTCAATGTCTTGAATGCGACTCAGCCACCCATTGATTTTAGTGCGAAAAGTGTATGTGAAACAGTGTTCCTTGGACCCGTCTCCTCGAAATTAATCCCACAATGTACATCACAGCTTTTTGTTCCGCCAGGACACACTGAAGAAAGTCTGACGAAGCGCCCATTCCACGTGTACGACGATGAGTTCTTGAAGATTATCGGAGGCGCTCCAACACTCACGCGGATTGCGCACTCACCCAAAGACCCTCTATTTCACGAGGCGGTTGTATGGTATGACATACATAACATAGCAACACGCGTATCAGGACTAATTTGAATCCTCATGGCAGGTCAAAAGAAACAGAAGAAGTCTTTTTCGTCCAGAACGCAGGCGCCAAAAACGCCAGCACTGGTCTCAAGAAGTCGGCCATCATAGAAAAAATCTCTCTAGTAGAGGCAGCTGCTGTTGCCAACAAGTCGGATGCCGTAGGCCTGGTGAAAGTTACTACGATCCCGTCATCGCCTATGGTGATCAATCCGAATGGTAAGCTAAGATATCGCATATCATGAGATGCGACGGGTTCCTTTTGACTGACTGACAAAACCTAGGGGCAACAAACTATCGGGGCCAGATCGTCTTCACTGGGGAAGGCCAAGGCAATGAAAGGCCTCCGTCTTTGTGGCTCATGAACCCACGCAAGCCATACAATACCACCGGTTCGTAAATTTCTCCCAATGTGAATATGTAGGGCCGATAACTAATCCTAGTATTCTTTTTAGTCCTGCTGAACAATTACTTCGGTCGTCAATTTAATTCCTTGAACGACGTAGTCATTCACCCGAAGAATAAAGACATCTATTTCACCGACACTATTTATGGATATGTGCAAGATTTCCGCCCTGCTCCAGGGCTGCAGGACCAAGTCTATCGATTCAATCCTGAGACCGGTGCCGTCACGATCGTGGCGGATGGGTTTGATCACCCTAATGGTATGTCCTTGGAAGCCCTCACATTTTATGTAGGAATAGACTCATTTATCTTTAAAGGATTGACCTTTTCACCGGATGGTGACTACGCATATGTTACCGATACCGGGATCGACAATGGCTTTTTTGGTCTGAACTTTACTCGGCCCGCTTCGATGTACGCTTTCATATTATCCTCCATGAACCTCATTGTTCATTCGAGGTGAAGGGTGCTAACTGCATTTGAACAGCTATCGCTTTGACGTGAAAGCCGATGGAACGTTCGAGAACCGCAAGACTTTCGCATTTGTGAACTCTGGTGCACCAGACGGTAAGTCACAAGTCGTATGAGATCTGCCCGACTCAACTACTGGGGTCGGGTTAATAAGAAATCTCACATTCTGACATCTTATGTGCTTTCAGGTATTCATTGTGACTCTTGGGGCAATATTTACGCTGGGTGTGGCGACGGCATTCAAGTCTGGAACCCATCAGGCAAGCTCATTGGTAAAATCTACGTTGGTTCCACCTCGGCGAACTTCAACTTCGCTGGGAAGGGCCGAATGGTCATTTGTGCTGAAACAGACCTCTACTATGCGACTTTGGCTGCCGCAGGAAATTATGTTGAGAGTGAGATGTGAAGAAAAATACCTAGACAAAGACAATAGGTATTTAAAGCTCTCAATTATGGAATCTCGTGTTTTGTATTCTGTCCGTATAGTGTCCACTCCAAATGACTAACTCGTTCATTCCAATCTACGGCATCGATTAGGGTGGTTTCTGGGTTCTCCCAAGAGACCTGGTCTTTGCAAGGTCACACGTGAACGCCCGATGAGACTGTTATCGGTGCCCAAGGCTGAAACTGCAGTAGAGCAGATCAGCGAGTGACCGAACTACACCGGGTAAATTAGCCAGCGAGCCTCCTGACCAAGGAAAAAAGAGGGATCAGAGTGATAGAATATAATTCAATTGCCCAAAATAGCTTCCCATTCTCGCGCCCTAGCCTGGATAGTAGCAGCAAGAGGGAAACCAATCAACGTTTCCAATCCCAGTGCCAGGCCAAGGGAAGAGAAGTTTTAATAAAACCTTGTAACGAGTTCATTATTGCGGGTATTCGAATCGGTGTGTTGAGCTATTCTGGGGCAAACAAGCTTCCATCTCTGTCCGGTGATCACCGTGATCCCTGCTCATTTTGCGGGGGTGGCTCGAAAAAGTACAAGGTACCCTAGGAGGGGTACTGGAATTGGCACGGACATCAACTGAGGTCTGACGTGGCGAACTCCTCCACGAAAACAACACTTGCTTCCATCAAAGGATGCTCCGATTCAAGTTGGGGCTTAAATCAGCTCTTCGGGGTGGAGTTGACGGAAGGAAGGTGTCGGCTTCAATATACTGTCTGGGGAGTACGAAAGACTAGGCAGCTATGTTTGTGTCCTACAATTGGCACTGCTTGGTCGGGAGTGAATACAACGTTTGCATATACAGTCAGACAATAAATTAAATAATAATGTTCCACCTCAGGAGCTTAGGTACATAAAAAGCTAACTGTGTGTCGTATATTGATTGTCAATGAGCAAATTGAGATTCTTCGTTTATATTGATCTCAAACCAGTCTGAGTAGGCCACCTCGGGTATATGCTCGCATCTAAGGGAGAGCAGCCGGGGTGTAGGCCTGGTCGGGCTTGACAACCTTTCCAGCAGCGAGCTGGCTGTCGGTGTAGGCGGGCCAGATAATCTGGCGGGTCTGGCCGTTGACGACGGAGAGGGTAGTGAAGCCATTGCCCGGGCCGAACTGGCCGCTCCAGCCAGAAGTGATGGTGTAGTCACCACAGGTGACAGGGCCGCCATTGGCCTGGGAGGCATCGGTGGCCTGGACGACGTAGGTGCAAGAGGTAGCAGCATCCGTACCGACTTCAATGCCGAAGGTCCAGGTGCACTTGGTGTTGGCGCCGTTGCAGGTGCGCTTCATGTTCTCGATGGTCCACTGAGGACCGGCGGCCATCATGGACTTGGCGGCCGTCGGGGCGGCCATGACGGCCGAGGAGGCGAGGAGGGCGGTGGAAAGGAGGATCTGAGTGAGCTGCATGATGGCAAATTGTAATTGTTGAAGGTAGTAATAAAGAGGCTATGATTATTGTGGAATGGTGTGCTTGAATTCGAGGATGGAGCGAGAGTACCAAGGTATTTATGGCTTTCCCTGAGCCTCTTCAGCTGAGGCCCCCATCTTGGCACCATCATGGAATATACATCATAGCACAGAGAGCTCCCATGACTACTCCACCATGATGTCTTGAAATAGATGCTGCTAGAAATTAGTGAATGTAACAGTGCAAGCGGAACAAGTAGCAGATACTCCACCGCGTGCTGTCTCACTCAGGTGTGAGACATCGGCCCGAGGCGGTGTCGAGTTTGTGGTCTGCCAACTCTGCATCGCTACAGCACATAATATGCACCAAGTAAGACACATTCAACACCAGACGAATCGGATATGGAGTGCCTTAGCTTGGCCACCCCGTATATGTGCTCATCTGGGACCACATGGTGTCGATCAGTTGCCAGGCGGGGAAATTGGGGACTCAGGCGGAACTGGGGAAAGCCACTGATGAATCCGGCTGTGGATGATCGGGCTGGATTTAGATACAACTAGCGCCAAACGGGTTAAGGGACTTTGCCACTCAGGGCTCGACGCGGGAAACGGACCTGAACTGATCTTGAGGCAACGACAGAACAAATCAGGCCTTCCACGGAGGTCAGTCCCACGTCCTCCTTCCTTTCGATTCGATTCCGGGTAGGACTGAACTTGCATGATCGACAATTTAAGAGGCCTGAAGATGGGATGCCCGAAAGATGCCTCACAAGCGACACATCAGTTGCACATTCACGTGCAGTCCCGTAGACTACGAGACCCCCTGGTCGGACAATAAATCCCACTCTCATGAAAGCTTCACAAAGCTGTGTAGAAACCCACTGTCGGACAAGAGATCGATTTCTTCAGGCATACTTACCTACCCTCAAGATCAGCCGGAATGCTTCATGGATGCTATTCCTCAACGCGTTGGCACAATCGCTAGTTAAATGACTTGCTCAAGGTATACACACAAAATCTAAATTTTGGTTCGGAGAATGAGTGTCAACCATGTCGTCGGGTCAAAAATGCGTCTTTTGGAATACGATGTTAATTGATCGATGATGAACTCATAGACGCCTCTCTCTCTGGCCATGTTTCACCGAATCATCCTAATGAGCAGGTGGCCATCACATTATACCGTAGTTTTCATGGTTGAGATCCAAGATCACATCTTTGCATCATGCTTCCATCCCGGCATGTCCGCAAGATCCTTTGCCGGGGCACCGCGTCTAGATCGAAGAGCGTCACCCCTGGTCTCCATCTCCATGCATCGGCCATATCTTGCGACAGAGATCCCTCCAAAAGCTCGACAACATGTTTTCCGATGTTTGGCAGCAGCTTGAAAGAATGGCTTTGGAGTAGTGAGTTAGCGAAAATTGTGATCATAGGCTAACACTTCACTAGGTGTCATAACACAACTCACCCGCTGTCTCCAGTGGCCAAAATGAAGTTCTTCCACTTCGGGTGCTCGCAAATCAACAAGTTGGCATCGGCTGTATCTGTGCACCAGCACATTGTCCGGTTGAAGAGCTCTTTTTCCTTGAAATTCGGCAAGAATCTTGCGATCGCTTTCCGTATAGTGATTTCCGAGGCGTCCGGGTAGGTATCTGTGGGATGTTTGGCGTGAGATCGAGGTACGGATATCATCTCGGGAGATGTGGCTCCGTAAGGTTGATGCTGTTTGAATCGAGAGAATCCAGGAAACTCGTCGCAGACTTTGATGACCCCATGCCTGAAAAGGGTCACTTAGCATGGTTGCGTTCGCGATCGGGGCCTTACTTACTCATTGGGCTCAAAGAAGAACCCATATTCACCATCATAAACGACGGGCGCGTTCTTGTACTCTTTCGCTTCTCGGGGCGTGAGCTGAATGTGGGCAAACACCCAGGCCTGATGTTCCCATGAGTGACTACTTGATATTTGCTCGTTCTCGGCGCTTCTTGACTTACCTTTGAGACACACTGATCTTCCAAGTCCACCAAAGTTGGACTCCAAGCACCAGCGGCCAAGACAACCTTGTCAGCAAAGTATTTGGTTCCGTCTGTGGTTTCGACTCCAATGCAAGTTGTTCCATCGGCTGCGAAAAGAGGCTGCTTAAAAGTCCCGGCACTAAAAGGTCACGTCAGTGAATGCCAAGCTGGGTTTCAATGGTCCTCACAAACCCTCCAAACCCAAATTTGACACCTTGGTCCTGAAGGAAAGTTCCGATCGCGTTGATAGCCTTGGCTGCAGCAAGCCAGCCTCCATCACTGCAAAACAAGCCTTTCCACCCCTAAAGATCGGAGTATGGTGAGACTTAAACATGGACGACGTACTTGTGGTCTAAAAAATTACCTTGACTTGCTCCCGCGTGAAGTTTGGTGCTTTAGCCAGGATCTCATCTTCGGTTTTCAACCAAAGGTTCCTCTTTTCCAACCCTATGCCCGCATCGAGCAAGGTTTGATACTTCCGTTCAAGATTTTCGATGCCCTCCTTTGACGACGAACAGTCAATCTACTGTTATCTTAGCATTGAGACGATTTCTCCACCTTTAGTGTCAGCTGCTGCTCTTGAACTCACCATGCCAACTTGGTGGAAAAAGGGCTTAAAGAAGTCGTCGTTCTGCCACATGTCGAGGGATTCCAGCGAAAGCTGCAAGTCAGGCCCATTGCGCAACCGAATACCCATTATCTTGTTGAGATCATGGCCTGCAGATTGCGGTGATGGGATCTTGTATACATCAAGGACAGTGATGTTCGAAGGAGTGTATCCAGAGCGAATGAGGTGAAGCGCTGTTGAGGAACCGATCGTACCACCTCCTCCGACCACAACGACTTTTGTGTCTGCACGAGATTGAGCCATAACAATGATGTGAATTTCCACAAAACTCTGCGAGTGTCCAATATACTTTCAAACAGCACAGTCTGGAAGGAGTCTAATCGACAGGATCAGTCTCCGGACCAGTCTAAGAAGTAATCCTTAGTTAGGAGAGAACTAAGATTCATAAGTCGTGGGTCATTCGACGCGACCGGTCATGGCATGTCATACGAGACGCCAAGTCTAAGTCGAGGCCTTCACTGATAAGTATCAACTTGAAATTCCAATTCCAAGATAGAAGGTCTTTATCACGAAGGGGTCAGATACGGATGAGTAACCGGAACAATCGCGATTGGTGCATTTTCACCCACGTATCGCCGAAACTTGCGAAACGGAGACTAGCGCGTCGTTCCTTCGTGTGGACCTTCCTCTCAGTCGACCCCACGATGCCCTCAAGCATGAAATTGACATTTGTAGAATGTGGGGTAACAGATCCTCCATCGGATGCCAGGTTTGGAGAACTTCGGGGTCACGAGATAAGCCTAGCGTGGACCTTCCATTGATTCAAAGGCACTCCGTGATAGATCACCCTTGCAGGCCGTGCGGAGTGAATCGACCGTCCATCTGGCCTCGAGAGTTTCCGAGGTAAAGAGATAAGATTGGTTTATAGTCAAAGGTATAAATAGAGGCAACTGGAATGCACCCAGCTCGGGCTCTGCTTCTGAGTCACTCATACCCCGTTGCAATTGTACATATCTTTCATCATGACGGACTCAAAGACGGCCATGTCTAAGACGCACGATCATCTTCGTGAAGTGACAGACCATGAGGCCGATATCGCTCATGGCGTGAATATGGAGATATACAGGGCGACGGTCCCGTTATGGAAACGGATATGGCAGCACAGCTTGACGCAGATGATGCTGTTGAGTGTCCAGGCATTTTGTGGACCAGCCATGGCGGATGCAATCACGGGTGGGTGCTTCACTGAGTTTCTTAATTATCGTGGTAGCTAATTGAATTTATCCAGGCCTGGGGGGTGGTGGTCTTGCAACCGCCAAGGTGTCTAACATTTGTACTGCAATCACATACGCCCTTCTTGCGATCGGTCTGTTCTCAGCATCTCTCAACAAATATCCCTAGTGTACTAATGGGGTCTTCGCCAGTCTGTTTCATGGGTGGTCCGATTGTGAACAAGATCGGTGTGAAGTGGGCCCTCGTTTTGGGCGCAATGTCCTTCCCAATTGAAGGATCGGCATACTACTGTAATAGCAAGTTTGGAAATCAATGGGTGGGTGATGAGGCTTCTTATCGACATGCTCACGCAGTTCGATTTATCGTTCGAGACTTTTTTTTACTGATGAGGGCCTGCAGTATCTTATTCTGAGTGGTGCCATCAGTGGCATTGGAACTGCTTGCTGGTATGTCGCTGAGGCTGGAGCTATCATGACACTTGCCCCTTCCGGCGCTCGTGGGAAGTATTTGGCTCTGTGGATTGTGTCGCGCAACCTCGGACAACTGGTCGGAGGTGCAATCAAGTAAATGCTTCCTGTTATCACGAGATGAGCAATGACTGACAAGTTCATATTTTAGCCTTTCGAAGAATCATGAGAAAGGAGTCGAGGGTGGAGTATCTCCCGATACCTACATCGCTTTCGTGATCATTGAATCTCTCGCGTGAGTATACTGAGAAATATGGATTGCCACGCAAATGCTAATTGTATTTCCCAGTCTACCTTTTGCATTACTCATAACTCCTTTCGAAAAGGTTGTCCGATCCGATGGTACCAGGATTGTTATTTCGGAAACCCTTTCCACCAAGATGGAGATGAAACGTATTTTGAAGACCATGACCTCGAAACTCGTTGTACTTTCAGCCCTCTGGGCATTGTGGTCGTTTTTCTACAGGTACGATACAGTGGTACTCGTCATCTCCATGTGAAAGATTAATTTAACATTTGTGATAGTGGCACTTGGAGCACCTACCTAGCGACCTACTTCTCCGTCCGCGCCCGCGCTCTCTCATCTCTCATTTCGCCTTTCTTCTGCATGTGAGTTTCAAAATCAACTCTCCCCATGTGCATCATCTGACACCACTTGTATCAGTGTGGGCTGCTTCGGGCTTGGATTTATCCTTGATATGAAGAATCTCAGTCAGCGCCGCCGGGCCCAGATCGGTCTCTTTACAGTCGTCATCCTCAATGTTGGGGTGTATATTTGGTCCATCATTATGCAAGTCAAGTTTAACCACCATAATCCGGGTCACATTGATTGGCAAGATGCAATGTACCCGTCTGCTTTCTTGCCATATTTCTTTGTGCAGACCACTGGCCCGTTATCGCAGTCGTACATGTATTGGCTTCTTTCCTCTTTTGCCACGGACGCCCAAGGTCAGTATCTCAGCATATGAACGAATGACTGTTCAATCTTGCTCATTCGCTAATTGTTACTATAGAAAACGTACGAAATGGCGCTGCATTCCGATGCATTGAAGCGATTGGACAAGCCATCTCTTACGGCATGAATACTCAGACAACAAACAACCCTTCTCGTTGGATTGTAAGTTGCCTCAACTTACCTCCATCTCATGCCATGCTGACTGACTGATCTTCTAGTTGTGTGACATTTGGCTTACTCGGAGCGGCTCTGTATCCCATGATTATGCTTGTCAACACGACACCAGACCGCATTCCTGCCGATGTAGTTGCCGAGGAGCAGGATGCTGCTCTTGAGAAGATTGAACATTTGAAGGTCTCTAATCAATCAGCATTCAGTACTCCAGTTTAGTGCTGGCAGACATGGCCTCAAATTATACGCTACAACCTCAAATTAAGACCTATAAATACACAAGATCTATGTGGAATTTGACTTCGAAACCTAAATAAGCGCTGGGGATAGGCGTTTGGGCTACCCCTTACTGTGTCCCTGTTCACCTGACTCGAACAAAGATAAGAAGACTATACAATCCAACGCCATACCGCGTCGGCCTGTCTGCGGAAGTAGGACGAGCCATTGCCGACGCCGGAGGGCCCGAGGGCGTGAATGCAGTGATACTATTGGCTCTGTCGGCTTAAGTGAGGGGATGTTTATCTCCACGTGATTTAATTCGAGCTGCGAAAGAAGTAGGCGCTTTTCGCTGATTTCTTTTCCCTTGACTCACGAGATACTCCATATTCCGATTTTCAAGTATTCGGGGACGTACTGTTATGGCGCCTGCGCGGACTCACGATGAAACATCCCCGTTGCTGGGGGATAGCAATGGCAATGCGTCAAACGGACTCATTACCAATCGCGATGAGGAGCAGCCGGCGAACATTGTGCAGTCTACGGACGAGCAGGCCAAAGACCCTTTCCCGGATGCACGAAAGCAACTGAGGTATATTCTCCCGGCTATATCAATAGGTGTATGTATTTCTCAATTCTGCCGAATGCTTACCAGCTCGGCTCCTCCGCAGTATCCTCAGCTGACGATGATAGTAGATTTTCCTGTCGGCGGCAGACCAGACGATTATTATGGCCAGTTATGGCCAGATTGGCAGTGACCTGAAGGCTCTTAATCTGACCAGCTGGATTGCGACTTCATACTTTTTGACTCTAACCTCGTTCCAACCGCTGTATGGCAAGCTGAGCGATATATTTGGCCGCAAGGCCTGCTTACTCTTTGCGTACGCCATCTTTGGAATTGGTTGTCTGTTCTGTGGACTCGCACGTAACATAAATGAGCTCATCGCAGCACGTGTATGGCGCATCCCACGATCCGCATTTGACATTGACCCGGGTCATGACTGACAATACCATTTAGGTATTCCAGGGCATTGGTGGCGGTGGTATGACCACCGTTGTCAATATCTTGATGAGTGACCTCGTTCCCTTGCGCGATCGAGGGGTCTGGCAGGGGATCGTCAATATCATCTACGCGACTGGGTCGGCTACTGGCGCGCCTCTGGGCGGAGTCCTTTCGGATTACATCGGCTGGCGTTGGTATGAAATAATGAATCTCATTCTTCACGCATTAGTACGTGTCTGACGCAGTTATGTAGGGCGTTTCTGGCCCAGTTCCCACTTTGCATCCTTGCATTCATCGCTGTATCTATGATGCTCAAGCTTCCGGACCGCGAAGATGTTCACTGGAGAACCAAACTACGTCGCATCGACTTCCTCGGAGCCATTGTCCTGGTCGGGGCCGTCTTTGGGTTCCTGTTGGGCTTAGACCGTGGCAGCAATGTGTCATGGAAGCTGCCCTTGACAATCGTCTCTTTGGGTGCCTCGGTCATCTTATTCATCGTTTTCGTTCTGGTGGAGATCTACCAGGCAGCCGAGCCTTTCGCGCCTGGTCACATCATTTTCGACCGCACACTCTTCTCTCTGTATTGCTGCAATTTCTTCAGTTTCGGTGGCTGGCTCGCGGCGCTCTTCTACATCCCACTATACTTTCAAGCAGTCGATGGAGTCTCTGCCACCATCGCTGGGCTACGCCTGCTACCCAGCATTTTGGCTGGCGTAAGTGGCTCGGTTTTTGCCGGTCTGCTGATGAAATGGACTGGAAAATACTATTGGCTAACTGTTGCGGGCTATACGTCTCTAACACTTGGTTGTGCTTTCATCTTTTTTTTCTCCAGAGGCCTTGTGGCCAGTACAGTACCAATAATAATCGGAATGACCATGGCGGCATTTGGAAACGGCATCGGTGTTACCACAACCCTGATTGGCTTGAGTGAGTTCTTCTAAACGTCGTATGTTCTGTTATCTGCAATATTTGCTAAAATTTACTCGCAGTCTCCAATTCTGCTCCTGAAGATCAGGCTGTGGTGACGGCATGCTCATATCTCTTCCGCTCCCTAGGCTCAGTGATCGGACTGTCTCTGTCCGCGAGCGTTGTCCAGCAACTCCTGAGGGAACGACTCCGATCCGACTTGCACGATAGCAAGAACATTGACGAGATCGTCAATGGTGTGCGAGAAAACCTCGATTATATCAAGAACCTGGATCCAGATATCGCCCAGATTGTGCGCAACTGCTATGGCTGGTCGACAAACAAAGGTTTCGGCTTTATGGTCGTTGTAGTATTTTTTTGCGCTGCTCAGTGCTTTCTTCATGCGCGAAAGCAAGCTTCATCGCTAATCGCGAGAGAACAAATAAGACTCTCTTGCTCTTGATGTCTCTGCGATGATCAAAAATGGCATGAGAGGCGGGATGTGTAGATCTGCCCAGTTGGAGAAAAGCTAGATTGTCTATTAAGAGCATATAGAACTCGAGGAAAGGAAAAACATTGCATCCAATAACATCTGATCGGATACCTGATAACAGTAATTTATCAAACGTCGAGCTCTGCGCAATGCGTTGAGTTGCATGCATTTGATGACACCTTAAAGCTGGGGCTCTGGCCCCGTGATGTCTTAAGGTCTAGTCTGACCCGCCGAATTCCCCGTATCTGTCTCATCTTCAACTCGCACCACCCGACACCCACACAGAATTGAGTGTGTGCGGCATCTCCATTTTGAATAGTATTTTTGACAATGACCATTATTCATTCACAGTGACCGCATTCTTGCAGCTTACAGCAGCGCGACCTTCGCAATGGCCGAGCCGCGCTCGGGGCCGGTCTCGTTGACACGATATCGGCCCATCCTCTATCTCTTCACAGGTGTCGCAGCTGCCTATGCTCTCCTTTACATCCATAACAACGTCATTTCACCGCATACTCCACACTCCTCCCTCCGACGCCGAGGCGCCGTACGCCGGTCAAGACGACCTGACGCCGAAGAATCAGGGCTCGTGGACACTCCCTCATACCGAGCCATCACACACCTGGAACAGCTCGAACGTCAGAATGGTGTGTACGGGACATTCCGCATTGAAACGGAAGACGGGCGACGGGTTGAAAGTGGACTACTTCCGTCGCTGCTCGCAACGCGTGATCAGCTGATGGAGGAGGTTGGTGTACCGCCAGCTCACGCCGAGCGCATGCGTGAAATGATGGAAGATACATTTCTCGAGTCCTTCCTTGCCCTTGACTTCCCCGCCGCGCACACCCTTCCCGAGAATAGCGCCGAGCGGACGTACTTGACGGAGCAGCTTCAACAGCGAGGCATCTCCCGGGCAGGCATCGAGCGAGCGCTGATCCGGTTCAACGGCGACGAGAACTACGGCACCGAACTTCGTCGGCGGCGACAAAATGGCGAGCGGGTCACACTTTCGACTTCAACCTTCCCTGATGTGTCCGCGCCGCCCCAGAATAGCGAGGGCCCGGAGGCAGCGGGCGATGACCAGAGCGTTTTCTCCTGGAGAGAAGGGAACAACGATACCTCGCCTACCCGGGAAGGTCAGAACTTGCTCAACTTGCTCTACCATATCGCTGAGGACCAGGCGAGGAGAGATGGCTATATTCATCGTGGAGTGACGTGCAACAGCTGCGGTGCCATGCCCATTCAGGGTATTAGGTATCGGTGTGCTAATTGTATCGACTATGACCTGTGTGAAACTTGTGAGGCCATGCAGGTGCACATCAAAACTCATTTGTTCTATAAGGTCCGGATCCCTGCTCCATTCCTGGGCAATCCGCGCCAGTCTCAGCCAGTGTGGTATCCAGGAAAGCCTGCAATGCTTCCCCGCAGCCTGCCTCGTCCCCTTGCGAAGCGCTTAATGAAGGAAACCAGCTTCGAAAATACCGAGCTCGACGCGCTGTGGGACCAGTTCCGCTGTCTCGCCAACTTTGAGTGGGCAGATGATCCCAATAAGCTTTACATGGCCATCGATCGCAAAACATTTGACCGGTGCTTCGTCCCAAACACGTCTCTTCGACCGCCTCCTCCTAGTCTCATCTACGATCGCATGTTTGCATTTTATGATACCAACGGTGACAACCTCATCGGATTCGAAGAGTTCCTCAAGGGACTGGCCAGTTTGAACAACAAAAGCATGATGAACGCTTACAGCGTGTGTTCCGAGGGTATGATATTGACGGTGATGGCTTCGTCGAGAGGAAGGATTTCCTCCGGGTATTCAGAGCTTACTACGCTCTCAGTCGTGAACTCACCCGTGATATGGTTGCCGGTATGGAAGATGACTTCCTCGAAGGCGGAGCTCGGGATGTGGTCCTTGGTAGTCAACCCATTAGCTCTGCATTTCCAGGCAATATTCCTGCGGGAGATGTTTCGCGAACCGGTGAAGGCAAGCGTGTCAATCAGAATGGTGATATGGAAGTTGTCGACAACGAGGGTATTCTACGACAGGATGCCGCCGATCTCGGTGACCGACACCAAGTTATAGGTGAAGCTACGGTACGAGAGCAATTTGGTCGAACGAGGCCATTGTTCCCATCCACGATTCGCCTACCTGCGACCGCCGAGTCCGGAAACCGTCGGTCTAATCACAGGGCGAATGAAAATGGTGAAGATGACGTTGAAGATGAAGACCCTACTGATTCCGATGAGTCTGGATCGTCTGTCGCCAGTGGCCATTGGCCCCCTCCGGAGCACATCCATGAGGAAGACATAATCGACGCCCTTGGAACGTATGTGCCCCCTCAGGAAATCAACGACCCCGTCGACAGAGCTCGTATCGTGACAGCTGTATATAACAGAATGCGTGATGATGATCAACGACGAATCGACGAAACCCGCCGGAACGGTATTGACGAGCGTTGGAGACGCCGTGCATTTTACACTGACGAGGAAGACGGCGCCACTGCTCCTGCTGGATATGAGCATGACCCGGCTTTTGACGATGATATGAGCGACGAGGAGTCTATGGAAGAAGAGCCTCTCGACTCACATCCGCCGTCGCCTCGCTCGCGATCTTCTTCCAAGGTACGGTTCCAGGACGATCTCACAGATGACTACGACGTACGCTCGAACCCATCAACGTCTTCTCGTAGCATCCCTGTTGGTGAGCGATGGGGTGGTTTCGAGATTCCCGAGGTTGAGAAAGACGTCGGCAAGGAAATCTTGTACCAGGTCACACAGCAAGGCTTCAACGAGCTACTCGACATTCTTTTCAAGCAAAAGGAAGATCTTCTCATGGAGGTCTTCCGCACCCGTGCTGACCGCAAATTTTGGGCCCATGAAATTGAGCTCTTGGAAAAGTCAGGACCTATCAAGCCGGAGGAGCCCAAGGAAGAGGACCCCCAGCATCCGCGCAATGAGGAAGAGCTCGAGGATATAACACGAAATCAGTCTCTGGACAATCTCTTGCAACGAGCTGGTTACGCCGTGCAGAGTCCAACTCTAGAGCCTGTCACCCTAAGGCCGGTGTTGGAACCAACGTCTCCTCGGGCTTTAGTTTCTGATGACGATGTTCGGCCAACACATCTTGCTGATCCTGAACATGAAGACGGTATCGGGCAAAGCCATACCTTCGAGGACCAGTCCGACACAGCCTCGGCTACCAGCTCTGATGCCGATGATCGAGCTCTGGCCTCCGATGCTGATTTCTCTCGTGACTTCTCTGGCGCGGATGAACATGGGGACATGATCCACGAAAACCCCGACTTTGATCCAACTCTCCCTCAATTCCGTCCCGAATTTGACGACGTGCTCCATCCACGCCTCTCATTCCAAGCGGAGCCTGCGGTAATGGAAGCTCCAGCAGCCGATACGTCCCCTCGCACCAATAACCCCGACCTCCCCGACCGTCTCCGTCTCGAACCAAACAGCACTATCTCCCTCCCTGCACCCTCTTCTCCCCATTCTTTATCTCCCGAAGCCGAAGCCACAGCCCCAAAGCCTCCTCCTTCACCCATGCAGCCACTTCCCCGCCGAAGTTTGCCGGTCTCCCTGAGGAGAAGTCTAGCCCGCGCAAGCCCCCCGCTCGCATTTTGGCTCGCTGGGCATACCTGAATCAGGTCGAGCGCGAATCCAAGGAGCGCGGCGGTAGTGGTGCCAGACTCAATTTCGAGGAGTTCTCACGTCGCATGGCGGCTGACAAGGGACGTCGATTGGCATTTGTAGCGAGTTGGATTGAGATGGCAAGTTTTTGATCGGTTAATCCAAATGGCTGGACTTGGCCTACCCTTGTATATTACCTCTGTAAATTAACACTGGTCTTTGGGACTATTTTCTACACTTATCTCATACATGTATATGTAGTTGGCAGATAACACTCTTCGCTGATTGATAGACTGGCGAAACATCGACACCCTTTCCTTGGCTCGATGCTTCCGAATCCAGTTCTAAATTAAATTGCGTTTCCCGCTGGGTAGGAGACAGGAAGATCTGAAAGTGGGAAGTAAGTTCAAATAAATTTACATTGCGGATACTCTGGCCGTGGTCACCAAGTTTAAGACTCAATATACTAGCAACACGGGATACTGAGACGGTCGGCAAAACTTGGAGTCATTGCATCGTGCACTTTCCTTCTCATGGCTTTATGGATTGACCGATAATGTTTCGTAAATCAGTGCCAGTTCAGCCGCCCTCCTGAGACGATAACAGGCCCCCTAAGAAGACTCGTTGGTGTAGATGGACAAAGACGCGGGATAATCGCTATCACTGCCACACGCTTTGTTGTAATCTCCGGAATAACTCGTCTCGCTGCTTCAAGAAATCATGGAACTGCCCCTTCGCACAGCTTCCACCCGGACCATCGCGGCAGTCCACCAATGGCTGTGGACCAGCATTATTCAAGATCCTATAGTACTCACCGTCATCGAATCCATAACTCTCGCATGACATCTTCTCAATAGCGATATTTGTGAGGAATGGAAGAATCTGACTACTCTTCCAGGCACGGTTGTAATTGATCTTGTCCTCCGGCATGGTACTATTCACGTTGTTCGCTCCAGTATACGCGCTGTTGTTGTAAAGTCCGAGTGCGGTAATGACTGTGGGCGGCAGTTCACGATGCGTGAAGGAGATGTATAGCTCTTGTGTCGATGAATCGTCGTCAAGCGCTGCAACACTGGCATTCAACCACGGGAATCCGAGACTGGGGGAAAGCTCTCGACCGTAACCGGTGTTGTGGAAGTACATTATGTCATTGGCGTACTCGAATCTGAGCCATTCGTCTGACGTGAATAGGTTCAAAGAGCAGAATGGCGAAGAGCCTCGAATGACTGTCTCATAGCCGGAGAGCTCGAACATGCCAGTGATGTCATCTTGGGTGAAGTTGAAAGTGCGTGCTTGAGCGTTGAGACGAGCGATGATGGGCTTCGTGTAAACTTCTCCAAATGCCTAGATTGTCAATATTGTTGGTTGGTAGGGAGAAAGGGAAAGAACATACCGATGACTGATCACTGCCGTATGAAGAGCTATACGCAGAGCAACCCTCGTAGGGTGTTAAGGAATCAGCGCCCGCCTTCTTGCTTTCCTCGACTTGAATCAGGTTGACGGAGCTGGTATGGTTGCCGGTGAATCCCGAAATAAAGCTTTGTGCACTCTTCATTGTTCGCTCCGCAGTCGATGACCAGACCTTCGTGGGAGTCTTGAGATGGGCATAACTCTTCTGTAGACTTCTACCCAGCGACCGCGCTTCTTGCATACCAACACGGGTGAGTTTCTCCAGATGCGCTTCGGTTACCGGCGCGGTCCAATTCGACAAGAATCGGAGTGTGCTAGTTGATGACCAATCCTGGGACGTATTTTGCAGCTTCTTCACGAAAGGTCCAAGGTAGGATTCGTAGTCAAAATCATTGGCGTAGATGGCAGCATGGCGGACGAGATAAGCTGCTCGAGTGACATTGCATCCTTGGGGAGGAGAAGATTCGAGGGGAGGATCATGAGGAACAAAGTAAGGTGCGATGCCAGCGGAATGTTCCAAAGGATTGAAGCGGTAGGAAGTGGCTAGGATGGGGGCAACAAATGCCAAGAGGAATTGGGGATGCATTCCGCTGCTGTCACAAGAAAGAAGGGATCAATGACCCACGAGAGTAAATTCTAATTTTCCAGCTGAAGATGCGATCGAGTATAAGATCGTCCCTGAGCGATTATAAGGTAGTTCCTGAACCATGCAACTATGTCATCTTTGTTTAGCCGCAAACAGGGAAACTCAATTGACGTAGTTCTTGGCGATCTAGACTTTCAAGGTTTCAGGCAGCCTTGGCAGATTCAGCCTGTTTAATTGGATATACGTGGAAATGGAGTATCCACTATCTATGTTTGGTGATCAGCAATTCAGTACTGGACAGGGTGACCAAGGAATAGATGTAGGTTTCCTCACCACCCTATTCTTTTAATTAAAATAGCGTCGCATTACTAGACGGTCAGCCAGTTCTTCTCAACAATTCTGGAGATTGCTTGCCCATACTCATGGGCCGGAGACTATACGATTTGGGCACAGTCCACCAATAACTTTTCTCCCACCTCGCTCCTAAATTTGGATCCAATGAATGTCAAAAACATATCGCAAGCTCGCATCACTGACTACCTGTCTCTCGTCTCCCAGGGCGAAAGGTCCCGGAAATCGGTACAACAGGGGTTTAATTATCATGCATTTGGGTATATTTACGGGAACCATGGGGTCTTGTGATATTCATCACAACTTCACGGCATCTTGGGATCTAAAGTACTCGCATCTTCACTGTCATCTAATTGTAGAAAGCCGATTTTAGCTGACTGCAGGGGCTTTTTGACCTTTCACAAGGCAACCGAACTGCACCAGTATACACCAAACTAGTTCCGTCCGATCTTGTCCGCGCGGACAAAATATGACAGACTTGGGCTTTGCTCTACCCTATGAGGCTTACAGGCTTCAAAGTAACTTCGCGGTTTTATCTCTTACTAGCCATAGCGACCATTTCCACTAGAGGCTAAGATTACAAAGAAGCATCAAAATCTTTTCGTTTAGTGGAGGACTTGAAAGTTATGAAGATGTGAAATTAAAAAGAAGTGCGATGATTGATGGTGGATTCTTCAGATGAAGCGATGTCATGGAGGCTGAGGCAAGGCTGCGGTGAAGAGAAGCAATACTCCCAAATCAATGCGAACAACAGTAAAATGCGAACAACAGTAAAATAGTGATAATTGCCGAACAACAAAGAAGGGTTTTCCCGTGAGATAGTTATCAATTCTAGCTGAATAGTGTTGTCAATCCTTGGGATAGTAGTCAAGGTCAATTAGATATCTTTTGCAGATCTATCTCCCTTCAAGATAATTTGAGCAAGCTGCAATGTGTTGACAGACTCTACAAGTGCAGTAGTAGCAGGGAATAGCTTTGATTCTCCGATAAGGCCCGCTTAGGCCCCTCGCTGCGGCTGCGACATCGACCGTTGAGAGTGTGAATTAGTTGCAAGGATCCAAGATTGCCCCCTAGGTGAAAAAGCAATCCAAGCTCTAAATAGCGAGGAACTCCCTTTTGCCGTGAATCCCTGTCTCATCCGCTTTCTATCTCAAGGTACAAGTTGTCCCGTCTTTGACAAAGCTGTGGACCACCTGCATCAAGCCAGCCTGTGTCTTTGCAACGACTCTCTACTCTCTGACATGGGCACTGAAAAAGGCACCATGCCCCAGCGTTTACATTACTTGAAGTGTATCCGATGCCGAGACAACAAAAAGCAGGTATGAAGCCTTGGATTTTATCAGGCGCTCCTTCACAAATCCTGGTGCTTAGGACATGGTTCCGATGGAAACAAAAGACAAATCTTACCACCGTGGCGAAAATCGTTCTTCAGCTGCTTGTACTGTGTACTTGACACCCAAACCAGCCATTCCTGTCTCGTCCACGCCTTTCGTTCTCCATGTACCTTAATCTCGACTTCGAGATGAATTATTTCGATCTCCTTCAGTTCTTTCATATCGCCTTCAATGCAATCTTCACAAAACGAATGGATGTTTACATGTTTCGTCGGGCGTAAGATGTGAGACATAGCTGGTTCCAAAGGCGCTAGTGGCTATGCGAAGTTTTCCTGGCTCGTGTTCCTCGTTCCCACAGGACACCGATTCCTATTCAATATACCCTCGCATGCTGTAATACACGATTAACACTCATGGGCCTGTTGAAGTCATATATTAATCACGTACTTTCAAAATTGATAGTATTTTTGATCACACTCGGAGAGAGTTTAGGTAGGCGGGTACGAGTATCCCGCAGGATGGTGATACAGTAGCACAATGAGACGGCGCCCTTTTGGTGAACCTACCTCTGGAGGTGCGGCCTTTTTATATCTGGCAATTTGGACGGGCTGTAGTACATGACTAATCTTGGCGGGAGGTAGTATCTCCTGCCTTGGGTATCCACCTGCTGCTTTGTTCGAGCACGGTATCGAACGAAATCCACTTGACTAAAAATGCCAATGACTCTTTTTAGTGCTTAGATAATCGTATTTCTTATGCCGACACGGGCACGCCGCTGACTGGGACCCAGAACTGACAGACTGGGACCCAGAACTGACAGACTGGGACCCAGAATTTTATGACTAATCCAAGGTCCCATTTAGGTGCCAGGGCTGACTAAGACCTAGGATTCTAGCTTATATAATCTTTCTTAGCGTGAAATAAAAATTTCTGCCTTTTAGATACCCCTTTTTAACCTAATTATATATATACTCTATAGAAAATAAGATAGCCTATTCTTATTTTAAACTATCGCTATTTCTACTACCGATAGTACTTATAAAGATAGTCTCTGAGTATAAGGTAATTTCTTATAATAAAGCTATATTTAACGTGGTCGGTAAGCGAGTGGGCCATGTAAGCGAGTGGGCCACCTCAAAACACCATAGTAAATGCGATAAATTACAACATTATATCTCAACAACCGTAGCTTCTCATAATGTCTTCTTATAAACCTATGTTCTTCATACTGAGTCTAACATTTTTTAAAAGCCTCGAAAGTTTTAGGATATAATGATTAGAAGATATATCCTTGAAGCTTAAAAGAGGTTAAATTACAGTGTATTTTTGGTAAATATTGTCAAATCAGAACTAAATTGACCCAGCCTCTTAAAATCAACTTCTTATACTCTAAATAAGTAGGATACGAAAGATAGAGTCGAATAAACTTATGATTGTTGAGATATTCTGTTCTTAAATTATCGCATTTACTATGGTGTTTTGAGGTGGCCCACTCGCTTACATGGCCCACTCGCTTACCGACTACGTTAGTGCTAGCTTAGAACTTAATTATCTAATATATAGGTTACCTAAATAATCTATATAAAATATTTTAACTATATATTAAGTATATATAAATTATGTTTAGTAAGAATAAGCGGATTTAGAGACTTCTAAGACTATATTAATAAATATTAATCTTTTAATAATAATTTTAGTTATAAAAATAAAGAATGAAATAGTTTTTTAGAGACTATTTTATCCTTAATCTTAGCTAAATAGGTATAATTTTGGGAGATCTAGTGGGAGATCTAATGGGAGATCAAGTCTTTTATCCTTCGATGAATAAAAAGAATATTTCTCTAATAGGAAACCTCAGGGTATGATATGATGATTGAAGAAGAATTATATTTTTCTTGTAGGGAATTGCGGACATATTTATATCCAATCAAGAATATTCTAGGCCTATATTAGACTTGCATTGTTTTAGTCCAGGCCTGTCTTGCTTTGAAATCAATTATAGTCTAGGCATCATTTTTAGTCTAGACCTATTGTCAAGGCATCATTAATAGTCTAGACCTATTGTCAAGGCATCATTAATAGTCTAGACCTATATCAAGGCATCATTAATAGTCTATCTGTCACGGGCCCATGCCCGGTATAGGTCACATAAACCACGTGACCCTGGCATGTTGACGGAACGAACGCACGGAGGGAACATCCCTTCTTTAAGCTTTTTGTACACAGTTTGTGGCCTAGTCAGATTAAATCTAAGTCTTACTTTAGCCCTTCATATACAAAAAGCTTCCTTCGATTTACTATCGTTAAACCGACGAAGCACCGACGAAACACGACCGTTTCCCCTACGAAGCCGTACCCCTAGCGAGGATATAGCACCAGGAAGCGATAAGCCCACTATTATAGGCACAGACGCTACTATAGTAAATAGTATAGACCTAAGCTATACAGAACGAAGAATAAGAGCGATATAACCAATAAGACGCCGTTTAAGAAGAACGAATCCGGCGCCTCGAAGTAATACTAGACTAATAGGTCCTACTTACTACGATAATAACTATAGAAGAATAAGCGATACCGTCATAAATCGCTACTAAAGTAACGGCGGAATACCTACGAAACGGAAGGCCTTATTATCTAAAGGCATAACTACCGAACCCTATCCTATTCGATAATAATATAAATAACTAGCTAACCTAGCGTATAACGATCGAGAATAAACTAAGCGTTAATAGATAAGCTATTAGTTTGCCCTAAGACTAATTTATATATATATTCTCTAGGCTAGAGAAACTCGCCTAGAAAAATAGCGGAATATTCGTAAAACTACGCTAAGACACCGATAACCCTTAGGTATTATTAAATTACCTTAAGAATATCTATAGAGACCTAAATATTAAGGTACGCGTAGCGAGATAGTTATACTAGATCCGATAACCTAATAGAATAACCTTTTTAAAGTTCCTATTATAACTAAAGAAGGAGTTTACGGACGCAGACGCCCTAAATTAGTACGACGAAGCTAAGAGGCAGATCCTCCTTAGGGTACTTAATAAAATAATAACTAATTCACTTATAAATTATAGTATTCCCGCTATCTTTTCTAAACTAATCTCTAGACTCTACGAAATTAGTATAGATATAGATACCCTTAATATTAATAAAGCTAAGTGAATAAGTCGTCTACGCTTACTAAGAGCGAGCGATAATATAGGTTAGACCCTAATACTTATAGTAAATCACACTAAATTATATATAAAAATCTAATAACTAAGTAGCGATACCCCTAAATAAGCCTAGTAGGTAAGTCCTAATAAG